GAAACAAAGAATTCACCTCATTTAGGCCGCTATTTATCATCTTTGCATTGCATAAGGTGCTGAAAGTACAGGGTTAATAATAGCAAACATTCCCACAGCAGACATGTAATGGTTTCAGCAAAAGGACATGTCCATTACGTCACAAACTTCAATGGAAAGGAACAACCTTTATCCTTGATTGGAAGGCAGTGAGTTTAATGGAATAATATTTCATTCAGAAATACTGTTTTTTTTAGAAGGGCATCTGAGGTCAGAAAGTGCAATAAAGGCCGCTTAAGCGTAAAAGACAAACTTAAATTCATAAACTTGTAATTTTGGATATATTTCGAAAGATCCAGCAGATGCCGTGAACCTCCAGTTACCATCATATTTCTGATTCCTCTTCTAAATTGCCGCACTCTTTACTCAGAGGGTAATTAATGACTGGAACAGATTGGCCAGAAGAGTGGTTGAGACCAGGACACTGGACTCATTTATAAAGCAGCTCGATGCTGTAATGGGCAGACAGTAGGGTGATCTGGAGGCATGCGATCAAATGGGCTGAAGGGCCTGGATGCATTTTATATTCTACCGAGGACAGTTGTATGAAGACGGACCATTCTCACCACATAGGGCAGCCCAAGAGAGAAGAGAGAATTTATCTCCCAAACAAACACCTTGATACTTTCTTCCCAATCTCAGGTTAAATTAAAGCAAAGTGTATTTGGATGAGATGGGGATGGCAGTGCTATTGTTGCAGATTACCCAGTATGTGCTGGACTGCCTGGGAACCTGGTGTGCATTTTAAATGCAACAGAGCTGCTGAAGTGTGTCTTTTCACTCCGTAGAATACTCATAGAACTGCTATTAGATTTTATTTACGATCCCCTGCAGGTTGGAGCAGTGTGTGTCTAATGTTATTTGCCTGTATTGTGGGGACAGCAGAAAAAAAGACTGAAACTAGAGTCACAGCAACTGAGGTATTCTGTCATTGGGTTCACACAAAACCAGGATATTGCCTGTTTTCTCAAGATATTCTGCAGAAATCTGAAATGTTTTGTCAGGTAGATTTATTTCATTCTACCTTGGGGTGTGTGGGGTGGGGGTTGTGGGAGAGATAAGATGTGCAAGCTGTTTTATTTTCAGGGTAATGTTTTGTGGGACACAAGCTCAGACTAATGTTTCTTCTATCCCATTGCTTCCCTTTCCAATTGCTTTCCTGCAGCAAACGGAAGAAACACAGACATTAAACCGGCCCCTGCAATAGAAGGTATGAACCACGTGATGTGCTTGTCAAAAGCATGTCACACATTGAAGATTGCTTGGTTTCATCCTCCATCTACAAGTCGTCAATTGGAATCTTGTTATTAAATCTGTGTCAAGTTGCCAGTATTTGTTTTGTGATGAAAACAAAATTAATTTGTAATTGTAATTGTACAGAGTTGAGGAAGCATTTCTTCACTCAGAGGGTAGTGAATTTTTGGAATTCACTACCCCAGAAGGCTGTAGATGTTCAGTCCTTGAACATTTTCAAGGCTGAGACTGATAGATTTTTAAAAAATAGAGGGATTAGGGGAATGGGGATAGTGCAGGTAATTAGAGTTAGGTCAGAAGATCAGCCATGATCTTATCGAATGGCGGGGCAGGCTCGAGGGGCCGAATAGCCTACTTCTGCTCCTAATTCTTATGTTCTTATGTAAGTACTTTGCCTTTTGTTAAATCGTAATTAATTGGAGAAGGAAAAGCATGATACCTCAGTTTACACTATATGGCTCCAGGTGAAAATCCTTAGAAATACAATCATTGAAGAACACAATGTGAAACAAGTGTAACCACAAAAACATAATAATAATATAATAAACTTTGCATTTTGATAGAGCACGTCTTCTAAAGGTCTCAAAGCGCTTCACAGAATATACTGTAAAGGAAATTGACTGTATATTTTGTCAGCAAAAAGTGGCAGCCAATTGCGTACAGCAGCGTCCCACAAACAGTCGTGGATTGAGTGACCAAATGTTTTTTTCGTTCTGACGAAGGGTTGTGGACCCGAAACGTTGACTCACTTTCTCCGTTTTTTGTTTCAGATTACAGCTTCTGCAGTATTTTGTGTTTTGTTTGATGATATTTCGTGCATTTGATAAAGCTCCTGATCACTTTGAAACATCTCAAAGCACTTTACAGAGTGTTCTGTAAAGTGTAGTGAAATTAATTTGATAGCCTGTACAAAAAATGGATTAGGAGGAGTATGCTCATCCCTTTCGCAGTATCTCTTGCTCTCGAGTGGAGGGAGGACAGGGGGGAATTTGAAAAAGTGATTTGCACTGGAATATATCTGTATGGCTGGCTCAATAGATGCAAAGACCAAGGTTTGAAATCAACACTCAGTTCATCAATCAGCAATCGAACATTTCTTATGAATGTCTGAAGAGAGGAGAGGGAAATAATTATTGTAAATAGTTGTTCAATTTGGCTGAGAAAGTGAGCGAAATCCACAGAATACTTTTACATTTTTAGAATGCGTTTAGCAAGTGAGACACAAAGGTTGAGGCTTTAACTTCCTCAACTAGCAAATGCTTTCACACTTCACATTATCTCTAGCTATTTCTCTTGCCATTTTGCCTGCTATTTAAATGATTTTCACAACCTTCCCCATCAACGTGATTTATTGAGGGAGGAGGAAGATTCATGAAAACATTGCTCACATAGTTATGTTTTCTGTAATTGACTCTATGTTCCAGGTGTCAGCCTGACTCATTTAATAGCACTCTTGTCTCTGAGACAAAAGCTTTGTAGTTCCCCAGGAACTCTGTAGAGTATAAGCTGACACTCCAATACAGTGCTGTGGGAGCGTTGTGTTGTCGAGGTATCATCTGCCTGCTCAGGTGGATGTTAAAGATTCCACAGCAGACAAAAAGTATACTGGCCAATAGTCTTCCACATAAAAATTTGGTCATTCATTTCATGGCTGTTTGTGGCATATTGCTGTGCACAAATTGGCTGCTGTGTTCATCTACGAGATTGTCATTACACTTTACAAAAAACACTGTAAACCACCTTGAGATGTTTCTAAGTGATAAGAAGCTACATCAACAGCAATAAATATTGTTATTTCTTTGTGGCTATACCTGTTTCACATTGTGTTCTGCAATGATTATGTTTCGAAGGCATTGCAACATTGACATTCAAGAAAGGAAAATTTTGAAGGCTATAAATTGGTGCTTTCAGGGAAAGGTTAATCATTAACTGTAATAGCAGACATTCAAATGAGGTTCATATTTATGGTGCATTATGGAATATAGTTTCAGAGGAGTCTAAATCCATGTCATCTACTCATTAGCCTGAGCAGGGCGAACCCTTAGGCAAGTTTCCTTACTCCACATGCCTCTGTTTACCAAGCAGTAGGTGATAAAAATTTGGTCACGACTATTTGTGGGACACTGCTGTGCGCAATTGGCTGCCTCGTTTCGTCCACAAAATATACAGTCTATTCACTTTCCAGTACATTCTGTGAAGTACTTTGAGACGTCTCAATGACGTGATAAGGCGCTATATCAAATACAAGGATTATTATTACAATTTTGATCTCTGTAAGGTAGTGCTGAATAAAGGTCACGTCCGTTCTAATAAAGGTGGGGGGTTGGGGAGAGAAAGAAGGGTTTCCCAGGCTTTCCTTGGCATCTGACTTCCAAGTCCTTTGGTGATGGTCTGGAAACAGATCATCTCATGATTGCACAATGTATTGGGAGACCAATAATGTCATCTTGAAACAAAAGAGTATTTGAACAATTTTAAGCCTTGAAAGCACAGCTACTGTATGATCGAGAGAGAGCGAGAGAGAGAGAGGGGGAGATGAAGTCCCTTGGGTTCATTTTATCCTCTCTTCCAAATTACTCACCCAATTGACTTCCCGATTCAGCTCCAAGCTATTTTAAAATTTGAAGTCTTTGCCTCTCCTACACTTCCTAGTATCCTGTTGCAGCTCTGTGTAAAAAGATATTTGATGGTGAATGTCCTAAATCTGTCCTTCAACAGCAATAGTAATTAGCATTATTCATATATCAGCTTTAATGTCGGACAACATTTCAGAGTGTTCTCAACCTTCACACTTTTATGCCTTGTTTTTAAAATTAAAAATGTAGATGTATTTTTTCTTTGTTTTTCTTGCCGTAATCATTTTTTTTCAGTTACCTATTTGTCCCCTCTTTGCCTCATATCCGTCTTTTTCATTTTCATTTAATTTTTGATTTTGTTTTGCTGTGTTTGTAACGGAAGTGTACAATAAGCCTGAAAGCACTGGGTTAAGTAGAGAAACAGATGCAATTTTGCATTAAATTCCCATATGTGGCACCATGAGACTAAACGATAAATAATCTCAGCCTTTTCATTTTCATTGCTCGTAGCAGATGTTTCTTGTCTGAATATCCACGGCTCACTTGAGGCTCATTCAATGGAGGTTGTTCTGGCTACAGTGCACGTAAATTGTGAATAGTCGACGCGATGTATCAACCTGCTCTACATTTCCATATTTTTTCTATTATTTCAGTGTTAAGAACAGGAATAGGTTGGAATCAGATGGCTTGTGTACACAGTAGATAATAACAGAGAGGTGGCAGGATTGGTAATGAGTCGTGATTCCTGGAAATGCATCACCAAAGAATAAATTACTCCCCAACAAACATTTAGAGAGAAAAACACGGCGCAAGCATGATGAACCTTAGTCAGTTCTGAAATTGTTAAGTGCTTCACATGAAGGGCATTATATCAATGCAAGTTGTTGTTGTTGTCATCCATCAAAAGAAGTGGAGCTGCCCCTTTCTTCTCAAATCACATCATTGCCTTTAGAACATTCTCAAGTCTTTGGGATTTCCAAGTGCAGAGCTTCATGTTCATTTGGTACAATACAATGTGCGCTTTCCGTTGGATTTCTTAATTTTTCTTTCAGTTATTCACCTGTTCAGTTGATCAATGAGCTGAAGCAAGTTTGGTAACCCACTTTGTTCTCCATCACATTTGTTAAGCAGAGGAGATCTCAGCCAGGATTGTCCAGGAAGTGACAGCAGAGGCAGTGGCTGTACTTAAAGGTGAACAAGTTAAAGAAGCTGTACATGGTGAGCAGCCGAAGGAGCAGCCAAAGGAGCAACCAAAGGAACTCCCAAGGCAGCCGTTCCCAGGTAAAGAAATATAGGTTGACCCTGTTATAACGTGCCCTGGTTTAACAAGGGTCCAGGTATAGCATGGGCTCATGCAAGATCGGGAGTGCAGGACACTTCCAGCACTAAATTGCATGTTTCCTGTGTTTAGCGTGCAGGATCAGGGCGCAACAAGTGACATCAGCGGGAACCTGACAACCCAAAACGTAGCCATATTTTCACAAGGGAAGCCAGCCATTCAGCACCGGAAACTGGAAATGCTTCTGTGGGTTTAAACATGGGTTCATTGGATCCCTGCAGACAAGTTTCATCCTGTGTTATGCAAATTGGAATTGGGAGCAGAGGGATTTTTTCTTTGTGCTCTTGTAATATTAGTCAGTCCACAGACACCCATTAACAATTCATCTGAAGCAAGGCAGGACACATGATAGGATCTCCCTCCTCTCTTTGAACAGTGTCGAGTTTTTTAAACATCCACCTGAACATGTAGAAGGAACCTTAAGTAAATGTCTCATTCGATCCCGAATTGATATATTCACTGTAACAACATTTGTATTTTTTGTTGGAAAAAACACAAAGCTCAGTAAGGTGATCTTCCTCAAGTAGCTGACAGATTAAGTCTGTGAAGTCCAATAATGCTGATATTGCGAAATGATTAGAACTGTAATTTTAGCACATGCATTTTTTTCTGATGGGAAAGAGACTAAAAGCACAAAATATCACACATACACTTCAAGCTATACATTCATTTTACAACTAGATCCCCATTACTGCATCTTATATATTGAGATGTAATATTGAAGGGGTAGCTGTACAAAGTATAAAACAGAAAGCCAACATTTATCTGAAATTTTGGCCTCTAAAAGGATCCGAGACCTGAAATTACAAACATACAAATGCAAGCCTCATTTATAATAGACCCTTTAACGTCGGGGTGGGGAGAAGTCTCAAAGTGCATGCTGGCCTAGAATAAGAGCTGGGGGCGAGAGTTTCCCCTCGTCTCAACCTATAAAGCCATTTGGTCTTAAAATTTTAATTAGCAAGAAATTGTCTTAATTTGGAAGTTGGTGTACGATCTTAAATTTTAAGACAAAATACTTTTACAAGCTATAACTGGTACAATTTTGGACCCTGGGATGTCACAATTTGAAGGCTGCAATTTACTTCAAGTTGTCATAATAATAATCCTTTCATTTGATATCACACTTTATCACATTATCAAAATGTCTCAAAGTGCTTCACAAGGTTTACTGTTCTGTATTTGTATTTATCAGTGAACACAGCAGCCAATTTGTGCACAGCAATATCCCACAAATCGCTGTGAAGTGAATGAACTATTTTATCTGGGAGATTGGTGGATGTGACACTGAGAGAAAACACCCTTCTCTTTTCGAGCAGTCTCCTCGCAAGTGAGAAACCTGGGTTCGATTCCCAGCAGGGCGAAACTTTGGGCAAGTTTCCTTACTTCACACGCCTCTGTTTACCTAGAATTAAGTGGGAACCCAGTAATTAGTCGATTGGATTGCTTTTCCAGGGGTAATAATTCCTTCAAAAAAAATTATAATAAATTGGTGGACTGTTTGTGGGACACTGCTGTGCGCAATTAGCTGCAGCGTTTCGCCCACAAAATATACAGTTACTCCAGTTTACGGTACATTCTGTAAAGCGCTTTGAGACGTCTCAAAGACGTGATAAGGGGTTGTATCAAGTGCAAGGATTATTATTATTATTTACTCCAGAGTAGGCACAAAAATCCCTCAACAAGTTTATTTTTTCCTTCTGTCTGAGCTTTTTCCATTTGCATTTACCATTGGGCTTTATGTTTCTTTGTATGTTGCATCCACTCATCCCATTGCTTTGCACACCTAAATTAAGGTACCCTGGGATTTCCCCAAACATCTGTTCAGTATATTAGACTTCATTCATTGTCATCAGTAATTGTGTAAGGCATACATATAATAGCTTATTCTTTATTGCTGTGTGGACAACAGAGAGCAGTTGAAACCTGGCAACACCTGGCAGCTATGGTTGGTGCTTTTGGTTGTCAGACCATTTACCTTGATGCTTAAAGATGAACCGCTTGCTGTATTACGCATTCGGGAATCATGTCCCAACATCAGAATGACATAATCTGCTTAATTTGAGCTCCGGTCGGCTAGTTTTTGCAACGAAAAATATAGTTGCTTCGGATGCCAATTGACGAGCTTGGCCCACGTAAGATGCAGCGTTGTTTGCCATAAAACAAGCTGCTGCATGTCAGAGTCATTGTATGGGTTTCTAAGAAATGTATGAAGAGTCAGCTGTTAGGGTTTTGTATGTAGGAGCAGGCAGCTCTGCCTGTGGAGACAGGTCTGGAAAACGCCAGCTCAGGGAAAGAAAGAGAAACACTGAGAGAAAGAAAGAACTTGTATATTTATGGTACTGTAGAGCCATAGAAATTTACAGTACAAAAGTAGGCCATTCGACCCATCATGTCTCTGCCAATCCCTTTAAGAGCAATCGTTTCAACCTTCTCGGATTAAAACACCTCAAAGCACTTTACAAGCAATTACTGTCAACTAGAGTAACTGACTGAGTGAATATAGCAGTCTATTGTCGCACCCACAGCCATTAAGTGAATGGCCAATTCACCTGTAGGGTTTTTGGCCAGGGCACCAGGCAAAACTCAAATATATAGTATAGTTGCACCTCTGACTCACGTAGCTTTTATGGTGTGAAGCTGCCCTACTTTACACTGTGAAGCTGTTGCACATTCGGCAGTTGTGTTGTTAGCAGCAGATTCAAGTTATAAATAGGCTGCTAGCGGTAGCTTAATGAACACACGTTAAACAACAGCACATTCAATTCTTATTAATTCCAGCAGTTTATTTTCTTACCGCAGTTTTTTTTATACGTGAATGATGGGTTTTCAGTTACTTTAGTTTTGTAAATAATTGTAGTATTCAGATGTTGCACATATTGATCGGCTGAGCAGTTCCATTATTGGCCTTGACATCCTGTTTAACAATGGGTTTCCACTGGTATCTGCCATTTTACACTCTCACTTCATGTTTCAGTGGAGTATACTAACAGAGCCAGTACATGGAATGACTGCCTTTCACTTTGCTCATTAAAAATAGGCATTCGATGACGAAACCATACTCTTCAACTCCATAATGTGTTTATTTCATTTTTAAATCAACTGCATTATTAATAATATTTAATAATGAGCCCCAGACTCGTTCATAATAAAGATGGAGTGGTGATCAATAGGATTGTTTGCTGGACTGTGAAGTACGGTTTAATGTTGCAAGCTACGAAGCTGCTTGAACGTTTGCTGTGTCTGATGCTTTTTTCTTTGTGTTCCGCCTTTTTATTTTTGTTGTGCAGTTGATGACTCAGCTAACTTGCCACCTTCCCCACCTCCATCTCCAGCATCGGAACGCTTCGGGGCGGCAGAGCAAGGTAAGGTGCTGCGTTCACAGGCTGAGTGGTGTTTTATATATATATATCTATATATGAGTACAGACCAAGCTAATATTAATTTTGCTTGACCTATAAATATGTATATGAGTGTGCGTGTGCTGTGTGCGTGTATATCTGTGTGTGGAGGTGTATATATACATGCTTACTGTATATATAAATCTTAATGTGTGAATGTTCCTAAATTGCTGATTAGAAGACATTCTAATGCAATTTAATAATCAGATGTTTGCGCTTGTTAAATTGTGCTGTTTAAATGTTGCTTGTTTTCATTGAAGTGTTTAGAAGTTTTGTGTGATTAAAACAATAGATGTCTGTGTTTGAATCACACTAGTGGATGAAGCTGGCGATACTGTATTCACACTAAGATGGTACCTGGGAAGTAAAGGATCGACAGAAGGGCAAAGTGTTGATTATTTTTGTAGCTAACATTCCCAGTGGGCTATAAAAATGCCAGCGTTTCTTTTCCTATCTCCTCCCCATCTGCAAACCTTTCTTAATAATCATCCATATTATCAGCACTTTTGCACTTTTGCAATTGCAAATGCAATTTTTTGCTATTTGGGTATTTTTAATCTAATGATTCCCTCACCATAGGCACAATGTTTCACTGAGAGTATACAATTGATTTAAATGACTAATGCAAGTGACAGATTATTGTATATAATATATATAGAGAGAGATTTTCCTGACAATGATCTGTAAATGTTATTTTAAACCTTGTTAAAATGGAGATCTCTTTGTATATCAAGCATTTCATTTAAGCTTTGAACATTTCCTCTACTGAAGAGGAAATGCCAATTAAAATAAATGTATTTCACATGTAACTGAAGACAATCTCTTAAACCAGCTGTATTTGATTTATAATTGGATTTTTCTGAGATGCCATTCAAATTGTTCACTCTTTTGAATGAAGATTGCTTCAGCATTACTTAATACTTCTGGATGGATATGCATTTAAATACTTTAAATTCTGTGTTCATTTTTAAAAACACAATTATTAATTATAATTTATAGCCAATACAATATCATTTTCTATTAATTCAGTATTCATTCCTTATTCTAGAAAAAATAATAAAGTGAACTACAAATGAACCGAACTAAAGCAGCCTACCTTAATTATTTGGTGTCTGTCCAATGTGAACCCTGTGTATTCCTGTTAGATTGCATCCATTAGGAATCTCATCACATAGTCAGTCCTTTAAAGAATGTGAGCAATGTCATTTTAATAACAGAATTTGGCTGTAAGAATAGAGCAGTCTATTGGGATTTAGTGCCTTCTGACAAGTCATTTGGAGCACTTTGTTTTGATTGATTAACAATCTGCTGATGTAGATGCAATAAAAATATGCATTTTCTATTCAGTTCCGGAGGATTAAGAGGTAATTAAACAGCGAGGTAAGCTAATTTATTATTTAACTCAATCTTCCCATTCTCTCAAAACACCTTGATATTTGACCTTGTAAATATGTACAGTGCAATGTACTGGAATAAAACCTCACCTCCTGCTTCTAACCACACTTCCCCATTGAGATGTATGAGTGTATGTCACACTAACTGTCTAACTGTAGTGTTGCGAAAGATCCAGATACAAGCAGCAAAGCATGGAGACATCTGTGAAAGAACCCAAATCGCCATTGGGAAATGGGGGGAGGGAAGGGAGCTATATTTTTAAAGCAAATATTGGGTTGAGTAGTGAATCTGCAGAGAAATTGTAACTTTGACGGTCCCATTTACCACTTCATCTGAACCCAATCAGCTCATGTGTCAAGCTGGCTCTTACCTGAAGCAGCTCTCCTTATAATGGTGAAGGTAGGATTTTTAAACCGTGACTATACTGGGAATTTGTTCAGACTTGCTGGTCAACCTCTGTGTTAAAACAATACAGATCCATTAGAACAACAGCAATAACTTGAATTTATGTAGCACCCTTCGTGTGGGCAAGTGTCTCAAAGCAATTAATACAAATTGATTCATAAATGGTAATACAGTTTTCAGGTGAGGAGGAAAAAGAAGCCCATAGAACATTCCTAAACAATTTTTTAATTTGAATTTTGATGCAAAGTTGAAAAAGATTTAATTGATTTTTTTTAAATGGTGAGATCCTGCATCATTAATAGAAGTACAAAGGATACCCGATACTCATCTTATGGGTTCAGCATGGCCGGCTTCAATCCACTGGGTAGCTGATTGCTCTGTGTGGACCTCTGTCTGTTTGTTGAATTATCCTTGCAGCTTCTTCCTGTGTCTGTTTGTAGATTTAAGGGTTGAGGTTAAGGCAAAACCTCTCCAAAGGTGCTCAAGCTATCAGCCTGCCACCACTCAGGAGAGGCGTGTACTCCTAGCCCCTTCCATTTCTGTTTCTGTTCACGACGATGAGCCTTACAATTCTGATGAGGAGTACTATGAGCATCCTTTATTCAGTTCAGAGTGGACTGCCACTAGTCCACTCCCCAGTGCCACAGTTCAACAGGCAGATGAGTTGTGTAGTCAGGACAAAGGTGAACCAAGCATGGTTCCTTTTTTTTGTTGCATTTCCCTTCCCTATTGTCTTTGTCTTGCATGAATTCACCGTTCCTGTTGTTTTTTCCACATGGAAGTGAAGTCCCTGGTCCAATTTAACTGATAGCATTTGAAAAAAAGATGCAAAGTTTCTGAATCGGCCCCAAAGATTGGTGGTTTACAGGCCGCACCCAGCGAGAATTCTTTTCAGGCTGTTTTTCCGGCCTTTATGAAACTTGACTGAACTAGTGCAGTTTTGTACCTGGTAGTGAAAATTCTGACTTAAAAGTTTGAATACCCCTTGAAGTGAGAAAGTCTAATACACAAGGAAGTGCATTGTTGATATTTTACCCTAAATGGCAAACTATCAGGAGTTTTTGATCATTTCAACACACGTACCACGATTGAACATAAAAAAGTGGAAGGAAATAGAACTTTACTGAAACAATCTCAGAAATATCTTTCCACATCTTTTTATGAAATTCAATGCCCTTCCCTCAAACTGAATAAAATTGAAAGAGTATATCAGAAAGACCAGTTAACTTCATAAAGAAAAAATGATCCATCAATATGATGATGGTCAGTTAATCCACTTGTACTATTCCTTATTTTACACATCATTAAAAATCATTGACAGTATAAATATTTTTTAAGTTTTTGGGAATCTGAGCTACTAGTCTCAAAGTGAATCCTAAATTTGTCCCAGATTAGTTACTTGGAAAGAGTCGATAAAGAAATACTGTTTATTTATTTGCCAACAATCGTTTAGGTCATTGATTCAAATTAAATGTTAAATTGTTCCTAAATTTTACAAATGTGCTTTAAACCAATGGATCTTTAATAGGGTGTCTGAAATGTCTTATTTTTCAGCTACCCTATTATCTAAAAATAATCATCATTTCTTTAAGACTTATTAGACATTGTAATGGTACCACAACTTTTTGGTCACCCTGTACAATTCTTATTGCACCCATAATAATGTCTGACGGAGATTGACTAGTGCACTTGATTCCTATGTGCTGTTTTGTCACCTCTAGAACCTGAGTTTGAATTGAAGATAGACTGATATGATAAAAGTTTCCTCTCCATGTTAGCTACAAGAGCCGTACATGACATTAATTGGGGCCCAAAGTGGAGGATTGCATCTTATTGGTACCAAATTGTATTCTATTGGCAATCTGACTCAGATAAACCACAGAAGGCTTGAGGCAATTTGCTGCCACTGTATAAAGGGAGTTTTCTTCTGCAAGTAGCTGTTGTGTTTACATAACCTCACTCAGACTGCTTAATTATATGCAGAAAAGCGAGGAAATGCTCTATTTTCTCGTGCTGATTATCCCATCCCTAATATGCCCCAATTTTGCACTTTAAATTGATAATTTAATCCCAAAGTTTTGATTTTAAGAAACGATGCAGCTCTTTCCCTCTACCATAAAGGCAGATTGTAGATGTTATATCATTATTTGAAACCCATGAAACTTCAATTTTAAGAAATAAACTAACCATGCCTGTACTTCAATTTTAAACTTGAGGGCTTTGCTTAAACTACAGTTAGCGTCATGGATGCCGGTGAATTTATCGTTGAACTTTCAATGCATCTTTGGTTTAAAAAACCCCCACTAATTTGAAACATCTGAATTGATAAGAATTAGGGCTTTTGAAATTTCACAAAAATGGTACGTATTCGCCAGAATTATCCATGGGACTTCTTACATTGGAGAAAACAGTGCATGAATCACAAATTCAATGCACTTCACTATCACTTAATACCTGCCTTACCCACAAATGTCTTGAATCCAGCACTGTACTAAATTTGAGAGTTTTCCCACATTGTCTAGCATGCTGATCTACCTCTGCTTCAGTTCTGATGTAGATCACTGAAACACTTTCAGCTCTCAGCCTGTAATACTAATTTATTTGCATTGTTTAAGTTGTTGTGGTACCGTTAGTTGAAAGTATGAAATCGGAAACTAGGATTTGTACACTTTTTTAATACATAAAACACAAAACTTACATGGTCTAGCAGTAAAGAAAATCTGGTGTCATTTTGTTCTAAATCTTTTAGGAGTAATTTTTTGAACAAAATAAACACATATAGGAACAGGGAGGAGGCCATTCAACCTTTCTAGCCTGTTCCACCATTTAATTAGATCATGGCTGATCTGTACCTCAACTAATCATTTCAATTTCCCGCGTTTTCTCCATATCCCTTAATACCCTGACCGAGCAAAAATCCATCAAACATCTATCACACACAAGCAAAATATGCGATTACTAAATTATGTACCATACAAAAAGGTTAGGGATTATGTTTTTCATTTGAATTTCACAGCATAGAGTGAAACATAAAGTACTTCACTGGAGAGTAAACTGGAAAATGCTTTCTTTCCATGGGAAAATGGTTTTCTTTGAAAATGCTTTTCGGAAAATGCTTTTCTTTCCATCTTACTCTCTCTGACTCCCTCCCCCACCTCACCTACTTAGCTTGCTTTCAAACATTACCCTTGTTACAACAATAACAGCAACAACAAGATTACATTTGTATAGTGCCTTTCACGTCGGGAGGACGTCCCAAGGATTTTCCAGGGGGAGTTTCTATCCATGATGTATAAAATCTGAGCGGAAAATTGGGCAAATTGTATGTAAAATGTGTAATCTGCTCTGTTAATATTATTTAGGCAACTGTATTAAAACATTCTGTGTAAGTGGCCAAAATTGTAAATCCTACAAAGAATTGTCACATCAGAAATCTGATGCTGAATGACCCTCCCTACCATTTACTGACTAATGTAGAACTAACCAGTATTAAGACAAATGTAAGGCACATTGTATAATGGCAAATTCTGGCTGACATTCCTTAAACAGACGCAATTAACAGTAGATACATCGGTATTGTGAATCTTAAATAAATAGCTGAATTGTAATTGCATGATTTCCTACCCTCTTATCCCATCAAAATTCCCCATCAAGATGTATCACTATACAGGAGTAAATTGTATTCAAAGTACACATATAATAATATAGAAACCCAATTGTCACTTAGTTTTGTACATTGTTTCAGTTCCAATGATCATTGGTTTCTTTAACATTCTTTAAGATTGGCAACAATCTTTGCAAATTGTATCCCGCACCAACTCCAGTTTTATACATTGTGAGAATAATATTGAAGAAATGTGATGACTTCAAGTAATGAACTGCATGAGCTTCACCCTTATGGTATGTGATAATAATTCAATTCTTTGGGTTGCACACCAGCTTCTATAACGTTCATTTATCTAATTTATGTGAGTAGCTTGCCAGTAACTTGAGATATGTCAAATAAAATGTAGCAATATATCTTGAAACAAGCCAGAACAGCTAAGGTATTGAGGTCCCTGCTATTTCCCATGGACACTCGGGAACTCCGCTCTGGATGTAGATTGCATCAGAGAAGAGTTGCTGAATATTAGCGTGACTTGCCTCCATTTACCAGAGGAAATCCCTATTTGCATGACTGATTCCTTATGAAAGAATCCTGTTGAAAAACACTGAAAATTAGACGCATTATTTATGACTAAATGAGCATGAGCCATGATTGCTCTAAATGGCATTACAATACATAATTCCCATATTACAACACCATATTGGACAATTTAAATGCTTAATGTACAGTGCCTATTATAAAGGCTATAGGCTTTCCACGTATAGTAAATGTTTTAAATGTATACTATATTTGTAATACATTAGAAACCCAGTATCCTATCCAATTCCCTAGATGTTGAATTTCCAACTTTAGTCAGGCTAATTTGCAGGGCAGCTGTGTTGAGGTAGCTTTGGCCCCAAGAGTATGAGGGACAGTCAAAGGGTCAGCTAAATTCTCTTCACATCTGGTTTAGGAGTTGTTGCCAGCTGGGAACAGATCTCATGTCCATCTTTGCATTTCACAATATTGGAGAGAGAGACCTAAAATACAGGGAGGAAAACCTTCTACAAAAATAAAAGTAACTTAATTTGAGAGACAATTTTCAGATCACAGAGATACATCTAATTTGATAATATTCATTTGTGGACCCAATCAGGACAGTTTACATTAACCAGCCTCAATTTAAAACTGATCGGTGACCAAAACCCAAACTTACAAATAGGACAACCTCACAAATAGGACAAAATAGGTCAGTCTTTTGACAGCCCTCAATAGAGAGTTTCCACTGTAGGATTAACATCACATTTTTTTTAATGCAGATATGCTTAAAGTTACGTTTTAGTTTGATTCTTATTGCTGCATTCATTTGCTTATTTTCTATTTGTGTTTTAACGAAGCAGAGCTGAAAGTGTAGCATTAAAACTGTTGTCGTGTAGTGTTTTCATCTGTGCTGTGTGTAGTCCTGACATGTCCACTTCTTCCTTTGAGTAGAAGATTTTGTTGAGAGTCCAGCATCGGACGAAGAGGAGCCAGCAGCAGCTCTTGAGCAAGAACATATTCAAGAGTGTTTGTCTGCTGAGCACTTAGTGCAAGCAGAAGCTATAGCCCAGGATACCCAAAGTGTGGAGGTCAAATCATCAAATGAAGAAAATGTGCCAGCTGAGATACCCAATGGGAAGGGTATGATTCATAGGGAGGTTGGGTCCCTGGAAGAAATGCCACCTTCTGTTGAAGGTGTGTCTTCCTGTCCACTTCCACTTACTGAAAAATGTTTTCGAAAATCCTCCTGCCTCTGAGACCTTGTTTGTATAAATTTGCAGTAGATACAGTACTTTGCTTCGGGTAGTTTAAGAAAATGTGTGTAAGTTGCTTTTGGCTGATCTGACGCTAGCTACAGATGCAATAATGAGTTCCCACCACTACTGCTGACTCTTGAGTTACTTTTTTTCCATGATGCCACTTGCTTTGCAGCTAAGCCTATTTTCTTTTCCACATGAGGCTTTCCATTGCCTTAAATGTTTGCCAGTTACATTGCCAAATAAGTATTTTTTAAAGCCGATTCAGCTGCTTTCTTGTCAGCAGACCTAAAAATATATAGTGGTAAATTAGGTTTTTAAGTTGCATTTCTGAATTTTCAGCTTGTGTCAGGAATTCTATTAAATCAAAGTTTGCTTTATGTTTTAGTGCTAACATTTTGCATGTATTGTTTTCTCAGCCTATGGCAAGTGCTTGTTTAAAATTGCTTTCAGTTTTCATAGATGTGGAGTTGGTATATATCGCTGAAGGTCATGACGGTAAAAGTGAAAAACAAATTATTTTGTTATTTTAAACACGTTTTAATGTATTGGGTATATGTATGATTGTAGCAGAATTAGTAATGTTTTGGTTGAGAAGTTTTTCTTAACATTTGGAAAGCATAATTACAGAACAACAACAACAAATTACATTTGTATTGGGCCTTTTACGTCAGGAGAATGTCCCAAGGCGCTGGAATTTATAATTTAGACAATTTGGGACATTGACCTCTAAAACTTCTTTGGGAATCGATCTGAATTGTTGATGCCTGTGTAGCATTAGATTTGCTTTTGCTACTTTTGGCGCTCAATATTTTGAGAGTCTATAAATAGTGAGAGTCATTTTTTAGTCTTCAATGAGTTTACAATCATATCACATTGAAATTGTTCATTTTCCCCAGCCTAGATTTAGCAATGTAGAATTAGACAATTTTATAGAATATTTCAAATGACTTGATGCAAATGTTTTTCGGGGAAAGTGATTTGTGGACTGGAGAGGTTTTGCCTATCAGAAATGGATATCTAACTACTGTATATACATGCAAACAAACTACTTTAGATTTGCTTACAGCCACGAAGATGGACAAGTTTGATCAGCTGTCAACAGGCGGAGAACCCTCTGTTACTAGTGGGGAAAGGCCATCATTGATTGAAATGTCTAAGACGGAGGAGAAAGATAAGTGTATTGAACATATTGAAGAACAAAAATCTGATCTACTAACGTGTTACACATTTAGTAAAGATGAAGAAGTTGCTACAGTAATACTAGAGGAAGCTGCCGATAAGGTGTATTCATTCTCTACAGGTCCTGAATCGGTTTCGCTCAAAGATGAAACAGGTATAAAAGACTTAGTTACTTCCTCAGGTGTTGAAACAATGTCTAGCCACTATGAGAGCCTGTTACCATGCAGTGCCCATGAAGATGAATGCATTTCTCTAGTGGCAGCAGAAAATATTGCTATACACACACCATCGAGCCCCAGACATGCTAAGCCAAAAGATGACATCCAGTGGGCTCCAAAAGAAGCTGAGTCAAGTCTACCCACTTTAGAGGAAAAAGAAAAGTCTCTTCAATATTCTAATATTCAGGATTCATCAAAAGCTCCTATTGTAGAGATTTCAGCAACCGGTTCTGGTGAAGAAAAAGATGTTCTTGCAAAAGCTTCATCGAAAGATAATGAAGGAACTTCTAGCAAAGAGCAGCAACCACTTGTGGGAACTATAGTTACTGAAGACAAACCTGTGCCACATGAACAAGAAGTAAAGATGGATTCAACTGTAACTACTTCCTCTGTGACCGAAACTACAGAACAGCAGATTCTTAAAGAAAAGACTGAAGGAGTTTTTGAGGTGTTAGATCCATCCAACATGCCTGCAGTTGTTCACAGTGATCTTAAAGTTAAATCTTCAGAAGAATTGACAACCAAAAGGGGAGATGTACCAGATTCAGTAACATTGGTTGAACATAAGGAAGATGTGAGCCCAGTGTCAAAAGACCAACCAGGAACTGATAAACGCAGCTCTGAAAAAGGTGTAGAACATCATTTAGATGATTCAAAGAAGAAATTGGTAGCAGAAGAGCTAGCTTCCAGCACAGTGGACTTAAAGGTACAAATCGATACTTCTCCACTTGCTTTTGAAGAGCCAACAACTGAGGTTACTATTAAGGAAATGGACAAAACTGACAGTAAGAAACCAGAAGCCCAGGAGCTAAAGGGTATTCCCTCATTTGAAGCACATGTGGAAGAGGTTAAAGGAAATCTGCCAGACAGTATACAACCCTGTGCAGATGAGAGTTTCAGTACTGACTCTAGCCCTAAGGGCATTAAGAAGGAGTCACATGATGGGGAACAAAATAAGGAAACAATGGTAAAGAGCGGTGATGCTCATACAAAACCTGAGGAGAAAAGTATTGCCCAGGTTATCACTAAAGAGGACACATCTGAAGAGCAGGGCATGTCCCAAATGATTAATTCAACAATTATTTCCAATAAATATGTAGAGAGTTCACTTAGTGGACCAATGCAGGACAAAAGATCAGACAGTATTGACATCAGCTTAAAAGGTAAGACCAAAGTGGATCAGCCTGATGTGTCAACATATTTTGAAACGTCTATCCCAAAAGAAGGCGACGTGAAAAGTAGCAGTCAACCCGGAGATGGATATTACGAAATGACCATCACAAGCGAAGAGGATTCAAGACTTCCTCCGGCAGCCTCTCAGTTATCTGAAGCCCAGCACAAAATATCAAAAGTGGACTCTTGCAAACAAGAGAGTGACAGTATTTCAGCTGAACAAGTTGACTACAGCACCCTTGCACAAACAACTGCAGCTGTGGATGCACAGGGTGAAGCCAGTCCAGAAGATGAAAGGGTCTCTCCTGGTCAACAAAGTGATATGAAGCACCAAGACCTCCCCACAGCCACGTCTCAACAAAGTGATTACAGCACTGAAAAAGAGCTGCAAAAGCTGGTGCTGCGTTTACCAACAATGCCTGTGGATTCAATGGTTCTGGAGGTTGAATTGGGGAGTCCTGGACCTCCTGAGTCTCTGTCACCACTGGCCTCTGACATTCTTGCCTGCACCAGAGGAATGAGCTTGGATGACTCTGCAGACTCGTTTCCCATCTCCACACCAGTGGCAGAGGAACCGATCTGTTTTCCTCGTGAATTGGGCAAAAATGAAACTGCGTCGGCTTACAACGAGCAATCGGTAGATCAAATCCTCCCTGTGAATCCACAAGATGAGTATCCCGATTGTTTGAAAGATGACTACAAAAATGGGACTGTTGTGGTACCAGACTTGCCTGAATTGTTGGATTTAGGGGTTGAGAGAACTAGACTGAGCTCCGAGGGCACAGAGGCAGAACAGGCTAGAAAATCCTCAATTCCCTCAGAAGGTGGGGCTGAAAACATTGCCTCCAGTCCAGAGGCTATCACCGAAAGCATCAAACTGATTATTAAAAATGTCAGTCAGGCAGAGGAAATGGGTTACTGTGTATTCGAATATTCAGCTCCCTTACCAACTCCAGAAGAGGTAAAAAGTCCTCTGGAGGAAGGCAGTATCTTCCTTCAGCATCTCTCCCGGGCATCTCAGGCTATAGATGAGGAAACCATCAGGAGGCAGATGGACGCAAATCAGTACAAGGATTCAGGTTATCGAATTACCATGGTGCCAGAAATTCAGGAGCCGGATTTAAAAATAGCAACGATCCCAGAAACGCAGACAGAAGAAACCATTTTGTCGGTCATGCCGAAAGAGGTAGTGACGACGCCATCTGTGCCAGTTGATCTCACCATAGGATCTGGACTGAAGGAATCAAGTGTCCAGAATGAAGCCCTGATCACCAGCACACAAAAAGTCCCAGCAGAAAGTCCCACAAAACTTTCCAAAGATTATGAACCCGAGGTGAAAATCGAAAGTGGTTCAGGGTCTAATCTTCTCCATGAGGTAAACGTGTCGGAAGTATCTTCGAAACAGGAGATCACAGATCATAAAGTACCTGGAAAAGACATTGCTAAACAAGAAGCCATACAACCTGGAAGAACCATGGAAGGTGACACAAAGCCGAGCTTAGCATCTGAGTTCACTGTACCAGACTTGAGTTCGAAAGCAGAGTCTGTTGATCATAAAGTAACTGGGGAAGATATTCCCGTTCAAGAGGCAATTCCACCTGAGGAAGCCGTAGAAACTGACACAAAGCATAGTTTGCCCTCTGAGACCACTATCCCAGACTTGAGTTCAAAAACTGAATCTGTTTCGGGCACATTACTTGAAAAATCTGCACCTGTTCATGAAGAAGCTCAACCTAAAACTACTGCAAAGGTTGAGACTAGCCCAGATGCAGGTTGTTTGGAAACGGAGCCGATTGTACATTCAGGATCTGAGAAAGTTGCTTCGATTCAAGAAGCCCCTCATACTATAGAAGATGAGATGACGCATGGTTTGGCCAGTGATGTCAGCGTAGATGACAAAATAACTAAGGAAACTACCACTGCTCAAGAAATGATTCAGCCAGAGGAATCCATGGACGGTGAAAATTGGCCTCAATTAACTAGTGAGATGACTGGACCAGAAGCAGATTTACAGCTGGAGCCTACAGATGAGAGGCTTTCTGAGCAACAAACTCCCGTTCAAGCGACTCAACCAAAGAAAACAACAGAAGATGAGCCAAGATCTGGTTTATCTATTGACGTTACTGCAGCTGAAACGGATGTGAAACCAGAGTCTGTCGATCACCAATCATTCGAGACGCCGACTCCTGTACAAGAGACCACTGAACCTAAGAAAGCCGGGGAAAACGAGACTGAGCCTGCGTTATCCAGTGTGGCACCTCTACCAGCTGCAGAGCTAGAAAAGGAGCCCGTTGACCACAGTGTTTCTGAGAAAGCTGCTGCAGAGCCTGAGGGAATATTGAAGGATGACTTTGCTAGGCCTAATTTGCTCGTCAAAGTCTCTGTACCAGAAATAGTTCTACAAACAGAATATGCTGACCCTGAGGTGCCCCAGGAAAGTGGTTCTGCAGAAGAGACCAACGAAGCCAGAGGAGTTGTGGAGTCAATCATTACAATGCAGGACGATGTCATCACGGTTGTTCAGACGACCTTGGAGGAAAGAGAGGGGCAGCCCACAATGTGAGGTTTGTCATGTCGGACAGCGGTGAAGTCGAGGACATGGGAGCCACCAGCCCACAAGCGCAGATGACGGAAGAAATTATTCAAGTTGAACCGACTGTGGAATGTGCCCAGACACCAGCTTTCCCAGAGAAGATAGAAATCCCAACAGACGTAAAGGAAGATGACAGTATTGATGAATCATTAATGGACACAGACAGCCTCTGGATGGACACTCCAGGTGCCCATAAAACTTTAATGCATAGCAGCCATCCCTAGGCATTAAAATCTTTTTCTTATTTTTTAAAAAAGTATCATTCTGCAAATCGATATATTTAACTGTTACTGAGTTTATAAAAGTAACGTGGATTCCGTTTATGCGGGTTTTTTTTTACTTATTGATCTCTTTATTGCTATTAAAGTGATTTCTTGCACTCTAATTCTGCAGATGAAGAGAGTATCATAGTAGCACAACCCACTGTTGTTGCTAAGCAGGTGAAAGCAGAGAAGGAGCTCAGCAGCCCATCCATGGATAAGCATAGGAAAGGGAAGATGTTAAAAAGTGGAAAAAACAGAGTTTCTACGCCTGAAAGGAAAACAATTAAAAAAGAAATCAGTACAATCTCCAAAGATGACAAAAAGAAGAGAAAAGGTTCATATAACGGAGGCCATCTGGGTTTCCTTGTTGCATTTTTGTGATGTGTCAGGTGTTTGACCACGCCTATGTAACAATATAAAAACATTTTGAGATTTTTTAACAGTAGAAATGTAACTGTAATGGGAAACAGTAATACCTAATCTGAAGTCTGTACTAAGTTTTTGTTTCTGAAAAGTGGAGTCTATGCATTCCACAGGACTACCAGCCTTGCTCCTGTCCTCACAATTACTTTTGTCTTTCCTCTCTAACAGTGTATAAGAAGTCTGAACTTGCTAAAAAATCAGAAATTCAGACCCGATCTCCCTCCAGGAAAATCATTTTAAAACCAGCTGTAAGATATCATAGACCAGCTCACCTCCCTTGTACTAAACGGAAGCAGACAGGTGACTGTGTAAACACTGCAATGTTGCTGGCAAACATGGACTTTATCTCATTGCTTAGATTGGCTTTTTTTCCTGTGTTACTTATTTTGAGTCACTGGGCTGCCACGAGTTTATCTTTTCAGCGCTTTTCATTATTTTTTTCCAACAGCAGTCATGATCACACACACGTGCGTAACCTGCACAAGCTTGCAAAGTACAGTGGTCGTATCTTGAGGTGGTGATGTAGTTTCATTGTGGGAGTTTGTAGAGATTGCTATGTGCTGGTAGGGAAGTGTTGCAACCCGTATCATGGTGCTCATCCACATTAACTAGAGTTCGAGGTCTTCAGGTATAACTTGCATTACATGCAGTTTATTGTTTCGTTTCATGTTATTTCAAAAAAAAACATTTGTGTATCATCATTTTATTCCCACTTGGAGCTTTAGTTTGGGTTAGTTTGTACTTTGTTTCAGTGCTTGCCATCTTGTTGTTCTGTACGACAGCATTGATTTTAAATGTATTTTTGCTTCCTTGTAACATACTGTATCAGTGTCCTAATAGTAATAACGTGCATTTATATTCTGTGGTGCTATTCTCTAAAATTACAATTTCTTTCTCCAGCTCCTGGAATTGGGGAAGGTGCATATATTTTTGACCAAAAGTTCTCTGTTGCTAGACAATCCAAGGACAGAATTCTAGTAAGTGAACTAATTGCTAAATTATATCTTATTTGTTATTTGTGTCCAGTGCAGTGTTGGGGTTTTGCTGCATTGTTGGAGGTGCCGTCCTTCAAATGTAAGGATTAATATTATTTATTATTTATAGATGTCAGGCCAATTCTTTAACATTACACATTTTCTCAAGAAACAAATCATAATTTTATGATTATGCTCATACTTCGTAACACAAGTTATTTCTTGACTTGTTCGTCTATTATGTGGAACACATGCAACTGCTAAAAAGAGCCAGTTGTTATTTACAATATGCGCTGTCTGTTTATTGATGTTTTCAGTGTTATTGTTATTCCTGTGTTTAGTAGCACAACAGCCCTACGTTGCCTCGTACATAAAGTGCATTTTTGGATATTAGATGAGTTTGTGGAGGGAAAATATTCTATTTCTTGTCCAGGCTAATGGATCTCAGCAGAGGTTGTTGGCTAGTTGTGGTTTAATTGTGTCTCAGAATTTGTAATGAGTTCAAACTAAGCATTTCACATCATCTGGATTGGAGATGAAGGGAAACGTTACTGGGGAACGTCTGAGTTTGTGCCACTCACCATGCACATTTCAGTTACTGCAACCTTCTTACCAATTACCCGAACAGCACAGCAAGGTTTACATAGCAGATATGCAGCAATGTGCTTCAGAGGCAAAAAAAGTGATAAGCGATTTGGTGGTGTGAATACATACCAGTATATGAAATCCTTGAACCCCCATGGAAATCTGTTTCCTTCAGCAGTGTTAACAATAAACCTTAATAATGCTGTGGGACAAGTTTAGGAAACTACAGACAATCTTTACCTTGACAAAGACATTATTGAAGCATCAATTTATTCTATTTTTGCAGCTATCAATTTATTCTACGTTTTCCAATGTTAACCGCACCATGAACCCCATAACCAAGAGGGATAGAATAGAAAAAAGGCAAACTTATAAACATTAACCCAATTAGAAATAATGCTTTGAAGTTGTGAATCAGAACTGGAGAGATTTCCATGTGTTCCTTTCCTTGACCACTAGGACTCCCAAAAAGTTGGGATTAATGTTAGCTTAAAAGCAGCATCTTCATTTTTGTTTTTAACATTGCCATTTGTCAAGTTTGTTTCTTCCACGCTTTGCAAATAGCCACGTACAGACTTCAGTAAGCAACAATCTCTGGAATGGTTGGTCAATGTGTTGAGACCCAGATGATTCAGATAATGTGAGAGCTTTAAATACTGCTCATACAGACCAAGCTAAATGTTTCCAAAGCCCATGAAAACTGACCTGACTAAAACTGAGGCTATGTGTATTGATGGAATTCTGCATAACTATGTGAAACAAATATATAACTGAAAAGTTACACAAGTGAATTAAAAATTCTGATTTTTAAATAGAATTATAGCACTTTGAATTTTATAGGGGTTTATTTCCAGGGTTTAATACTTTTTCTTGTGCTCGATGTTGTACTTATTGAGGTAAGATTGATGAGCACCAAGGGAATGGAACATTTGTGCATTGAAGGCACTTCCAAGTCAAATAAAACACATTTTGGAAGCAGTATAAAGTTCCTCTGCGACCGTACTTATACAATGTGCCTGCGCGCCAATCTCCAATCTGAATTTAATCGCTCAATTTAAGATTTGTCACCATGTCACCTGTAAGATCAACTACTGCTGATGTGAGTCATTCATGACTGTGATTTGTTTTTATTATTTCCAACTTCAGTCATCCTTGTAGTCTTTCTGTGACTGATGACTAATAGAGAAAGCTGTGAGCTCATACCCATTGGAAAATTAATTTTGAATTACAGCCACCAAATGGACGAGCATTTAAGATTGAGTTCGATTCTGACACTGAATGCCATCGACCCCTCCCCCACCCCCCACTTTTTTCATTGTCCCCATATTAGATTGAAGATTGTCTGCTGCTGACATAATTAATTCACACAAAGAATATTCTAACTTGTCAGGCTCATCTATTTGTTCTTTTTCAAGCTGAAGCTACTTGTCTGCGTTATTATCCATGAACGTGTCTGGGAACCATCAGGAAAAAGCCACACCAGCTCACACAAAAGCACTGTTGATTTGTGGCACCCAACACTAGGATTATTATTTTAATTTGCATTTTTTTTACAATGACAGGTAAATTTTATTATATGCAAGTGTCCATTACCTGTGGTAAACAGCATAAGTACAAACAATTATGGTACATCACCGAAAGCAATAACCAAAGCCAAATGCAGACCTCAACTCAGAACATCTGAATTCTGAATTCCACAAAAGCAGAACACACAACATGCATCGTGATGAGATTTTAATTATTACCATGATTACTATTTTTTATTAAGCAAAAAAAATTGCTTCAGTGCCTTATTATTATGGGATGTTTTGACAGTTAAAATAAAATAAAAAGTCCTTTCAGCATCTTATGAGTTTTGTGATTCGCAGATCAATAAAGATCTGTACTCTTGAGACTACTTGTGAAACTTGTTGAGCGGTATCCAGGAATTGCACAAGGACTCACATATTAGATCCTCTGAGTCTCAGCAATGGGCAATTACTTTAAAGTTAAACATTCAATTTATTGCCTTTGTTTGAATCCATTGACCTTGTAGAAATAGAAACTGTAAATGGATTACGAGAAAAGCATTCAAAACACAATTTATGCTCAGGCTTAATATTCACATTGGCATAAATACCCAAGGGCATGGAAACAGTAGGAATATCTGTAATGTGGCTATAGCAGAAGTTGTACAATTTTGTAGATATTTACATTAGAATATAAATGACATTCTCCACAACTTAATATCATTCATGTTACTGACTTTAATTTTGTAGGTTTCTTTTGATTAATCCATTTTCTGTTCATGTGTCTTATCACTCTTGTTTTTAATTTATTCTTTCTCGTGTCAAGAACTCATCTCCTTTAACAAAGATTCCTACCTCAAAAGTGTCTTCTCTCCTCCCTGAAAGACCCAATTCTGCTTGTTCTGCTACTAGAAAAGTCTTTACTGATCTAGATCATTGTCCCATGCGACCCTCATCTGCTGGTCCTAGGGACTCATTGATCGGGCAGGCAATAAGAAAGGTAAGATGAAACAGTCCGCGGTAGTAACAGTCCTTTAAGTGCAACTGTTGGCTTTTCTATTATTATCCATCACCTTAAAAATTGGGCAACTGAGTATGTTTTTACCCATTGAATGTGACCAGCATTCAACACTGGTTATTGCTGTTAATTCTTAAAACTGCAGTGTTTCTCATTGCAGCGTCTAGACTACTGGAGTGTTGGCCTCCCAACAGAGAGGAACGAGTTCACATTGCACTTTCAACTGATGTTAGCACTCGGGCTTTCCCTTAGGGAACAAAATGCATCTAGATTGACTAGGGATGGAAAGTTGCACATTTCCAAGTGGTTGGATCAAGGAAAGGGACTCAACTGTTTCAGTGGCAATGTACACAGGACGTAAGCTCTCTTCTTCATGATTTAAAAAATATACATTAGGATAATAGAGGAGGAGAGATTTGCAACATAAATTAAATTATAGTAACTTGTAATATCCCAGGTTTAGGTTTATTACTTCAGATCATTCGAGATTTGTTTATTTCCAGTTGCTGATTTCTGTACTCCATTTTTAAAAAACATTTCAATGAGATTTCAGTCAAAGTCACAGCTGCATCCCTGCGTATTGCACACTTCCTTTACCGCAAAATGTGCTAAATGTGCCTTTTACAAGAGTCAAAATGGTACTACAATTTATTTCAGAGTTAGCATGTATGAGCTGAATAAGTGAAGAACAAATGGGTTACTGTTTCCGGTGGCCGAACCTTGGCAAGAGCAATACCATTGCTTGTCCATCTGTTTCCAATGCAACAAAGCTGATTAGTGCTGTGCTTAAAATATGAAAGAAAAATTGGAATTGAAGAAGACACCAAATTTGTTTAAACACTAAGACTGCTTGCAGGATTACAGAGACTCCTGTCTCTGGATGCCCTCCACTTCACTTATTCAGCTCATACATGGTGACTCTGAAATAAATTGTAATACCATTTTGACTCTTGTAAAAGGCACATTTTAGCACATTGTGCGGTAAAGGAAGTGTGCAATACGCAGGGATGCAGCCGTGGGTGGGAGTGGTTTACATGTGTGTTCACACTGTGCGGGGAGATTAGGAGGAAACCATGGCACCTTATACGCATAGATCATTTCACCAGACTGACGCACTTAAAGGTAAATAGGAATAGATCTAACTGATTCATGATCATCTGTTAGGAGAATAGTCCAGGTAATTTCATGCCTTGATAAGGCAGAAATAATTTGGGGTGAGTAGGCAGATTGCACCCACCCCCACCACACCCCAAGATTTGGCCAAAATGATGACAATTAGAGTGCCTTGCTGCCTGCTTAATCTTCACATTCAGCATTTTATTCAGTAATAACACAATTTGCTTTACACAGGATGCTGCCTTAAGAAGCCCAGAGAAACGGTCTGCTTTACCAAGACCTTCGTCAATCCTGTCTACTCGTCGGGCTCCATCAGCGGATAAAGATGCACCTTTAGTCCCCATTACAAGCCCAGTATATTCTGCACCAAAAAGACCCACAAGTTAGTTTGTGTATTTCTCTTTGCAACCTTAGGAGTGTTTGGTTCTTGAATAATATGCTTCATGGTGGTGAGTTTTCAACCATATGATCAGTTTTCAACCATACACAGTCCTAACTAACACAGCCTAAGAACGTTATTATTTTATTTGGTGAGGAGGAAATGGGGTTATTGTGCATGAATTATTGACATTATTTACAGCTCACTCACAATGTGTATTGAAATATGCCATGTCCTTCGTAATGTTTCTTTTCACTTTAGATCATGTTTAAATGACTTATTAATGCGGAAGAAATCAAAATAAATTGCGGGGTATAGTTTCTTTTAATTAAGAAAAAAAAATCGGACCCATCAAACCTTAGAGCGATTGTTCATTTGGAATATTAGCATCCAACAAGATTCCTAACGTCTCTGTAATTTGTGCGTTTTGTTGCCTCAGTTTCCTCCTGTTCTCTGACTAAGGCGTTTTGGTTACCTTTCTCTTTCACTGGGCACAAATTCTCCTGTGGCACCTCAGCCAATTGTTCTTTATTCTGTGTGCATGTAGTTTGTGAGTGTCGGTAGGCTGTTTTGACTGTGGGAGGTGCGGGGGAGAGGAATTGCAGCAGAGGCTGAAGCATTTATCAATTCGTGCCCACATTCGTTTGTAATAGCAACAACATTTCTTTTAATGCACCACAACAGCATGAATTTTTATGAATTTTTTTGGTTGATTTAACCAATTACAGCAAAAAAATCTACAGAAAAAAATAGAGAAGATTTCCAGATTGCTGCAGAAACTGCAATAGAACTGTAGCATTTTGCACCACGTAAAAGCAAGCCAACAACAATACAGTTACATTTGTATAGTGCCTTTCAGGTCAGGAGGACATCCCAAGATGCTGGACAGTTGGTGCACACGAGCTGGGGGTTGGGATTGGGGAGGGTGCAGGGGGGCAAGGAGGGTAATCGAAGACACGGTTGAAGAGGTGAGTCTTGAGATGGGTCTTGAAGGGAGCAAGATGGAGGGACTGCGGGATGGAGTTCCAGAGGGTGAGGACAGAGTGGCAGAAGGCCCGCCTGCCAATGGTGGGGCGGGCGAGGCGGGGGACATAAAACAGACCGGAGCCTAATTGAGCGGAGGGAGCAGGTAGGATTGTACGGGGTTAGGAGTGGCAGAGGTAGGGGGGAGCGAGGCCATGGAGGGCTTTGAAAGTGAAGACCAGGCTCGTAAACTGTATCATCTGTTTAATAGGAAGCCAGTGGAGTTGGGCGAGGATGGGGGTAATAGGGTGACGGAACCTGGTGCAGGAGTGGACTTGGGCTGCAGAGTTCTGGATGATCTGCAGCCTATGGAGGGAGGAGTTGGGGAGGCCGACAAGCAATGAATTTGCATAGTCAAGCCTGGATGTTATGAATGCATGTATGAGGGTTTCGGTGGTCTTGCAGTGTGAGACAATGGCAGAGCCGGGTGATGTTGCAGAGGTGGGGGAAGGCAGAGCAAGTCATAGCACGGATGTGGGGTAGAAAGGATAATTGAGGGTCAAATAAGCCTCCAAAGTTCTGGACTGGCTCAGAGAGGTGGAGTGTGCATCCATGAATGCTGGTGCTGTCAGTGCCTGAGGTGAGGAGGCGCTGATGGGAGCCAATCAGGAGGATATTCAACTGAAGAAAGTTAGCTCTCATGAGGGACTTGGAGGTCCTGGAGTCAAGGGTGGAGGCAGAGAGGTACAGTTGTGCGTCATTCACATACATGTGAAATTTGTCTGCGGATGATGTCACCAAGAAGGAGTATATAAGTATTGAAGTGGAGAGGACTAAGGACAGAGCCCCGAGAAGTGCCACACAAAGCGATGCGGGGGCTAGAGGAGAAACCGTTTGTGGAGATTAAACAGTTTTGAACGTGTTGCCTTTCCTTTTCCTCTACTGATTTGCAAATTGCTCAATAATTGAATTAATATCCTTATCAATTATCAATACTTCTGTGTGTCTCCTCTACTCTCTCTCTCTCTTTCTATCCTCACCAATACCATGCTTCTTGTTGTAGCTATAAGGACTGAACCAAGAACTGATCAAAGGGACCATCATGTGAAGTCAAGATCGAGAGCACATGCTAGTGCAGGTAGCCTGCAGTCAATGGTGGCTCTGCGCCGACTAAAATCATTGTTAAAAAAAAATCAAGTATTTTCTGCATGACAGACTTGATGTAGCTTTGGTGGAATATTCAGAACTACGACTGGGTGGATAATACAAGATCTTTGAAATTTAAAGCTGTGCTGAGCATGAACAGATTTCTTGCATTGATTCGTATTTCAGGAATTTGTATCAAGAAGTAACAAACCAAAACATTTCCAATTTAAGCACACTGTTTGGTGATGTAATGATTGAACTGTATTGTAAAGTGGTAGAGAAAATGATCTCTACGTTAATGTTTCTTTAGTGCTATGCAATAGTGTAATAGTAGTAATCAGTAATGGATGAGATAATATCTATTGAGGGCAGTGATACGATTGCAGATATAACTATTTTGTGACTTTTCTAATCTTGCATTCTAGGGTCTGAATCGGTTCGCTCCAGGTCAGCAAGAAGCGGGACGGCTACACCAACCACCCCCGGATCAACTGCAATCACACCGGGCACACCACCCAGCTATTCCCGCACGCCAGGGACCAGGACACCTCGTACCCCCGGCACTCCTGGCACACTTAAATCTCCCATTCTTGTACCCACAGAAAGGAAAGTGGCAATTATCCGCACCCCACCCAAATCCCCCATCACTCCAAAACAGCTCCGTGTGATCAACCAGCCAATGCCTGATCTGAAAAATATCAAGTCCAAAATCGGATCCATTGACAATCTGAAGCACCAACCCAGAGGAGGACAGGTATGAGCCTAGAATGTAATACATTAAGACCAGAAAGCAGTAGAGATATTAACTGTGTGATTGATTCCAAGTCTGATTATATCAATATGTATTTGCACATGCATATACTGTAGTATGATTTACTTATATTCACTTCTCTCTTACAAATTGTGAGGCCTGTTCACCAATTCAGACCGTATATTGCACAATCACTATTTGAGAGCTAGTTCTTACGGACAAATCTGTCGTGAGGTATTCAAGATTTTAAATTGGATTGATAAAGTAACTCAGAACAATACTTTTGGATGCACCGAGACAGCAGAACATGAGGAGAACAGGTTTAGGATTGCAAAGGGAAATTTCAGTTCAGGCAGTGTCTCTTTACCCTGAGATCAATTAATAACAGGAACAGTTTACCAGGAATGGTAGTTGAGGCAAGGATGCTGGCCTCATTTTTAAAAAGAAAACGCTTGATGCTGTGTATTCTGGAAGGATGAGATCAAATGGGCTGAAGGACGTTCTTCATCTGAACTTCCCTTGGAATCTTGTGAAAGGATGAAGATGACAGATTTCCTTTGATTATCATGTGTGTTGCAGTGTCAGACCAGCCAGGAGACAAATGTCAATGCAAACATGATAGAAATTAAATGCAAAACAAAAGAATATTTCATATTTCCCATGGGAGTGGATTTATTTGAGGGATTATTTTGTGACTGATCAAAGACCATGAAAGGTTTGAGCCTGAGGGACTTCAAGTCAAACCATGACATAAAATCTACTCTTACTCATGATGTTTTCCAGAAAAAAAGCTAGGAGCTTTGTGTTGATTAAAGGTGAAGATTTTACCAGATTAGTATTTGTCTTGCAGATGAAATCTGGCATGTCGTACATCAATTTAATTTAATCTGGTTTTGTCATACCAGTTACCAATTGCAAAAACCCGATTGTGATGTGTAAATGTTTTTGTAGTGGGTTAATGATTGTGCTATATAAGAAAACGTGTCTAACTTGCCAGCAAATATCCATTCTGAAGCTCTTAAGGCAAGTATATTTTTTTCCTCTCAAACCTTTTCCGTGGATTCATTTTCAGCAATCACGGCAATGTTTCAGTGGCATAGGAACTGTCACTGTCTGTTTTTCAAAGTGGGTTAGGTGGAGTGTCTCAGAAAATCAATACAGGAGGTTCAGGTCACAGCAAACTGGATAAATTGTAACTGAAAACATAATAGATTTGAGTTCTTACGGCTTTACAGCAGAAACCAAATGGCCTTTATCACCATGGTACCAGACATCTAGCCACCTTATTCAGTTCCTGATGAAAGTGCCTTTGTATTTTTGCCTGTTGTGTTTTCATAATCCATATGTCAGAGGGTTGTAGGGGTAATGATAAATGCACATGACAACTTTGCTCGCTTTCTGAAAACAGAGTGCCTATAAATAACCACAGAAAGATGCAGAAATGTTACGATTAGTATCACAGTCACTAATTTTCACTCTGCTTCCGTGAAAAGTCACCCAAAAAGGGGTTAAATATCACATCTTTGAATAATGCACATTCACTAAATTGTATGTGTAAATGACCGATCATGGTTCTGGCTTTTTATTTGATCAGCCGGGTTCACATAGAGAAACCCATCAAGCTGCTTAAGAGAATCCAGACTAGGCAGAGTTCCATTTATTCTTTTCCACCCAAACATGGACATTTCTGGAATGGAATGTGCACTAGTTCCCTGGAGAGCTGCACCCTGCTCACCTAATTCTAGTGAATATTAGGTGCAGGTTGGCAAGAACCAAGGCTTGGGGACCACAGAGTGGTTTAAGCAGCTTGCCGTTGAGAGCGCTGTCTGGCAAGTCTTGTGCTGCTTGTGCAGCTAGGACCCATTAGGATTTTTGCTTTGCAGCAATAACAGGGAGAAGAAACACTGCTTCTAGTTTCAGTAATTTAGCTACATAATTACAAGCTGGTTGTTTCCATTGGTCCTGTTCTACAGGAAAAAATGCTTTGATTTCCAACATATTCACCAAATAATGTCGAGGAATATTGATGTACAATAATTTAGCAGCACCAAGAGGAAATTGTTTGAATACACCAAAATATTCTTCCAATGCTTCAAAAGTATATTTGACAGAACACACATAAGTACAATAGTAATGTGGCCATCTATGCCTACATTGTTTGAGATATCCCAGTTAAAATATTCTAAAGAGGATACGTTTTTTTTCTTTCTATTGGCATTAAAGTGACCCTTTGCTATTGCACACTAGATGAAAAAAAATGGATATTCCTGTCGATGGTATGCTTGACTTCTCTATTCTTTAACAACGAGTGTGCATCAACATTTTCCTTTGTCTTTTCTATAGCCTAAATAAGGAGCGCTCAGAGGTATAGGGTGTCGGTATGGTGACTGGGTGGTTTAAGGAATGGCTTTAAGGGGAAGTTCAGATTGTTCCTTAGGAACCTGAAAAGCAATCATTTACAGCAGTTGATCCTGTGTTTTACTGGGATTAAGCAAACTGTAACTGTTATTAACTATGTAACACTTGAAACTTCCTCTTGTCCTTTGCAAGCAGTGTATTTTCCATTTTTTTTCTTTTTAAGTAATCCATCAGTTGTCATCTGATGGGCCATCCCTCTTCCACTTGCCTTCATCATCTCTCTGCTCAGCCCTGTCATTGCTTCTTTATTTTATCAATCCTCATTCCTCCTCCAATCTTTACTCTGTTGAGCTTCTGAAGCTCCGAAGAAGAGGCAGGCCCGATTATTGTGCTGTCTCGATCGTAGAGCAGGTCTCCTGTAGACTTCCTATGGGCAGGAAACTACACTAACCTCACTTCCTATCTGCTGCGCATGTGCAATATCTATTGGGAGTGCTACCGATGGCATTTGATCAAAGAGGTGACCGTCAGCAGCACTCCTCATGCATGGCACACATGCTCAGCATGCAAAAAGTCACATCACCTGGAATAGGTCACATTTTTGCACCCCGTTTATAATGCGTCTGCTGAGACATTGGACCCAGATGCCCGCAATATTACAGGGTTTTCTGTATATTGCCCTACACTCTCTTTGTTTCTCTGCATCCGCCCAGTGTTGATATCAAAACTCATTCCACCACTTCCTGCTTCAACTCATTGTTTCTCAGGACCCCTAAAGAGTGTGCAGCTCCTTCCCTTCCTGAAAATGTAATATTTGTGTTATTCTGAATTATGCATCTTGGTTCTTTGCTGATAGTATGGAATAAAGAGGATTGCTAGATTTTCAACTTATATGGTGAACCCTCTGAGTTCCTATATCCAGGTCATTTCAATTTAGGGTGAAAAGCTGGGGCATAGATACACAAGACTCAATTCATGTGAAATAATGACTTGACAGAACCATCAATAGCTGCTTAACCTAGATGTTGGTCAAACTATGCGTTCTAACTAGTTGCACTATTTACGAAAGCACATTTATGCTCCAATACCTGGTTTAGATATTATGTGATTGATAATGTTGATTTAAGTACCTTTATAATTTGATAAATTGTCAGATTTTAATATTTTTTCCAAAGTTTGCAAGCTATTGGCCTAATGCTGTCTAATTTGTCAAGTTAACTGGGAATTTAATTCAGTGTTGTATGTTGTTGACAGTGTAATTAGAACAGCAAATACAATTATCCATGGTATAGAAGCAAACAGAAGGCTGTTGTGGTCCAGATGAACGGCTGTTTTGAATACAGCGGTGACTGATTTAGAAAACTTTCGACGATGGGATGCACAGTGTATAGGACAAACTTCTCTCATGATCATGATGAATAAGTCTGTGCCCCACATCAGATGGAGATCTCACCATCAATTTTTTTTATTGCAGTGGGTTCAGTACAAGAGTTAATCATCTCTCATTACTTTCTGTCATGATTTGATTACAGCCCCCGCTTATGTGGTATTGTACATTGACCAAACGATGACTTGTGTTCAATTTTAAATATGATCTTTTTTGTACATTTTAGGTCTTTTTGCACCATATATCATTTCCTACTGAGATTTGTGAGCATGAGGCATTAACCCAGGTTTCTCCCAATGCCACTGCTGACAAGTACAAAGAGGAGTTCAAAAGCATCTCTTGTGAAAGGAGGCACCTGGCTTCCTTTTTACACTTTTTCCCTGGCAGCTCACTGAGGATGCCAACTCACTGTGGAGAATGTTAAAATCGAAGTTGTAGTCTAACAATGTACAATGGCACAATAAAGTACAAATGTGTTAAGTTACCATTGATTTGGGCAAAACCTTGCTCAAATCATACATTTAAAGACGAGGGGATGAGTAAAAGCAAGAAAATTGACTCCTGACTTCTACTTCAAAGTCAACGGTTATCATTATTTTGGGGGATTATTGCAAATTGACAAGGTTTTAATTAAATATAAATTTCTTCTTGTTTTATTTACTTTTAAGAAAGTGAAAGTGCATTGCAATGATACCGTACAGTTACTCTTCCTCATGCTGTGGAAGCAAGATTGAAGAACTAGAGGAAAGTAGCTCAGTGGCTGTCCAGTTAAATAGGAATATGCATAGTTAATCATCAACAAATGGACAGATAAAAGATAATGAATTGTTCTATTCCCCGCGCCCCCCACCACCTCCCACGTATACTTTTCTCCCTTGAGAGACCATTCATTTCCTTATGAAGTGACAATGTTAGTGTCTGTACAGCAGACTGGTTTAGGTGGCAATGCAATGCTAGGGCTCCAAACTGGGACACTCCTTTGGTAAGCCAGCAAACAGACTGCTTGGCTTTTGAATCGATGCCTTGATGTTGCATGCGTTTAATGGAACACTTATTGTGTTTTATGAATCATTTGCATCCAGGTCCAAATTTTAAGCAAGAAGTTTGATTACAGTTTTGTCCAATCAAAATGCGATTCCACGACTAACGTCAAGTATGTTCCCGGGGGAGGAAATGTAAGTATCTCTTGTGAATACATGTAAATTTAGGAAGGAAAGAAATTCCCATGGGTCTATAATGAATGGTGGCTTAAGGTAAATTAAAAATAGAGTAGTCTATGGCAATGGTACTGTAGTTTGGTGAAAGTCGGCCTCGTGTTAATTTGTTTTATTCATGTGATTATAACCCCAAAATTGAATTGCAGCTGAGATTCAGACTATAGGCAAGTATGTGATGAACTTGTCACTGTATGACCAATTTACTTAAAGGGAAAGTCCATCAGTGCTAAATTGACCATTGGTTAGATCGAGATGTGTGTGTTTACTTGTCTAGTTAACTATGAAGCCCTCTGCTTGTTCCGAATAGGGAATTCTTTGTGGAAAAGCACCTTTTTCTGACCATGAAATGCAGTGCTGCAGTGGATTATTTTACATTGGAGGAAATTAATTTGAATTTGAAGGTATTCATATGAAGAAACACCAGAGAAAGCACAAATTTTATACAAGCACTTAAATCACAACAGATGTTCTGAGGTGGATGTGATGGTATCTAATTGGAAAGTGAGGAGAAATAGTGAAGTCCTTGTTCAACATTAAATGTGAATGTATAACTGGGATCCTTGCAGCCTCACATCCGAGCAATCTAAGCAGAGCAGACCATGGTCTCTTTTTCCTCCTCCCTCCCCTCTTAATTGCTAAGTTCAATTAGATTTGTTGGATACAATGAGATGAAAGAAAAGTAGTTTTTTTCTCCAACACAGAAACATTTTGTCAATTGGTAATCAGACCCGAGCCAGCAAGGTTCATTGTACATGCAAACTATCTGTATGAATAAGTCTTAACATCTTATTTACACTAAGATCTTAACTTGCTGGAATTTTATACTGGTTACAAAAGCCACGCAGCACTGAGTAGTCAAAACACATTTTATGGACTGAAATTACAATGTAGGTGAAATTGCTTTGTGACTTCTCTTCCCTCCCCGTTTATGTTCACAAAGCAATTTCACCTCCATTGCAGTTTTGCTAAGTCATGCACTTTGTGAAACAGACTCTGCAGAGATGCTTTTCAAAGCTACACTTTTATTCAATGTCAACTATGTCAGGCTTCTAACAATTGTAAAGTACATTTAACCATGACTTACCCATGGGAGAAGATGTTTGCGATATTGCTTTATTATGATAAATTTTAATTGGTTTCATAACTGTAAAGTTAGGTTCACTCTTACCGTAAGGATTAAATGTGCTACTCAGCAAGAAATACCTTTAGAGCTTTGGCTCGTAAGGTTGAGGACACGTCTACACCTCCAAGTCTTATTGATAAGCAAAATGGGTTAATTATCCGGTAACAATGGCAAGAATTACTGTGAGCTGATGTGGCTTTGCCAGGCATCGGTGTGTCTTCTTGGAGCCAGTTCAACTCTATGAAACTCAGGTTACCTCCCCGCCAAATGGGGTTATTTTGTAGTGACCTAAAAGGTCTGAAAGCAAAGTGGACCAGAAATTTCTGCATCCAAGTCCAGGCTCAGCTGATAGGAGAGAGTGCAGGAATACAACAACAACAAAATTACATTTATAGAGCGCCTTTCACGTCGGGAGGACGTCCCAAGGTGCTGGACAGTCAGGGGTCAGGACCCGAGCAGGGGGAGGGGTGGGATACGGGTGAGGGAAGGCAGAGAGGTGAGAGGGCGACTGAAGGCACGATCGAAGAAGAGGGTCTTGAGACCGGCCTTGAAGGAGGCGAGGGAGGAAGCGAGGCAAAGGGACTGTGGGATGGAGTTCCAGAGTGTGGGGGCAGAGAGGCTGAAAGCCCAACCACCAACAGTAGGGCAGGTCGGGTGGGAGACATGGAGCAGGCCGGAGCCTGCTGAGCGGAGGGAGCGGGCAGGTTGGTAGGGAGTCAGCAGGTCAGAGAGGCAGGAGGGGGCAAGGCCATGGATGGCCTTGAAAGTGAGGACGAGGATCTTGAATTCTATCCTCTGAGGGATGGGGAGCCAGTGGAGTAAGGAGAGGATGGGAGTGAATAATTGCAGTGAACACTAAGTACCTGTACTCTCTGCAATCAATAGCAGTCTAGCTCTATATACACGTATGCCATTGTCTACATTTATACATGTATACACTGCTCAGTGAGTTGTAATATTAGTCTTATATTCACCTACTCTCTTGAAGGTGTTTGATTTCTCCACCATAGGCTTGAAGGTTGGATTTTTGGCATCTGTATGTCTCAGCTACTCAATGAATAAACTAGCTGAACCATGAGGGGAGCTAGGATCAGGCCTTTATTTCAAATTGCAAACTACTTTGAACTTGAACCCTCCTTGCTCTGCAAATTAATATTTTAACTCCTACCAGAAGTAATCTATTAAAAAAAAATACATTTTTTCTTAGCTTTGTGGGTCAGTCTCAGATGGGTTGGCAATGGGAAGCAAAAAGTGACCAGAAAAGAGTTAAGTCAGACTGTATACTATGCCTTTTGGTCAGCCAACTAAAGAGCTATATTGATGGCGTTCAGGGAGATGTTTGCCCTATTGTGTATTTCTAATCTTACAATGGAATGGCAGAAAGGAGAAATGTGGAGGAAGATAAATAAATTACAATACAATAAACATCTATATAGAATGTTACTGTACAATAAAAATCGTGTTGGTCATTCCTGTAACAAGTAGTTGTTGCTTGTAGGGTTGGTCATGCTATTGACAGTCATGTTTTAGAGTTGAAATAAAACCCATTGAGGCCCAGAAACCAGAGAGGCAATTGACTAGTAGAGCAGGCATTTTCAAGGTGAAATGATGAAATATTTTGTGAACTGAATTGCTCTCTTTAAAGTTTGCACATGAAGCTTTTTATGCTGCATTTTTATTTGAATTATTTTTTGTTGATCAGCATTGAACAAGTTATGTAACCTCTTAAAGTAGGAGTCACGATCAAAATGTTTTTGATTGTTTGTGTATATTTATATAAATACAAGCTGTAATTTTTAAAAGCTGCATTATTGAAATATGCCACTTCCTACGAGACATTTTGGTACAGTAAAAATGTGGAGGTATGTAGCGAACGGTGGTTATTTTATATGCAATGCTGTTTTAAACAGGAATTTTAGGCCAAACCACATTACAAGAATCCTGCCCAAAGTTTTGATTAAACTGGTCATTAAAATCTCGAATTTAAACTTTGGAAGATTGTCCATTTATATATGACCATTAAATGTCGTGAAATATTTTATTCACCCCCATCTGGGAATCAAATAATTTACTAGAATGTGGAAAATAAAATTCCTTTTTAATATAAGCAGAATTTGTGTTTTTTGATATACCGTAGATTGCCCAGGTTTTTTTTTGTCACTGAATGAAAATTGTGCAGATATTGACTGGTAAAGTCCCTGTCATTTCTAGGTACTTATAGCAAATGTAAAACCTGATTTTACCCATATTCAGCCAAAATGTGGCTCGATGGACAACATACGTTACTCTCCCCAGATTGGAAACGTGAGTCACTTCCTTGTTTTTAAAAATGACAATTTGATTGACGGGGGGAAACAAATCTGTAGTTCTTCTATTATATTTCTGACCAGACAACACTGGATTTTTTTTTTACCAATGCTTTCTTTCAAAGAAAAATGCCTGTTTGCTTTGCAACATTTCACACGTTGTATGATGAGATTTACTTTGGATATCTTCATTTGATTACTTTCTGTAAGTGCCTACCTTGTGTATTTTATTTTGACCACATTTATGGCATCTAACTTTAATTTATGTTTCAAGGTACTTTAAACACAACAAGAACAATTTGTAATATGAGTAAATCTGACAAAAATCGTACTGTTAAAGGAGAATTTTTCAGCAATGAACTAACCACCTTCCCCTTTGTTAATTATGTTGTCTTGTCTTTGCTAATATCCAATCTGCTTAATGAACATCCATCTATACGTACTGAGCAGTTCAGCAGATGCTGCAAACACTTCCAGTATTCATAGGCATATGTATAGGTGTTGAATAGTTTTCAGAAAATTTTAACAGATGGGGAAGGTACACAGAAAGTTATTTGGAGGCTTTCTTGGTATGAACTTTGTAGTTTGGATAATTCCTCTTTTATTCTTCATTTTGTTCTTTTGTAGCTTTTGTTAGGAAACTAACATGATTTATACTTGTCCTCTCTTATGCTCCTGTTAGAATCAGTTTGAAAGCAGCATAAAATTACTGCTGTAATGGAGATTATACAAGACGTACTTTGCTTTCTGGGCGCCTTTAAAAGCTGTTTTAAATCATTGCCAATGGAATACTTAGCATTATTCACTTGGTCAGAGATGGCATGTGGCCGGAGCAGGAGGTGATATTTCAGAAAGAAGAAGTCCTGTGCTCATAAAAATTATATAAATGTTAAGAAATCACTTTTGTATTTTTCAAAATTGATATATAGTCAACCAAGTGGAACATTTTTAAATGTCCACACAAAACATAAAAGGCTGTCTCCTTTACTCATCACCTCTTTTACTTATTCTAGAGATAAACAGCATACTTTCTGTCTTGTGATGTCTCCATTAACACTGTCATTAACCAGTTTCTTTGTTTCTCTTCACTGTATCCAGCTTAGTAACAGCTTATGTTTCTCAATAGTATTTTATTCTGAAAATGTTGGGAGCTCCTTCCCTCTATTTTTACTGTACAACAATTAAATAGGGATTATAATCCAATGATTTGCAATGATTTTGTCTCAAAATTATTCTTCAGTGAGCAGATATTACACAAGCCACAATTGCCTCTCCTGTCGTGTTCACCAATTGGGAAGGGTGAAAATGACACAATTCCGTATTGTTAGCATCACAAAATATATTATTGTTTTTAAATTATTAAATCTGTACAACAACAACAACAAAATTACATTTATAGAGCGCCTTTCAAGTCGGGAAGACGTCCCAAAGGTGGCAAATTTATTTGAAACTCCCTTTTTAAAAAGCAAGTTGGAATGAACCCTTAGGTACAATTACTCACATCATACTTAATCTACCTGTCTTTGATATTATACAAATAATAATAATTATGCAAATGAATTGTACAAGAACACCTAACTTCTGCACTTTCGTAGATAGTTTGTATGTTCCAATAACAAACTTTTCTGACACATAGTGGTGGGGGGATTCCTTGGCTTTGCTAACATTTGGGTTTGCAATGCACTATAGCAATACCCTTTTTAATGTATTTTATTTGTAATTATTTAATAACCTCTATGAGTGGAAACAATTCTAGGGTTTCTGAAGGATTCATGTCCATAGAGGCAACTCAGACCAACAGATTTTATGCTTCCAACATCTGCGTAAGACTTCACTCAAATATGTTTTGAATTTTTTACTGTGCAGGGAAAGACCTTGAAACTTTTGTTGTTTGGACTAAGTTGATCACATGATGTGACAGCTTTGGGCATCTCACCCTAATCAAGACTAAAACTACTGTATTTAAATAGCCAACAGTTTGTCAAAATCCTCCTCCTAATGTTAGCTTTTTATAACCCCAAAATGTATTATTATGTATTAAAAAATAACCATTAACCCTTTGAGTACTGATAGTCTTTCATACCATTTAATAATTATGGTATTTTCTGAAAATTTCCAATAATAATAAAAATAATTCTTGCATTTGATATAGCGCTTTTCATGTCTTCTAGACATCTCAAAGCGCTTCACAGAATTTACTTTAAAGTGAATTGACTGTATATTTGTGGGCGAAACACAGCAGCCAATTGCGCACAGCAGTGTCCCACTAACAGTCGTGGATTGGAGTGAGCAATTTTATTATTGAGATTTTTGAATTACAATGTATTACTAACAGCTAGAAAACCATTGCAGAATATTTGTTAATTAAGTGATCTTTCAATAAATGACAAACTAGGCTTGTGCAGTGCTTTGCTTCAGAAATCTCAAAGGGTTAACTGACCATTTTCTGTCAGCTCTAATAGGTTATTTTCATTTCTTCAGATACAAATAGTTACCAAGAAAATAGACGTGAGTCATGTCACATCAAAGTGTGGCTCTTTCAGCAACATACGCTATAGACCAGGTACAAGTGTTGCCTTTGATTTCTTCTCCATCTGACTTTCTGAAATGAAATTCGCTCTTTTGTAAGATCTTGCAAAACAAAAACCTTTTCATTCTGTGCAGGTGGAGGACACATTAGGATTGAAAGTCAGAAATTGGATTTTAAGGAAAAAGCTCAAGCCAAGGTTGGCTCACTTGATAACACTCGCCATACCCCGGGAGGTGGACACATAAAGGTAGGAATGGAAATGGGCACCAAAGATTTATCTGCATGCAGCTTCAGTGCCCATGTTTAAAATCAATGTGTAAAGTATATAATCCTTGCAACAACAACAAATTACATTTGTACAGTGCCCTTAACATCGGAAAGACAAGTGTATACAAACAAGAATGCTGTATCTTTTTTTTGATAAGACATATTACATACTGTAGATTTACTAAGCCAAATATATTATGTATGTTTATTAAATATGTTAAAATGTATTTTTAAAAGGAAAAAGGGCAAAATGGATCACATTTCAGGAAACGTAGTAGACTTGTGGCTGGCAGGTCCTGCTGACATATGTGAAGGAAGAAGCTATGATTGGACTCTTTTTGAGAAAAGCTATCCTTTACTGCAAATAACTTATTTTTTGCTGATTTAAATAAACTTTTAGCACCAGAGTTTTGGTGAAAGTTAGTATGAAACAAACATTCGCTCCACTCCACTCATGAGTTGTATTTTCGTAGCACGCAGAGCACATGCATAAAACTTTCGGGAAATGGGTCACACTAAACAGTATTCAGTTCTTGGTGTTCTGGTGACATATATGATTTAATTAAATCCTTTAATTGGAAAATTGACTTGCCATTCTCTGTCATCTGTTCAGTACTTGCTACGTCCAAAGATAATTAATTTATGCAAAAATGACAAATATGGTATCGAAAGATGTAAAAACCAGTACAGGCTCTAACCTCCTGTTTCCTGTTGTCTACTATCGTGTCTGCAGGTCATTCTGTATAATGCCTTCCTTATTTTCTCAACAGATCGAAAGTCATAAACTTTCTTTCCGTGAAAATGCCAGAGCTCGTGTGGACCACGGGGCTGATATTGTCACTCAGTCCCCCGGCTTATCTGGGGCCGCGACTCCTCACAGGCTCAGCAATGTCTCATCTTCTGGAAGCATCAATTTGATGGAGTCACCCCAACTCGCCACACTTGCTGAGGATGTCACCGCTGCACTGGCCAAACAAGGATTGTGACTTTGCTGTCCTAATTGTTTGTTTGTAGCATGTGCTTTGAGTTTTCTTGAGCTCAGAGTGGGATTGCATTTATTCCTTTCAATTAAATAAGCGATCATGTCCCAAGACTGTAGTGAATAAAAACAAAATCTCGTTTCCATTCACGCCAGGTATTTCTGGCTTTAGATGGGTACAACTGCTGTACATCACGCATAGCAATGTTGTTGTTCAGCTGTTTTTGCATGGACTGATGGCAAATGCATTTGCAATGTTTAAAAGCCTAAAGGCACTGTTGAAATGGACCACTGCTCTGAAAGCAGCTGTCACAGTTTTATTCCCAGCCACTCATTCAACATTGAACTCATAATTCTTTGTAGATGAGGATGGCATCTATTCTTAATATTTATTGCAAGATGAGCAAATGAATTGCATACTCGAATTAAATGGGAATAAACGTGTCAGACGACTGGAGAAGCCTCAGAACCTGCCTAGTGTTGCGTGGTTCAGGAAAGACAGATAGTTTGATAAGTTAATGGCTGAAGTATTAGGTATGGTCTAGACATGACATTGACACATTATTAATGTGTCTGTTCACAAGATCATTTTGATTGGCATTTTTACAATGTAAACCACACTAAAAAATGGGAATGATGTTATTCACAAATAGGGAGCAGCTATTTTAAATAGGATACATTTCCTGTGCCGTGGATTTGTATCTGATTAGAATGTCAATTCAGTGCTAGATTTCTATAATACACCAACTTTTCATATTCTGTTTGATCAGCTGTTTGATACAGTATTATAGATATTCCTCTGCGGCCAGTTGTGGTATCCCTCATATACTTGAAGTTATGCTTTTATTCACAGTATCTGTGTTTCTGCACCCTTTGGTGTCACTGTTTAGGGTAAAGTAGGTGTTAGCAGTTATACTGTTAGAATTCTCTCTCTCTCTTGAAAATAGAACTTTTAGCATGAAGTGCTTTCTGTAACAACCAAAAGCTGTGACCTTGGTTTTAGTGCCAGATGCAAGTTTGTTGATGTAATGCTAGCTAAAAGATTTCAAACAATCGCTTTGTAGAGTATTGGTGTACTGAGGGGGTCACACAGCATTTGGTATGCGCTGTTTTCTGCTTATTTCACTTGGCAAACCAGGTGTGTTTAAATACTGGGGCATATGAAGAATAATAGTGTGATTTTTATACCACAAAATGATAATGTTGAAGTATTTTTTTTAACATTTGTTGGCTACATTTCAGAGTTACCAAAGTCAGACTTGAACGCATTTCTCTTTGCTCACAGATCAACGTCAGTGGACTTCAATTATATTTAAAATGAATAAGCGCAAATTCATTTTTAATGGAAGAAGGTATGACAGCAGTAGTTGGTAAATGAGTTGTAAGAATTTAGAAAGAGGCAGTATCCGTTCTCCAGAGGTGGATAGACTGTAATCAAAACTAATAAAAAATTAATCCAAAAGTAATTTTGTAAATACTGCGGCCTTATGAAAAGGTTCCATGCAGATATTTATTCGCTTAATCAAACTAAAGAGAATTAAATAAGTTCAGACTTCACCTGTTTTTCATTAGCTTTGTAAAAATGCTTTGGGAAGTTAAACCAATCTTTTGTAAAAGAAAACGGCAATGTATTTTAAGATGATCAGAATGTATTGATAGGAATGCTGCATATTTTTCATTAAGAAAATTAACATTCAGTCTGCATTGGACAAAGATACTGTTTAACTGGGAGCGATGGGAACTTTGCGAAAGTCAGACTGCTTTAAAGGGATAGTCTGAGATTTGTGGTTTTAATTTTGCATCATAATAGTCCAACAAAAAAAATACTTCAACTTTAAGGGAACAAATAAATGAGAGAAAAAATATATGTCCTGGTGTAGGCCACAGGATTTTAATGTGCTTTAGAGAATGTGTTTCATGTCATGTCATTCTGGAGTCTGTTACAACAGGAAGCTATTTTGGGATTGGCTGGTGTTAGCTTTGTTCATGTTTTTAAGTCAAATTTGCACTTGTATTTGTTGCTGTAGAGTGATGATTTGCAAAATAAATTGCTTCTCATCTAAATACTAATAAAATTCTGTGTTACTTATTTCAGAGTGACTGGGCAGCCTGTAGGCAGTAACTGACATCAGGCTGCCTTACTCGCACACAATTTACTGTTCAGTGAAAAAATAATCCTTCAAATCTAGCATTCAGTCTTTGCTAGATCGAATTAAACTATAAAAGGTTCAGTCCGGGTCAGAGACCACTCAGCCAGACCAGAAAAAACACCACTAAAACTCTGGATTGCTGTTTCACAAAGGAAAGGTACATATTAGATATTGCAAGAAAACATTTATTTCTGCTTTCTTATTTGGGGTCTTCACTTAGTTGATTTATGATGCTCCGAAGAAGGACTCCCCAGCAACACTGCATTCCTTTATCTCTACAATCTCCTATTTCCTCAAAGAATTCTATTAAATTAGTCGAGCACAACCTACCTTTCGTTGTTTGTGCTGTTTTCCTCTAATTTACCCATGACTTTCTAAGTGTTTGCTAATTTTATATCTTAACATGGACATTAGATGTCAAGATCTAGATTGGACTTTGCCCACTAAAATTTTTACATTGGTTCCTTTTCAATAATTATCCCTAGTGATTCCTCAACATTTTTTGAGCTGGAAAAATTGGGGAAAAAATCTTACAAAAATGTTGGGTATCAAGTCTTCCCCGGGAGGGATTCATAACCATCCAATGAATACTTTGTGATTTTAGGTGACATTTGGGATATAGTAACAGCACTTTATGCATGTGATCTGGTGGCAAGAAGCTGGTTTATACAAAGCTTTTGAGGCAGCCTGCACAATTGATTCTTCTAATACATTTCCCGATGATTCTGAAATGTTCTACATTAAAGAGCATTGCACACGTTGCTATGCGGGCCTTGAGTTTATAGTTTTCATTTTGTTTCTGCTGTTGCCTCCACCAATTCCAGTGTACCCATACCTTCACTGCAGCATTATCTAGTACAGTCTTAGCTCATGGAGCATGGATCCAAGCAGTGAGGTGGATTTGTGGCAAACACAGGAAGTGGCTACAGAGTGGGAGGGAGGCCTCCGTCCTACACTGATCTGTCGCTAAGCACCCTGAAGTGGGAGTCGGCTTCATGTATATTTGCCAAGGCCCCTCACATGAGGACCTGGATTAAGCAGCTGGTGCTGAGTAAGCCTGGTTTGTGGCATTGAACTTGGACCTCAAGAACATCAAGGTGGCTGGCACATCACAAGCTGTCCTGTAAAGGTCACCCATCATGCTGAAGGCAGATTCCCACCAAGTAGCTGATGAGAAAACTCTGAGGCTTGGGGTGATAGCTGCTGGAAGGCATTACCTGGAGTCCAAGCTTGTGAACACACAAACGTCCAGCGCTTGGAATCCACCTTGATTCCTTGCTTGTTGGCCTTCCTCCACAGGCTGCAGATCATCCAGCCTGTGTCCTCTCCCGCAGCAGGTTCCGCGATCCTGTCACCCCCATCCTCACCTGACTCCACTGACGTCCCATCATACAGGATGCCATCCGTGGCCTTTCTCCTCCTTATCTCTGTGACCTCCTAATCCCTTACCAACCTGCCCGCTCCCTCTGCTCAGCGGGCTCTGGCCTGCTTCATGTCCCTCGCCTTGCCTGCCCCACTATTGGCAGGATGGCCTTCAGCCACTCTACCCACACTCTCTGGAACTCCATCCCACAATCCCTCCACCTCGCCCCCTCCCTTGCCTCCTTCAAGACCCGTCTCAAGACCCTCTTCGACTGTGCCTTCGATCACTCTCCTTCCCCCGCTCCTCCCTCCCCGATTCCGACCCCCAGCTCGCGTCAAAACACTGATTGTTCAGCATCTTGGGACATCCTCCTGACATAAAAGGCGCTATACAAATGTAATTTTGTTGCTGTTGATTGGCTCGCAGAGAGACAAGCAGCGGCTGCTTAAACTCTGCACCTCTAATTTGAACCATCGCTCAATGGAAAGGGATGTGTGCCCTTTTGCAGACAAAAAGATGGTGGCAATGCTCTCGTGCATTTCAAGCTGAGATGCATTGCCCACCTAGTGAGGGCTCAAAACCCGCGCATGTCAGTTGTCGAGACCAACTCATGACTATCCTCACGACTTGCCAGGATGGCACACTTAACAGAAGAAACGTCCGGCCAACAGATCAATTGAAAGAGGACATCTCACCACCTATTATGGATAATTTACAAGATAAGGAGGAAAAATACAATTGATGGTGCACAAACACCCCTCAATTTTTTTTTTAAAAAATCGTTTTTAACTGCTGTGCCCAATGGCTGCTGTGTTTTGTGTGCAAAATAGAGTCAATTCACTTTGCAGTACATTCTGTGAAGCGCTTTGAGACGCCTCGAAGACGTGATGATACAACAACATACATATCAAATGTAACAATCGCAACAACAACAAATTACATTTGTAAAGGGCCTTTCACGTCAGGAGGACATCCCACTGCGCTGGACAGTCAGGGATTTGGTCCCGATCTGGGGGTTGGGATCAACAACAACAACAACAAGATTCCATTTATAAAGCGCCTTTCACGTCAGGACGTCCCAAGGCGCTGCATAGTTGGGTCATGACCCAAGCAGGGGGGAAATGGTCAAGGTGAGGGGAGGGAAGGTAGGGAGCGAGGAGGGGGGAAATGGTCAGGGTGAGGGGAGGGAAGGGAGGGAGCGAGGAGGGGGAAATGGTCAGGGTGAGGGGAGGGAAGGGAGGGAGCGAGGAGGGGGGAGAGTCGAGAGGGGAGCTGAAGGCTCGGTCAAAGAGAAAGGTTTTGAGACCGGCCTTGAAGGAGGAGAGGGAGGAAGCGGCGAAGGCACTGGGGGATAGAGTTCCAGAGCCAAAGTCGGGTTGAGGACAGGGAAGGTGGGAATGCACGGTCGAAGAGTAGGGTCTTGTAAAGCGCTTCGAAGGAGGTAAGGGAGTGAGTAAGACTAAGCAACCATGGGATGGTGTTCCAAAGGGTAGGGGCAGAGAAGCTGATGGCGCGCGGGTGGAGGACGTGGAGCAGACGAGAGCCTGCTGAGCGGACAGGTTGATATTGGAATAGCAGGTCACATAGGTAGGAAGGAGCAAAGCCATGGAGGGCCTTGTAGGTTGCGATTATTATTATTATTATTATTATTACTATTATCCATAAAACGTTTTCTGATTTCCTGCGGCTCCCTAATAATTATCCCATCGGGGGGGATTGGGCAGACAGCGAGCCTTTTGACGCAGGTAGATCGTGAGATCGTATTAGAAAAAAACTGCCGTCGAGTCAGCGCGATTGGCGGGGGTGATGATAAATTCCTAACAGCAACGAGGTTTTAAAAAAAAAACACACGAGAGATAGGCGGGCGGGAAACCGGCCCGATCAACGTTATGAGGGCAGTTCGGTAACTAAACCCTCCATTTTCAGGGAAAGGGCACATAAAAATACTTGGCCGAGAATTTCTCGGGGAGCTTCTGGGGAAGAAACCGACACGCTTCGCTGTGACGACGGGGAGAATGGATCTGAAAATTATTCTGGGGGAATAATATTGGGGGCGGCGGGGGGGGGGCGGGGGGGGGGGGGAAGCGGGGGCTGGAGTGTTATGTGGTTGTTGTGGAGGATGGGGAGGGAGGAGTTGGGGGAAGTGTGTCTTGGGTGGGGAGGGGGGTGTGTGTGTGGGGGGGTGTCACCCCTCCCCAACCACATCCAGACAGACACACACCCCCTCCCCCCACCCACACACATATACACAGAGAACCTGTGGGAGGGGGAGGATGTGTGTGTGTGTGTGTGTCTGGATGTGGTTGGGGAGGGGTATCAGTGTGTGTGTGGGGTGTGGGGGGGGGGAGGGGGGGAAGTGCTGGGTGTGTGGGGGCTCGGGGGGGTTGCAATCAGAAATCATTACACAAGTTTGTAGCCCAAAGTCAACCGAAAACCGTCGAGCCGCCGGGAACCGTTTCACCGTTGCGCCGTTAAACGGTTTTTTTTTGAAAAATTCGAACGCACGAAGCCCCGAAGCCGTTGCCGCTTTCCCCCCAGGCGCACGCGCAGTACAAGGAGAGCGCGAGGAAGAAAAAAAACACGCCCAATTGGGCGAAAACCCGCCCAAACCCGGAGCCCCGGTGGTGGTAGCGGTGGTGGTTGGGCGGGGTGGGGGGGCTGGTGGGAGCGCGAGGGAGGCGCGTGGGTCGCGCAGGTGCCGGAGGAGGCGGTAGCGCTGGTGGTGCTGATGCTGATGCTGTTCGTTGCCGATCGTGTTGGCGGCGGCGGCGGCGGCCGCGGCGGGTGATGGTGAAGCGCAAGAGCTCGGAGGAGGTGGAGCGGGAGAGCGGCCGCGGCATTCCGCTCCCCATCCAGACCTTCCTGTGGAGACAAACCAGGTGAGGGGGGCGGCGGCGGCGGCGAGAGCCAAGAGCCCAGGCCCCGGGGAGGGGAGGGGAGCGACTTCCAGGGCCCCGGCAACCGGGGGGGTCGTCTCCCCCCCTCCCACTCACCAGCCGCCTCCTGTTTTAATCCCGCGTTGTATATCGTGTATAATGTTCACAGAAAATATATTAACAATATAGAGTCACGGAAGATGTAATCCACATCTTCGCAGAGGCCCCACAAAGCACACCCGTCAGTTCACTTCAGCGCTATATTCTGCGAAGCGCTTTGAGACGCCTCGATGACGTGATGAGGCGCGATGTCAAATGCCAGGAATATTATTGTATGCTACACGATGTATCGTATTCACAGAATATATAATATATGTATATCTCTCTCTCTCTCTCTCTCCTGTGAATAACCTACATCATATATTACATGAGCATAATATAAATCATATATGTGCTGTGAAGCGCTTCCAGACGTCCCAAACAATGTGATAAGGTGATGCATCAAATGCAAGGATTACGATTATTATTCTTACACTTTTGCTTTTCTAAGATTTCTTGCGTTTGACTGCTTGTGCCCTGTCGCCTGAGTCCCTCCTGCACTGTGCGTTTTGTGGTCAAAGTTCAAGTAAAGTTCTCCCCCCGACCCCCCCACCCCCCCCCCCCCCCCCCGACCCCACACCGGAGCCCCCCCTGTCAACCCAGCACCACCGCTCGTGCCCCAAGTCCTTCGTAGGAGGAAAAAAAAATGTAGGCGTTTTGGCAAAAAAAAAAACATACATTTTCTTCTGCGTCTTTTTTGGGTGTGATTTGTTTACTGGCCCGAGTGCCTGCTTGTAGGTAAAGCAGCTGCAGGGATGGATGTGGTTGTAATAGGATGGGGAGGATGGATTGTGTAGGCTATTCCCCTCCCCCCCCCAGACAGAAAATGTAGTTCTAAGAATAAATAATAATCTTTCCATTTGGTACGTACGTCGCTTTTCACGTTGGACTTGCGGTGACCGTGTTTCCAGAGGTGAATGCGTGTGGCAGCCCGTTTGTGCACAGCAACGTGCCACAAACAGCCACGCAGGGAATGACCAGCTTTGTTTGGGATGGATTGTTGGCCAGGATATCAGGAGAAATCATTCCTATTTAGTCAGCATTATCTGCGATGTGTGAGAGACGGACATCAAATGGGAAATTTAGCTTTTAATGAACATTTGATGTCTGTCTCGTGCACATTCCGGATAACGCTGATTAAATAGGAATGTAATTATCTGGACCAGGAAATACTGTGTTTATGTATGTTTGTAAACATGATGCTTTTTTTGGTAAATACTTTTTGTGTTTGTATATTATGAAATGATTGTATAATAAACAAACCTAGCGTCAGCTGGTCTGGGAAGGCATTTTACAATGACTCACAGTACCATTGCTCGGCAAGCTAAATTGTTTAATCAAAATCGACTTCCTTTATTTGACCTCAGAGGATTGATGTATATTTGTTCGGGTGTATTTTTGTATCTGTTCAGGTGGTTGTTAAACATCCCACAGCACTATTTGAAAAGAGAAATGAATTTCTCCCGGTGTCCTGGCCAACAATCCCCCAAAATAAAATTGCTCATTCACTTCATGGTTGGTTCGTGAGATATTGCTGTGAACAAAATGGGCTGTCTTGTTTGTGTATAAATTAAAGTCACTTCACTTTACAGTACATCCTGTGAAGTATTTTGAGATGAACTCCTGACGTAAAAGGAGCTTTACCAAATAAGTATTATTATTATTGTTTTCATTACAACCATCTGTTGAGGCTACAGTAGGTTCTTGGTATCAATATCATAATAAGCCCTAAATTTTATATAGTGCCTATCACATCGTCAAGACATCTCAAAGCACTCAGAGGATTGTGAATTGTTGACTTCCATGTATTTGCAGGTGATTTTATATATGTGTGTATATATATATATACACATATACACAGTATATATAAATATATAGCAAGATTCAAATCTTTAGAATATATTCCAATCAAACTTTAAACTGCTGTACTGTAAATATATTGCAATGTATTGGTTGCAATAGATTGAATAAATTGTATGTATGATACGGAAAATTACAGCTCATATGAAACTGTTTACGATTAATGCATAAATTGTTTTGTTCAAAACCAATTGATTTACTGGTAAAATTGCACCTTTTCATTTTTGTCTTGCAGTGCATTTTTGAGACCAAAATTGGGCAAACAGTATGAAGCCTCCTGTGTGGTACGTTACCTCATTTGCATGTGTTGATGGCCTTTGGGATAGTAGCTAAGCTTTCTGATTGAGTTAAAGTTGAAGCATATCGAATAAGTCTGGGTGAGACTCAGTGCTCTTTGGGATGCCATTAAGTAGCATGATTAGCCTTCTGTTTTTTTTGACTGCCTCAAGAATGGTTAAGTCAACATTCATCCAACTCACTTCATACAGTTTAACTTTCAACAATGTAAGAAGAAAAGAAAGGTAACAGCACCACAGCACCAAAACCTCAGCACACAGAGCATATCAGCTTTAATATGTAGCTCAGTGGTTAGAGCACTCGCCTCTCAAGCGGGAGACCTGGGTTTATTCCCAGCAAGGTGAAACCTTGGGCAAATTTCCTTACTCCACACTCCTAATAATAATCCCTCAAGAAAAAAATAATAAATTGGTCACTTCAATCCACGACTGTTTGTGGGACACTGCTGTGTGCAATTGGCTGCCGCGTTTCGCCCACAAATATACAGTCAATTGACTTTACGGTATATTCTGTGAAGCGCTTTAAGACATCGAGAAGATGTGAAAAGTGCTATATCAAATGCAAGGATTATTATTATGTTCACGTCAACTGCAATTTTTTCAATAATCTATTAAAATCAACAACTTTATACTAACCATATCTTTTGTGTAAAATATATAACCTCTGCGTCATAGTGCAGCACCAGCAGAGGTATAATTCACATTGTTAACTCTTTGTTTTCTAGTCTTTTGAGCGTGTGCTGGTGGAGAGCAAGTTACATGGTCTGTCTCCTGCTCTATCCGAGGCCATTCAGAGCATTACACGCTGGGAACTAGTGCAGGCAGCCTTACCACATGTACTTCACTGCACTGCTACACTGCTGTCCAACCGCAATAAGCTTGGTGAGCACTTTCAATTTCAATTTCACCACTGCCTATTAATTTTCCAGAAGATAAACAGTAAGTTGTGGGTAAAGGCAATGCCTGGGGCAGCACTTGGTCGTACAGACTGGAGTTTGTAAATTCAAATGCCAATCTTTCTTGACATGGCAGATGTCAGACAAGTTGTAGTTGGGGCAGCACATTTGTCCTCTGTGCCCCTAGATTATGGAGTGGAAAATCATTCAGGACTTGTGATCTGACTTGGAAAGTGAATGTAGGTAGATTTGGTGTGGCCCGGATTGGGCTCGGCTATGATGCCACCATTGCTCACACGTGAGCTACCAGAGGTTGGCCTTCACTTGTGGAATAGCATGCACACAAGGAGAAATGCATCAAAACACCTTCAAGAGGTTGGGGGAGGGATGAAAGGTGAGAAAATTGATAGAGAAAAAATAAAGGCAATGTAGACAGCATGTTGTAGGAAGATGGATTAAGATTTCACATGTGAATCTTCAGAACTATTTGGTGATTAATAGATTGTGTTTTTGGAGTTCTGATGAAATGTTGATCCGGATTTCTCTTTCAGGTGGAAATTGACCTGATTTATCTTTCCCAACAACAACTACTTGCATTTATAAAGTGCTGGCTAGCTTCTTGGAGAGCTTGCATTTTTTTAGTTTGATTTCAGTTTTCTAAAATTCATGTTTCTTTTAAAACAAAACCCTTTCAAGGTAATAAAGTAATGGATGCAGGACACATATAGCTTTAGTAAGGACTAGCAAAACAAATTAACTCTAAGTGCTGCTTTCTCATTACGGCAACTAGAACAGTCATGATATGATAGGATAAAATCCATCAATTTGAGAAGAATTGATCACTCCTGCCCGTTCCTGGCTCTCTGTGAAAAGAAAAGGTTGCATTATTTCTTTTAGTGTCTGCACTTAGAATGGGATATTGGCAGTTAGTTTGTCACAGTCATTTGTTGTTTTAACTTATGACAGTTTTTTTAAAGCATTCTCGAGTATGCACAGAGAGCACATTGGTAATTCATATATGGAATTAATCTGATCTGAGAAGTAAATGATTGGAGGGGATACAATACTATAACCTTTTGAGCATTTCTGCAACGTACATACTATACTGTATGTAGAAATGTTAGCGAAGACTGATTAAAGATAATGCATAAATAGAATCATAGAATTATACAGCGCAGAAGGAGATCATTTGGCCCATTATGTCTGGCCGATGGCGCAGAGAAAAGATTATTGAAAAAAAGTTGGGAAAGTCACAGAGGAGTATATACTTCAATAATATTATCAAGCATTACTTTGCCTTGTGTATTTTTATGTTACAGGTCATCAAGACAAGCTTGGAGTTGCGGAGACCAAGCTGCTTCATACACTGCACTGGATGCTGCTTGAAGCTCCTTATGAGTGCAGTAATGATGCTACAGCAGGCTTTATTGGAGGAGGAGGAGGGTCCAGTTGGTCTGGGAGCAGCAGTGCTCTTGTTCATCAGGTGGAGAATCAGGCATCTCCAGGGCATCCCAGGTATAGCAGTACTGCAGAGGAGGAAGAGCACAGCAGACCCAAGATATTTGCTAATTCAATGGCCACTGTGGAACTGTTTGTCTTCCTGTTTGCGCCCCTTGTCAACAGAATTAAGGTAAATCAAACCTGTTCCTAAGCTTACAGTTACAATTTTTTTTAACTTATTAATGTACCTACTGCTAAATTGTCCTCATACACTCCTTGGGGACAAGAGAATTAACAGTGCATGCAATATACAATATTCTATCCCTACATCAGGAGTAGTTTAACATTCTTAAGAAGTGACACTGGTACATTGTAGAAAACCTTAATATGATTGTGGAGATGAGACCACTATCAAATGTGATTTGTGTGAACTTCTAGGATCAGTTCCTCTGTCGCCTCAGAGATATTACAGCAATTACATTGTGTTTCCATTCTCAATGCTATATATGTGGGAGTGGAAAATCTTGTCACTTTTATTATATAGCCAGATTTGTATCTGAGGCTAACCACTAATTTGCTGCATAGTTGTGTGAAAAGATTAGTTTTTAGAGTTATAATTTCCTGTAATTAATCTGCAATAAGATTTTTTTAATAAAAGCCTTAAGCCTCATGTGTACAATCTAGTTACATTCCTTGCACATAAAGAGGTGCAATGGGTTCCTCTGAAACTTGGAACTCCCAATTTGTTTTTATTGCTTCCTCTTAGGAATCTGATCTGACCTTTCGCCTGGCCAGTGGCCTGGTTATTTGGCAGCGAATGTGGGAACATAAGCATCCCGGAGTTCCAGCATTTTCTGCTCTCGTTAAACCAATCCGAAACTTTGTTACAGGTGAGGAAACGATTGCAATGTGAGGCGTGTTAGTATATTTAGATGCATTTTTCTAGGAAGTCCTGACATCTGCAGGTTGTAAGGAAACTTGTGGTTTACTTAAATCGAATCAGACAAATTGCATTTGGTTCTTAGCATTGTCTACCTGCTGGTGACTTTTTTTTAGCGAAGAGAACTTCACCCTTGAACAACCGAGGAGCGCCTTGCGATTCTGTTAAAGCTGGAACAACAGTGAGTGTTATTTTATTTCCCTTGCTGATTTTTCACCTTGCAGATAAGTGTTTACTTGAATGTTTTGGAATCATTTATATAATTTCACAATATACAATTTTTGGTTTTATTTGCTCTGCTGATAAATTATTTCTCCATCCTCTTCCCCTGCAATTTTCTTTGTAGACATGTTTACACAACTTGTACAACAGACTCCACTCTGTCAATTAATTGTATATTTCATTGTTATCAACCTGTATATTGGCTGGCAATATAGATCCAATATATGCATTGCTGTGTGTTGTTTTATTATACTTTGAAAATAAAGTCATCATCTCATTATTTTTAATAGGATGCAAAAATTAAGCTGTTATTTTTGAAAGCTTCTCTATTAATTCAAAGGGGTTTCAGGTGGTATATGAAACAGCTCAAGCTGACTCTAAACCTTCAGGACCTGATGGTCAGAACTCCCACAAAGAAAATTCATGTGAAGGAGCTGGGACCTCCCAGGACAAAGGAACTTCCAACTCAAGGTACCACTGATTTCTGTTTAATACCAGTAATTATTTGCATTGCTATATTTTTGATGTGTGTGTGTGAATATATATACATATGTAAATATATATATCTGTAGTAACAAAATGAGTGTAGCTGCTGTTGATTTATCAACAAGTGTGGTTTAATTACTTTGTAGAATCTCAAGTTGCCGCACTCTTGAGTTATTTAAAGGAAACCAGTCTGTGAATATGACCTTGTTATAGTCCAATTGCCTGAGTATAATGTCTCAGTGGTCACATTAAGCAAGGATCTGATGAATGGCTAACTTCTGGATCGTGCAACCGATGGCATTTACTGTATGCATTCTTCTGCATGCAAGGCAATGCGCAGGAAGCACCACTGACATTACTTCCTTTCCAAAGTGAAGTTAGCAATTGAGGGCAATGATAGCGTTTCAGCTGCTACCCCGACTGATTAAAATGGTTTTCTGTCTGATTGTAACAGGCATTCATTGTAATGAAAGATGTCAGTGGTCATCAATATGATTTTGTATTAGTTGCTGCTAACTCCATACTTCACATGGACATTTGGACTGGAATGCTTATCCACTGACTTAGAACAATTCTGAATTAGGTGGTAATTCAAGGCTAGTTTGTACTCAGCCCATAATTCATAAGATTGTTTTAGTTGATGGCAAGTAAATGGACACGTACAAATTCTGCTTTTATCTGTTTGTCCACTTAAGTCAATGTATTAGAAATCCAATGCTCTCTTAAATGGAGCACCAGCCACGACTAAAAAATCAATGATGCTTTATGGGATGGCGTGACCAAAGAAGGCATATACTTAAACAATATAATGTGGTTTATTGAATAAAATGTCAACCCACATTTACTTTTTTTTCTAACTATAATCATATAACTTGACTTCCAATGATATGACTGGGTACAATATCAGTTCTGTATATTGATAATAAGATGAGCAATGCATTAAAAATGTAAATGCCAAACATACATTTAACATTAGTATACACTATTTGTCTGAGAAAGATGTGGCTTTGAAAAGGAGCAGACACTAGAAAGCCTGATAAATTGAGAGATTATGATGTGCACTGAATAATAAATTGAGCGTGACGGTGCACTGACTGCAAACGAAAGCTGATTTTCTTCCCGAACGATACTTTAGTTCCCATGGTTTCTCTGTTGTGCTCTCACACAACTTGATCCTCGAGCGTATGTTTCACCTAATGCGGCAGTAATGACGCAGAGAGCTGGAATTTCTTTGTAAATGCATCACTGATCCCTTTGCAGTCAACAGAATCATTAATTATCATGGCAATCATTACAAAAATACATCTATAACAAAAGCTCAAATATCAGAGAATTGCAGTCTATAAAATCAAAGGCATAAATACAAAAATGATAGATTTCGCCCAAAGTAGATAGTAATTAATAATGTCTAATTGTATGGGGATGTAAAAGTTATAATTTTCTTACAATGATCGTTCCAGTACAAAGATAACTTAAAATAATTGATATTGTTAGTTACTTCATATATGCCACCACATAACAGTGACGTGTTTAATTTTTGACATTTAGCTTTTGCTAATGAGGTAATTGTTTTTGGAATTCATTTGCAGATTACTGAGAGTTAGAGCTACAATATACAGTCAATTCACTTTACAGTGTGTTCTGTGAAGCGCTTTGGGACGTCCTCCCTACGTGAAAAGCGCTATATCAAATGCAAGGATTATTATTATTACAGATGTTGGGAGTATGGAATATATGTCATCAGGAATAACATTTTTTTAAATGTTAGGTAGATGTTTTGATGCATCAGTATTGACTCAGTTATTACTTTATTAGGGAAAGGTGGTCAAGTAGACAGTACTATTGGGTGTTTTGCCTATGGTTATTTGTGTCTCTCTGGACATGGATTAAATTGGGTCCAATTAATGACTGCTCGAATCTGACCTTTTACATCAGGAGGACGTGGCCAAAGGCTTCACAGGATTTACTATGAATTGTAGTGACTGTGTATTTGTAGGGGAATGCAGCAGTTCATTAGCACACATTAGTGTCCCACAAACAGCCAAGAAGTGTGTTACCAATTTATATTTGGGGGATTGTTGGCTAGGACAGTCACTACACTTCAGCAAATCAATGTACCCATGACATGAATGTACCTCTACATTCTACGTAAAGTTCTGCCTTTCCTCTTAGGCTTCTCACTAAGTTGTTAAAATGCATGCCTCATCTGTTACAGGACATCAGTAACCATACCATTGAACCAGAAGTCTCGATGTGCCACCTATTTTGATGTTGCAGTCTTGCGGTGTCTGCTGCAGCCCCACTGGTCTGAAGAAGGCATCCACTGGGCACTGATGTATTACCTGCAAAGACTTCGACAGATCCTAGATGAAAAGCCTCATCGGCCCACTGAGCCTGAGATAAGCCACTTACCCAGACCTCGCAGTAGTTCCATGGCAGCAGCAGCTCCCTCACTGGTTAACACCCATAAAACACAGGTAAGAAAATATCACGACCAGGTCCATGCCTTGTAATCATTCCCTGGTTTATTACAAATCATTTTGAGTTTGGATTAACATAATTATTTTTACAATAACAATTTATAAATAATTAAAACAATTTAGTGGCACAGGAAGTTGAATTTCACTTCAGTTTGACAATCACCTCAGTAATCCTTAGAGTGATAATAATAATCCTTGCATTTGGTGTAGCGCCTTATCATGTCAGAAGAACGTCTGAAAGAGCTTCACAGGAATTACTGTGAAATGAGGTAACTGTATTTGTAGAAAAATGTGGCAGCCAATTGCCCACAGCAATGTTCCACAAACAGCCATGAAACGAATTACCAATTTTATTTGGGGGATTGCTGGCCAGGGAGAAACTCACTTTCCTTTTCGAGTATCATCATGGGATTCTTTAATGTTCACATGAACAAGTAAATGGGACCTTGGTTTAAAGTCTCATCTGAAGGATATGATAGCAAGTCCTAGGAAATTCCAAGTCATTTTTTCTATTTTCAGCCACCACACTGAGTACCTTTGAAAAATGTTTAAATTAAAAAAACTCACATAAGGAAATGATTAATAATATGCTTTCATTAGAAACAAACATGCAAACAAAACAAAATGCAGCAAGGAGTTGAAAAATGGCAGTTTGTATATTTGCTCATGTAATTTGCTTATGTAAATCAGTGTATAGACAGGAGCAGTAATGTACACGCTTAAAAAGCTTTAAACTAATATTTCTTTACCCAGAAGGTTGTTAATGACTAAAACAGGTTACCAGGAAGGGTGGCTGAGGCCAGAAACCTGGATTTATTTAAAATATAGCTTGATGATCTGATGAGAGACAGTAGGTGGGTATTTTGGAAGGACAAGATGAAATGGGCTGAAGGACCTTCTTTATCTGAATCTCTCATGAACACTGGTTAATTTTATCAGCTTATGACTTTAAGCTGGAGTCCTGTAGCTCAGTGGTTAGAGCACTTGCTTTGCAAGCGAGAGACCTGAGTTCAATTCCCGGCAGGGCGAAACCTTGGGCAAGTTTCCTTACTCCACACAGAGCCTAATAATAATCCCTCCAAAACAAAAACAATAATAAATTGGTCATTTTCAATCTACGACTGTTTGTGGGACATTGCTGTGCGCAATTGGCTGCCGCGTTCGCCCACAAATATAGTCAATTCATTCTACAGTGTGTTCTGTGAAGCGCTTTGGGACGTCCTCCTGACGTGAAAAGCGCTATATCAAATGCAAGGATTATTATTATAAGCTGACTTTTGTGAGCCAGTTTTGTTGAATGTCCTTGTCCTTGTGAATACCAACTTCTCTTTGTTACATTACCAGCAAGGTGAGTACTGTACTCCTGAGGGTAATGTTATATAAATACTAGCACTTATGTATTGTGACCCCATCTATTCTGTATTTGCTGTGCATTCACAACACTCTTCCAGAATTTTGAGGCAGCCAGAGTCTACTTGTGCCACAAGCATGTATTTTATTTTTCTATCTGTTGAACTGCAGAATTGATCTTGATGTGGTAGATAGCTACAAACAACAGTGTTAAGGCCCATTGGCTGCTTAAGTAAGTACTGTGCTACAACTCCAGACAAAATAACACTTTTGAGACTTCTATGAAATCAGTAGATCTACAATTGAGTTTTCATAGCACGTTTATGATTGTAGCAGTTAAATCCCAAAATAATGTGGCATTAAATTGGAGGCTGAGGGAACAACTTTTTCCTTTATAAAAGCATCTTATAAAGCTATTTTACTGAATTTGATAAAGGGAATTTTCTGTATTCATGGTTAAAATATCCATGAAAATATACCGTAGAGTTCTAAAAGGATGAAAGAAGTTGCCTTATGTGCTTTATTTTGGTCCAAGTAACATGTTACATTCTTTTGTAAGGATCTTACTGTGAAGTGCAATGAAGAGGAAAAATCTCTCAGTTCTGAAGCCTTTTCTAAAGTGTCCGTAGCAAACCTGAGGCGACCGGCTGTTCCAGACCTTTCCACTGATCTAGGGATGAGCATTTTTAAAAAGGTGAAAAAAAATGAGTCATTAATGTTAGCCAAATTTAAATCTAAGGCTGATCTGAGTTATTCTAACCAGCTTCATAAATATTCCAACTGTGCATCTCGTTGTTCATTCTGCTCATGTTCCCAATTCCTTTTTTATACCTGAGATCATCATTGGTGTGTAATGTATGATTGCGTGCAACTACATTCTGAATTGGTAAGAATTGAATTGACTGAAGTAATTTAGTTTGTTGTATCCTTCATAAATTTTTCAAAAGAAGAAGTCCTTGAAGGACTAAAATACCAGTAGTCGTAAAATCAGAAAATTAGAAACTTCAGCCCGTGTGTAATGTTGACAGACAAAATTACATTGACTGTTAATGTTATTATTTTGCTGGGGTCCAAGTTCAAGAGTCGCAAAGAAGAACGTGAACGCAAAGGCTCAATACCATTCCATCACCAGGGTAAAAAGAGGCAGCGACGTATGGGAGTACCATTCCCGCTTCATGAGGATCACTTAGATGTGTCCCCAACTCGGAGTACGTTCTCATTTGGGAGCTTTTCTGGAATTGGAGAGGAAAGACGTCTGGAGAGAGGGGGGTGGCAAGCTACAATACTGGGTGAGCTAAAAATGTTAGTCATTTTAAATTATTTTAATGTTTCTTTTGTGCATGTGGCTCTTGTACATTGTGGTCATATTTAATAATAATTGGTTTATTGCTTTGTTGAGAAATGTTTAGTTATTTTATGGTCGTTTCTCTTACCTGTATTATGCATCATTCCTTGAATGAGAGAGTACACAGACAGCCTGTTCCCATGCTTTCACTGCACTCTTCAGTTACAACTTTATGGTGCATATGAACTATATTTCTTACCCTGACTGATGTAATGTCAGAGCTATGCTTCCCGTTTCCCCGTGACTGCAATTCATCATGTTGAATCACAGGCACTAACCCAGTCTTTAACACAGTGGTACACAGTCTGGCTGTGTCTGTACATTTTATTTCTTTCGTTCTCATAAAATAATCTGATTGCATTTAAAATTTAGTCTGGTGTTACACTTGAATGAATGTAACAAACACACTTTTCATTTGCTTTCTTCCTTAGGAAAGCTGGCTCGAAGAGGAAGTTCAGATACTGCCACGGAAATGGAAAGCCTAAGTGCTAAACATTCCCATTCCCATCATACCTTGCTGAGTGACATGCCTGATCACTCTAATAGTCATGGAGATAATACAGTTAAAGATGGTAAACTGGTCTATATTGTAGAACTATATGTACTTTCTCATCTTTATTGTGGTAATGTAATCATGTAGTAAAAGTAATTTTTTTATAAAAAGTATCTGTGTAAATTAGAAAACAAAAATACAATACAAAATTACATTTGTATAGCGCCTTTCACATGGGGAGGACGTTCCAAGGTGCCGGACAGTCAGGGATTTGGACCCGACTAGGGCAAATGTATGTTAAAATGAAATGTGTTCAGCTATTTCAGTGAATTGAGATTCAATATGTCATCTGACCTGGTGGCGCAGCACAAGTAGATCTAATGACTGCTGTGCAAGAACTGGTTTTGTAACTTCAATTTCTGCTCATCTTAACTGGGGAACAGAGATGTCAGAATTGGTTGAGTGAAGGGTGAACAATCAGTCACAGTTCAAGAGATTTGTTTCTGGTCAGCCAGGTGTCTTGATACACAGAAACCCATCAGCATGCTTAGGAATATCTAATGAAGAAAAATTTCCACATGTATGGAAATTTTCTTTTATCTGCACACTCTGCCCAGAGGGACACATCCTGCTTACTAATCACAGAAAGTATTTGGCACAGTTTGTTGACAAGAGCCAGGGCTTGGGGACCCTGCTTGGAGATAGCAGAGTGCATTGGGATTCTGCTAAAGTTTAGTCAGGTAAAAACATATAGCTTGCTATTGTGAACACTGGCAAGCTTTTTCTGCTTGGCCAACTAGGACAACCCAAGTCAGTAAGGCTTTGACTTGCAAGGTTAGCTCAAGAACAGTAGCTGGCAGGGCAGTTCAGAAGCAATGTTGTTGGAGCCGGAAAGTGGCTCACCTTCCTGCCTCTTGGTTAGGGAGCGCTGCATGGCCCTGGTGAGAATTAATGAGAAAGCAATACAGCAAAATAATAAATTGATTTGACTGGAAACAATATGATTTGCTACATATAACTTGAATCCCATAAAAATGATTTAACATAAATATGAAATGCCATTTAATTTTGAAATTAATTCTAAACCGATTTTACATTTTGTAGTGAGATCGCAGATTTCTACTATTACCGTAGCCACATTCAACACCACAGTGGCCTCCTTCAATGTGGGATATTCTGATTTCTTCAGTGAGCACATGAAAAAACTGTGTAATCAAGTGGCTATCCCTGAATTGCCTCATGAGCCTCTGGCATGTGCCAACCTGCCCCGCAGTCTGACTGATTCCTGTATAAACTACAGCAGCTTGGAGGAAACAGAAAATATGGAAGGAACAAACAATTTTGTCAAGAAGAACGGGATGCTTGATTTTGGGGTAAATTCCTGTTATAACAATAAACAAACACCTTGAATCAAAATAATTGTTCAGGTCAATCTACTTGTCTTCAGTTCTCTAGTACAGACTGTTACCATATTCCATAAAGGAATGCCTTCATAATGTTGGTTAATAATAAATTGGTCATTTTCAATCCATGACTGTTTGTGGGACACTGCTGTGCGCATTTGGCTGCCGCATTTCGCCCACAAATATACGGTCAATTCACTTTACAGTATATTCTGTGAAGCGTTTTAAGACGTCGAGAAGACATGAAAAAGTGCTATATCAAATGCAAGGATTATTATTATAATAAAGACTTGTTTTATTTGTTAGGCCAAAAATAGTTTCAATACAAGTGAAATGGCAAAGTTTGTATAGAATTGTGAACACTTGTACTAATTCCTTTATAATTCTTTAAAGATAATTATTTCCTTTCCTGCCTTAGTAGGATGGAACATCTGTATTAAATTGTGGTTTAATGACCTTGATAATCCTCTCTTCCTGAAAGATGCCATGCGAAGAGTGACAAACTTGATTTTTCAAGAGATAAATTTATATTTCTATATTCATGCTGCAAAATAAAATGATTTTTAAATGAGCATTTGTGCATAGTTTTAAATATTAAACTTATTATTACGACTTTTTACCCTTTTGATTTTTTTTAAAAAATGCAGGTCATTCTAAAAGCCCTGTATGTGGTGCTGAACCATGACATCAGTTCTCGTATTTGTGATGTGGGGCTAAATATTATCGAGTGTTTGCTGCAGCTACAAGTGGTTCCTTCTGTGGAGAAGAACTACAAAATTAAAGAAAATAAAGAAAATATTGTTGGTGACAAAAAGCAGAAAGAGGGAGCCAGTCAGCAAGGCGCAGCGAGTGCATTTGGACCTGGGAATGGAAGTGGACCTGGAGGAGGTGATGATGGAGATGGAGATGGCGGAGGTGGTGGTGGTGGAGGAGGAGGAGGAGGTGAAGGAGGCGATGAAGGGAAAAAAAGCAAAAATCAAGAGCAGGTTTGTTGTTATTTCTTACATTTATCATTCAAAATTTGTGAAGTGTGTAAAAATGTGTCATTTTGTATTTTGAGTAATTATAAAATTTATGGTTGTGGATGACAAAAATAATAATCAAGAATTGCAGTTGAAGTGGTTTTGTTGGGGCTCCCAGTCAGATGTGTGAAGCACTTTGAAACGTCTTGGCAATGTGAAAGGTGCTATATAATGTAAAATTGTTCTGAAGGAATTAATGTTATATTAGAAATTAATAATGATGCACTTTTATACATGTGACAAGATCCTTCTTTGTCCTGTGCTTCAAAAATATATATATATATTTTTAATAATTTAATATAAAATTTATTAATAATAATTATTTAATAAAAAAACTTCAAATCAGCGCTTTGGGACATCCTCCCGACGTGAAAGGCGCTCTATAAATGTAATTTTGTTGTTGTTGCTTCAACATTCATTGCATCTCTAATATTAGAAAGTGGAACTTTCTCTTGTCTTTCAGAACCATCTCTTTATTTCCCTTCTATCTGTAGATTCTAATGTTATGGAAGCTATCGACAACTTTAAAATGTTATGAATGAACCATTTATGGATTAGGATGCTGAAATTCCATTGCAGGAATAAACTCCTGATATAACCCAAAGTTTTATTCAATGTTGGGAAGTCATCAAATCTACTGAAAATACTTGTATTTATATTTATTGATTAGGATGAAGACATGCCTGGTCACACCCACAAATTAGCATTAACAATGCTTGTCAAAATAGTGAAGTCACTAGGATGTGCTTACGGTTGTGGTGAGGGCCACCGTGGACTGTCAGGAGATCGTCTCCGTTTGCAAGTAAGTGATTAGCTTCAGAATACTAATGCAGGACCAAATGTCAGGATTGTAAATATTGCACATGTGACCAGTTCATTGGCAATATAGCATAGTTCATTTCTACATTTGCATGGTCACAGCAGCACAGAAACCATTGTTTTCCAAGAAACATTTGATCACCTTTCTCTATTGGTATCCTTTTAACTGGTACTCCCAATGTTGGGTATTTAGCCAGCTCTTTTCTCAAAAGGTTAATTGATTCAACATTTTGCTGCTTTTGCTGGGATTCCTTTCTACGTACCTAGTAATTTATGGATCTACCCAATATCTATTCTGTTCTCCCATGGATAGATATTCTCAAAATTCTTCGAATCTTTAGTTTTGAGGCTTGTTAATTTTGTCCTTCAGTTCTATATTATTGCAATCCAAGTTAAACACCCGAATTCAAAAGTTCCACATAGTTTGACTGTTTTATTTTAAAATTTAAGATCGATCAAAATTGTGGCAGCTGCTTAAATTCAGCTTTCATTTGGAAGACAGATTTTGGCAGTTCTTAAGAAGAATCGGCTTCCAAATTGAAACCTTCCACAGGAAGAGAGATAAGGAATATTATTCCTTAATATTAAGTTACCCTAGCCTATACTTGTGTTCTCACAATACTTCTTGGGGCAAAATAAAAGTGCGGTGAGATCTGTGCTACAGAAGAGATCATCACCATTAATATCAATATGTTAGAAAAAGAAACCAGTGTAGAAAGATGGACGTTTTTATGCAACTTCATAACCAGTGATTCCATGCATTGCAAATCCTATTTCAATCCATGTTTACTAAGAGGGCTGATATAAGAAATGGAAATCTCACTCTCCAACATGACACTTCAGTTCTTTTGTACAATCCGCACTACAATACATTACAACTCAATCTGTAATGCATTATCTGTACTGTTTCACTATAAGTGCATCTATTTTGAAGAGTTTATGTTGGCTTGTTCAGCAGCATTGCCAGTAAATCCAAAGCATTTATTTGCATTAAAATGAAATATTTTAATCATTTTAGGCTCATAACTGCTTAACCAGATTGTATAGACTTGACAAAGTACAGTTTCGTCAAACTCTACGAGAGTATGTAAACAATGACTCCCTGAACAATGTTGTGGATTTCTTGCACGCTTTACTAGGATTTTGCATGGAACCTGTTGCTGACAGTAAGTACAAGTCTTCACAAATCTTTCTGAATTTTTCCATTTAATTAGTAAGGAAAGGTCACAATTGTTTTATATGTGTAAAAGTTTCACTAAGAAATGCATGAAATAACTGATATTGGATTTTGATTAATATGTTAATATCCACAAATAATCAAAAATTTAAGTGTTAAAAGGATCCTACAAAATGTTATTTTCCCACTTTAAAATAATTTTTTTTCTCTTTTAGCTTCCCCTGGGTGTCCTTGAGTCAGGAGTCAGACGTGGCCACTTCCTGGCCTCTGCTAGTGCTGCTCTTGAGATAGCCAGTTGCAGATCACTCAAAGTGGCACATTTCCACTAATTTATCTCCTTTTGGAGAAGCACCAAGCCTCTGCTTGGCATTTGTGGTGGACATAGTGAAATCAGAAAGCCATCTAGTCAGTGTGCCAAACCACTGGATCAGCAGGATTTGTAAAATGTGATGCAATGTGCTGGTGTCCCACTGGTTCAGCAGTTTTGTAAAATGTGAAGGAACACTTGAGGATAAGGCCCTGTTGTAGCTTTATCCTTAATACTTAAAATCATAATTGTTCCATCAAAAACAAGTTATGTAATAATAATAAAAATAAAATTTATTTCCTTGTGGCTGACCTCCAAACTGAAGCCACTATTTTTCAGAGAGACTGCAGCATCCAGAGCTGACGGTGTCATGCCTAGCCAGATGCTCTTGGCTTCCCTAACTCTCAACAGCTTGCATGGAGCACTAATTTTAAAAATCCACCTGGTTTTAAAATTCTGAGTAAAAGACTACCCCAATGGCTAAGTAAATTTATCCCGTGAGTATCTGAGCTGTTCAGACTCAGAAGTGTCACAGGTTTGATCCACTCTGCTGACTTCACTAACCTCAACTGGAACACGAATGCGGTGGGTGCTACTATTAATCTTGGCTCCCTGGAAGGGAAAGTTAATAAGATTAGAGATAGTGTGTGTGAGAGAGTGGGGTAGGAGTATATCAAGTGAGGAAAGGATTGGGTTCAGCTATAATGTCCTCTGTAGTAAATGGCCTGCTGACACTGGTAAGCCTCCCATATGAATAACATCCTGAAGGGTGTCTGGCACTTGTGGAACTGTGCCCTAGTAGAAAAAAAAAGTCAAATGCCTTCGGGAGAGAGGAATGCAGTTGAAAACATGGCTACAATGGAACAAAATCTCAAAGAATTTTTTTTAGGAATCTTTAAAATGGGCATATCTTCATTTCATTTAATTTTAGCTTCGTTAACAGACATTTATTTTCCCCCAAATTTATTTTTGTTAGCACTTTGTATTCGATTCCAATCGGCTGGGCATTGCAACATCAGCTTTAGGCGCCCCAGCCTCCCTGAAATGGTGGCTCCAATCGAGAGACCAACCACGGGTAAGTTTATTTTATTTATTCAAGTGTTTAAGAATAATGAGCTCATTAAAATATTTTCATGGGCAGGGTTATGATTTGGAAGCCTTATCCTGAACTGTTCCTTTAAGCCATTTAAAATCCTTATAAATTGGAAGATACTTTTCAAATTATGATTTTAAATTAAAATAAGTTGTGGGATATTGCAGCTTTGGGGGTAAATAAGAGACCCAAAGATGGGACAAAGGCAAATTGATTGTATCTAATCAAACTAGTAGAGAAAGGCAGGTATTGTATTATCTTAATTGCTAACTCAAAAGAAGGGGGAATATCGACCTTGGAGTACTGATTTTCATTTTTTTGTCCATTTAGACAAGGCAGGATTTGGAAATAACTTTGCCACCGGTGAGAGCAAATCAGCTGCACGGAGTATGGAAGCCATTATAGTGAGCTGCATGTTCAAGCCTTTGATCACACGGTGTGCATCCACTACGCATGAACTGCATATCGCAGAGAATCTGGTAAGGCTCCTCGTCAGGAGAGAATTTGAGACTTTGAGACTGATATTTATTTATTGCAGCAAATTTTAATAATTGTTAGATTGGAATTAACTCCCAACAATGACACTTCCCATGTTATAAGTTCAGTTGAAAATTATTTTGATTGGTTACATAGATTCAATCTTCCTAGTTGTCAAGTGAACTGTTTTTAGGACCAGTTTGATTTGGCCTTGCGTAGTTGCTAATGCTCCATTGTAAGCTAAAGCACATCAGAACTCTAGCTTACAACTCAGCTGACATTCCAGATGAGATGTTAAGTTGACCACTCATTTACAGTTCTGGTAATTCAGATAGTTGTTAAAAATCTCACGGCACTAATTTGAAGGTGATTAGGTAATATTACTCTTGGTAACATCATCCACAGACATGGGGTCAACTTCCCACATGCACTAATAAAAGACAAAAGTGTGTTAGTCTGTGATCTGTCCGCCAAGAAATCTATAACCTATTGACATAGAGACATGATTTATACCTCGTCTGCCTTCCCCCACCTCCGCAACATTGCCTGACTCTGCCAATGCCTCACCCCTCAGGCTGCCGAAACCTTCATACATGCGTTATTACATCCAGGCTCAACTATGTCAACTCCCTGCTTGTCAGCCTTCCCAACTCTTCCCTCCACAAACTGCAGATCATCCAGAACTCTGCAGCTGACGTCCTCTCACACACCAGGCTCTGTGACCCCATCACACCCACTCTTGCCCAGCTCCACTGGCTCCCCATCCCTCAGAGAATCGAATTCAAAATTCTCGTACTCACCTTCAAGGCCCTCCATGGCCTTGCCACCTCTTACCTTTCCGACCTGCTAACCCCTTATCAACCTGTCCGCTCCCTCCACTCAACGGGCTTTGGCCTGCTCCAAGTCCCTCACCCAGCCTACCCCACCATTGGCGGTTGAGCCTTCAGCCTTTCTGTTCCCACTCTGGAACTCCATCCACATTCTCTTGCCTTGCTCCCTCCCTTGCCTCCAAGGTACGCCTCAGCATCCTCCACTTCGACCGTGCCTTCGGCCACACTCTCTGCCCTCCAGCCTCCCTAATCCCAAACCCCTGCCCCACCCCCTCGCTTGGGTCCTAATCACTGACTGTTTAGCGCCTTGCAACATCCTCCCGACGTGAAACGTGATTTGCAAATGTAATTTTGTATTATATTACCAATGCCTTGGCCAAAATATCTCCTTCATCCAAATTCACCAAAATAGATTAATTGGTAATTCATCTGTTCTTGGGATAAAACTAGTGTATATTAGCTACCATGTTTTCTACATAAGAACAGTTACTGTTGTTGACAATAATCACAGATTGAAAATCACAGGTCTGCACTCACATGCCTAAAAACATCCATTTCGAGCAGCATTGACAGAGGCTAGGATTCAGTCTCTCTATACATCCATTTAATAGGGAAACAATAAGTGGGATGGGATCTAAAGAGGATAGAAAAATAGGGGTAATTCTCAATCATCAGTAAATGTATTGACTTTGTTGGATGAGCACATCTTATATCCACATTGCCACTATCGGTATATTTACCAACCAGTAGAGCATTGGTTGTGCTCTGCTGCTAAAGATGGTGAATTGAAGAATCAGCCCTGATTGTTTTTCTAAGTGAGGGGATGTGGTTGACTACCTCTTAACAAATTTGGCAAACCAATCCAAGCTGTTATTTTAACGTGCATTTTTATTTGTACCACAAGTGCAGTATAATGATAGAGTGATTGTTTCCAAAATTAGTCTTTAGTGCCAACTGAATCGCTAAGTGTCTCCTTCAGCAAGATAACCTTTTGATTGCAGCTGGTGTGAAGTCTGACTTTTGGTTTCTAATTTTATAAATTTTAATAAGGAGGCTGTCTTTATTTTGAACTGACTGGAAAGTGATTAGTAAGTTTAGTTGATTTGTACCCAGCGAATTATACTTCATGCATAATTTGAGCTCCCACCATTAGGACTCCCATTCCATAGCAGTACATGCAGCAGTGCCATTAAGTGCTGTCTCCACTTATTCAATGCTGCTATTTCCAGTATAACAAGAATATGAGAAGGTTTCAGAAAAGTGGAAAATGTCATATGCAGAATAATAATAGGGAATTCTGCATCACGTCCAATTTGTTCTTCGTCTTATCAAAAGTTGCTTATTGCGTGGTGGAAACCAGCTTACTACGCTTTGTTCATTTTATTTTAATTAAATGTGCTTCTAAACCTCAATATTTGCTGTGCATAGTTGTCATCAATATGTTTTCTATAGAGAACCTGCAGCATGTTTATCTGAATTTGTTTTGATAGGGGCTTTATTGTGATATTCGTCAACTTGTCCAGTTCATCAAAGAGGCACATGGGAATGTATTTAGGAGGGTGGCACTAAGTGCTCTCTTGGATAGTGCAGACAAAGTAACACCCGGCAAGAAACCCGAGGATAATGAAGAAAAGAAGATGTCAGTGGGCAAAAGGTATGCCTCTGGCTAGTATTCTATTACAATGAAGTATTTTTTTCCGGCACTATGGTTAAATCTAATGGAGTTAGATTTGATTTGGCAGCAGAGAAGAATCAGCAGTCATGATTTGTTTTCATCATCAACAGTGAGAGACCTGGGTTCGATTCCCGTCAGGGCGAAATGTTGGCAAGTTTCCTTACTCCCCAAGCCTCTGTTTACCTAGCAGTAAGTAGGAACCTGGTTGTTAGTTGATTGGTGGATCATTTTTCTGGGGCAACAATTCCTCCAAAAAAAAAGTTGGTCACTTAATCCATGCTAATGTGGGCAATTGGCTGCTGTGTTTCCCCCACAAAATATACATTCAATTCACTTTACAGTATATTCTGTAAGGTGCTTTGAGACGTCTCAAAGCCATGATAAGGCGCTATATCAAATGCAAGGATTGTTATTATTTATATATGCGAGTGTAGGTAGCATGTGAGGTAGCATCTTGGAGCGCTTAACAGTGGCAGAGCTTTATGCCAAGTATGCAAGTGTTGCAATTTGTTTAATGCAACTAACATTAAATGTTTGAAGACTAAATTTGCTGTTCATGATTAATAGTTGGATTTGGATTTTAGCTTCTTGCACTGATAGATCTAAGCAGCTCCTCTCTGTATGTACTCAACAGTAATTGTTCATACAAGATATTCAAAAGATCAGAAAACAAGAATCGTGAAGTGTCATTCAATTACATTGGGAATAATTTAAAAGTTTTGAATTTGGCAAGATCTCTTCTTCACAGTTTATTGCACAACACAAATTAAATGTTTCAATGGCTTCCTTTGTAATTTTTTACTCTCAGGATATGTTGAAGCCATATTATTGCCTGGTATGGTTTGAGCATAGTCCAGCTTGTTCGTAATGTATTACTGATCGTATCCTATATGCATTTGTGAAATATGCTGAAATATGTATGCTGATATTTCCTGCCCCGTACTGATGAGCAGAAATGCTGGTAATGAACAAGATGAATCAGGCTTTTAATGAAAGTACTGCAATTTGTTGTGTTGATTATAGTGTATGGTTCAGAGTAATACCCAAAAGAAAAATGTTTTCTTTTAATCTGGAAACAACAAATTGACTAGTAAAAGCACTGCTTTGTTTTTAGTTCAGTAATTTGAATTTGATTGATTTCAGAGCTGAAGGAGCACCGAGTGCTGAGAAAGCACAAGCTTCAGCCGCACCTGATGAATGCCGCAGTTTGGTCTCCAGCCGCCCTCCTCAGACCCCAGAACAGTGAGTGTCAGGAAATAAATTGTAGGAATATAGAGAGGATGGCCGGGTTAGAATATTACAGGGCCTTGGGACGTCCTCCTGCCGTGAAAGGCGCTATACAAATGTAACATTGTATTTTGGTGTGAAGTAAATAAATGAAAGATTAGCACTGTCATGCTTTCCCTCCCACCTCTTAAATTATTTAAATAAGAAGTTGAAGAAGAAGATATGGGAAATGAGCAGTAAAGTGGGATTATTGATCTAAATGGAGAAAAATACAAGTGCAGACTTGATGGGGAAAATGACCTGTTTCTGTGCTGTAACATTTTATGATTCCAAGATTCCATCTCCCCAGTGTATCTTTAGGAGAATTGTCCTTATCTTCAGTTTAAAGGTAAATACTGTATATGGTATATCCAAGTTTGTGCTCAAAACTTTAGAAACAACAGCTTGCTATGAACAGACTGCAATGTACTGCAAGAATAAAAAGGAATTTATATTTGCTTAATTCATTTTATTTCCTGGATTTTAAATAAAATGGCATCAATGAAGTTCTATGGTACTTTGCTTATTCTAAATCGTATTCACAGTGAAGAGCAAATCCCAGGAGCTCTGTTGGGTCGAAAAGACTTTTGGCGAAAAATGTTCAAATCACAAAGTGCTGCAAGTGACACAAGCAGCCAGTCTGAGCAGGACACCTCTGAATGCACAACAGCTCATTCTGGAACCACCACAGAAAGACGCTCACGCTCCCGATCTAGAAGGATCTCCCTGAGGAAGAAATTGAAACTTCCCATAGGTAAATTCTCTTCTATTTAATGCATATTATCGGATATGGTGTAGTGGTGTAATCCCATAAATACGTGCACGTTCATCATAATAATAATCCTTGTATTTTGTATAGCGTTTTTCGTGTCAGGTTGTCCCAAACGCTTCACAGGATATACTGTAAAGTGACGGTATGTTTTATGAATAAATGCAGTAGCCAATTTGTGAGAAGGCTTACATTCTCCCAAGTAAGTCTTGCACGTGGTTTCAAAGCCCATTCAGGTTGAATGTTTTTTTTATATGAATGGTATGAATTATATGAATGGTATCTGTGCTGCTTATTATTGCAGGAAACTGGCTGAAGCGCTCTTCGTTGTCAGGATTAACAGATGGTGTTGAAGACCTTCTGGATATAAGTTCTGTGGACAGACTGTCATTTATACGACAGAGTTCAAGGGTACAGAAAACAATTTTGTACTTTTAATGGAAATATCACTTTTCGTTTTCACTTGCCCTCCATACCAATCAGATAAATTTGATATACATAAATCCATGGTGTAGGCAAATTATGGATAGAGATCTATGAAAGTTTAAGTTACCTGGGTGTTACAGTAACTCAATAAAAAGCTGCAGCTGTTGGTTTGTAAAGGATGCAAAATAACTAAAATCTAAATTGGCATTTGGCTCGATGAATGAGTAGAATGCACATTCATCTTATAGTTATGATTGTTGTGGTTACAAAAAATACAAAATAATTTTCCTGAGAATATCTCAAATTCACAGGATTGGTCCATTTTGTGCTGTGTTATCTTACAATTAATGGAAACCCTACAATTGTTTCGAAACTACTGGTAATGTGCAATTATTAAAATAGATTTATCATTGTGGGCATTACTGGCAATTGGAAATCCTTTTGCTTACTGTTAATTTTGAGCTAGTCAATGTGTGAATACTGCCAAAAGGATAACCAGCAGCTATCTGTGGAAAAAGCATCAAATCTCAGTCCACATTAAAATCAAATTATTTTCTATAAAGCTATTTTCTAGCCTTTCATGTTTGGATTTTGTGATTGAGCAATCCACAACTATGACTAACTGAAATTATAATAACTGATAACGTTTAGCATTATTGTTAATTTTACATAATATGAATCCTAGAGCTACATTTATGTGTTGAATACAAAATATAATTATTCTTGTTTCTGTGCGACTTATGAAATCACCATGGATAACACATCAAATACAACTATCATTATGATTAATGCTATACCAATAAAAACGAAATGTCTGTCTGTCCACCAAGATCACAATAACCGATTGACGTGTCATAACCACATTTTGTTCGGAGATCTCCTATCGTTGATGAGCTATATTAAAAAAATGCTTTAATTAAGCCCCCCAAAAACTATGCATGGTATTCTGCAACAAAATAGTGACAGGTCACACAGCATTCTAGAGAGATAAATCTTCTAGAATAATGACAACGAAATGTTTGTCTATGTGTGTGAGTCCTCCCACTGAGTCCTCCCAACAGTAGTCCTCCCAAAAGAGTATGTGTGCAAATATGTGAACAAGAGATGCTAACGAGTTCAATAGTACATTTTTTTAAACTCAAGGGATAAAAATGACTAAGAGGCAAAGATCAAGCCTGTCAAGGACAAATAAAAATGCCACACGAATGAGAGTAGGCCAATTAAATGAACCTGGTTGCAAGAGTGGCTGCAACAGGTACAGCTACTATATGTTTGGATGCAAAGCTTATGAAACAGTAAAGACAGCAAATGCTTATTCATTGTGTTACAATATTGTTGTACACAGGTGAAGTTTAACAGTGCAGTGAAACTCTCTGAAGGTGGGCTGGAGGACGGACGAGATGAAGAGGAGAACTTCTTCAAGCGTCTTGGTAAATGGCGCTCCGGGCGAAGGAATCCATCCAAGCTTCATCACACAGAAGAAAAATATGGTATTTTCCATTGCATCTGATTTCAGAGTTATTTTCCTCCTTGTTTGTGTTCTGTGACTAGCCTGTCATTCAGTTTTTTTTTCATTTTTAACTTTCCAATCATTTATCTTTTTGTTTTACTTTTCTTGGTGTCTTCCTCCACAGTCTTTGTAATCAGCTAGCTGAACAGAATTACCCTCAAACACTACTGCTACCAACAAAACCATTCTTTCATTGAAGATCTTGCTGCCTTCATATGCAAAAAGATCATATTCCGCACATCAGTCAGGCACATTGTATTTTTCGTGGTCTAGAAAAAGGCTCTCAATTTTTTTTAGTGAGTGGAGTAGACAAAACTTTTCCCAAAGAATGGATGTGGAGTTTGTATAAACAAACCCTCTATGACATGGTATGTTGTTCCATGTTCTGAGGTAGATTAGGCCTTGACAAGTTGAATTTCTCATTTTACGTTATAACAACAACAAAATTATATTTGTATAGCGCCTTTCACTTTGGGAGGATGTTCTGAGGCGCTGGACAATCAAGTGTTTCGGACCCAAGTTGGAGATCGTGATTGGAGAGGGGGGAGGGCAAGGGGGTAAGCAGGGTGATCGAACAGGGTGATCGAAAGCACGGTCAAAGAGGAGGGTCTTGAGATGAGTCTTGAAGGAGGCAAGGAAGGGGGGGGCGAGGCGGGGGACGTGAAGCAGACCGGAGCCCTCAGAGCGGAGGGAGCGGTCAGGATGGTAGGGGCTTAGGAGGTCACGGGTGTAAGGGAGAACAAGGCTATGGAGGGCTTTGAAGGTGAGGACTAGGATTTTGAACTCTATCCCCTGATTGGAAGGCAGTGAAGTCAGGAGAGGATGGGAGTGATATGGTCACGGAGCCTGGTGCGGGAGAGGTCATGGGCTGCAGAATTCTGGATGATCTGCAGCCTATGGAGGGAGGAGTTAGGGAGACCGACAAGCAAGGAGTTTGCATAGTCAAGCCTAAATGTTATGAGACCGTGTATGAGGGTTTCAGCAGGCTGCGGTGTGAGACAGTGGCAGAGCCGGGCAATGTTTCGGAGTTGGGGGAAGGCAGAGCGGGTCATGGCACAGATTTGGGGTAGAAAGGACAGTTCAGGGTCAAACAAGTCGCCAAGGTTCGATCCGATTGTAAGGTAGAGTGTGCCACCATGGAGGGTGATGCTGTCAACGCCTGAGGTGTGGAGACGCTGACGGGAGCCAATGAAGAGGGCCTCGGTCGACGTGACCCTTGCTGACGTTTAACTGAAGAAAGTTATGTCTGACAGGCATTTGGTCAGGACAGCAGTGGTTCTGGAGTCGGGTGGAGGCAGAGAGGTACAGTTGGGTGTTATCCGCATGCATGTGGAAGTTCACCCCATGTCTGTGGATGATGTCACCAAAAGGGAGCATATAGACGTTGAAAAGGAGGGGACTAAGGACAGAGTCCTGAGGAAATCCGCACAAGATGATGCGGGGACTAAGAGGAGAAACCGTTTGTGGAGATGAAGTGGAAGCGATGTGAGATGTACGATCTAAACCATTCAAGGACAGAACCATGAAGTTTGAGGTGAGAGGAGAAGCGGTGGATGAAGATAGTGGTCAACTGTGTTGAAGGCAGCAGAGAGGTCAAGGAGGACGAGGAGGCAGAGGATGCCTTGGCCGCAGATGGACAATGTCATTTGTCACTTTGACCAGGGCTGTTTCTGTGCCATGGGCAGCATGGAAACCCGATTGGAAGGGTTCGTGAAGGGACTGGCAGGAGAGGAAGGAGCGAAGCTGGCAAGCAGCAACTTGACAAGAATGTTCCCCAAAATATCTTCACTTTAGCTGAGTAGGAGCAGGTCTCTGGCACAATCAGATAATATGTGAGGTTATGAGTCAGCCACCATTTTCACAAATGACAAATAGTAGGGAGAAGGTTTCATAGTAGGCTGATAAATGTCTTTGTAAAATAGAAGGGGAATATGATGCTCATATTTTAACTCTTCAAACCTATCTTGCAGATTTGATAATGTACAAAGTTTTCATCTCAGAATATTTGTTATGCCCCGGTTCAATGTACTTGTATACCCTACCACAGCAGTAATTTGAACCAGCTGTCATAGCAGTACTACATGCTACATACAGTACGCTGATGTAAAAGTTACTATACACGTGTAATTTGTTGTTGTTTGCTGTTACTTCATCATATCAAAACATATCAAAAAACTTTAATTAAACTAGCCAAGCATGATCTGCCCTTGCAAACCTATGCTGATTCTCTGGTAGAAACATTCAAAGTCAAAATATGATAAATTATATAACTAAGATGCTATATTTATATATATTATTTCAATTTGATTTATAATTTCCCGGTTGCTGTCTTTGTTGTGTTAAGCCATTTTCCCACAGTTCTTGAAAAAACTAGCTTCCAAATGAAGTTTGAAATTAAGACATTTTTCATAATTCTGTTCAATCTTAAATTTTAAGACAAAACAGTCTTGCAGGATAAATATGGCTTCAACAATGATTTATACAGTGGCAGGATTACCCCACTATTTTGGCTTGCTATACCTCACATCTGGTTTGCTTTACTCACTGCCACAGAGCATTGTTGGGAGAACTTCAATTTATTGTCAATCAGGACCCCCAGGTCTTTTTCATTTTCCATACATATTATTTTCCTTCCATTCAAATAATAGTCCCTTCTAGGATTTTTTGGCCCCATGTGAAGTACTTTACATTTCTCCACATTGAATTTCATTTGCCACCGATCTGCCTAATTCCCAAGTATGTTCAAATCCTCCTGTAATCTATCTTGTTCAGCTTTGGAATCTGCCATCTTCATTAGCTTGGTTAATAATAATGGTTAATAATCCTTACATTTGAATTGCCAGGGCAGAAGTCACTGGCCTTATTGCCATATTGAAATGAATACAGTTTATTGTTCCATATTCATAGATTTAACACTCATTTTCTATTAATTCATTTCACTTCATTTCACTGATTTTCTTCTTTAGCTGTGAAGCTTGAATGATTTTCTAGCTATTTTACGCATATGCCTTACTTGACGTTTTGATCTTTGCGTGATAGTTAATTGCAATGGAAGAAACACGGTGCAATTAGCCAATCTGCACAATTAAGAGCTATTGTTAAGATTAAGTGAAAGAATCATTGTCTTACAATCATTGGCTACCAACAGAATATTCTATTTATTTAAGAGATTCTAAATTTTCTTATCTGTTTCAAAATATAAGCGATAATTTGGTGTAAGGCTGAATTATAATAAATAGAAATATGAATTGTAATTCAATAAAATGGTGTTATATTTCAATAGGACACTTATTTATACAAGTTGATACCAATTTGTGATTTTTATTTTTTTTTGAAAACTCTGTCCTAAGAAAATCAATTGATGGTGCTTTAAAATATCTTGGTGATTGAGATGTCATTCTAGTAGAAATAAGACTTTTACTTTCACTGGTGTTTCATCATATAGATTTAATAAATCCTTGCACCATCCACTGTCTCAAATCAGAATGTGCAGATTGTTTTTCTTTAATATTGGGCAAATTAAATTGCTCCTTGTAAGCAAGGAACTCTTGATCTGTTCAGTTAATTCAAACTGAAACAACTGTCATTTAATGAATGGAGGTAAGTCACTTATATACTTATAAGAAGGGTGATAACAACTTGTTCATTAACTATTAAGAGATTGTAAGTCGATCATTGAATGTTAACTGTTTCAATGTTTTTTGAAAAAAGGTGATTATGAGATGATCTTTCAGAAAAATATGTCAAAATGTCAACAAAATCAGAATTGTCCCACTTGGTTTGCTTGCTTTTCCTCTTACAATACAATTCCTCTTACACTTTTGTATTTGGAGTTGAGGTACATATCAGCCATGATCTAATAGATTAGTGGACCAGACTCGAAGGGGCTGAATGGTCTACTCATGAATTATTTAATTCATACAATATTTTTCTTAATGGAGTTGCAATGGTATTATCCAAGTTATAAATAGTAAAAGTGTATTTAATAGTCAGGTTATACATGTGTACAAGGATATTGTTATAGATATAAGGAAGTGGGAAATATACTTTTGGACTAAAGAGTAGATTGATTAATGAGACAGATTTGTCTAATAATATTATAGCATGATTGTACCCTAGCTGTGAAATAGGAGATCTTTAACTTGAGGAATTATATAAAAAGCACATTTGATTTAATAATCATAATTTCCTATAGGCCCCAATTTTTTTTTATTAGAGGTTTATAATATTACTGTTCTATCATAGTGACTATTAGTAACCTCCATGTTCTGTAGAACTAAGGGGATTTGCAGGTTCCAATTTATAGAGTTGAGTCTACTCTATAGATTACTCTATAAGATTACCTTGTGCAGTTCTGTAACTCAGTGGTTACAGGACTCGCTTTGCAAGCGAGAGACCTGGGTTCTATTCTCAGCCGGGTGAAATGTTCGGCAAGCTTCCTTACTCCACACGCCTCTGTTTGCCTAGCGGTAAGTAAGAACCCGGTTGTTAGTCGATTGGTGGATCGCTTTTCCGGGGATAATAATCCTTAAAAAAATAATTATTTGGTCACTCATTCCACAACTGTTTGTGGGATATTGCTGTGTGCAATTGGCTGCTGCGTTTTGCCCACAAATATACAATCAATTCACTTTATAGCATATTCTGTGAAACGCTTTGAGACGTCTAGGAGACATGAAAAGCACTATATCAAATGCAAGTATTATTATTACTCAAATTGCACATTTAAATTAGATATTTAAATTAGATTGAATTGCATATTTCATTAATGTTGGAATAATGGAATATTAACTATGGGTTCCAAGTTTCCTAAAGAAATGATTGGCCATTTTTGAATTGTAGAGAAAAGTCTAGTTTCATGTTAATCTAATTTACGTAAATTATGTCTGAACTATTTAATTCCTAATATTTTTTAATGGAGTTACAGTGGTATTATCCAAGTTCATACTTAGTTAACAATGTGTATTGAATTTAGCAACAAAATTAGTTTTTAATTGTCCTAATTTTCACCATGATTCGTTAATATTGAATATTTTATAATTGAAGGATTTACAATTTCAAAAGTACAGATAAGCATTAGTCTTCCATTTCTTGAAAAATAGGAAAAATTATGTTCTGTGTAAAAATGACCATGGAATGTAACCTGATGGTTAGATTTTTGTAAAGGTAAGGCTTGTGATCAGTTTATGAAAATATAAAACAAATGCTGAGGCGGCCTCTTTCTACCTCATACTATGCAACAAGTAAAATAACAAGTACATTCACTTCTGTAATATTGTACTGTTTATTAAGAATTATTAAGAACTTGATTTACATAAAATGCCAGGATTGCCGTACAAATCTTGCCTGTTGGTAGTACAGTTCAATCTAGATAATGTAATTTATTTTGGTAAGCTTGGTGTCTGATGCTTGTGGAAAGACTGTTCACCATGCTTATCCAAACTGAGCTCCATGCAAACCACCTATATATGGAAATTCCAGAGAATGGATGTATCCTGCTTATCTAATTCTGTAGAGGACTAGGTGTAGGTTGTTGAGAGCCAAGGCTTGGGGACTCCGGAGTGTGTGTTGGGGGTAACTGCTGGAGTTTTAGCAGCTAAAACTGCATAGCTTGCCATTGAAAGCACGTCTGACAAGCATTTCTGCTGCTTGTCCAGCAAGGACTGAACTGAATGGAAAGAGTCACTGCCCCATTGACTGGTCTGCACTTTCAAGTCCTGCTGATGAGCTAGTCTGTCATCAGCAGTGCCCCACCGCTGCATACTGTAGACCCGTCTGTCTTAAGAACCAGACTACTGAGGGTCGGTCAATTCTGACATTCCGTTGCCAACCATGTCACTTTTAAGCTAGTTCAGCTACCCCACCCCCCCAAACCAAGAGGAATGTGGATAAACACAACACAAGTAGGTGTTGGTTATCAATGGACACTGCTATGCGCAATTGGCTGCCGCATTTCACCCACAAATATGCAGTCAATTAACTTTAGTGTTAAGCGCTTTGGGATGTCTAGAAGACATGGAAAGCGCTATATCAAATGCAACGATTATTATTATCAATGGAGTTTCAAGGTTCTATCCCCCATTTTGCTGTGGAGAGATATCATTGAGCATCGAGAGCAGTTAAATCTCAGTGACAGGGTTTACAATTAAGCTTGACGAATTTGAAGAGACTCAGATCATAGAAAGAATTGGAGATATTTATTATTAAAATACATTGATTAGCCTATCCAAAAGTTATCTTATATGTAATTGGTACAGTATAGTACTATACATTATATCTTTACAGGCTGCCGAAGTTTTGAAGAACGTCTTGCAGCCAGCCAGGAAGGAGCCAAAAACAAAAATATTGTGAATCTTGGAGCCATTAGACAAGGCATGAAGCGATTCCAGTTCCTTTTAAACTGCTGTGAGCCTGGCACAATACCTGATGCTTCAATCCTGGCTGCAGCTCTTGACCTGGTAAAAAAAATGTGTTGCTCTCTAGTAAATTCTGATTTGTAGTGCATACAATTATCTCACAGTTTGTAGAATATTCCACTGCCCCCCTAAATTGCCTTTAGTCCTCTTCCTTCCTTCCTTCCTTCCTTCCTGTCTCATCTCAATATTTTTTCATATTCTTTCAACCCAGGAAGCACCTGTTGTAGCAAGGGCAGCACTGTTTCTGGAGTGTGCCCGGTTTGTGCACCGATGTAACCGTGGAAATTGGCCAGAGTGGATGAAGGGTCACCATGTTAATTTAGCAAAAAAGGGTTTATCAAGAGGAAGATCTCCTGTGGTTGGAAATAAGCGTAATCAGAAGCTGCAGTGGAATGCAGCAAAGCTGTTCTGTCAATGGGGTGAGGTATGTATTGTCCTTCACCGGCAAAAAAGAAAATCTGTTAAAAGCAGAAAGAACATGGAATAGAGTTCATTCTGCTAACTTGTTGGCCGTGTTGTTGGTGCACAAATTGGAGTCAACATTGAAAGAAGTCCCAGAAGTTTACCTGTATTATCCCTGTAGAGGCTCAGAAAGTGCTTTGAAACACTGTANTTTTTTATCATAGGCTATTGGTGCAAGATTGAATGAGCTGTGCCATACAGAGAGTGAAAGCCCTGCAAATATACTGGGTTTTATTTATGATGATGAGACAAAAAGACGATTGAAGAAGGAAGATGAAGAAGAGGATTACCTTGATGACAGTAGGTCATATTACTTTATTTTTACGCAGAAATGATTGCACTCAAAATTCCCTGATGGCTCTGTTGGTAAATGAACATGTGCAGATGCTAATTGAGGACAGTTGTGGCTGACTGTGATGCACCCCTGGAGGTGCTTTGTGTCTCAGCTCACAAATGATAACGGGCAACTTGGGCAGGGTTATAAGGGTTGGTGTTATGTGTGGAGCTGTATATGTAGAATGATACCAGCACCTTAAAACAAGAATGGGAGAAAATTGGGATTGAGAGGAAATGTTTATACACCAAACTTTAAAACTCAATGGACTTACATTCTTACTATATATGGAGGTTTAAAATGTTGGTGATAATATAATGAGTCCTGGAAATATCTTTCTTCTTGGTTTAATATGGTTAAACTTTAGAGCTGAAGGTTAGCAGATTCGAGCATCTACATTCGATGTTAGAAGCATGTTGATATTGGTAAAAGGTGTTGGTAAAACTCATGTTCTCTGACATGTTTGTGTTTTAAACTCTTGTTTCCACAACTCTCATTATTCCTTTGTGTCCAACAGATACTGTTAATCCTAACAAGTGCGGTTGTCCATTTGCACTGAAGATGGCAGCGTGTCAGCTCCTTCTGGAGATCACAACATTCCTTCGGGAAACATTCCCTTGTTTGCCTCGACCACGTGCAGAGCCTCTTGTTGTGAGTATAACCAGCGCCTGTTTTGTACAAACTTTAACCTCCTTCAGAAATGTACTAAACTAGCCACTCTAGCTGTAGTTTAGAGTTTCACTGTTCAGTTAAGTATTTTTTTCTTAACTGGAAATACGATTGAAAGAAACATGGCCAGAAAAACACAAAACAATGCAAACAGTGCACCTACTTTCTACTAGTTTGTAATATAAATAGCAAGTAATTATATTTGTGAAGATGTATTGTGAATTTTGCAGCAATTCAGCAGCATCAAGATTTTCGGTCCAACAAGATGAATCAATGTAAAATATCTTTAAATTAATTGCAATGCCTTTTCACTGTGTTCAATAGGATTTAGACAGCTGCAGACTGCGTCTTGATCCTGAATTAGATCGACATAGATATGAACGCAAAATCAGTTTTGCAGGAATTCTTGATGATGAGCAAGACTCAAAGGATTCTCCACACAGCAGTAGCCATACTCTTAAATCAGATACAGCCTGTGAGGAGAGAAAAGGTTGGAAGGATTTTTTTCTCTTTTCTGTAAAGCTGGATATGATTTCCCTTAACAAAAAGTTGCAACTTAATCATAAAGCACTGGCAGTTTATCCCTGGATTTAGTTTTTTGATGCATCCGGGTCAGCAAAGCTATTGATGAGTGCCGTTGCACATGGATTAAGATGGAGAGGATGATATTGCAATCTCCAGGTTTTACAGCTCTTTAAACAGTGTATATGATTGTAAGTTCCTTCATTTTATGCAAGCACGTGTACTGCAATTTCCATAACAGCAGCTTAACTTCTTCAGGTAAGATTTGAATGTGCTGCTGGCCAGAATACTGCCACACAAACTATTTAATGCTCTATTAAAATGCAACAACAGATGTTCACAAATTTAATGACTCTCCTATACCAGAATTTTTGATGGCATATTTTGGCCCCTCTAACAACTAAATTTTAATTCTGTGATTATGTATCTATCATAAGATTGAAGCAAGATTTCTTCCTTTATCACTCCAAATGATTTCCCATGCTTTACAAGTAATTACTATCAAGTGTAGGAACAGATTTTGTTGCCAGAAAGCAATTAATAGCACAAATTATTGTTTTACCATTTATATTTTCCATGTTAGTTTATTTTAAGCACTTTCAGACATCCTCCCAACATGAAAGGTGGTATATAAATGTAAATTGTATTGTATTGCCCAGTATCATTATAATATGGGAATATATTTCATAATTTTTGATGGCTGACCTTCCATTTTTGTAGGACCAATAAGGAAAGTAAGACCAGGCAGTTCCCGTCTGCTTCAGATAAAGGGAACAAGAAGCTTTCGAATAAAGAAAGGTGGTTCCTTGTCTAGCATTCGCCGAGCTGGTAGCTTAAAGAGCACTAAGCTATCACGGCATGACTCAGAGTCAGAAAATGAAGAGCTTCTGATGTCTCAAAGCCACGATACAGTTACTGATATAGGTAATTTTGCTTTATGCATTTAAATAAAATTCTCATTAAACATTTTTAGCATGAAAATATTCTACTTATAACTTCTCTATATGTGACAGGGAGCCCCTGGAGTACCAGTGAACCCAGCATTGAACCAGAAGGACTGAGTGCAGTGGGCACAGAAGAAAATTACCACAGGAACATGTCATGGCTGGCAGTATGTTATAATGGAATCTAATTTTTATTTTCATTTACTTTAGATCTCTCCATCAGGCTTGTGAGCCATGAACTTGAAGCTGGATCTAAATAATGTAAAATAAGGGAATTATCCACAATGCTGATGATCAACTCAAGCTTTTTGAATCATTGGTATTCTCCATATATTGAAAGCATCTCAGTTCGTACTAAGTATCTGTTTGTATGCGTGCTTGTACTGAGCCTCAAGGTTACAAACCTAAGGTCAGGAAAGTTGCACCATTTTATAAAGTAATTTTCTAAATTATTTGAAGGGAATACTTTGAACAGAAAGTGTACCCTCTACTTATTTAGATTTTTAAAAAAAAACAAATGTTCCACATTGTTTTAATAGCATTTGAGTCACTGACAAGAACACAAACCATATTCATATTTAAAAATAACTACACTGCAAGGTGCTTGACAGTGTCTGTACTGTTGTTGTCTTTTTTTCCCCCTTTCATTTAGTGAAACTTTCTCACAGGATAGTTTCACAGATGTGAGGAAGCATATTATAATTTTCAGATGCAGATTACATCTCCAAGCCTGATTATAAATGAGGTAATTGAGGTATCCGGAATTCGAACCTAGCTTGGCACGAACCCCAAATAATTTTTTTTTAAATTCCGTAGACCAAACATTTCTGTGAGCCCACGTATCTACTGCCGACTCCCAACTCTCCTAGCATGTAACAAAGTCACGCTGATCAGCCTCACCATCCTTGCTGGCCTTCACAGTGGCCAGTGATATGGTCTTTGAATCCTGTAAGCAGAAGATAGCTTATTCACTATATTCTGCTCACGGGTTTCAAACAATTACAGTACAGTACCAGCATTTACTGGCATTTTTGAAAAATGCCGCTACTGGCATTGTAATTACACTCAGCTGGAAATTCTGGATCACCGGACCGGATCAATCCCACCCACCCTTTAGACTAATTAGCCTGGGTTTACGTGTATGTATTACTGCGTCGATAAGCTTGTGAATATATTTTCCTGAATTTTATATGACTATGACATTTGCTTTCTTCAGATTATGATATTACTGTGCAACCAGCAGAGTTTCATCTGCTGTCATGTTGATTACTGCCATCCGCGATGTTACCAACACCACAGCCGATCGTGTGCTCGGCTCGTGCGGGCCATCAAACTCCTGTACGGAGACACTGTGGATTCTCTCCGAGATGATGACAACAATGCAAGTAAAATAAGCATCAAGTCCAAGAAGTTAAAGGAGGTATTTATCATTCGTGAATGACAGTTATTAAAGACTGGACTCCTCAAGAATAATAGTANTTTTTTTGTCTGTTTGCAGTCTGCCCAAATAATGCAAGGAGCGATCACAAGTGCCGTTATTTCATATTGGCATCTAATATGTAGATGACATTTGCAAATTTGTAATGTCCCAATGAGAAATGTGCTAAGTGTGAACTATCCCTCACGCAATACCATTATCCAAGAAGCCACGATGTGCATTCAATTTCTATTTGCATGCCTTCTGGTGAGATAATGGTTTGACCATTTTTTTTTGTTTAATACAGTGCTTTTCCTACTAACCCATTCCTGCAGTTTGCTTGTATTATTTTTCAGAATACAATGCATTGGTTATCGAACTCTGTTCCCTTCCAGTGCTCTGACAAGTCGTGTTTACGTACGCCTTCTTTGAAAAAGCGGATAACTGTTACTAATTTGGAAGGCAAAAAGGATTCTGGAATGTTGAAATATATCAGGAATCAGGTACAGTTACAGATCTATTCATTGATTTGGTATTTCCTCTGGGACTAGAATCTGAAAGCCCCCGGAAAAGCAATCCACCAATCAACTAACAACCAGGTTCCTACTTACTCTAGGTAAACAGAGGCATGTAGATTAAGGAAACTTGCCTAAGGTTTCATCCTGCTTGGGAATCAAACCGAGGTCCTCTCGCTTGCGAGGCGAATCTCTAACCAGTACGCTACAGGACACCAAGGGTTCTGCATAATTTGGTGCCGTATTCTGCTTGGTGGATTTTCAGTGCTGTTGAGAGTGGCTCAGTCAACTGCAATGCCCATTAACACCATTGGTTTTGAAAAAGTAAACGTGTGGGAGGCAATGTGATGACTTGATGATTTGGAATGATTCATTGTTCACAAATAATAATTTGTGCATGTACCATTATTCTATATATGATGTAGTACTCTGTGTGTATTTGTGTGCAGTTAAACTGTTTTTATTATGTTGTATTATACTAAGAGTTTTGTGCTGCTATATTGTGCAAAACATTTCCAGTTTGTGGATGCATGGAGCAAGTGCTCTCTTGTCTCGCATCCATTCCACGTTAATTTTTTTTTAAAGTGACTTTGCTATTATGTCTGTTACGAATACACTTCAAACATTCACTCTTGTTTTTTCTCATGTTTTATAGGTGATGAGTCTGTCTCCAGCTCCACTTTCTCTGTTGATCAAAGCTGCTCCCATACTGACTGAAGACATGTATGGTGACATACAGCCTGCAGCCTGGGAGCTTCTCCTCAGTGTGGATGAACACATGGCTGCTGCAGCTGGTAAACCATGAAACCAGTTGTGACATAAAATGCTGTACAATACATAATTATAGGTTTCATCAGTTTCAATCCCTTGGGTTCCTACTAATGGTTGTTGGCCACTAAGCTAGGGGTATCGCTGGTGATGGTGATTATATCAGACTAGATAGAACTCTTGATCAGCAGACTAGAAGTAGAATATCATCACTCTACCAAGTTTCACCAAGCAAATCCCATATTGAACTCTTAAAATGATTCTCACTGGGATTTTGAATAAACTCCTAATAACTGACAGGCAGCAGAAACCTGAGTCCTGAATTTGATCCACTGTTTCCAGGGGGAGCCCAAAAATGCATAGTCATTGCACTTTACAATGTGAAGTGTGACGCACTTTGAGACGTCCTCCCAACTTGAAAGATGCTACACCAAATGCAAAGATTATTCAATGCAAATTTATATTTATATTGAGCTTTTCACGTCAGGAGCATGTCCCAAGGCACTTGGCTTGGCACCCGAGCTGAAGGTGGGAGCTGAGGGGAGGGGAAAGCCAACTGCGGGTTTGGTCAAAGAGGAAGGTCTCGAGGCGAACCTTGAAATGCGCTATAGAATTATTATTATCCCTCAATTAAGTGCACCCTCTCAGTTTGTTTGCTGTCTTATCTCACCACTGTTTTGTTCCTTCCCACAGCGGCCATGTTCCTGCTTTGTGCAGTCAAAGTTCCTGACACTGTGTCAGACATGGTAATGTCTGAATTTCACCATCAGGAAGTAGTACAACGCATCAATGCTGTTGTGAAATTTTACACACTCTGGAGATTCAGATATCAGGTTTGGCCACGCATGGAAGAAGGTGCTCAGCAGATCTTTAAGGTACTGCTGTGCTGAAATCAAGTATTGCCTTATCACTAATTGTCAAACTAGGTTGATTCAATGATGTTTTTGTCTGGCAAAGAAATAGGAGCATCTTTAGGATGTCAGTAATTCATAGCAAACTGGTGTACTTGTCTGAATGCAAACAAGCTGCATAATTTTTTGACTTAATCTTTGATAGAGAAACTTACAAAATATCATCCCTGGGATGTGACTTTGGCTATAAAACATTTATGAATCCCGGGGATAGGCTTATATTTGTTGTTTTGACCAAAAAGAATGTTTACTTTCTGAAAATTGTTCATCAGTTTATTGGTATAATATGAAAATCTAAGCGCTTTGCGACATCTCGAAGACGTGAAAACCGCTATATCAAATGCAAGGATTATTATTATCCTCTGCTTTAAAATGCCATTGGTTTTATAGCTTTAGAAACAAAATAACAAATCTGAAACATTTAATCTGTTTACGAGAGATTGATTTTTGAACAAATGAGCAATATTTTCAGTAAATCAAGTCTTTAAAATATTCACACTGATAAACTTCTATTTGGGGATGTCTAGACATAGGCAATTAAATATTTATAACAATTCTGAATGCGCTTTCAGATATTTTCTGTAGTCATCAGTTTTGTAATGAATCAGTATTTGCAGACTATTATATCCTGTTGCATATTCTAAATATGCTGTTTATCTTACTAACTCTATTTTTTGATTTGGTATTCAAGATTCCGCCTCCAAGTATAAACTTTACTTTACCTTCTCCAATTTTGGGCATGCCATCTATACCAATGTTTGATCCCCCTTGGGTTCCACAAAGCTGTGGGAGGGTACAGGACCCCATCAATGAAGATCAATCTGTAAGTTTTTTTTTAACATTTTGGTGGTAAACAATTTTTAAAATGTATTAATTTCATACAATTTTCCAGGTCATGTTTTAGTAGAGACTAAAGGGATTGGTATCTGTTTACTGATGTGCACTCATTTGTTGTTCAACAACAACAACAAAATTACATTTGTATAGCAGCTTTCATGTCAGAAGGACGTCCCAAGGCAGTGGACAGTCAAGAAGTTACGGACTCGAGCTGGTGATCGGGATTGGGGAAGGTGGAGGGCAAGGGGGGAAGCAGGGTGTTCGAAAGCACGGTCGAAGTAAAGGGTCTTGAGATGGGTCTTGAAGGAGGCAAGGGAGGGAGGCGAGGTGGAGAGGCTGTGGGATGGAGTTCCAGAGGGTGGGGGCAGAGCGGCAGAAGGCCCGCCCGCCATTGGTGGGGCGGGCGAGGTGGGGGACATGAAGCAGGCCGGAGCCCTCTTAGCAGAGGGAGCGGGCAGAATGGTAGGGGGTTAGGAGGTCACCGAGGTGGGGGGAAGGAAGACCATGGAGGGCTTTGAAGATGAGGACCAGGATCTTGAACTGTGTCCTCTTTTGTTCAGTCCAAAACAGATGATATTCTAACTCCCAGGTTACCATTAGGCATTCATTCTCATTCTCAATCTCCACATGCATTGATGACATTTTATTGTAACTGAAATTGTGTAATGCAGATGATACTTTCATTTGCCTTGGACAGCCTTGAATCCCTCCTTCAAAGAAAAATAATTCATGAAAATAACACTAATTCCAATAATTGTAATCATTTGGATATTCACCTAACACTTCTTTTATCTAATGCTATATGTTACGATGTTACTTATGATTTAGATACTGCATTAGAAAAAATATTAAAACATAATGTCATCCAAACTCTACCATGTGGGGTTAATAAATGTAGTAAGAATATATAGCACAATAAATAACTGTTTGAATTTTGCTCAATAGATTGAATAGCCTTGTATTCAATACAGTGTTCATGTTACTAATCCCGTGTATCATATTTTCAAAATAACTTTAAATTGAAACACATCTAACGAGATGTTTTGATATTAATCTAACTTTCATGGGACAGTTCATGAAATTGCATTGTGTAAAGAAAGTACTATACGATTTTGATTAATTGAATGCACGATCTATTCCAGAAATCCTTTTCAGCTCGTGCAGTTTCGCGCTCTCACCAGCGAGCTGAGCACATTCTGAAGAATCTGCAGCAGGAAGAGGAGAAGAAGCGTCTGGGTAGAGAGGCCAGTCTCATCACAGCCATCCCAATCAAACAGGAGGCTTGCTATGAACCTACCAGCACTCCACCACCTGAACTTGAGGAAGAAGGTGTTCACCTGTAGAAATTTTTGAACATTTCTTCAAGATTATATATTTTTTAAAATTGCTGTTTGAAAATGTACTTTCATGTTCTTCACTGAGGGAACTACTCTGCTCAAAGGAGCAAAATAACGTTAGCCAATAGGAACATAAGAGAACAGGAGAAGGCCATTAAGACCAGAGAGCTTGATAGATCTTTTAATCCTAAAGCCACCCAATAAATTCAGGGAATCTACAGAGAAGATGTCAATTTCTGCTTTTGTAAAGTTGGATTGAAGCTCTTGGCATCTGACATAGTTTAACAGTTCTTTTCAATTCCATTTAAAAATGAATTGAAAACCTTTCTTTTATGCAACATATGGGTGTAAAGTTTATGTTGGACTTATGTAATGTGGGCATTAAATTTTGATATTTCCCACCTTTGCCAGTAGAAGATACTACAAACTTGGCATCCCGCCGGTTGTCTGTCAGCCCATCCTGCACATCCAGTACATCCCATAGAAATTACTCATTCCGCCGAGGGTCTGTATGGTCAGTGCGGTCAGCAGTCAGTGCCGAAGGTAAGCGCAGGTTATCATCTTAGTTAATAAATAAGTACAAATGGCTACATATTTTACTTAGTCATGGACAAGGGAATTGGGCTTTGCAAGTGCTTAACGGGTATTACTATTTTTTATGCAGATGAGGAAAATGCTACAGAACACACTCCAACACATCATGTTCTACAGCCTCCCCAGGCTGTATTTCCTGCATGTATCTGTGCTGCGGTGCTACCCATTGTTCATCTTTTGGAGGATGGAGAAGTACGAGAAGATGGTGTGGCAGGTAACATTTCTCATGTTCTGGCTGACTGCGTGTTGCTCATTGGAACAAGGGACAAAAAGCTAAAAATAGCAAACTAACCTATAAAATTCTTCTACACATAACTGTATCACAAATGACAGATGCTGAGTAGGTTTCTGATGATAAACCAAAGTGCATATTAAACATAGTACCGGTTTATCTTGTAACGTGCCTGCAGATTATGGCAATCTATTTAATTATGTTCTATACTTACGTGGAAATCAATCTTTTACTCTTAGAGTGCAAACACATTTGCTCCACGCTGCTCTTATCTCAGCTACCTGTGAGAACATAACTTTTTGATTCTATTTAAAATGAGCAGAATGTCTTTACAGTTGAGTAAGTAGATTTAATATTAATACTAATCACTCATGGAAAAGTGACTGCTTTGCTTTTAGCATCAGTAAGGATCGATTAGCCTATGTGTTGCTTTTCTTTAGTGAGTGCAGTGGCACAGCAGGTGTTGTGGAATTGTTTGATTGAAGACCCCGCACTTGTTCTACGTCACTTTCTGGAGAAGCTTACTATCAGCAACCGCCAGGTAATGCAGTTCATTTACAAAGCAATGTCACACTCACCTGATGGGAGCTGTGGGATGATTTTGACTCACTTGATGGGATTATTTGGACACACTAAAATACCCAACATCATACCTCGGTTTAATGTCTTATCCAAAACACGACCTCTCCTACAATATAGCGATCTACCAGCACTGCTTTGCGAGCCAGTCAAGACTACGTGTTTGAAGTCCTGACATTGGATTTGAACCTACAACCTTATGATTCAGAGAAGAGAGTGCTATCAACTGAGATAAACTGACCCCTAATTAATGTTTTCTATAGTGATTACCATTACTTTACATATGTTACCTATATTTTAAAAAAAAGTTCTCAGGTGCTTTGGTCTCACAAAAAAATTGCAAAATTATGCAGAATCTGTTAAGAATCCAAGTCCTGGCATTGAAATTATCTATATTTTCCAAATGAAAAATTGTGCATGGGGCCTCTAAATCTATGGTTTGGTAATGTGAGGGAGACAATGTCTTTGATTTGTATTTCCAGAATTCAAGATCCAACAGTACTCTCAGCCTCCCATAAGGCTAAATATTACCATTTAACTTTTAAATGTATCAGTCCATTTCTTAATTTCTGCGCAATTTGCCCATGATTAAAGTTAATGGAAAGTTTACAGGGACTTTCACAGACGAGTTTTAATTTTGATGAATGAATGGATTGTTGCAACAGTTATCAACGCATGCATTTCAGTCATGTCTTGTGAAGAATTTTACATTTTATAAGATCTTTATATCACCGCGGTATATAATTTTCATTTCGAATCTATTAAATTGCACAACAAATGACGTAATGCCTTGTTGCTGTATGACCTTCTGCAGGATGAGCTGATCTACATGCTGAGAAAACTTCTGTTGAATATTGGCGATCTACCTGCTCAGACATCTCATATTCTGTTTAACTACTTGGTAAGCATTGCTAGCATCTGAACAACCGATTTTATTTATTGTGAATATTTCAGAACAACATTTTTCTTGTGAGATGGTATCCATTTTCCTTTTCAAAAGCTCTTAAAGTTGGAAGTGTTTTCTGTTATAATCTAGGGGAAATATGATGGTTAATAGAGTAATTTTTGCTCCATAGTTTTCTTCACCTTGATGCCAATTAAAAAGCATGTGTAAAGTTGTTTTAGAATTGTGCCTCCTCTGACAATATGCTAGAGCCTACTTAGATTTAGTTATGCACTTTTATGATTCTATTTATTTTATATTAAAATGGCATTAGAGCAGAAATAAAGTACCATTCTCTACTTTTTCCATTTAATTTCAGGTTGGCTTGATAATGTACTTTGTGCGTACCCCTTGTGAATGGGGTATGGATGCAATCTCAGCCACTCTCACTTTCCTTTGGGAGGTTGTAGGCTATGTGGAAGGCCTATTCCTCAAAGACCTGAAACAAACAATGAAAAAAGAACAATGTGAAGTCAAACTGCTAGTTACTGCATCTATGCCAGGTAGGATCACGCCACCCACTGAAAGCCAGAATCAAATGTGACATAGTTATTGGTACATGTCATTAATGATTACTGTTGATAAAATTAGAAATGTATCTTCATCATCTCTGTGTATTGTATTCTGGTTATTAATTGCCTCAAAAAAATGACTCATTGGTTAAATTAGGCACAAAGACCCTGGTTGTACATGGACAAAATGAATGTGATATTCCAACACAACTACCAGTGCATGAGGATACACAATTTGAAGCAGTCCTCAAGGTAAAGCAATTTTTATGTGTCATTTAATTGAAAATAAATCTGGATATTATACACTGTACATTGTATTTCCTATTCTCTATAAACATGCTCATTGCTTGATGTTTCCTTTTCTAGGAATGTTTGGAGTTCTTCAATATTCCTGAAGCTCAGTCTAGCAATTACTTTTTGATGGACAAACGATGGAACCTGATACATTATGCTAAAGTAAGGCTTTGGATGGGTTAGCTAATGGCCTGCTTCTGTTGGAAATTTACTATGTCGCTATTTATTATGAGCTTTTGATGTTATATTGTAGATAATTGCTGAATATTGCAGAAATAATGAGAAAGCCTATCTCTTGAGTCTTTATTCAATGGATTGTGTAAATAAATGAAAGATTCAAAATTGGTTCTTTACCTAAATTTACCAGTGGAAACAATTTGTATTTGTTAGGAGATATTTCCAATAATGTTTTTTTTAACGAAATAGTGCTTTGTGAATCAGATCCAGGAGTCTGTTATTTTTATCTCTCTCTGCTCCTTTTCTCTCTTCATCTTTGGCAATCCACAGGTAACCCTCTACCCATTTGCCCAAGTATCTGTTCTTCATATGCAAGCTTGAACAATTAAAGGCTATTTAACTGAGGAGGGGAAACCATCACATCTGAACCCAAGCATTTTCATCACTTGGCATGCACTTTTCAGTAGGGGTTCATTGAATAATAATTAGTAATGGGATCTTTGATAGGCCACTTTGTAATCAAGGGATTACAAAACCACTGACAGTGAGGCCAGTTGCCAGACATCTAGCTCAGCACAAGCAAGGCATCGAACTTAGTCTCCATGTCCTTGTATCACACCACAGTCTTTCATTGAACTATTTCTGAGTATTGTGGCTGTTTTCTTTGCAGACTTATGTGCGCGATATATATCCCTTTCGACGGTCAGTCTCACCCCAACTGAATCTGGTTCACATGTTGCCAGAAAAAGGACAAGAATTGATTGAGAAACAGGTAAGGACAAGTGTTCTGTGGTGCCACCTAAAGGCTGTTTATGTAGCTCTTTCTTTGGACATAGATGTTATCCCATTAAAATACATTTTTAGCAAAGACACCATTTAATGTTCAGAGTCATAATCAGAATGAGAGCTATCCCGGTAACTAAATCTGATGCTGTGGGCATCCTTATGCAGAGAGATCAGTTCAGTCGAGAAATCAACTGAACTCCCAACGATTGACATTTATAGAATGAAAGTCTCTTAGGCTCTCAAATGTGACCAGAAAGCATCAACCAGAGAGAAGGAAGAAAGAATTAATGATGTTTACCAAAAACACGGCAGAAAATGCATGTTTTTATGAGGGGCTTGATAGCAGTGGAGGAAAAGAGGCTTTGGGAGAGAATTTCAGGGGAGAGTGGTGGAGTCCTGTGGCTTCGTGGTTGGAGCATTCGCTTTACAAGTGGGACCTGGGTTCAATTCCTGGTAGGGTGAAACCTTGGGCAAGTTTCCTTATCCACACGCCTGATAATAATCCCTCAAGAAAAAAACAATAATAAATTGGTAATTTCAACCCACGACTGTTTGTGGGACAGTGCTGTGCGCAATTGGCTGCCATATTTCTCCCACAAATATACACTTTGCAGTATATTCTGTGTAGCGATTTGAGACATCTAGAAGACGCGAAAAGTGCTATATCAAATGCAAGGATTATTATATATTAGTATTTAAGCTGCAGCTTTTAAACAAGCTAAGGTGTTACACCTATTTTCAAACAGGTGTTTACTCGGAAACTGGAGGAGCTTGGCCGTGTGATGTTCCTGGTGTCCCTCACCCAGCATATTCCTGCTGCGCACAAACAATCACACGTATCTTTGCTACAAGAGGATCTTCTTAGACTACCATCTTTCCCACGAAGTGCCATTGATGCAGATTTTTCTTTGTTTGGTGAACATCAAGGTATCTTTGTACTTCATCATCTATCAGTTACAACCAGATTACAGCAGGTCTATTTTTTGTAGAGTTGTGATACAGCAATGTCAGTGAAGCAAAATCACTCCTTTGATTTACAAAAAGAACAAATGCAATTTGAATTAGTTTGATCCAAAGATATTAAGATTCCTAATCAGATTTTTCTGCATGAAACTGATTTACATTAAGTTACTGGACTGTAAAGATTCACATTGTTATCGCAATAACCGATGTTTAACGAAGTCTTTCAATATGCATTGATTAAGATGAATTGCCTTGTATCTCTAGCCCCTAATTTTTTAATGGAGTCACTTAGTGTAACCACAGTCCCATTTCTACCATGCACGTACATTTGTAATAATTGTTTTACAAATTATACCGTTTTGAATAGTTGGATTGCTGTTAAAATACAGTTGTAAATTTATTGCTTTAACATAATATATCAGCCTTTGGGATGAGCTCCTTAACATATCTTTCAGGTAAAGAGCTGTTTGGACTTGATACTCTTCATAAGAGCATGTGGATCAAACTATTGGAGGAGATGTTTCTGGGCCTGCCGAGTGAGTTTCCCTGGGGGGATGAGATCATGCTCTTCCTGAATGCCTTTAATGGTGCTTTGATTCTTCATCCAGAGGACAGTGCATTGCTTCGACAGTATTCCGCCACAGTTATCAATACAGCAGTGCATTTCAATCATCTCTTCTCACTGAGCGGGTATCAATGGATCCTTCCTTCCATGCTCCAGGTAAGTTTCCTTCAATCCATAACATTTTGTAAAAATTGTACAAGAATACATTTCTGTTGATTTCCTTTTTTGAAATAGTTATTGAAATTTAGTTGAGTTCACCACCCGAGTTCACCTTCTGACTCCTCTCTACCTTTTGTGCCACATTGATCGGTAATCATACCTAATCCCAGCACATCTAAACCTAGTTCTTAACAAAAATGACTGCTGTGCAGCAGCAAATGCAAATTACAGACACATTTACCCCAAAACTACAATCAACAACATTCTTTTAGAAAATGTCTGATTTCAATAATCTTAATTGAAACAAAATAATTGGGGAATCCATAATGATTACCAATGATTTATTATACTGTTTAATTATTGAAGACCTAATTACTTTAACCAATTAAAAAGGCTATTTATTCTTGGAATTCAAGATTCAGTTGTGTGCTATCTTACTGTTTGATTTACCCTGTATTTCATTTCTTTTTTCATAGGTCTATGCTGATTATGAAAGCAATCCATTGTTGCGTCATGCAATTGAGTTTGCTTGTCGACAGTTTTACATTTTGCATCGGAAACCGTTTATCCTCCAGCTGTTTGCGAGTGTGGCACCATTACTGGAGTTTGCTGTGAGCAAAACAAAATAACTTTGATATTCATTCCTTCCCCCAGGAAATGTCGATTATGCCTATTAAAACTAATGTAATCTACAAGACTATTTGCAAAATGGTTATCAGGACTAATTTTAGCTACTCAGATTGATAAAACTATGTTTATTCTTAATACAAGATGAACATTATACAAAATGTAATGTTGCAACTGACTTGAAATTGCAGGTTGAATTTGTAATAATCTTTGTTCAATCTTGAACAATGCAAAATTACTTGTGTTGGAGTTAATGTAATAAAATCTCCGAGACCAAGTCTCAGCTGCAGCTGTTAGTTTTATTCAGTAAAATATATGTTTAAGCGGTCCTTTCTTCAGGTTAAACATTTCAACGGTGGAGTAGAAAAATCATCTGACAGCAATATTATCTACAAGTATTCTAAAAATATTATTTCCCCCTGTAGGCAGAATTGAATTCAGACTACTTAATCACTTTTTGTTTATGTGCTAAATTATATGCAAATTTGTAGAGGTTTCTACAAGCAACTAAACCTCAAAATCCCTCGTCTCGCCTTGCAGGCAGCAGATGTCCTGTTGACAGGGAACAAAATTAGTATCAATTTGTAGAGGATTCTGCATTTCTGATCATTATTCCCCAAAGCCAATGGAAGCAAAAAAAAAATTGAGAAAACAAAGATTTAAATTCACCAATTTGTCTTTTTTTGTATTTAGGATGTTACAAGCAGCGGGTCATCTAAGGGTGTGTCTTCTCAGTGCTTGTTTGACCTTTTGGTGTCATTAGAGGGAGATACACGGGATATCCTGGATGTTCTGGAGTTGGTTAAAGCTGAGAAACCACTAAAATCTCTCGGTAATAATGATTGGATAAAAATACATTGCCGTTGTCACTCTCCATTTAATTGTTTTGTCTGAGTCATCAGTTCTCATAAAGTGCAGCTTTTTATTTGCAAAAACTTCACTACATCATTTTAATGTTTCCCAAAACGAGTGTTATACAGTATGATATATGTAATCCGTTTCTCTGTCTGAAATTATAATGTTTCTCTGATATTATAGAATGAATTTACGCATTTGCTTGTATATTATTGTACATTACTGGATTATAACACAATTTAATCCTCGGATTATGACCTAGGTTTTGCTTAACATTTATTCTGGGATTTAAAAATTAAGGGATCTTAAAGGGTTTGGAATAGCGCTTTGAGACATTGGGCAACATTTAAGGCTCAATATCAAATGTGAGGATTATTATTGAGAGAACTACGGATTATGGAGAGAAGAAGGTTGTATGTTTGCTTTGATGGTGTATGGGGACGAGCAATGGTGTCACAAAAGACGCTAATGGAATGGTATCTTTTGCAATTAGGATAGGCCAATGGGTTGGTAGTTTGTGCACGTTGAATGCAGACATACCCAATTATAACTCATTTTATTGCAACCCTAGGGAAGGACCTGCAATTTGTGACTCTCTGGTGCCCTCTATGCTTCCAACCTTTTCTTCTTCAACACCTCCCCTACTTGAATGTGGTTATCGGTGATCATTTCACTTATCCTTCCCAGCACAAAAATGATGTGCTATCATTGCACTCAATGTTCATGTCCTACAAATGACTCATTGCCTTTTACTTTCAACTCCAAGTATGATCTGCAAACTGCACAAGCTAAACTGTATAATTCTCTTTTTGTACATCTAGATTTCTGTTATGGAAGTGAGGATCTTGTCTTCTCTATACATGAAGGCATCAAGCTGTGTGTAACTGTAGTTGCATATGCACCTGAATCATTTCGAAGGTATTGGAGTATTTATGTAAAACATTAATATGGGGAGAAAAAATCATAAATTAATAATGTACTTGTACTCAATACTTCACATTATAAAGGAAATTCAATCCCCATGGGGGACACATTTTACTTTGTCATTTTTTTAAAAGGATTTGACATTAATGTTATTTAATAGGTATTTTATCTCATTTATTATTTTCTGTGTCATAGCCTTCAAATGTTGATGGTTCTGGAGGCATTGGTTCCCTGTTATCTACAAAAACTCAAAAAGCAAACCATTCAGCTGGAGACTGCATCTGCAGGACGGGAAGAAATCACTTCTATCGGTTGCCTTGCCACATCCTTACAAGCTCTATTATACAGTGTAGAATCTCTCACCAGGTAAGGCTAATAAAGATGTTGTGAGCATTCATAGCTGATTACATGATTTATTTAAAAAAAAAGTAAACTCTGTAGCTCATTTCCAATGATTCTGAATTTAGTAGTTTTAATTATTGTAATTGATTGGATCAAATGACATTAAGGGGAATGGGAATTTGCTCTTTGATGTTGGAAAGAAATTTGTATAAATGTTTAACTTTCCTTGACATGGCAACAGACCAATGACGGCTCCTCAGATGAGTAGATCGGACCAGGGTCACAAAGGAGCTCCCACAGCCAATCATGCTATGTCTGGAGGGGGCAACACAAGGTAAGTAAAGTCTTGTGAAATATACAAATGCTTTTTCCCGTTTCAATTCATATTTGTTTATCTTTTTCTTGGTCCCTCCACACGAGCTCCATGTTCCTTCTGTGTGTGTAAACGGGCAGCCTGGTCACTGCAAATGAATTGCCCAATCCATTGAGACATCAGAGACTCAACCTTGTTTTTGTTTCCATAATGTTTATCTGTGCAGAAATGCAGAAATATCACTTAGTATCTCTCCCATTAGTATTGCAAGAACAAGAGCTTTACGTGTGCCATGTCACACAACATTCTCCATCACAACATTCCCAAAGATCTGTGTTTTTTTTCCCCATATTTTCCCTCCTCTCATGATAGGGTACTGTTCAGCAGATTATGTTGCTCTCAGGCACTGGAATATCAAGGAGCTATGTTTGAAGCATGGCAGTGGTCTGTTACCTATTCCCAGTCTCACTCGTGGAAATTTCTAACAGAAGTGACTGGACAGCTGACAGAAAAGGCAAGCCTGACCTTTCTTTCAATGCTTGTCCTGTGGATTGAGATGCTGAGATCGTTTGAGTCAGCCCAGGCCAGGGATGGTACATCTTGGGAACTTCCTTAATCAGTTTGGTTCAGTACCACTTCATGTAGTGACCATTGACGGTTTGGGAAGCTTGAGCAGTTTCTTTTTTAATTATTGGAGGAATATTTATGACCATTGATGGAATTTATTAATATTAGCACTGGAAATGCAACACTTTCCTTTTTAAAGCCCCAAGTATCGGCATGAAACAAGGAAACAAGAGCTATCTGAAGATTAATTCAACATTGTGATAATTACCACATTTCTGCTGCCTTTCTAAGTCAGATTGCCACGTTTTTTGTGTGCTTTGATGTGGTGAGTTCCTAGTGGCTCAGACGTACTAAAAACTTGCCCATCCCATTCTAGAACTTTGACAAGCAGCAAAGAGAGAGGGAATCATCAGTTTAAGCAAGATGATTTAGGGTAACAAATTGGATTGAGACTATAGGGATGAATTAGATGTGAGGAATGCCTTTTATTACAGATAATTATAATTAAGAGAAGTTATTTTTGTTCCACAGAGATAATCTTCATTTGTTAGAAGAGGGCCACGGTCTTCCAACAGAAGAGCTGGATGAGCGCATAGCAAGGGAGGAATTCCGTAGACCTCGAGAGTCGCTGCTAAATATCTGCACTGAGTTCTTCAAGCACTGTGGGCCCAGGCTCAAAATTCTGCAGAATATGGCTGGAGAACCCAGATTGACTGCCCTGGAGCTGCTCGATGTGAAGTCCCACATGAGGTGCACTTTTGTGCATTGTTTTTAAAAGCTAACCTACTTTTGCTATATTATATTAGAATGTCAATTTCTTATCCATTCCTATCTTTCACTATTATTATTTTACACAGATAAATGGCGATCTTTTATGATTCATCTGCAGCTTTGAAAAGGGCATAGGAGATGAGCAAATGCTTTCCTCTTAGATGAAGATTAATGATGACCTGATCAGATTGACCCAGTTTTGTTTACTCTGCCGCAAGAAGACTTTTGAGGCTAGCGCAGTGCCCCAGTTTTAGTTCCATTTTACTGCACTTCAAAGGGCTGAATAAGCACATTTGGATGCAATAATTTTTTCTTTTGAGCTTTAATAAAGTACTGTGTAACAGATGATCCATCACCTCTTTTCAAAAGCAATAGGGGCCATGGCCCACCTTTTATTGTTTAAAGTGATTTTTCAATATAGTCTTGTAATTGTGCTGGTTGCTTAATGATGATAATAATAATAATAATTATTTCATTTGGTATAGCTCCTTTCACATTGGGAGCATGTCCTAAAGAGCTGCACAGGATATTCTTTCTTTATTATAATAATCCTTGCATTTGATACAGCGCCTTATCACATCCTTGAGATGTCTCAAAGTGCTTCTCAGAATATACTGTGGAGTGTAGTGACTGTATTTTTAATTTAATTTTTTGAGGAGGGACTGTCTATTTTGTGGGCACAGTGTACTTGTTTGTGAAATATACGTTAGAATGGCAGATTAAAAGCACAAATTTAGGAATCCATAGTGTGGACTGCAGGGTCAGTGGGAAGGAAACCTGTGACACAGGCACAGATGTCAGTTGAGAATTATAGCATCTTCCAGTCCCAGATTGGGACTTTTGGGGCTTGAAATTCACTCATTAAGAACTACAGAAAACTAGCTCTCAAATTAAGATTGAATTTAAGAATTTGCCAGTAATCTACTCAATCTAAAATTTGAAGAGGCTAGAATCCCTGTATTTCTGATCCTTTCCTCAAATACCTCATCAAATGTTCAAAATAATTAGGATGATATTAAGCATATTGAACAAAGTGGGAATATAAAGAAAGGAAACAATCATTTGCAGTGAATGCATATGAATCCTATTGAATTCTCAGGAGCCTATGTATTTTGGGAGTCGCTATTTTTGTTGGGCATTCAGATGTCTGATGCATGCAGAAACTTATGCTGTTTGGGAGTATATAAACTAGATTTAGAGTTTCACATATGTATGTCACCTACACATGAAAGTATTAGATGCAGGTTACAAGGCTCAAGATTTAGGGACCCCAGAGTTGGGAAACTGTTAAGAGTTTAACAAGCTAAAATGCAGCTCAGTGATTAGAGCACTCGCCTCGCAAACGAGAGACCTGGGTTTGATTACCTGCTGGGCGAATTGTTGGCCAAGTTTCGTTTCATCACACGCCTCTGTTTACCTTGCAGTAAGTAGGATTGGCAGATGGCTTTTCCGAGGATGATATTACCTCAAAAAAAGATTGGTCACTCATTCCACAACTGTTTGTGGGACACCGCTGTGCGCAATTGGCTGCCGCATTTCGACAACAAATTCTTTACAGTATATTCTGTTAAGTGCTTTGAGATGTCTGGAAGATGTGAAAAGGGCTATATCAAATGCAAGGACTATTTATTATTATTTATTAATAGATAATAGCTATTTAGCTTGCCATTGCTAGTGCTTCCTGGCAAGCTTTCTGCTGCTTGTCCTGCTAGGACCAGCTTTCCTGTTGGTATTTTGGCTTGCAGGGTTAACAGGAAGCAAATGGGAAGAATCCCTGACCCTAGTGGAGTCACTGCTTGAGCTGTTGTGTAGCTGAATTTCAGTCCAGTATCGCAAAGAGAATCTAGTATCTCACTTTTGCGGTTCTTTTCCTAAGTTCGTATGCACTTGAAAAGACGTGGATTCATTTCTGTATCACAAATTCAATGAAACATCTTCTTATCAGATTAATATATTCAGACTAACTCAAACCTTATCATGAGGCAGAACATCCAGATCTTCCCCATCTCATGTTTAGTGCAGACTGAGGCAGGCTCTTATGTTAACAGCCAGAAGCCCAAGAGAAAACTGAGCAGACCTCAGTTGTCATGTAATTATCTTATGTGCACATAAATATTAGTCTTCCTTGGTCTTTGCACACAAGCTGTTTAGTCTGAAAATAATATGTAAATTGGCTGTATCTCTTAAGAGAATCGCAATTTAATTATGAATCCATGATTTTATTTTATGCACTTTATTTAAACAGATTTGATGTTTATTGTACCTTAGATTGGCAGAAATCGCACATTCCCTTTTAAAGCTGGCACCATATGACACCCAAACAATGGAAAGTCGTGGGCTACGGAGGTACATTATGGAAATGTTACCAATCACTGATTGGACTGCAGAGGCTGTAAGGCCAGCTCTCATTTTAATCTTAAAGAGACTGGATCGGATGTTTAACAAAATTCATAAGATGCCAACCTTAAGGTAATTTGTGTGGTAACCTAGTAAAATAGGCATGTTGGTTCGATATCTGTGAATAAATTGTTGTCAGTTAACAAAGGGATTTGACAGATGTGTGAGCCTTGTTAATCATGGACAATTAACAGACAACAGCTTTGTACAAGGTGGTCTAGATCTGTCCGAAAGAGATCATAAAGGTTCTCTTTGCAGAAATCGCCTGCAGTTTGTTTCTTTTGTGAACCCACCTCATGACTGTGAGTTTCCTTGTAGATATGATGCTTTCCAATTGGATTAATGTTTTAAAATATTTAGAAATCATCCTGAACAACAACAACAACAACAAGATTCCATTTATAAAGCGCCTTTCACGTCAGGAGGACGTCCCAAGTACTAAGTGAATAGCACAATGGGACCTGGGTTTGAATCCAGTCCAGGATGATGGCACAAAAGTCTTTCTTTTACTGGTGTAATGATTCTCTGTGAAATGAAATTGGGTAGTCTGTCCAATTTCTAATAGTCAGAGACCCACAAAAGTGCACTTAATTTCATACAAATTGGTAAAAATGGAAAAAGTTCATTAACTCAGAGGGGTGTGTTTTTTTAAGGAATAAGACCATATTTCAGCAGAATAGCTGTAGAGTTTGACAACATACCCCACCTGACATGTTCAATTTCTGAAGTAGTAACACGCTCTGTTCCTAAGAAGTCATGTTCCACACTTTGATGAACACAAACAATAACAACAACAACAACAACAAGATTCCATTTATAGAGCGCCTTTCACGTCAGGAGGACGTCCCAAGGCGCTGCACAGTTGGGTCATGACCCGAGCAGGGGGGAAATGGTCAGGGTGAGGGGAGGGAAGGGAGGGAGAGAGGAGGGGGAAATGGTCAGGGTGAGGGGAGGGAAGGGAGGGAGCGAGGAGGAGGAAGAGAGTCGAGAGGGGAGCTGAAGGCTCGGTCAAAGAGAAAGGTTTTGAGACCGGCCTTGAAGGAGGAAAGGGAGGAAGCAAGGCGAAGGCACTGGGGGATGGAGTTCCAGAGCCTCGGGGCTGAGAGGCTGAAGGCCCGACCACCGATAGTAGGGCGGTTGGGGCCGGGGACGTGGAGCAGACCGGAGCCAGAGGAACGGAGGGTACGGGCAGGTAGGTAGGGGGATAGTAGGTTGGAGAGGTAGGAGGGAGCAAGGCCGTGAATGGCCTTGTAGGTGAGGATGAGGATCTTGAAATCAATCCTCTGGGGGATGGGGAGCCAGTGGAGGCGAGCGAGGGTAGGAGTGATGTGGTCCCGAAGCCTGGTGCGGGACAGTACACGAGCTGCAGAGTTCTGAATGACCTGCAGCTTGTGGAGGGAGGTGGCGGGAAGGCCGGCGAGGAGAGAGTTCCCATAGTCCAGCCTTGAGGTGACAAAGGCGTGAACCAGGGTTTCAGCAGCGTGAGGGGTGAGGTAGTGCCGTAATCTGGCGATATTCCGGAGGTGATGGAAGGCGGTGCCAGTTGTGGTGCGGATGTGAGGGAGAAAGGACAGCTCAGGGTCGAACAAAACGCCGAGGTTCCTGACTGGCTTTGAGAGGTGGAGAGTGCAGCCTTGGATGCTGATGGTGTCAGCGCCTGAGGTGCGGAGGCGCTGACGTGAGCCAATCAGGAGGGCCTCGGTTTTTCGCACGTTGAGCTGAAGAAAGTTGTCTCTCGTCCAGGACTCGATGTCGGACAGGCAGGCTGTCAGGACATCGGTGGTCGTGGAGTTGAGAGTAGAGGAGGAAAGGTAGAGTTGGGTGTCATCCGCATACATGTGGAAGTTAACCCCATGTTTGCGGATGATGTCACCGAGGGGGAGCATATAGAGGGTGAAGAGGAGGGGACCGAGGACAGAGCCCTGAGGGACACCACATGAGACAGTACGGGGGGTGGAGGAGAAGCCATTCGTTGAGACGAAGTGAAGACGGTGGGAAAGGTAAGAGCTAAACCATTCAAGGACAGTGCCTTGAAGGTTGAGGTGGGAGGACAAGCGGTGGAGTAGGATAGCGTGGTCGACCGTATCGAATGCTGCCGATAGGTCGAGGAGGACGAGGAGACAGAGGGAGCCCTGGTCACAGATAGTCAGGATATCATTGGTGACCTTGACCAGGGCAGTTTCTGTGCTATGAGCAGCACGGAAACCTGACTGAAGGGGTTCAAAAAGAGAATGGGTGGAGAGGAAAGAGCGCAGTTGGGAGGCGACAACTCTTTCCAAGACCTTGGAGAGAAAGGGGAGGTTGGAGATGGGCCGGTAGCTTGATAGCTGCGACGCATCAAGGGAGGGTTTTTTCAGGGTGGGCGTGATGATGGCAGTTTTTAAAGGAACAAAGGAAATGTATACAACATGGTAATACTTAGTCAGAAATTGACCAGTTTTTTTTATTTTGTTGCTTCAGACGTCAGGTGGAATGGGAAGCTGCAAGTAGTTTAATTGAAGGCATTTGTTTAACCCTTCAAAGACAGCCAATCATTTCATTCCTACCGCATCTCAGATCGTTGATCAATGTTTGCGTCAATTTGGTAAGTAAACTGAGCTTTGCTTAATTCCTGCCAACCTTTATGAATATCTTTAAGTATGTTAATAAAGTGATACTAAATGAATTATTGTGATGCCTAACATGAGATCCCATTATAAGGATGAAAAACGTTTGCTGTTTAAAACAACATGTTAAACCCCATTGTGGCTGTAGCTCATCTCTCTTTATAGGTACACTATCAGAAATAACTATGACCTATTTCTATTTAATTGGTGAATTAATTTTATTGTGGTTTATAACTTTAAATCTATGCATAGACATAAAACAGGATGTTATTGTGCTTTGTAATTGTGCACTTAAAATAGACATTTGCCATCAGGGTGATAGCGCAAAAGTATAAAACAAAGGTTTCTCTTGTATCTAATCACAGTGGATATGATTTGTCTTGTTTGTTTATAGGTGATGGGTGTTGTAGGACCATCTAGTGTTGCCGATGGTTTGCCTCTTCTACACCTGAGTCCATATCTTTCTCCTCCACTTCCCTTCAGTACAGCTGTTGTTAGACTAGTAGCATTGCAGATCCAGGTATATGAAACCTATTGCTTAAAAATAAAGCCACCAAAGAAGTGCTCTGAAATGCCTCCGACATGAAGGGCACTTTATAAATGCAAGTTGTTTAATTTTGTCTTAATGAAGTAATTTTTTTTTCATTTTGAAGGCATTGAAAGAAGACTTTCCCTTGAGTCATGTAATTTCTCCATTTACCAATAACGAAAGGAGAGAAGGGATGCTTCTGAATCTTCTGATACCATTTGTGCTGACAGTAGGAACTGGCAGCAAAGGTCTTATTTTTCATTATTTTTCTACAACACAGAAACGGGCTATTCCACCCGACCAGCCCATGCTGGGATTTCTACTCCGCTTGAGTTTCCATCTCTCCTAATCGCCTCTCCCATACCCATCTCTTTCCTTCTCCCTCAAGTCAAATGCAAGAATTATTAGTATAGACGGTTATTTTTTTGAGACATCTCAAAGACGTGATACAGCTTCATGCAGGGTAGTGCATAGGGCACTTTAATTGTTCTTCAACTGTAGAACACTAACATGCAGATCAAAAGGCACAAAAACGAAATAAAAAGAAAAAAAACAATCTAATGGAGAGAATTGATAATAGAATCTAATGGTGTCTATTTTAAAATTAATCTATGAAAAGTAATTTCTAATTGAAGACAAAGCCACTGTAACATTTTTTTTAAATGTTCTTTGTCTAGAAAACATATTGGCTTACAGGAAGGACCTTCATTATTATAGAATGATTAATTATTGGTTTATGCAACCTTAAACTTTTATCCTTAAATGACATTAGTCTTTCTTTGCTACATAGATAGCCCCAAATTGGAGCAACCAGAGGTCTTGCTGCTGCTACAAACTGTGATTAATATCCTCCTTCCACCACGGATCATCAGCACATCTCGCAGCAAAAACTTCATGCTGGAGAACTCACCTGCACATTGTTCAACCCCAGGAGATACTGCTAAGGACTTGCGACGTGAAGGACTGGCAGAATCTACGAGTCAGGCAGCTTATCTAGGTAATGCTGGACAACATTAATCTTCAGCTCTGATGAAAACACAGAAACAAAATATAGGACAATTATGTTATCATGCACCTCACTGGAGCATGAGATTGCTTATAATGTATATCTTCTGTGGAACTGTATGATAATCTAGGGTTGTTGTTATGTAATAACAATATTGTTAGTTGACGCTGGTAAAACTGTTACATTGAATCGCATTTCTGATTTACCTGTCACTTTAGCATTTAAAGTGATTCTCGTCTGCTTTGAGCATCATTTGGGCAGTCAGTGGTACAGACTCAGTTTACAAATAAAAGAGATGGCAATGAGGCGGGTCGGTGGCCTGGCTATGTGGGATTTCATCGACTTTATAGTAAGAACAAGAATTCCTATTTTTGTTCTCTTGCGGCCCTTCATCCAATGTAAGGTAAAGAAAATTTCAAAACTTGTCACTTATTTAGTTCATGTATATATAGTTTCAATGTAGCGGTTGTAAACAGGAAAATTTATTCTTTTTTCCCCTGGGCTCCTCTAGCTACTAAACCAACCAGCTGAAAATCATGAGGAACTAACTGCAAGGCATCACATTACAGACCAGCTTGAGCGCAGGTTCATTCCAAGGCCACTCTGCAAGAGTTCACTTATTGTTGAGTTTAACAATGAATTAAAAATCCTGAAGGAGGCAGTGCACAGTGGAGCAGGTAATGCTTATCTTGCGAAAAGTTTCCTGTTTTACAGATTATTAAGGGTCAAAAGTCAAATGTGTTCTAACCATCTATTTCACAGCACTCCTATATCTTGAATATCATGAATTTCACACATGGTTCAGTATCTGTTCAGAGAACCTAATATGGAGGATATCTAAAATAGAAGTATGATAATGTGAATCTTTGTAACATATGGTTTATTTGTGTTCCTCTGTATTGGTATGTTTTTAGCACATGGTTTATTTGTCTTCCTCTGTGTTAGTGTAAAACTTTTTTATTGGATTCAATTTGTAGTTTAGTATTCTTCTTGTTTAGAAACAACACAAAAAGGGTTCACTTGTCTCATATAAAATGTAACATAAAATAAAAATATTACAGTATTTACTTTTTTAAATAACAATAGCTATCATTAGTTCAAACTAATTACTGCACAGTACTCTTTTGAAACTAAGATGGTGCTTATTTATTCATAGATAAAAGTTGGTAATGTGTTTGGATTTCTCCATCTTCTAGGCATACTATTGTGAGGGGAACATAAAGAGTCCAGTTGTTTATCTTTTTTTAAAAAATATTTTTTTCTTGTATTGTCAAATTTCTTACTCTTCTGAGATCACTGGGAACAGAATCTCATAAATCAGATTGCTTCACAACTGCCACTCTTGTCAGCCAGCAGGCTGACAATCCGTTGATGTGGCCAATGCCAGTTGGCTCCCAAATGACAAGAGATAGTCAACTTGACATTAATAATATAATAATAATCCTTGCATTTGATATAGCGCTTTTCACATTGGGAGGACGTCCCAAAGCGCTTCACAGAACACACTGTAAAGTGAATTGACTGTATATTTGTGGGCGAACGCGGCAGCCAATTGCGCACAGCAATGTCCCCCAAACAGTCGTAGATTGAAAATGACCAATTTATTATTGTTTTGTTTTGGAGGGATTATTATTAGACGTGTGGAGTAAGGAAACTTGCCCAAGGTTTCGCTCTGCCTGGAATTGAACTCAGGTCTCTCGCTTGCAAAGCGAGTGCTCTAACCACTAAGCTACAGGACTCCACAGAATTGAGTAAACTCACCAACTGATGTAAACCACTTAAAATGACAGATGTCCTCTAGACTTGAACTTGTTGGGGATTTAAACCACTGAACCTTTCGATAATAATAATCCTTGCATTTGATATAGCGCTTTTCACGTCTTCTTGACGGCTCAGAGTGCTTCACAGAATATGCTGTAAAGTGAATTGACCAGAGGTACATTTTGAGGCATACCCAGAAAGAAGGGAGGGAGCAAGTTGGAGACACATGGAGTTCCAGAGAGTGGGCATCGTGGATGAAAGCCCCCTCCCAAAAACAAAAAGTGGGTGCATAGTGGGGATATGAAATAGGTCAGGGTCGGCCAAACAAAGGGAATTCCTGGTTGGGTGAAGAAGGTTACAAGTGAACTACATCAAATGTGGTTGGAGTTGTGTGTTCTTTTCCTGGTTGCAAAATGCCAAAATATTCCATTCTTCAGCAGTGTTGTCCTCTACAAAATGAATCCAAGCTTCCATGTTATCCCATCGACATTATACATTTTACTGCAATTTGCTAATTCATTATTTTGATTTATACTAGACTTTTAAGTTACTGCTTTACAGTTGATGACAATACTAAAACTCTGATTGAAATTTTGCAATGTCATAAATATCTCATGTAACTTGTTCATTATATCTTTGCAGCATACCAAGGCAAACCTTCCATCAGCACTGTGGCAACCTCCACTTCAGCTTACCGCTTGAGTCTGGCTACCATGTCTCGTTCAAACACGGGGACAGGCACTGTGTGGGAGCAGGACAGCCAACCTTCTCATCAGGCCTCTCAGGACACACTAAGCAGGACTGATGAGGAGGATGGTGAAAGTGAGCATTTGTCATTAACAGACTGTAAATTCATCTTGCTTGATGATTGCTTTTAGTAGATTGAACATGGCACTTCTGTCTCCATTTCCACTTCATTTCAGCAGCTATAGGTTGCTTAGGGCTATGATAAATAGCATGAAATAGCATAAAAGTAACATAACAAAGATTGAAGCTGAAGAAAATTACATCTGGTAGAGCATGGAAGTACATGATCAAGTCTTGAGAAAACAAGGATACAAAACTTGTACCCAAACATGCACACACAGAGCAACAGATCTTTCACTGGTAATGAATGGGATGTAGTGCAGCATTTTTGCGATACATTCTAACTTTAAAATTCTTGGCATATAATTCAGTTAGTATTAGTGTCTACCACTCAAAAGAATCTTTTCCCTTTTTGTAGATGGTATGTGTGTTTTAAAAAAAATGCACCATGTAATGTGTCTCTGAGCCACATAGACAAAAGTTTCAGTTCCTGAGTGGTTGAGTTACTGATCTGCAGAGCAGCAGGAAAGATGCTACAATTGGTCTTTGCCCCCATGTTAGAAAAGGGCTAAACTAGCCAGCCAAGTTCACAAGTTCTTGGCCAAAATTGTTTAAGCTTGTACATGAAAAATAGCCTCTTGCACAGCATTAGACTAGGATTGCAGCAAAATAACTGCTTAATTTCAAGAGCTTTATTTGTTCAGCCTCAACTGTAGATGTGTCAAAAGCACATCAAATTTCCCAATTGCATTACCAGCTGGTTTTCATGTACACGTGGCCATTGTAATGGATATTTGGAGAGTAATCAAAAATAATTGGAGATATTCTGACCAAATGAAACCATAACCTTTCCTACCCTGAAATTTTAAAATGATAATTTATATGGTTTATTTGGTAATTCAACTCTGCTGTAATTTTCTAAATAAATAAAAATGATCACAGAATATCATGCACAATAAAACTGTTTATAATTCACAACTTTTAAGAATGTGAAAACACATGTATATGTAATAAGAATCTGAGACATCAATTTAAAAAATCATTCCACTTGGCACGTCTAATACTGCCCCACACATCCCAGACTTGAGTATACAATAGACCGCATGAACAAACTCTGATAGCACGCTTGTGTCTATTCATGCACAGACAAATTAACATGGTATTTACTAATACACCTAATGCCAATAGCATACTTGCAGAAATCTTAACTTGGCAGAGCGCAGTGATATACATTTATGTAAAATAGTTCAGAATGGCACAAAGTTATACTTCAATGCACATGAGCTTAATGCAGATCACAGTTTACAGCATACAGTAAGCCTTGCAGAATATGAATACAACCAAAAACGACAGTACACAATGCTTATGTTTACACTATCCATCCTAGAAGATCACTGTGGTGCAGATTTAACCCCAGTTTAGCTTTTGAAAGCACAATATGCAATCAATAAATGAGCACAGAGCTTTATACCTCCATAGGATTACAAATTGGAAGCTGTTCTCTCCCTCCTCCTAGTGGTTAGATGCAGTTATATTCACTGAGGTCTGAACAGTCTTTCCTCTTCGTTGAATAATGCTGTGTTGTACAGGGGTCCTTAAGAATGTGAATATAGTCGGATCATCTCAACTACTTGCCGTTATTAAACTGCTTTTGGAGGTTCCGGCATGTTCATGCAGTATCATGCAGTTTTATGCTTCATCACTTTGTTATTTGATGTGAGAAAGAAGTCATGTGAAATGTTTTCTATGTTGGATTGCAGATGACACAGTAAGCATGCCAAGCGTGGTTAGTGAACAGGAGGCATATCTGGCTAGCAGCAGTCAAGGACGTCGGCGATTTTCCAGCCATATTTCTAGCATATCTGCTCCTCAGCCTGACGCAGGTCATAGGATTTTGCCCAGCCACAGGTAACTGAATTTACAATTTCTATATGCATACACGTGTAAAGTCATTATGATCTGTATGACATTGTAAGGAAATATGAAGTTTAATAGTACAGGATGTCATTTTGCTTAAACAATATTGTTAAAAAAGTCTTTTACTATTTTTTCTCTTAAGACTTTATGTTGTAAACCAGCATTATTATTTTTTGTACAACGATAAAAATCATCTTAAATGTACATGTGGCGACATACATCTGTGAAATAGACTAGTACATGCTCTGCATTATTTCAGGGCAAATTATAAAATTGAGCGCAGATATTATGCAAAGCAATATTTATTTAGAATATAGTATGTTTATATGCAGTTAATATATTTTGTTCCCTACATAATTATTGTAGTCAAAATGTATACAAATTTTCCTGGTCAACATCTCTCTGATTTTTTTTCCCTATGGTTAACTTGAGTATTTGATAGCAATATCTGTTCAGCATATAAACACACTACAGATACTAACTATATATTACTGCTTGTGTTAGCCAACTTCAAATGAGTCTATGCAAATGTTTTTATTGAATACAAGGTAAATTAGATGTACCAATATGAAAACATTTCAGGCATCTGATGTGAGATCCATAGTTAGAATGGGATTGAACGAGTTTTATAGTACTTTGCTAAACTTGTCAATGTGCTCCTTGCTCAGCAAAACATGTATTTCTGATGATAGAGACCTGCCTCGATAAAAGACCCAATCCAGTTTTAGATAGATTAAAACTGAATTGGATCTTGTACTGCAATAAAATGCTAGAATTTGTGTTATATATTGGAAATAATAATCTGTTGGGGTAGTTTCCAATTCAGTTTTAACCAAATAACAAATCTAATCACATTTTATAAAATGAGTTATGTAAATATGACCTCCAGGAAGAAACATCTCAACATAAATCTATATAATTCAATCAGTAATATATTATTATCTCAAAAGAGAAATTTCTCTTGCTGTAAAGTGTAGCCACTTTGCTAGGATGATGAGAGCTTATAATGGGAAAATCACTTGTCATCAGAGTCATTGCCTTTAGTAGAAAGAAGATTTTAAACTCTGATGATCTTTTTCAAACAATCTATATCTGACTATGTCACTTACTGCCTGTGGCTGAGACGAGCCTTCTCGCACTCCTGTACCAATGGCACTCAGAAATCCCAGCTCCACCTCCTTGCTCCACTACTTGCCGACATCATCAACCTCTCCCTGTCATCTGTCACTGTTCCTACCACCCTCAAAACAGCCACTATCACCCCCACCTTGAAACCTTCCCTTGACCCAACACAGCTATCCAGCTATCGGCCCATCTCCAAACTCCCTTTTCTGTCCAAGGTCTTTGGGAGAGCCGTTGTCTCCCAGCTTCGCTCTTTCCTCTCCTCCCACTCTTTCGATGAGCCCTTCCAATTGGGTTTCCGTGCTGCCTACAGTGAGGAAACTGCTCTGTGTGACCAGGGCTCCCTCTGCCTCCTCCACTTCTCCGCACTTTTGACAGTGTGGACCATTCAGTCCTACCTCCACTGCCTCTCCTCCTACCTCAAGCTCCAAGGTTCTGGCTTTGTCTGGTTCAGGTCCTACCTTTCACACCGCCTCCACGTTGTCTCAGCTAACGACTTCTCTTCCAGCCCCTGCACTGTCTCATGCGGCCTTCCTCAGGGCTCTGTCCTCGATTCCCTCCTCTTCACCCTCTACATGCTCCCCCTTGGTGACATCATCCGCAGACATGGGGTAAATTTCCACGTGTATGCGGATGGCACCCAACTCTATCTCTCTGCCTCCACCCTCAACTCCAGGACTACTGGCATCCTGACCGACTGTCTGTCCAACATCAAATCCTGGACGAGGGATAACTTTCTCCAGCTGAACGTCAGCAAGACCGAGGCCCTCCTAATTGGCTCACGCCAGCACCTCCGTACCTCGGGCGCTGGCAGCATCAGCATCCAAGGCTGCCTCACTAAGCCAGTCAGGAACCTGGGTGTCTTGTTTGACCCTGAACTGTCCTTTCTCCCCCACATCCGCGCCATGACTGGCACTGCCTAACACCACCTCCGCAACATTGCCAGATTCCGTCACTGCCTCACCCCTCAGGCTGCCGAAACTCTCACCCACACATTCTTCACATCAAGGCTTGATTATGGAAATTCCCTCCTTATCGGCCTTCCCAACTCTTCTCTTCACAAGCTGCAGATCATCCAAAACTCTGCAGCTCATGTACTCTCGCGCACCAGACTCCGCGACCCCATCACTCCCACCCTCGCCCGACTCCTCTGGCTCCCCATCCCCCAGAGGATCGAATTCAAGGCCTCATCCTCACTTTCAAGGCCATCCATGGCCTTGCCCCCTCCTGCCTCTCTGACCTGATGACTCCCTATCAACCCTCCATTCAGAGGGCTCCAGCCTGCTCCATGTCTCCCGCCCAACCCAACCTACCATTAGTGGCCTAGCTTTAAGCCTCTCTGCCTCCACACTCTGGAACTCCATCCCATAGTCCCTTCGCCTCGCTTGCCTCCTTCAATGCTGGTCTCAAGACCCTCCTCTTCGATCGTGCCTTCAGTCGCCCTCCCACCTCTCTGCCTTCCCTCACCCCTACCCCACCCCTCCCCCATGCTCGGTGCTGACCCCTGACTGTTCAGCGCCTTGGGACATCCTCCTGACGTGAAAGGCGCTCTATAAATGTAATTTTGTTGTTGTTGTTGCAATCTAAATGTTTTATTGCACGTCAAGAATAAGAATATACCACTTTGTTTGCTCAGTCCTGTGCCTTTGGTTGGAAATACAATGAACGGAAAATTTCATATTGTCTCATACTGTAAGATCATTTTGTCTTAATTTAAGATGGAGCAGGTTTGGGGAAATTTCTTAAATTCGGTCTCAATTTGCAAATCAGTTTTCCATAGTCCTGAATTCTAGGTTTTCCACAATTTCACAATTGTAAATGTTAAGACAAAATGATCTTACAGGCTAAGATCCAGTGGAATTTCGGACCTAACATGCCACAATATCCTGCTATTCAGTATTTCTCAATCCTTTAGTTTACTCTGGTAACAATTCTGTACGCTTAAATATTCTTTAGAGATTGAAATCCCCTTGTGGATTTGAGAATAATGTTGCAATGTTGTTAGAGATTGTTTTAAACACTATTTTCTCTCATTAGATGTTTTTGCACCACACATCACTCCTGAGATAGCTGTTTACCAGGCAGGTTTCTGCTGTTCTCTCTGTAGTTGACTGCTAAGAGGCAAGCAAGAGAGACCCTGGTTGACTCTGATTTACTCCTCTTTCCTCAGGTCAGGTGCCCTGCCTCCCCTCAGCATTTCCTATTGAAATCAGTCTCATAATCTCCGGAAGTGGGTGACAGCCTGATACCTGCCCTACCAATGCACGCACATGTTTTTCTAAAATGGGTCTCCTTGAAAAATATACCTTTGCTGAGCACAGTAAATGTATCTATTGAATCTGCATTCCCAATGGAGTGAGATTTTGGTGTTTTTGCTTTCAGGCATCTGTGGGGCGCAGTGCTACTGTAGATCTTATAGAGTTCAGCACTTAATTATTTCATAGAATGAAACGGCTTCTGTCTGCTTGAACTAACCATGGTGTGTTCACTTTTTCAGTCAGGGTACTGAAATTGTCCCCGTTACACTACATTAAAATCTGGAATATGTTTTGTTTTTCATGTTTGTACTGTGAATGTCCTTATACCCACAACTGTTCCGATACAAGTCTATACTGACCTTTTAAGGTGTTAATGAATACATGCTGTTGTTCAGCATGTCACTTTTTGAACTGCCCTCTTTGTTGGACACGGCATGCTTCATTTCCCTAAATACTCATCTCCCTGCCCTGCAGTGAACCTAATGTCCTCGAGGACTCCCAGGGACTGGCTGCTGAGGTTAACCTTTCTAGGTACAGTGTTGCATTCATGTCGATGTATATGTGCTGGGAATCCTGATACCCTTTCCTCTGTCATTTATCAAGTCTTGACATCTGATGAGTAAAACAAAACATGTCACCATTCACCTGTCTTGAATATTGTAAATCTTTTGTTGATCCCCATCCCCTGTGGAACCTGTGATTTAAATGAGATTTAAATCTGCTATGAAGATGTTCCATTGCACTGTAGTTATCAACCCATGCTCTCATGATGTTCATTTGTGCACACGTACCCCAGCTTTCTAAATAATTAAGTCCTTGATGGAAAATTGGCTGGTAAAGGTGGAGATGTATAAAAACATAAGAGCGTAAAGTATGGGATGGTAAACGGTCATTCAGACCATCAAGTCTAATATTCCTTCAGTGAACCATGTACAATTTCTACTGTACTGAGTTCTCTCCATAATTCATTGAACTTGCTAATCAAAGCAAATAATCGGACGCATCACTTTAATAATAATAATAATCCTTGCATTTGATATAGCGCTTTTCACATTGGGAGGACGTCCCAAAGCGCTTCACAGAACTGTAACACTGTAAAGTGAACTGACTGTATATTTGTGGGTGAACGCGGCAGCCAATTGCGCACAGCAATGTCCCACAAACAGTCGTAGATTGAAAATGACCAATTCAATTATTGTTTTTTTGGTTTTTGAAGGGATTATTATTAGGCGTGTGGAGTAAGGAAACTTGCCCAAGGTTTCGCTCTGCCTGGAATTGAATTCAGGTCTCTCGCTTGCAAAGCGAGTGCTCTAACCACTGAGCTACAGGACTCCACAAAGTCCTTGCTTTAGACAACAGAAAGCTCCCAAATTCCTCTGTGATCCTGAAGAAAATTCAATGATATCAGGAAATTCATTTAATGTTGTTCAGAATCTAACATCAATATTACTTCAGCAAAAAAGTAATTGTTTCAGGCGACTTTAGTTTGCATTAAATACAAAAAAAATATACAAACTTCATTCTAGTGCAGTCACAATCCTCTCTTAAATCTTTGTATAGAAATCTGTAATAGGAGTGTGAACAAACTAATTCAAAGCTAATGTTTTAAAGTATATTTTAAATAGGTATTTAGTACGGAAAAAAGTTGGCCTTTTTTTCCTCATAACTCTCTGGTGAAAAGCTGAAATAGAACACAACCGATCAGTATAAACTTCACATAAGATAAATTATATGTGGTGATGTTGTATCCTGATGTTTTACAGAGCTGTTTCCCGTTTTCTTGTTTTCTAACACTAAAGACTGTATGCTGAAGTTTTGGAGCTCTTTTGTTAACATTTTGTGACTATTTGCACACACAATACTTTAAATTAACTGCTCATGCCTCCACCATTGCCAAACTTTTTTGCAAATCAACATAAGTTATGATCTTTGTTACTGTTTTTCTATTGTAAGTTAAGAAATTATTTTCCAAATGTCTCCTTGCATGTCTCCAGAAATTAGGCCTGATCATTTTAAATTCACAAATAAGAGTGTATATAGAATAAACGAGATACAAAACACATATGATTTGACAGAACTGGAGCATGCAAGGTAATATTGTGTAAATGAGATTTAGGTTGTTTTGTATTGTAGTTTTGACAGAAATAAAACAAGTTACCTCCACGGTGTGAAATAGATAATACAGTGGATATCCTGACTTTTTCTGGAATATATACTTTATTTGCTTTTGGCAGGTTTAGATATCTTTGTTTTCAACTTGAATACTTAACCAATCTATTAACTCATATTTTCTTTGGTTTAATTGAAAGGAACTTCTTTTGATTTTTGAGCTAATTTTTTTCTTAAACTCAGAATTGCGAGGTAGGCAGCATTTTTTTTATAGAGTATGAAATAGCACTACGAAAAGCCAACCATTCCTTTTAACAAATGGCCAGTTTATCTGCAATCTGAAAAATATGTAATATGCTTAACAGGGTAGCAAGTGTGCAGAGTGAACCTGGCCAACAGAATCTTCTTACTCAGCAGCTACTGGGAAGAAAAAGGGGTCTAAGGCAGGTAAGAGTGCATCGATAGTTTTTAAACACTGAAGAACTATCAATGAATATGCAAGGATTTTCATGGAAGACGAGAAGAAATCATAATATAGTGTTGGCCTCCTATTGGAACAATGTTATCACATACAAATTCAGTTGGGACCAGAAGTTAAGAATTCAATTACAGCAATGCTAACAGTAACTTTCTGACAGGCAAAGTGCAGTGTAACAAACAGCTTCAGAACTTTTGGTGATATAACTACTATATTCTCAAAGCTGATATGCAATTGGGAAGATGGCAGTGTAAAAGTTACTGTAATAAACTTGGTGGTGATGTAATCCAGTTACTGTAATAATATATAAAGCAGCCATGCAGTGAAATCGGAAAAAGCTCTATGGGTCTTTACTGCAAAACTATTTTGAACAGTTTTTAAAAATTAAAAACAATCTTTGCTTAAACAGGGTACCACCACTTTGACACATTAGATGGCATTTGTCTATGGTTTATAAAGAACCTGATCTATAAATTGGCATTGTATCATTGGAGCATTCTCTTTTCATCTCTGAGCACCAGATTCAAATGTTTTACGCAGGGAAAAGATTCTCCATTTTCTATAAGTATAACCAGTTTGGCTAAAATCCAGTTCCATGTGAGCACAAAGTTAGAGTACACTTATTAGAGAGTTAATAAGGATGGCTGGTATGGGAAATGGAAACAACATTCATATGCTGTTATGAATTTGGGGCTAAAGTGCATTGTTGGGGCACATTAATGGGAGCTTTCCTCTGCATTTGAGTATTCTTGTTGTCTATGCAGAGTTTGGTTCAAAAAGTAAGAAAAGTGACCACCTTAATTTTCATGCACTAAATTTTAATCACCAAAAAGTTATAGCAGTGAAATCAAATACATTTGGAATGGAAGTGACAAGTTGAAGGTGTTTCTTTTTTTACATAATTCACATTTGAATAGCCACGACGACCTCTGCTCTCACGACAGAGGACACAAACTGAACCTAAGGACCGACCTAATGCCCGCTTGTCTACAACCAGACGCAGCATCCAGCCAAAAGCTAAACCTTTAGGTAAGGTTCAGAATTTAGAATTTGTCATCAACAAAGTGACATTTATATGTATTTAAAGAGGTCAGAATGAGTGCCATTCGCATGCTCAAATTGAAACTTTTCCAAAACTGCTTTAACACAAAACATGTTAAATAGAAATTGATGCCTTTAAAAATCCCATGATCGATAAAGATTTGGAAGCATAATGTATTGCTCTGCAATAGTGTGAGCAGGTTTTCACATGGCAAGATCAAAGTGACTTGTGCAAGTCATTTGGGGAAGTGATGGAGAAAGGTAAAGTAAGCAGGGAGTTAGGGAAAGGGGACATATCAACCTGTATTGGTATTGTGCATTTCGTACTCTGTGAGTGTGACACTGTCGGATACGGGGAAATGTTTCCAGTTTACATGCCTTTTGGGTGCAAAACAAATTATCAAACTAAGAACTAAATTTAGGAATATGAAGAGAGTAGGAATGAATCATAATAGTAGGAAAATGGAACCAGATACATTTTTCAATGATATTTATTATAATTATAATCCTTGCATTTGATATATAAGCACAACAACAACAAAATTACATTTATAGAGCCCAAAGCACCTTATCACATCGTCGCAACATCTCAAAGCTCTTCACAGAATATACTGTAAAGTGAATTAACTACGTATATTTTGGGCAAAATGAGACAGTCAATTGCACACAGCAGTGTCCCACAAACAGTTCTGGATTGAGTGACCAAATGATTATTATTTTTTGAAGGGATTATTACCCCAGAAAACGATCTGCTAATAGACTACCAATATTTATTGTATTCTTTACCCAGAGAGTAATTAACAACTGGAACAGGTTGATGGTTGAGGCCAAGATACTGAAGTAATTTTTAAAAAATGACTTGATGTTGTGACGGGAGGATGGTAGGGTGGGTGTTCTGGAAGATTGAAATCAGACAGACCAAAGAGCCTTTTTCATCCAAACTGATCTTGTGATCTTTTATGTATTAAAATACTGATAATTGTATATTTTATTATGTGATTTCTGAAATTAAAATACATTAATTTAATGTTTCAATGTTGGATTCTGACAGAACAAAAAAGATCAGTTACCTTCACTGAAATGCAACAAGACACCACAGCTACTCAGATAACGATTATAGAGAGTAAGGAATCCTCATCAGAGCAGGCACAGGGCAACATACCAGAATCTGTGGCAACATCAGCAAAAACTGCCACATTTCCAGTTGCAGGAACATGGCCATCCAGTCCAAGCAGTAGCAGTCAGGTAAATGTATTTAATGCAGTATCTAATCAAAGTCCTGCCAGAGTGTTTCTTTTGAACATCCCAGTGGTTAGATTGAGAGCACCAGAGCTAGAAGAACAGGTGTTGTCTGCACTCAACAGAAGAATGGACTGTGGCTTGGGGAGAATAAAGAGTGATATTAGTTGGGGAATAAATGGAGGTGTTAAAGTGGGTGGCATGACTAGAAAAAAAAGATTACTGCTTTGACTACCTTTTTAAGACCACAGTTTTGATTTTCAGATTGTTATGAGAGTTTTCCTAGAGCAGCACAGTGGTATGGCATTTTTATGTATCCTATACTGGATTAACTCGAGTGCTTCTGAGCATAAGTAGGTGCTTTACTCAATGCATGGAGTGTTGTTACCCTAACCAGTTATTGAGTATTTACTAGTGGACAGTTACAGATGTATATTGTTACAAAGCTGGGAGCATATCTGCCATAGTGCAGGATTCTGGCACATGTGGAAGTTGGGGTAATAGAGAAAGGTTTTTATTAAAAAAAGTCTGTTTCATGTCTACCTCTTTTATACCATGATGTACTTACCTTGCTTTAGGCAGAGGCAGTGTGTCTGGAAACTGAGAATAAACTATGTGCAACTCATAAAACAATTATAACACAGATACCGCCCTTGGAAGAGGTTGAACAGTCTGAAACCGAAGACTTCACAGATCTAGAAACAACCACTTTACTTCAGCATACAGACATTGTCCTACATATCAGTGAAGACAACGGAACAGAGAATCCGCTTCTGTCCAGCCCATTGAGCATTTCACACATTGAAATTAGTGAAACTGATGTGGGTCTTGATGAATCCCATGTCTAAGGCAATTGATTGTAGAACCTTGGCGATCCTCTCTATTTATTATCCCTGTGGCTCAGTGTAGTGTATGAAATTAATGATGTTGGCTTCTGATAAATGTGCAAAGGTGATCAATTACATGGGTAGTCCTGTTTTGTCAATTTGTTTTGAATTGCTACATGATTTCATGACAGATTTGGGAAAATTGATTTAATCTGGAGTTTTCTAACATTTAGTATAAATATAAAACCAAAAAAAATCACAGGTACCTGTTATAAATAAAATATGTTGATTATTTTAGTTGTTCCAAGTTGTCAAAACTGGGAGGAAAAAAAAGCTGTTTTTCTCCAGAAATCTTAAATAAGTTTTAGAATTGAACCTGATTGTTTTAACAAAATAACAATTAAATCAACAATGGAATATAACACTGAAGAAGCCATCAAAACACCAAAACTAAGTGAGGAATTGTCAACAACAAATATATTGCTACAGTGATTTCATGTAATAGCCTGTCTGTTCCAGCCTCAGCAGAATGTTGTTTGAAAATAGATGCTTTCAGCCTTAACAATATATTATATGTTTTTGCCTTATAATTCTACTGTATTACAGACTGAATCAGCTTGATGACAAAATTACTCTATCTGTAACCTTTTTTTAAGTTGAGGAACACAAGTGAAGGGACAAAGCCTGCAATGCAATTCATTACTTAGGCTGTAAAGAGTAAAGGCTGAGAGGGTAAAATGTAATGTATTTAGTGTGAAAAGAGAAGCTGTGCTTTGAGGCAGCTTTAGCAATGGAGTAAACATTCTCTTTGACATCAGAGAAGTTAGTGAGGCTAAGAATCATAGTAATTTATAGCACAGAAGAAGACCATTTGGCCTACCAAGGAATAAGGAGCAATCATTTCAATCCTATTTACTTGAGTTTTCCCCGCATCCCTATAGCTTAGATATGGATCTACTTCCCTTTTGAACGCTCATATGGACTCTGCCTCAACCACCGCTCCCAGCAGGCCATTCTGCAAGAATGTTCATAGATAAAGAAAGATTAATATTTCAGCCATTGACGAGGTGAGGCCATTGGTTAAACTAGCAAGAGAACTGAAAATATTGTGATATGGCAATAGTTTCATGGGAAAAAAGCATCATCTTTCCTAAGCATCCACTGATCATGACAGCAGATTTGGAAGAAGGAAAAGTGAACAAAAACAAAAAAAACTGAAATCAAGGAGAGACTAAAGGCACAGCAAAAGATAGAGGCAAGTTCAGAAACGCATCTGTTTTAAACAATCAAAGGAATACAATTTGAGACCTTACTTGGGTCTAAAAAGTGGAGGATCAGACGTACTCAATTGATATAAAACGTAATGTCAGTCGTAGTGATAGAATGGCAGTAATGAATGGAAGATTCTTGCCCAGATCATCATAACAGAAAAGTGAGCCAAAGAGATTGTTTTTCTTCTTGGGAGAGTAAGCAACTGAACCGAATGGAATAGAGATAGAAAATAAGTTGTACACATCGTATATTTTATGTATAATAGTATATTTTGAAGTGAATGAATATATATGTATAATTCAAGTAAATTAAAATGTTTAGTTTGAAAGGGTAGATAAATAAAGTACGATCATCTCCCCCAACTTCCTTCCAGCTCATACTCCCATTCATCTTTGTAAAATGTTTTGAGATATTCTAGAAAGGCGCTTGGGTAAGTGCAATTTGTTGTAGAATATCTAATGCTTCCTGTGCATCTCACATTTAGTAAATGTAATAGTTGTAATGCAGTATTTCCATTTGACTGTTCGGAAGATATCACCTCAATTATTTCATGACATTTTGTTTAAAAGACTGCCAAACAGTGTGCCCCCCTTTTTTTTATTGACTTGTGTGAAATACCCAGAGTACTTGTTCTAAACCGTGCAAATTTAATTTTTAAGGTTAGGTGAGAGATCACAGAAATGGAAGATGTTTGTGGCAGACTGGCAGCATCAAGCATTCTCTAGTCAGATCATATCATAGGCTAAGTGCAGTTCAAAACTTGCTTTGCACTGGCCTTACAAATTATTTTAATAAACGTAGATTTCAGATAAATATGCCTGCCTGCACCATTTTACTGCAATCCCCTTCCATAAATAGGTGATATTATGTAATTTCATTTTCCTGGAATCAGTTCTCCAGAGTGAGATTGTCCAGTTAGATCCATCCTTTTAAATTATTTTAGGACCTTAAGGAGCAGCAGTGTCAGATGAGCTGCCTTTGCGAGGCTCATTAAGATTCAAGCCTTGGTCAAAAACAGTGAAAGCAATGCACTACACAGTCATCTTTTTCTCAAGTAAAATTATCACCCTGCTGTCTTCATATCATTTTAAAAATAAGCTCAATAAGAATTAATTATGTTTTCCTTAATTTTGTTGGGAAGGCTTTGTGGTAGATTAAATTGTCTCAAGCTGGTCCTAGCAATTTGTGTAATCAAATGTGAGGTCTTTAAATGCGGTTATGTTTTCAGGTACAATGTTTGTGGTTGTGTTGCCAATTATATTATTTATTGTGCTTTGTTTTTAGTTGTATGTTATTGTATATGTATCATGTTGAAAGTAAATTCACAAGCCAAAATAAGATAATTCCAAATAAAGTGACTATTTGAAATTGCCATTGTCTTCTGATACCTGCAGCCCTATTAAGACCCACAAACAAGATAGATTCCAATGATTCTGTTGGTCGGCAAATTAAAGCACATTATAAACAATAATTAAAAAGTGCTAACAATTTATATTCTACTTCATCGCTATGATTTTTGTCTAGTGCTTTTTAAAATAATGCAACTAATTTGATTAAAATCTACTTTAGACTAAATTCCAATAGTATATATCTTGCACACTCATGATTGGATTCTGATAGCACAAATTGACTGCTGGATAGAATACAGAATAGTCTGTACCTAGTAATTCATTTTTTATGTCTTTTAGAAACTTATACGAGGTAATGGGAACAGATAAAACATTTATTTGGATGTACCAGATAGTCATTACGTCCCGGCTTAACTAAGCCAACTGTCTGCTCACTGGACTTCCCAACTCTTCCCTATTCAGAACTCTGCAGCTTATGTCCTCCCGCACCAGACTCTGAGAACCTATCACTCCCGTTCTTGCCTGGCTTCACTGGCTCCCCATTCCTCAGAGAATTGAGTACAAACCCTTCAAGGTACTTCACAGTTTTGCTCCCCCCTACCTCTCCGACCTCAACCCCATATCAGCCTCTTAACCCCATTTCAGGTATCATAACTCCATACTGAGCTCATTCCGCTCGGCGGACACGGGGCTGCTTCAGGTCCCCCGCACTTCCTGCCCTACCATTGTCGATCGGGCATTCAGCATCTGTACCCCACACTCTGGAACTCCATCCTGCAATATCCCTCCGCCTCACCCCCTGTCTTGCCTCCTTCAAGACCCGTCTGAAGACCTTCCTCTTCGATCGTGCCTTCGACCGCCCTCCCCTTCTGACCCCAACTCCCCACTCGGGGCCCAAAACCCGATTGTCCAGCGCCCGGGCACGTCTTTCCGACGTGAGGGGGGGTGGGGGGGGCTATGCAAGTGTAAGTTGTTGTGGTGGTGGTAAGCTCAACGTGTGTAAGTATGGTTTTAATTAGCATTTCATTGAAAAGTCCGAGTTTGCTTTGTTAACTATGCCTAACTTTTCGAAACCTCCCTTTAGAGGGTGATCTAAAATAAAAGCTGCCCCCCCCCCCCCCCCCCCCCCACCACCACTGAGCCCCTGATACTGGATGAATTGCAGAGTGAGAGAAGACCCTCCAATGACCGTAACAACAGCTGAGAGCCACTGCAGGAGAAATGTCCAGCCAGATCGCGCCCACTGAGCATGCGCTGGCGCCGCGGTGCACGCCGGGGGTTGTAGTTCGCCGTGGTGGTGGTGGGTCGGGGGGAGAGAGAGGTTGACAGGAGGCGGAAACCTCGGGAAGGAGAACTCCAGGTCCCGGCGGCCCCCGCGCTCCCCCCCGCGGCCCAGGGCAACGATGGCGCAGGGCTGCAAGATCGGACCGTCCATCCTCAACAGCAACCTGGCCTGTCTGGGGGCCGAGTGCGTCCGCATGATGGACTGCGGCGCCGATTACCTGCATTTAGACGTGATGGACGGGTAAGAAGCGGCATTTTTTTCTCAGCGAAGGCCCCCGGCGGGGCTGGGGCTGGGAGTCTACCTCACCCCCCCGGAGCCGGAGCCGAGGCCTGGTCTCCCGGGGCGGGTTTGACCGGGTGTCCCGGGGACTGGTGGTGACCCTCCCGGGTTTTTTTTCTCTCGGGAGGAGGAGGAGGAGGAGGTGTTAGTAACTGCGGTTATCTTTAGTTATCTTAATCTGCGCAGAAGGCCGACACGGTGACACGTGAGTGTATTTTGCCCTCTCGGTTTCTCGCGGCTCTCGAGCGGTACAACATCCCCGCGGTTGCGCCCTGTGCGGCTTTTGCTGCCCGTCACCCAAACAGGGCAGCGCCCGAGAGCGCCTCACAGGGACTTGGGGTTGGACGCTCGGGCCAACGGGAAGGAGGGAGGTGCCAATGTAGGCTCCGTCAGACAGGTAGGACTTGAGGCGAGGGGGGGGGGGGGGGTTTGGGATAGAAAGAGAAGGGCTTGAGAGGGAGTGAGGGAGAGTGGGGGAGGGATAGGGAGTGAGGGAGAGTGGGGGAGGGAGGGAGTGGGGGAGGAAGAGTGGGGGAGGGAGAGGAGGAGGGAGGGAGGGAGGGAGGGAGGGGGGAGGAAGAGTGGGGGAGGGAGAGGAGGAGGGAGGGAGGGAGAGGGGGAGGGAGGGAGTGGGGGAGGGAGAGGGGGAGAGAGGGAGAGGAGGAGGGAGGGAGTGGGGGAGGGAGAGGGGGAGTGGGGGAGGGAGGGAGAGGAGGAGGGAGGGAGTGGGGGAGGGAGAGGGGGAGTGGGGGAGGAAGAGTGGGGGAGAGGAGGAGGGAGGGAGTGGGGGAGGGAGAGGGGGAGCTCCAGAGGGTTAGGGGTAAAGGAACTGAAGGTCCAGCCGCTGGTGGTGGTATGGAGAGAGAGGGCGGGGGATGCTCAGTCGGCCTGAGTTAGCTGAGTGGAGTGGAGTTGAGCTGCTGGAGTGGGTGTGGGGGGGAGAGGAGGAGATCCGAGAGATAAGGAAGTGTCTGGGAGTGGATGGATTTGTAGGCGATCGAGGAAGCTGCAGTCAATCCACCGGGAGCCAGTGGAGTCTGACCAAGTCTCGGGCGATGGGCGGTCGAGGATGCAGGCGGTGGAGTTTGGGATGATTTGCAGCCTGTAAATGATGGAACTTGGGAGACCCAAGGCTTAGAAAAGTCTATAACGCAAGATGTTGCAAGTTACAGTATACAGTTGCGTTACGGGCGTGTTGCAAGGCTGCAAAGTAATTGAGAATTTGCCAACTTGAAAGATGTACGTGCCTGTTGTCGTCGTCAGACTTTCTCCCTGTGAATCCGTTGAGTTTAGTTTTTGGCCCAACTGTCTCTTAAAAGAAAATTCTGCTTCAGGTTAATTCTGTTTTGTGTCGGGAAAGCAAGAACAATCAAGATTTTCAATAAGTTCGACCTATCACAAAAGCAAATATCAGACCTCCAGCTATGATTGTTGTCCCTGGTCCACTTTTGGGTTTGATAATAGATGGAATAAAGCCTATATGTTATAAATCATTAAAGAAAATTGTTTAATCTGAATCCTTCTTGCTATCAGAGCTGTTCAAGTAAACCTATTCTGAATGTTATTAATATAATGCACTTTAATGCTGCTTTTTAATGCAGTATATTGTGTTGTGCTTTAGTAATTGCTCATGTTATGATCTGTGAGTTCCACTGGAATTGTCAAGTCATGCTGCTGTGATATCCTCAGTAATACATGCTAGCCTCTTGCTTTAGAAATGGTATCGTCATAGTCGTATAGATATGGTTCTGCTTTAATATTCAAACTTTCTATTGGAGTGAAATCTATGCACATTTTTCCTGACCGTGAGAGACATCGTTTAACGTGTGTAACTGGACCATTTGTTTTATCAGTTGTAATTTTTTGATATTTTGTAGAAGTTTTTATTTCTTGAGGATTGTTTTTATTTCTAACAGTGGTGTTTTGTGATTGTCTCAATCTTTTTAAGTATGGGTTTTATCTTTATAAATTAAAATTAAACTATTGATTGCATAATGTACAATGGAATCAGGTCAGTACAAAATCAGAGTTGCGCTGTAGGATATAGTTTGTTTTACACTGTCTTATTTTAATAAATCAAAGTATTGCAATGTGCATTTTATAGATTGGGTTTTAGTGTACATTGTTTATTATGTAGTGTATTTGTTGGTATGTTTAGATAGCACAACAGACAATTAACATTTAACAATTAACAGACAATGTACAAGTTACATTCTCTATATTAATAACATGATTTGTCAGCAAAATAAGCTTTAGTTCCTACGGTTGTAGAGGGAAGCATTTAGAGTGGATGTTTCAATGTGCATACTAATTAGTAGAGATACAGGTGTTCAAATATGTTTCCTTAATATAGAATCATAAAATGTCTACACACAAAGGAGTTTATATCTACTAAGATAATAATAATCCTTGCATCTGATATGGCGCTTTTCACATCTTCTGGACGTCTCAAAGCGCTTCACAGAATATACTATAGAATTGACAGTACATTTGTGGGCGAAACACGGCAGCCAATTGCGCACAGCAGTGTCCCACAAACGGTTGTGGATTGAGTGACCAAATTATTATGTTTTTTTTGGTTTGTTTGTTTTTTTAGGGATTATTATCCCCGGAAAAGTGATTGGCCAATCAACTAACAGCCGGTTTCCTACTTACTGCTAGGTAAACAGGCATGTGGAGGAATAAAACCCAGGTCTCTCGCTTGTGAGCTGAGTGCTCTGACCACTGAGCTACAGGACTTCACAAGATGTAGATTTACCAAGTTGTTTAAACTATAAATCTTGATAGTATCAGACCATAGAACTTCATCCTCTATGTAGCCTCTGTTCACATCCCACATGTCGGGGGGAGGGGGTTAATCCCGTGAAAGGCTGTTAAAATCAATTTCCATCTCAAGATTAGTTTTGTCTTTTATTTCACACATACTATCAATACTGCATGTAGAAATGTCTTCTGATGCTTTTATTTTGTCGCAATAAGAGCTTGATCTCCTTTGCTGTTTGGATTGAGTTTGTCTGCAGCTGTAGAAAGAGCTTGGAGCAATATGATTGAAATTAGAGATGTTCAGTTCCCCTTTTAACATAGGATCTGCTTGTATCCTAGTAATCTCTCAAATCAAAGTTTGGTGAAAATTCTCCTCTTTCCTCCAGACATTTTGTGCCTAATATCACATTTGGTCACCCGGTGGTGGAGAGTCTCCGGAAGCAGTTGGGTCTGGATCCGTTCTTTGGTAAGGACTTGAGCATGTCAGCAATCGCGTATAATTAATTGGTTGTGAAGTGCTAAAGTCAACATTGCAGCTAGGAGGTACTTTTGCTTTGAAATACTTATTCTCAGAATGACAGTCGAAAGGTTTTTCAGGGCTTTTATGCAAGATTTAGGGCTACGATTTGATTTGTGATTATTAAGGGAAACGGCTGCAGGAAAGAAGGGGTGGGAGGGCTCCAGCCTATATCAAACTCTGCTCCCGGGAGGTGGATTTGTCTCTTTGCCAAACACCTTTACGAGAGGCTTTCAGTTCAGTAATTGTTGCCAAACAAGATAAGTGGGTTGTATAGAGCATCAAGGTGGCTGGTGTGGCGTAACCTAATCTGAACACACCTTGCCAACATGCTAAAGGTAGATTTTTGTCAAAAAGCTGATGGGGAAACTAATACTTGGGATGATAGGATGGAAGGCATTACCTGGATTGTGGGTTCACAAACACACTCAGAAGTTGGTAGCTGCCCTGGAATATGTGCAGAGAGATAAACAAGTACAGTACTGCAGTATTTATTGAAGCTTTGCATCTTACTAGTGGAGCAGTGAGTGGACTGCAATGAGTGTCCTGGCTGTGAATTAAGAAGGATGGGAATACATTATCTTGATGGTGATCCTGCTGTAGTAAGAGCTCAACCCTGTTGTCAGTTGACTGACCATCCTGTGTGATGGGCAGTGGAGGGGAAAGGGAGATAAGAACAGGTTTCTGAGGTTAAGATGGCTCTTAGATTCATATCTGATGATGGGAATAGGTAGAAAACTTAGTAATAACCTTGCCAGACATGTCTGCTGTTCTCTAGGCTGCTGATGATTTGTTGACTGATTTGGGGGAACAGGCCAGATAACCTTGTAATCCAATGTAAGGTTACAAGGTTATCTGGCCTATTCCCCCAAATAAGTGCCTGGAAGCTTATCAGTTCTTTGTGCTTGTATCCTGCTCCACGTTACATCAACCCACATTTTACTTGGGATCTGTGTCAAGGTGTTAGAGAAAATATTGTACATCTGAAATAAAAACAGATGCAGATACCTTAAGCTTGCACTTGCCTAGATTTTTACAGTATCATGTTTCCTTATGTGTTCACTGGACCTGTCTAAACGTTCACTGTATCCCCTCCTGTTTTCTGGTGGAAGATTATAAAGTGTCTTGTGAATGCTAGGTTTGAAAGCTGATTGTAGTTTCTCTTGTAGCTATTGTTTTCTCTTGCCTCTTTCAAGCCCCATCTGAAGATCTTCCTCTTCAACCATGCCTTCGGCCACCCTCCCACCTCCACCCCCCTGCCCTCCAGCCCCTTGACCCCAACTCCCAGCTTGGGTCCAAAACCCCCTAATTGTCCATACAAGTGTAATTTGTTCTTGTTGTCTATTTGGTATTTTGGTTTGAACTTGTGCACAGAATGACTTTTTAAAAATTATGATTAATCTTTTATTATCTGTATCTTAGTGCTGTTTGGTGTCGTCTTTACTGACGCGGCCTAAATTTAAATACTGATTGACCTTCTGTTCGTAGGATGGGGAGAGAGAAAGAGAGGAGGGGAGAGGATATCCAGGACTGCTAAAGGGAATCAACTCTAGATGGCGTTTTAGTCATCTGACAATCTTACCAGCCAGGTCTGGAATCTGCCTGTCTCGTCAGAGAGATTTGGAGGAATAGGCATGTTTAGTCTAATTTGTGCATTAGTTGTACACATATCAAGTGCCCAATCTGATACAAAATCCAGAAAATGCTTAATCTTCCACATAAATGAATAATTTGACATGTTTTAATTCCAATGTTATAACAAGCGGGTTGTGTTTTGTTGAATTCTGAATTCTTCAGCTGAAAACACATCTTCGAATCATGAATTTTGACGTTACCATCTTGTTGCTGTTTGCATTGTGTAGATGTTGTATTGGAACAGAGTGAAATTGGACAGTAGTAATTATAATTAATCTCTTGTATAGTTTGGGAACTCTGTACTATAGTTGTTTTAATGTTCAAGGGCAGGTGTGGTGCATCATTTTTAGAACATTTGGCGTGTTTTCCCCACTTGGTGGGAAAGCCTGATTCATTTGGTAGTAATCTGATCTCTAGGTCACAAGGTTGTGAAATCAAGCCCCACATTAAGACTTTTAGCTTGTTATCTAGGCTGATAGTGCTGGATGAGTGCTGTATGGTCAGAGATGCCGTTCCTTAGATAAGGCATTAAACAGAGGTTCTATCTGCCTGTTTAGGTTGCCATTTCAGCACCCACAGCACTATATGAAAAGGGAATTTATCCAGATCCTCCAGAAAAAATTACCAATTAACATCATGTATGTTTGTATGCCATTGCTGCATGCAAATTGGCTGCTAGGTTTGCCTGTGAAATACACAGTGGTTATATTTTGCAGAAACTTTGACATGCTGGGCACTACTAAGGATTATTTTTATTATTTATTTGTAAAACCCGGATCACAATTGAATTTAAATTTGTAGACTTTTTTTTTAAACTGTTGATTTTCTCTGCTGTCCTTCCCTCACTGAAGCCACTGGTGTGTTGGGATAAGTTCCCATGGACACTGGCTGCTCCCCAATATCTTGCCTGAGTGGCCATTCTTCATGTCCGATCCTCTGTGCCAAGTATTTAACCTGGCAGGCACCAAAGCCAATCCTCGTCCAATTCACTCACATTTTTGAGCAGGGTCTTTGGATACCAATTGCAAATGGGAACCCTGGTGAACTTTTCATTCCCTTCCTTTCTATTCTGGGAAGCCAATTGTAGTGGGCCAACTTTCAGATTGTAATCTTTCAAAAAGTGCAGTACCACTTTGTGGTTTGCTTTTCATGCAGACATGCACATGATGGTTTCTAAGCCAGAGCAATGGGTGAAGCCAATAGCAGTGGCTGGTGGCAATCAGTACACATTCCATCTGGAAGCAACAAATAATGCAGGAGCACTCATCAAAGATATCCGAGAAAATGGCATGAAGGTAAGTGACTAGGAATTATTGTATGGACAGTTTATTGTAGATTACAGTTTAAAGTGTTTCTCAAGCTTTCATTCAATGCCAGTCAAAGTGTGTATGGTATATTAATTTCTGTTGTACTTTTCCAAGCACCGTAACTGTTTTCCAAGCACCATAGCCATATATAGAAATTGATGTAACACATTTTTCAAGTAAAAACCATTTACTCGGGAGTACAATTGATTTATTTTTGCGATGACCTGTTCATGGTTTTATTTCTGGGCGATGCTGTAAAGTTTTCTCAACACCCTCTTCTTGGTAGCAAGCTATTATATCATAATATATTTACATAAAATTTGCATATATGTGTGTATATATATATGTATATATAACCCATGATAGGTTGCTTAAAAGTGAATTAAAACTGTTATCATGACAGATTTAAAAGAAGTTAATAAAATTGTTTTTGAATAAGCGTGAAAACAGTTGATCAGTTAATATTTTTTATTGGATTGGTGTGATTGGATTGGCCTTTTCTTCACTGTGCATTTTGTGCAACTATTGTTGCCAATATCTACTGGTGTGGAACTCACAGTAGATACTCACTTTTCAAGTTGTTTCCAAAATCCTCTGATGAGCTTTCTGCATCAGTTCATGAGCGTGGAATTCTTTTATGGCAAAAGTAACAAGGATGAGACTCTACATAGCTAAGACTGGGATGAACAAAACTGTTTAGATTGAATGTTTTCCTTTTATATCCATTTCACTGACCTGCTTTGGTCACGTCGTTGCTCTGATGTACACCGCTTAGTCTGCTTGTTGTATAGAAACTGGTTACCATTTTGCACTTTTCTGTAATTGCCGATTATGTTTGGTTCACAGTTGGAATCTGGCACATAACTGAAATGTTATTGGTTTGGCCAAACATTTCAAGGTACTATAAACAAATTGAGGAAAATGTATGGAATGCAGTTTGTTGAAATGTACAGTGAACAGAATAAACTTAAAGGGTAGAAATGGGTACAGTGTCGAAACTTCCCAAATTCATTTCAGATCCTTCAGCTGGCAAAGAATGGACTTGTGTTACTGCTGCAGTCTAGTCTGATTTCACCACTGAAGTGACAGTGTTGACCCTGTGCGTTAGCCCTTTTCTTGGACTGCGACACAGGAACACCAGTAACTGAGCAAGATTTGGAAACGGGACTCAGCATTGTATGACAAGAGGAGATTAGTTCAATGTCTTCTTCCTCTCCAGGTGGGTTTGGCAATTAAACCAGGAACTTCTGTGGAAGAGTTGGCTCCTTGGGCTAATCAGATTGACATGGCCCTCGTGATGACTGTGGAGCCTGGGTTTGGAGGTCAGACATTTATGGATGACATGATGCCAAAGGTAAACCAAAAGCAGGTTTCGTACCCTTCTGTCTCGGAACTCCTTACATCAGCTATAATCTAAAAATCAACATTTATTCAGCCATCCCTTTCCCCATCAATAAATACTGTTCAAAATCTAAAGCAGCCGCTTATATTATTGATAATCAGCTGTAATGGTTTGTTCACTACAGCATTCATATATAAATCCAGGAGACTATATCTTTTGTTCATATTTTCCACCCCAAGAGATGTTGCAGCACAATTCCAAAATTCAGGTTATGTATAACACTATCTACATAGAACTGTAACAAGTATTTGCTTTTGTAGATGACTCCTCTCTAGGTTTTTTTATGTATTGCCTCCAGATCAGACATGGACACACCAAGTTATTTGATATGGGGATTGCTGAACTGTGTATCAACAGGAAAGGCTTCTTTTTTTCAGAATACGTTTTTTTTCATTCATTTCACTTTTTCACTATTTCTTCCTTTGTGTAATATAAATACATTCTTGTATTACACACGTCCTTCCAACGTGAACGGTGCTATACAAATGTAATTTTGTATTGTATTTCAGTGGCGGTGATTTAGTGAGCAATTGCCAAATGCTGAAAAGCATTTCATATTCAAAATGTTATGTTTTTGTATATGAGTGTCATGCAGTTGCAGCTGATTTTTGATATTCAGTGTAGGTTCTCATTCTTTTGCATTGTGGTAATTAGTCATACTGTTTAGTGTAGTTGAAGCTTATGGATCTTGATAGACTGTTGCTGTTAACATAACATTTGAAAAAAGTAAAAATTATGGCATAGAAGTGATAAAAGGATGTCCTGAGAGGAGTTGTGAAGAAATGAAAGGTATGGAGCACACAGGCTAATTCCTGTTTAGACTCGATCACCTACTCTTTTCTAGTTGTTGCAAAATGTTGTGGTGAATCCAGTAGTTTATTGTACAACATGATTGATCCCAAAACAGCAAGTTACTGAACCAAACCATATTCTAATGTAGAGAATTTCCGATTTAATCTTAGTGTATTGAATTCCTGAGCCAAACTATTTAGTTAATTTCTTTTGTCGATTAAATGTCTTTTATTAACCAATCAACTGTGAAATGTTTAAGATATCAGAACATTTTTGAATTCTTAAACACTTTTCTATCAAATATTTTTGTCTTTTAATTGTATATGCTGCCAGGATTGTTTTTAATGGTTGTAGAACAAAAACTATCGGCTAGTTATTTATATATTGATCCAATGACCACATTGGTTGGTATGTTAGTTGCAGTTCAATTGGGAAATAATTTAGATTGATTTTCCCCTTTTGAATGAATTGAGTGTGTGAACGTAACAAAGCAACTTTTGTTTCAGGTGCAGTGGTTGAGAACCCAGTTTCCTTCTTTGGATATTGAAGTTGATGGAGGTGTGGGACCAGATACAATACATAAATGTGTAGAGGTATTAAAAACTCAACCTCACTCTTAATAATTCTGCAATAGATTCTTAAATCTGAAATTCTGAACACTGTAATGCTAATGCAGTCTAACTGAAATAGATCTGATTCGCCATACAAAAGGAATTTAAAAAGACATTTTATGTAATGCATTACAGAGTTGCTATCTAACTTATCAGTTGCCTCCAGTACAAACAAAACATTTGGAGATTAATTCAAAGCACCAAATTGGATCCTTTACACGCAGTTTAGATTTGTGTGTCCAGATTTTACCTTTGATTTCAGTTCTACCTTTCAGATAAAAGCCCTGCCTCAAAGAAAAACTTTTTATTTCATTAAGATTATGATGAATAGTTTGGTCTATATGACTTTTATGTGCAAGGATTTCAATTGTTGCATTCTTTGATAAAAAAGCATGAAGCCTAGGAAAAAGTTGAAACAATAGTTTTTATCACTGATAGTTATAGTCAGCTTCTCTAAATGTGGGTTAAGATGCTCCATCAATCACTATATAATGCTTCTCAAATAGGGCTGAAGGGATAGAGCCCTTAAATGATGTCCTGTTTAATTTCCAAAAGTACGATTAACATTTGCCTTTATTGCTTTGAATATTCTTTCAATGTAATATGTAGTGATAATGCAAGTTATTTTCAATTGTCATTCAACCAGCCACAGTATTAACTATATATCTTTGGATAAAAAGATTGACTTTTTGTGTGGTATTAAAATCAAGTATGGAATTCTTTCAGGCAGGGGCAAACATGATTGTGTCTGGCAGTGCAATAATGAAAAGTGCTGATCCCAGATCCGTGATGAACCTTCTCCGAAATGCATGTATGGAAGCTATTCAGAAGCGTTGTTTGGACAGGTGAAACACCAACAGTATGTTAACCTACTGTGCCTGCTGTTAACCTACAGTGCGGTGGATATGGACTTAACGAGATAAATATTGTTATAATTGCTATATTGACTGAATAATACAGCAAAATATGATTTCTGCAATGTACTATTTGGAGCAGTGCATAAGAAATGGATTATTGTATGGATATTTTGATTTATTTGCAAGAAACCTTGAAAGTCTTTGATAATGCATTAATTTCAATGCCTAGCCATTTATTCTCTTCTTCCTCGCCCACCCCTCAATTTCCAGTCTCCTCTGAATAAAGATTTATCTGTGGCAAAATATTACAAACAGGGCATGTTTATTCCATGTAAAATGTATGAAGTGAAAAAATATTAACCAGGCTTTTTTCCTGGATTTATAATGCAGGTAGAATTAATTCATAAAAACAAAATGTCTTTTATGCTGCAGCAGAAAGGATAGGTATTCTAACTTGCTTTAATGCTCATCTCTTGAATATGTCTACCTCATTTGGGGGGTGGAAATAAACCTTACATTTGATATAGCACCTTTTACATAAAGCTTCACGGGATTTTTTTATGCAGAGTGTAATGACTATTATTTTGTAGGCAAAAACAATCAAATCAATACTTGCCTAAAATGAGGTTTCACTCTTGTGATTTTGGAGACTGGTACAATTATCTCCAATTCTCTGACATTATTCTGATGGTTAGAAATGTAGAGACTAGCCTAGGTTAGGAACACAAGCACTTAAGTGTCAAAATATAAATAATGTTATCAAGAGGTATTAGCCCTGATTCAAGAATGAGCGACTTTTTATAAATGCAATATGAAATTGGTTCCCCTGACAGCAGATATGATTGATTTTTTGAACCTTAGGAGTTGTAATCTAGTGTGTAAAATATGTCTGAAATAGAAATCTGCAACAGCATGCTGGATCCCATCCACATGCCTTGCATATTTTAGAATATAATCTTTTTTAAATATCTCTAGACATCATTTGAGTTTTCCCTGATTAATGTTATCTTGCTTGTTAGATTCATCCATTGAGGCTTTGTATTGCTGTTTGAGCTGCTTGCCTGAAAATTTCTGACCAGGTTTAGATGTATTGACTAGCAATAAAAATATTGTAATTAGAATTAAGATTATTCAATCTCACTTTGTTTGATACGTGTTAAATCTGCAGTTGATTACTTGTATTGATTTGATACAGTGCAAGTAATAAGCGATCAAAAGCTGTAACTTGTGCTGTTTTGTAGTGAAATTGTTGATTTTGGAGGAACTCTTGTTCTGGATCTGAAAAATGCTGTTTTAGGGAGGCGCGAGGGCATGAAAGGATTTGAAAACAAGTGAGGATCTTGAAATCGATCTGTTCGGAAACTAGGAGCCAGTGGAGCCTGGCCAGGAATGACGTGATGGAGGTTTGAGTGGGTGAGTATCAGATTAATTGAATCTTGCGTATGGTGTTGCTGGGGAGACCCAACGAGGGCATTGGAATAATCCAGCCGGAAAGTAAGGCGTGGACAAAGGTTTCGGCTGTGTCGGTTGTGAGGCGGGCAATGTGACTGAGGTGGATAAAAAGCGGTTCTGGTCATAGAACGGATGTGGGGTAGAAAGGAAAGCTGGGGATCGAACCTGATGCCTAAGTTGCACACAGGTTAGGAGAGTCTGAGGGAGAGCCCGAGGAGGTTGAGGAGTTCAGACCCACAGGAGCCTGTCTTGCCAACATTCAGCTGCAGGAAATTTCGCTGATCCAGCCCTCGATGTCTGACAAACTGACAGGACATCAGTGGATTGGGAGTCACCTGTATACATGTGAAGTTCACCCCATGTCTGCGAATGACATCACCAATAGGGAGTGTGTATGTGTGACAAAATATGTGGTAAACTGTCCAGACTTGTGAGTATTTGCACAAGAAATATTTTGGCAATGAATGTAAAGGTTTGTATGAGCAAGAAAACATCGGATAAATTTGAGTTATCTTCACCTATGCTTGTTTTAAAGTATGTGGTGAAATTTCTTTCTTCTGTGAACCAGGACTCACCAGCGCAGACATTTCTGCATACTTTCCAACCCTTTGAACATTAGAAAACCCTGCCAAGGGCGCAGTAGGTTATTAGTTCATGTTTGCAGTTTCACAGAGAGTGAGTTCCTGTTCTTCATTGTACTGTTGTAGCGACCAAGTTTTACCCTAAAGCAAAGGGGAAAACATCAGATCAAGCAGAGCATTAGTCACCCTGCACTGCTGTCATGGAGCTCTTCACTGGTTGCACATCTTACTCCAAAATAGACTGGCAGTGTGTGGTAAAGAGAAGATAATACTGTCTTCCTCTGTTAGTTTGTATATAAAAAAAAGTTTTCTTGTCCCCACAGCAAGCCTAAAAACTGCCAAATGATCTTAGTTCAATTGATATTTTTAAATTCTTCTTGATCACAATTGCAGCTATTTGTGCCTTAAGTACATTATATCTGCTGCCCAGAATATATCAAAACAATGACGAATAAATCTTTACTAAAATATCTTTACTTTAAAAAGTAACTGTTACAAGGCAACAAGGTGTGACAAAATAAAACAGAACAAGCAGTTGAACAACATCTGAACACATAAAATTTACTCAAGAATTGTCTTGATCTAATTGCTAGGACCACAGAGCCAGCTGCTGGTCAAATATGCAGAAATGCCCAGTAAAAGCATAGTGTTGAATGTCCATTAATGCACTGTAAATTCTCCACTGGACTGGATGCTTTTTCAGACTTTGACATTCTGTCAAATGATCTGCACCCATTTCCTTTGATGTTAAGCAGCCACTGGAATTTGATTCAAAATATGCATGGTTGTTGAGTTGCATTTTAGAGCTTTTGCACTAAAATCAGTCCAAAGCGTATTGCAGGTGTATTTTGATTCCCTCCTGTGGCTTCTTGTTGTGGTTGTCTCCTTCAATTTATTGTTTTAGTCTACAGAAGGATATAAAAGAAGTTGTATTTAATTAAATTTCCAGTCTAAATCATATACCTTAACAAAAATTAAATGGATTTGGTTACTGATCAGCTTTCCATAGAACAAAAATAAGGACATTCATGCATAAGGGTTCCTTGTACAATTGATGTAGAAAATATGGGGATGAACCTTTAATTAGGTTAGGCCTCCATTCTGTTCAAAGGTCCTGGCTTGGTAATATCGGTAGTAAGCCACAACTAGAACTAGTCATCAGCAATACAAACCTTTCTGAATTCCAGAATCACTGCAAATGGTGTGTGAGTGTTGGGGGGGGGGGGGCGGGGGGGCAGGAGATGTAAATTCCATGGGGTTATTTACTACTACAACATTTTTAGAAATCAGTCACTTGAATGCTACATGTCCAAACCATTTTGGATATAGATGTTAATAATTAACAATATTTCCAGATTTGAAGACCCACAATTAAATTATCACTGTGCTTAGATCTCTGCTGATTTCCATAGTCTGTACTGTTTTGGGTAGTACTATAGCTATGTAGGGTTTTGTACCCAATGACTCCTTTCTTTTTCATTTAATTAGAATCTGGGAAGAAAGTATTCAAAAAATTTAAAACATAACAAGCAAAAGATTTGAATAGCATTTCTTACAAGAAAAAATTTAAGATTAACACAAGTTATTCAATGAAAAATAATTTTGTACCTTTTGATTATTCATTATTTTTCTCCTGTATTTGCAAAATAACTCCCCATGTTTATCGCCATTGTTTCTTTGTAATGTGACTCCGGTGATTGACTCTATATTCACCTTGCTGTGCTATTTCTTCTTGTATTGCACCAGCATTTACCTGGCCAGTAGATGGTGATGGAACTGAAGGAGGAGTGACACATGAGGATAGGTTATAAGCTGCAGTGTCCAAACTGGGTGATGCGAAGCAAGACTTTGAGATTTGTAGAGGGCCACATGGAATACTGTCCTCCTGAGTTAAGGCAATTATGTCTTTGTCACTCAAAGGAAAAGTGCGACAATTCCATGGGCATTCAATCTGCAAATAAAGGAGTTTTCATTACAAAAGTGATTTAGGGTTTGTACTTTTTTTAAAATCTAGGTGATTGAATTGTTAGAACCGGTCAATTTCATATGGCTTATGTACAGAATTTATTCAAGGATGAATTTAGCAATTTTTAAAGAAATAAAATATTGCAAGTCCTATCCCCTTTTTTAGTCCTGCATAACTTCCCACCCCAATTGAGGGCATACAAGTGCCCAGCTCCTATTTTATAGCCTCTTTTCCTCAGAAACACCTCCCCAGACAACCCAATTGAGATTTGTAATAAAACATGAGTGCAGAAGAATCTGCATCCTACTGTATTGTTCCACTCAGCTGCTGCCATGGAAATGATCACAGAATGCACACAAGTTTGGGTATAATTTTACATGAAGGAACTTGGGAAAATACCAATATAGTATCTTATTTAACAACACTGTTTGATATGGTTTAAAAATATAAAGACACACTATGTTTCTTTAACTATCTAAATATATTTCTATACCATTTGATCATGTACTCCTTCCAGGGACAAATAGTAAGTCTCTTCACTCTGTGTTATTTCAGACACACAGTGCACTGAGCTGCAGGGGTTGAACTGGTTTTCACTGTCTGAAGAAGCAGGTGGAAGCGGTGAGGTCAAATGCCCATCAGTGTTCTTACTAAATGATATCCTAAAGAAAGAAGCAGCAGTGATATAATGAGGTCTGTACAATAAAACACATACTCTTATCTGCCTTTAAATTATAGAGGGGAAAAGAGACAGCAATGTGTATTTTACCTGAAACTGATCTGGTTACAATCTATGCTTACTGTCAAAACATCTCAAAGCACTTCAGAGTTTTCTCTAAAATTCAGGTGTCCAAATAGTCGTGATGCCATTACAATATCTAAAACATCTTAAACATGATTTTTTTTACAATAGGATAGCTAAAATGTCACCCTGTATATAGTGACTATATATAGAACAAGGCAATTTGCACATCACAATGTGCCACAAAACAGCTGCAAAGTCACTAATGTTTTTTCTCAGGTCTAATATGAAAGTTAGTAATTCAAGACTCGATAGCTTCTTTTTTCTGCCCATTCAGCAACAATGAAGTGCTGTGAATTGGTTACACTTAAGGTCCCTATAACATTTTCCCTTCAACAGCTTGAAGTAATCTCATCTAGAATTATAACTGGTTTATGTAGCCTTCCCATACATAATTTCCTTCATTTTAAATATTTTGAAAGAGCATCTGCAATAATACAACAAAATCAGTAATTGTGAATATTGCATAACACCTATTTTAAGAATTAAGGAATTAAGAATTTAAATCTCTAGCCTAAGTGTTGTATTAGTACACCTGCCTGTTACTTCTTCGATGACATCTGCTTTGCTCCCACAAGAACCACCTTGCTTGTTCTCTTTCTTCATAATTTTTATGCCGTGAAGCAAATGCTTCATCTGAAGTGTTTTCCAGCTGTGAAAAGTTGAACAGATAATTAAAAATAAGTTGAATTAAAAATGTAAATAAAGGCCTTTCAATAAGACTTAATATGTAATTCACACCCACCTCTTTTTCCCGTGAATGCAAAGGTTTCATATCAACAATTCGCCAGCTGTCAATTAAAACAAATCAGCATGGATTAGTTTTTACTACTGGAAGATCAGTCATCTGAAAATAGGCACATATTGAGCTCCTTCACATCTCTTTAAATTTTATACTGTTGACCATTATCTAAATTTAAAATATTTACACTTTTTATAAAAAAAATGTAGAAATGTTAAATAAACAATCCATTTTTGGTGTACTTTTGTAATGATGCAAAATAGGAACAATATAAAACAGTACTCACCTTGGTGTGATGATTTCCTTATACTGAAGCTTCTCTATCTTGGAGGTGGCAACCAACGACATGGGGATCACAATGTTGTCAATATCATAGCAGAATTCACTTTGCTGCTTTTGTCGTAAAAGATTCTATAATGGTACAACCTAGAATGAATAACTTGCTACAGATTTCCTACACTGAAATAATTTCTTGGCAATATGAAACATAATCCAAGGTGTACTAACAGGAAAATATTCATAGCACAAAGGAAACTTGAAACTTTGAAGGAACAAGTTCATAGACAATACCGCAACTAACATCCCTGACTTTAATTGAGTTTGCATCATGTACATCATGTCTAAACACTATTCACAATATGCCTTGACAAAGATTTTTAAAAAATGTCCCAGATATAATTCTGGCCACAAGTATATCCAGATTGGATTTTGCAGGTCACGTAGAATATCATGTTTGCATAGGAGAAACTCACGGCATTGTTTTGGGTCAGCCTGGTGTTTTAACGTAAATGGAAACACTTTACAATGCTGAAGGATATCCAAACAAGCCTAGAATTCCACATGCCACTAACACAAGGAAATATCCCTGTGTGGAAATGGAATGCGGAAGTTTCCTTACTCCACACTCCTGATAATAATCCCTCAAGAAAAAAATAAATTGGTCACTTCAATCCACGACTGTTTGCGGGACACTGCTGTGCACAATTGGCTGCCGCATTTCGCCCACAAATATATATTTTACGAAGCGCTTTGAAATGTCTAAAAGACATGAAAAGTGCTATATCAAATACAAGGATTATTATTTTGCAAACTCCCTTCACTGGAGGGACACTGCCTACCTAATTCCAGAGATTATTCAGCACAGGTTGGCAAGAGCCAAGGATTGGGAACTCCAGAGTGTGTTGGGGCACCAGGGGAGATTAATCAGTTGCCATTAACAGTACAGCATGCCATTGCCAGTCTGGCAAACACAACAAATTGCCTTTTTTTCCCACAAAATACACATTCAATCCACTTCTCTTGGCAAATAAGTATGATTGTGAGAAGGCAATCCAAAAGAGAATTTAGGAGGAACTAGTTCAACCAGAGAGTGGTGAGATTCTGGAACTTGCTGCCTGAATCAGATACAATAGATGTATTCAAGAAGAAGCTTGACCTTTACATGGGGGAGAGGGCAATAGAAGAGTATAGGAGGGAGTAAAGAATAGGTGAAGTTTTGTGTGGAGTATAAACGCCAGCATGGACTGGTTGTGCTGAGTCATCAGTTTTGTGCTGTACAATCCAATATTCTATTGGAATGTGTGTCTTAACTATGAGCTCAAGTCCCATGTGACTTCAACCTACAATTTTCAGAGGTGAGAATGCTGCAAATTTAGAGTAAGTTTGATGCACTTACAGATTTTCAATTTCAATAAACAAGTCCTGTATGAACCAAATAGATAAAATAGTTTATCTTACATCTTTCATCTGTGAAAATGGTCTGTGGGATGGTGTTGATCTTGGTGTTGAGATATCTATTGGGCTGGAACATGGAGTTTGCTGAACAGGCACTGGTGTCTGTATGTGTCTCATTGATGAAGCTGATGGGGATTCACTGGAATTCTCTGGACCACAATGTCGTTTACTTACAACTGAAAAATTTAGGAAAAGAAAATTCGACATAAATATTTCAAAAGTCCTTTAAAATCAAAAATAAACAACTTTTAAAAGCAATAAACATTACATCATTGCAAATGAATAAAGTAGCCATCAATTTTAGCATAATGTAACCTTAAGCTGCTTTGCTTCATATAAAATAACTGGATATGTAAAACCATTGTCTTTCAAACAATCCATTTATATTGTTTATGAAGTTGAATTATACAAATAAATTAGTTAGCACGATATCAAAAATGTGATGCTTAAGACTAGTTTCAAGGAATTTGTCCTTACCAGCTGTTTTCTCATTAGAATGTCTCTTTTTTATTTCTCTGAAGGATTTCCTTAGCCCTTCTGTTGGAGTCTTAGCGGCAGATGGTGACTCATTCCAATGCTGCTTGGGCACCTTTGCATAACTGTCTTTAGTGCCATTGCATCCTACAAAATAATTAATTGTACAACAAATATGAAAATATTTTCTGGAGTTCTTGAAGATTTTTTTTAAAATCAAAGTGCGTTACCATCAATCTGTTATTCCTGTCTTAAGCATCAGTTGCCTTAATATTCTTAATATGGTTAGTCGCACCTTTTCATTTAAGAAGTTTTCATACATCATATATAGCAAGGTTTATTACAACAAAACATTATGTGTGTAGCGGTATCACATCAGGATGACGTCCCAAGGACGTCCTATGTAACTATTGTTACATATTGGAATAGAACAAATTTTTACTAGAGAGTTATTCAAGTTATTCAAATAAACTGCTGCACATATTATCGATTGGAATAATTATCAGTGAATGAACTATCTCTCGGGTGGGGAGCAGGGGGATACAGAAATGTGTATACAACTGCAATAATAAATGGAACCATGTCAATCTGAAAGGTTAATTTTGAGCTGATGAAAATTAATTTAAAAAATTATACCTGTGTCCCAAATAGGTGGTGGGAGCTGAAATAAGTAATATTTCTTAAAAAAGTGGGACAAAATATTTGAATAGGCACAAAATAGTTTTTGAAGAAGTTCAGAAGTACCAAAGAAGGAAAAAGTGACAATAAGACGACCAATAATAATTTAATTAAAATATTTCATTTCTTTAAAATTATATTTTTGATTATTTGGCTATTTATGTTGCATTGACCAAATAATCCTAATGTTTGAGTCACTATTTCGGCTTTTAAGTCATTTTTTTTCAGTGTTGCAGTGATGTCTGGAATAGTTGATTACAGAAAGGAATAGCCACTGAGATGGCTTTGCCTTCTTAGGCCTGCCGAAAGCTTTCAACCACTGCTTCGATAGAACTACTGAATTAAATTATGATAAAAATGTATATTTTTAAGCGCTTGGGGACGTCCTTCCGACGTGAAAAGCACTATATCAAATGCAAGGATTATTATTATTATATTAAATCAGAAGATCCAGTTAACAATTTAAAAATGACAGGCCTTCATTTTTTCCATCCATCTTTGAAAGGATTGAAAATAGTTCTTCAATTACAATTGAAGTCACTCTGTTTGGCACGCTGTGAACAAAATATTGCTGGCTCCTGGACTCAATATAATCCATAACTGTGCAGACTGGTGAATGTTTATAAAGGTATGCTAAACAGCTCTAAATTCTAAACCAAGTCAGAATACAATTGGCCTCATAATGGACATCACTGGATAAGCCAAATGCAAGAGGAGACAGATCCCAGGATTTAGAGGATCACTCTGAACTTTATTTACTCTTTAAGCCATAGGTACACCACAAACAGTGTGGATGCTTCCTGTAAACAATGGGGACTAACGTGCAGGTTTAAATTTAGTGATTCTTAAAGTATCAAATAAGAATAGGATACCAACACCAAATGATCCAATTATCAAAAAAGGCCCCTATCGTATAACAAAAATGATTTAAAGGTAAATACATTGTGCATAAACTTACAAAACTAATTTTAAAATAAGAGAAAGTAAATAGGTAAGATTTTTTTTTACAGAGCTGCCATTTTACTTACTGGCCAAAACCAAGTTATCATCACATGTATGGGGTTTACAAGGTGTATTGTTTGATAAGGAAGACTTTAATTCATTCATAAATAATGGAATTGGTCGATTGTTCCATTCCTCCTTATAGAACACAGCTTGTAAGTGTATATTAAGAGGAACATCTATAAAAACAACAGAAGGAAGTTATTTCTTTAGAGCAAAAATGATTTCAACTATAATGCAATAAAACATTTACTAACAGAGAACAGACATTTTTAATACAAGCATGTGTTGAAGGGCTTTAGGTACATATAGTCCCAAAATAAGAAAACCTAATACAAAACGAATCTGTATGACCATTAAAGTGAAAATGGTTTCAAAACAGTTAAATGTCACCAAAATACTCAGAATAAGAATATGTAAATTTTCAATTAATATAGATATATATTGTACTTAAACAATTAAACAGAGAAAGCAATTTATTCAATAAAGGAAATAACTTCAATTACTGAATCTAGATCTTGTTTTAAGAATTAATTTGATAATTGGGGAATTAAGAAACAAAGTATATTTTATAGGAAGTTAAAGTCCCCCATAAACTTTCTAATTAGATAAGATAATAAACAACAATGTAGAAAAAGTTTAAAAATACAACATTTTAAATAAGATGCTCTAGTAATAGAAACAAAATAAAGCTTATATAATCACCCCTACCACAATGGAATGACAACACTGGGTGGAAGCAAGGATCCAGCAGAGCTACTTGCTCTTCCAAGGTCATTGTCATCGAGTCTATTGCCATATTGAAGCCACAGATTTTACAGAATGTTGGCCAGGAACATTTACACTGCATAGCTGTAGCCTATTGAGTGTACACAATGCAATTTCCATGTTAAAATAAAATTCTACTAAAAGTACATCTCACATATAGGTTTCTAACAAATGGAACCATGCCAACTGAAAACTAGAACTAATGAGATCATTCAGAATCTTACATTCCTCTACAAAATACAGTACATCTACACCTTACAGTAAATTACATACCAACAACAACAAGATTCCATTTATTGAGCGCCTTTCACGTCAGGAGGACGTCCCAAGGCGCTGTACAGTTAGGTCAGGACCCGAGCAGGGGGGAAATGGTCAGGGGAGGGAAGGGAGGGAGCGAGGAGGGGCTAGAGATTCTAGAGAGGAGCTGAAGGCACGGTCAAAGAGACCGGCCTTGAAGGAGGAAAGGGAGGAAGCAAGGCAAAGGCACTGGGGGATAGAGTTCCAGAGCCTCGGCGCTGAGAGGCTGAAGGCCCGGCCACCGATGGTAGGGCGGTTGGGGCGGGGGATGTGGAGCAGAACGGAGGGTACGGGCAGGTAGGTAGGGGGATAGTAGGTCGGAGAGGTAGGAGGGAGCGAGGCCGTGAATGGCCTTGTAGGTGAGGATGAGGATCTTGAATTCGATCCTCTGGGGGATGGGGAGCCAGTGGAGGCGAGCGACCAAATACAAATTATGAGCTCCTTTTGAATAATTTCACCCATCCATAAATATATTTAGCAGGATAAAGCACTCTTCTGCAAGCTTTTCATATCAACCTGAAAAACCATGACTCCTATAAACAAAATGTAAGTAGACAGAAAACAAAATATAAGGTTAAGGGGCATTGGAAAAAGGTAGGAAAAGTGGAATTAAAAGATCTGTTATTTTGTAACAAACTGACAGAACGGAATCAATAGCTGAATGGTCTAATATATGCGAACAACCCAACATGTCATAACCAGCAGTCATAACAAATCTGTTTGTTCACCTGGTTATTTCATTGATGTGCATGTTAATTTTTGACTTGTAAGATTCACGGCCTTTTAATAAATAAATGGACAGTCAGCATTCTTTCCCAATTACTTTATCATTTCCCTGATAAGATTTATTAGTTTTTATTTCCCTCCTTTTCATCTTCTATAGAACCATATGCCTAGTTACCATCTATTAACTGGAGGGAAAAGTAAACATTTCAAAAATTAGAAGGTTAAACATTCATAAAATTGACTCTAAAAGTTAACCTTTTTGTGCTCTAGACATTTGTACCTAATCTAACTAGATTACTGATTTACAAAGCTTTATAACATCAGATTGCAGTGTTGTGTTTACATCCATGTATAAGATATGCAAATATTGACTGCAGTTTAAGGCTACATCAAGAAACTATCGCTTTGAGGGTTACAGAAATGTGATTCACAATTAAGTTAGTTGATAATACAATGTCATTGTCCAGTACCTTTCAGTCCTATATTATTACAATCCTCATTCCAATGCTATTTTCATCAAATTCATATTATTGGGTACTGCATTAACTCAGGGGCAATGCGTAAGTGGTTGCTTTGATAATCATGTGAGGACGTAGGACTCCCCATCATGAATAATACTGACATTTCACTTAAATAACATGGAACCTTAGCCTTTGACCATAAATACAATATGCATATTGTAGGGTTTTTTTAAGAAAGGAATTTGATTGCTGAACCAAAGAAAATTCTAATTTCTGCAAACTGATAATCATTAAAATTCACTTTTTTGTCATACATACACATATTGAATAAAGTAACTCACCTTTCTGCTTCCATTATATACAGAGCTGAAAAGTCTTCGTTTATGCCATGTTCGAAGAGGCCTAGTTCTGGCTGATGCACACGTGTCATCCACAGAGAGAAGCCTCTGTGCAGTCCTGTCCAGGTGCTTTTTCTTAGAAAAACGTTCCTCTGAAACAGAGCTGTTTGAAGAGCTGGATTCATCACCACCTAAAATACTAACAGCCAAACAAAAGCTCTCATTTAGATATTTTTAAATAAATATGGTGCAAGACAAATACAATTAAATGAAATTAGCTTATCCTTCCACTACAACAAGGAACTATTTTAAGATGATATTTTCATAAAATTTTAAAGACAAAATGTTTAAAAAAAAAATTTGAAATTATTGTTGAGTGACAATCAGATTAAAAAAATTAAAATGTTAAATACTTGTTCTGCATAAGAAGGCAAAAAGTTCTCATGACCTAAACCATAATTTGATGCCAGACAGTTGCATGTTATCTCAGAAAAGGTCAATGACAGGATGAAAATCAATCTCCTGCAAAGAGGCAGGTTTGGCACCATCCAAGTTCTAAGAATCAACAATCGTGCTCTGTTGAGGAATATTATCAATGCTGTACATGGGCAGAAAACACCAATGACTTTTCACACGTGCACAATCCTCAAAACCACTCCTTGGCTTGGTAATCAAATCTGAGCAGCGCTACAAATATAACTGGAAAAGTTGTGAATTCCAAGAAAGAGCTTACATCCTCCAGTGATAGGATATTGCAGACCTATTTGGCAACTGCAGAAAATAAACTCACTTGATCTTGGGACTTTTTATAGTCCAAGGTCATGAGGAACAAAGGACAGGAGATTAGGTGGTCTACCCCATACAAGTACATTGAACTCACAGGCTTCTATCATCACATAGCTCATATCATCATGCTATCAGTATCCCAGCCACTTCTCATGCAAAATGTGAATATGGGACACCGCCTCCTCCCGCCCTTTATTTCATCACATTCTATACATCCTAGTCAATAAAATATCGGATACATCATCGGAACAAAGTTACCTGTATCACCACACTAAGCGCCGGGGTGGCTCAGTGAATTCTGACATTGAGCAGCACAGGAAAACATCGCTGGGCCACTCAGCGAACCCTCGCGATGATCGGCCTGGTACCGGGAAGAGGTCACCCTCTTTTTCAGCCAGCCATGTGGTCAGCTGTTTTGACTATAGTGGCAAGATCTCCCAAGTTGAAATTTTAGACCTTGCCTTCTATGAGCTTCTGCCTGAGTGATTCAGGTTGTTAAAGTGAACAAAAAGTTTTTATGGACACATATACCTATACATAAACTTATACTAGACTTAACTCAAATGAGTTTTAACAAATAAACTGACAGTTGTGAGGGGCTGGGGCTACTGTGTCGGACTGACAGTTGCTCAGTCTGTACAGTGTGTGTTGGTGTAGTTCCTCCCAGAAAATTAAAATCAAAAGTATATTTAATCATATCACCTACCTGCATTTAATTCCATCAAGTCGTCTGCAAGGCTTAGAGGAGACAGGAGAAGAATCAGGAGATAAGTTGAGCGGAGGAATCAAACTGTTGACTGATTCTGTTAGCTGTGCACTCTGCAGACAATTAATAAACAATCCTTTCAAGCTCAGCGCCTCTGCTATTACTTGCACATGAACCAATAACCTCAATACTGTATTCTTTTTCCAGTTCTGATCTATTGTTACTACATATATTATAATTATAGGCAATTTTTGCAAAATTCTGTTTCCTTAGCACTTTTAATGACTTTCACAAACAGATCGATTGTAATATCACTAGTAGTTTAAGAATCCAACTAGATCCAGCCACAACTTAACAGGTATTTTCATTTTACCTGTTTATCTATATTTCTCAAAAGAAGAGAAGGACTGCTTGGTGACATTTCCAAATTGCATTCCGGAGTTGAATCCTTTTTCTCTATAGAGGTTTTATTATCCCCTGTTGCATTTAGTAAAGCTCCTGCTTCTGTCAAACACTTCTGCTTTTTCAGAATGTCTTTGGAAGGCTGGGATTCTTCTAGGATTACCATCCCCTAGACAATTACACAGAAATGATCAGTGGACAAAAACAACTATCTACTTCAAGTAATTTCCAACCACCTTTCCTTTACAGCTAATCAACCAACCATAAAAATGCCCGTGAATAGCAGCCATGAAGGTACCATAGGAAATCAAAATAACGGACGAAATAGTATATATGTAACACACACAGAATATATATATATTTATATATATATTTCTTCCCTCTAACCACCTCTTTTTCACATAATGAAGTCAGTCACATGCTAGGATAAAGATTATTAGTGTTTTACAAAGCCTTTTCTGGTATGTAATATGTGAGCTTAAAAGTTATCTTAAAAATGTAAACCAAAAGGCAGCTTGGGAATATGAAACAATGGCGTGTAGCATGACAGAATATGATTTATAACCATGACATCAATGTCCTGTGCTCAGACAGCACCTTATATGAAAGGAAATCCTATCCATTGTTTAAACCATTTTTCTGAAATATGTTTAATTAAAACTATATTATATAATTTCTAATGTAGAGCACCTTTGTAGCACGTATATGCCGGTAGATGTCATTTATCTGCCGTATTCTATATTCCAGCTCTGAGATCTGGGCTTGAAGCCATGTCCAGCGACTTGCAATGCCAGTTCGATCCATGTTCCATCTCCATTCAGACCTGTGCTTACCATTAGCAAAAAAAATGAATGGTTTAAAATTCACAATTTCTTAAACAGTTACATTTTGAACCTCTGCTACCTAACATTCCTCCGTGAATAAATCTTATGTTTTATAGGGATCTTGGAGATATCAGTATTCACTTAATTAAAGAAACCATCCAACATTGACATTTTGGGTTAATGTAACTAGAAATGTGTTTATTTCAGGCGGTCAAAAGTTGCCAATATTAATTATTTGCTTATGTTTTAGTCAAATTACATAGGCATGGTTGGGCTTGCACCATTCAGTTCTTATGGGAAGAATTCTGGTTAGAAAAATAAGTGTGGTAAAAGCAGGTTTCTTCAAAGAACTGGACGTTAGACACAAACATACCTTGTGCCCCCTGTGGGTTCCACCTGTTTTATGGGGTTCACAAGAGAATGTTTTCATCATGCAAAAATAAAAAAAAGGCTGTAAAAGTCATACACGATGATGGGGAGGAATGTCACTTAGTGTTTCAGATTCAATTAACTTTCAGTACACTTTTTTTCTAGCATCAAAATTCAGCAGTATTTGTTTCATAAATACCAGGGTGAATCATGGAAATCAGCCCAACCACGACTTAACTGTGTGACATGACTAGTCAATCATGGCCCATTTTGTTTCCATAGACGACATTTTTTCCCTGCAGCCTAGAAGCCGGCTGAGTAACAGTTTAATTTTCCTCTGCTTATCTTGCACTGAGGCTAATTATATTCCTTCCTATAGAACCTTAGACCTTCCTGATTTCTGTGGCTCAGTTACTCACTGAATAAACTTGATGAACAACTGGCAAAGTACACTTTTTGTGTATTTTGTACTAAATGCAAATAGAAAAAAAATCCATTGGTGTTTGTATAGGAAACAAAAAGCTAAACATCCACAAGATCACATCAATTTCTATCACACATGCATCTTAATACACTTACTTTCACACTAGTGCAAACTAGACTTTCAGACTACAACTATTGATGTAAGAGTTCAATAGCAATGTAACTCATTTTAATTTGATCCTTAATGAACTTGATCGCTGGGTACAGGAACATTGTTTTTAAGTTACTGTACAAAATGTTGATCATTATTGTTGAATTTAAGCTTAATTATCCACAACATCTGCAAAGTAAAATCTAATAGCATGTTTTGAATATAACAGTAATAGTTTTTGCATTTCATATAATGCCTTTCATATCAGGATGAGGTCTCCAAGCACTATAAAGTGTATTAACTGTCTATTTTTGCAGGCAACAGCAGAGGCAAATATTTGCACAGGAATGTCCCACAAATAGCTATAAAGTGAAAAACCAATGTTATTTGGGAGATTGTTGGCCAGGACACTGGGAGCAACTTCTTTCTGTTTTCAAGTAGTGTTAATGACATCATCAACATCCAGAACAAGCAGACAGGACCTTGGTTTAATGCCTCATCCAATGGATGGCACTCCAGCAATACATAGCACTCCCAGTACTGCACTTGAGCGACAATCAACACAATGCGAGTTCAAAGTCCTGATGTGGAGCTTGAACTCACAACCTTCTGAATCAAAATGAAACTGCTATCAACTGAGTTAATACTGTAAACAAGTCTGAAAAGTATATAAATTTGAAAACAAACAATATTTATTGTGAAAATAGAAAGCTTCTCTCCCATGATGTTTCAATGCAGGACAGGCATTCCCAAATTGTCCATTAAGTCCCAAATGTTTCAGTTGCTTTACTGTTGCTACACAAACACCGTTGGAATTTTTTATTCTATTTGCAGAGTTTACGTTTTAACTGCCTGTAGCAAAAATAAACAAATTGCAGGTTCATTGGTTGAATAACTGCATTCATTTACAGTTCAGCTGCTATTCATACACTGCCAAACTTCCCTGAAGCACCTCACTCTGAAAAGTCAAGGGTTCTCCTCAAATACAATAGACAGATCCATTAATACATATGTTAATAGTTAGAGGCACACAACAATATTATGTGCCCCCTTAGATAATTTATACATATTAACATTTTAAGAACTTTTTTTATTTCACCATGTATATTTTCTGGATACGTATTAAAATGTTTTTCCACTAATACTTAATGGCATAACATTTTCATAATGATGACATGGCAATGATTCTCTATTGACATGGGGAGGATGGAGGTGCACGTTATACTTTATATAAAATTCTGTTGAATTTCTATCCATGAAACCACAGAATATCGTAAAAGAATATAAAAAAAAATTCCATTTGTTAAATGTCATTGCTCTTATTCTCTCACCTCCTACCCTCCATACATTCATACCCCCATCATCTACCCATCTAATTCCCTCCAGAAAATGGCAATAAAGACTCAAGAACAAGTGAGGACTTGAATGTTTCCAGAATATACTTTAAAGTGCAGTGACTGTTCTAAGGGTGAAACTTGCATTAAATACAATTTGTGTTGCATCGCATTGTACAAGGTGAATGTACAAGTTGGAATAGCCAAAAATACTTGGCTATTCCTTAGAATTGTACACATCAGTTTACATGTCAACTGCTGATCGATTTATGTTGGTTTTAGAGGAAGCTATTGAGGGAAAATATCTGGTACTGGTGAAGATTATAGAGGCTATTCAAAGGGATAATATTGCTTCCTCAATCCACTTAAGGAAAGTTATAATTTTTTGTATAAAATACTCATAGTAATAAGGTAGCTAATACAGTGTCATTGAAATAGCACTTGGGAAGAATGAAGTAATGAAAAAATGGAGCCGGTTTAAGAGTTTTTGAAACTTGTTTGATGTTCATTAATTGCAGATATTTGAAAAAAATTGTTTTACTTGCATACAAAATATAACATTAATCACAAGAAATGATGTGTCATCTGTAAAATTCTGTTTGGTTTTACAAATAACTTATCTGGGAACAATGAGTTTGATTGGAAGATGTAGATGCACTTTATGATTTATGGATCGAGAAATCCAGCCATAAGGAAGAAGCTATTGTTCAAAGAAGACTCAATTCAGCAGAAAGCTTTAGATGTGCCTCTAGCTGCTTGAGTGGTTGACAGAATCACAAACAGATTAAAAAGAACATTTAACGACTCCCAAATTCAATGCACAAGATGGAAGCCAGGGATAATTTATCAAAATGTAAATCAGAGTCGTCACCAAACACAGCTCTGATGTTAAGAGCAGCGGTGCTAATAGTAATGCATAGGAGTACAATTAGGCTGATCTAGTGATAAGAGGGATGAGCTTTAAAAAAATATCTAGAAAAGCTAAAACTCCTCAACCTTGAAAAAAGATGGCTCATGGAGGTATAAAATGCTAAATGGGATAGAGAAGGTAAACTGAGAATTATACTTTCATATATATCTTGTCTGTAGGACAAGAGGGCTTAAGTTCAGTGAAGAGAGGTCCGTTAATGTAAAGGACAAGAGGGCAAAAAGTGTTATTTAGGACACATTTTGGGCAGACATTGAGAAGAATTACCATAGTCATTTTATAGATGACTTACCCGCACGGATATACACCCGCACAAAACTCTGTATCCCCATAACACTAGTTCTTGCGCCAGGCTCCAACTGGCTCCCAATTACTGAACTGATCGACTTCAAGATCCTCTCAATAGTTTTCAAATCCCTCGAACGGATAAGTAAAATCCTTGGACCTCCCACTCCACTACCTCCGGCTTCCTATTTGTCACTTGACAAACAGGAAGCCGGAGGCAGCCTTCAGCCACTACGCCCATAAACCCTGGAACTCTCTCCCTAAATCCCTCCACCTTGCCCCATCCTCCCCACTTACAAATCCCACCTGAAGACCTTTCTTTTTGATCGTGCTTACGGTCATCTCCCCTTGTCTCAGTGTCAGACTCTGCCACTGTCAAGCACTCCAGGACACTACCCTACATGAAGGACGCTATATAAATGCAAGTTGGTTGACTGGACTGACTCAGCCCAATGATTATTTAATCATTGTTTACTGTTGTTCAAGCACCTGTGCTGTAATGAAATTATAAATATTCCAGATCAACAGGTTTGACCATGTACACCATTCTATTGCATTTACTTGGAGAAACTCATATTCAGTTTACAAGTGTTATCTGTATATGCCCAGTTGTTTTTTTCTATTTATTATTGTCTTTATTATTAATATTTGATACAATGGACTTTTCTAACTTTATTACTCTGACTCCCTATCCCTACCATTCTTAGGGCATACCTAATTTTAAAACTGTTTCCTCTGAATGTAAGTCGGCTTTATAGGCCAGATTTAAAGCTAATAGAGGTGAAAAACTAAAATTGGGCAAATCATATTCCAGATGCCAATTTGTCACTAAAATTATAATTCATCTGGTTGAAGTAAAACTTAGAAGTAGTATTATGTAGCTTGACTGAACTGGTAGCATTCTCCTCTCTGGTCAAAATTTTGCCGTTCCCACAACAGGATTTTGAATTTATAATTTAGGTTGACATTCCAGAACAGTACTGGCTGTTAAGGTAGACTTTAAAGATCCAATCAAACTACAAAACAAAAGGGAGTTTTGTCCTGCTAGTGTCTTGCCCAACAATCCTCTAGATAAATTGGTCATTCACTTAGTGGCATTTGTGAGACCCTTTGTGTGCAAATTGGCTGCAGCATTTCCTAAATCTTTCAGCATTAAAAGGTGTTATACCAACTGCAACGATTATTAGAAATACATCAATATCTTACAAGCAAAGCATTGTTCAAGATATCTTCTGAACAAACTTTTACTAAGCACACTTTGTGCAAAGGTAACATTTTCAATTTTTGAAAGGTAATTTTCTAAATGGCAGTAGTTTTTACATTATTCATTCATATGCTGGTTGTGGTCATCTAGATGCTAAAAACTGCATTTAGGTAGTATTTATACTAGTTTGCATTTTCAGACATACCAACATAGGCATAACAGAATGATAAGTCTTTTATGCCAGCATATCTTCAAACTAACCAAGTTCTTTAAGCTGTGGAAAAGAGAAAGTGTACGGTATCCAAATTAGCTTCAGGAATGCTGCAAAATCCATAGTGTATGCGTCAAACCTTACTCAATATTTCTTATTTATTCACATTCAGATGCTCATGAAAACCTCTCTCCTCTGAAGTGATCAGATTTACAGGTAAATTGCATCTATCAACTCCCTGGTAGTGTGCTGAGGGAGACAACATTTGCAAGGTGGCTTATATAAAATGTTGTAAGGTCCAGCTAATTTACCATTTACTAGTCACAATGGCTAGAAAAATGACTAAATAGCTCTACTTACTCTGATACACTCCTTTTCAGTGAAATTTCTTCACTATCAGAATCCCCATCTGAGCTGCTTCCAGTTGCATCAGAGTCCACGTTTTCTTCTACGTGCGAAAGCAGAGCTTTGGAATAGGAGGTGTATTTATAGAGTTCACAGTTGTCGAGATTTGGAATCAAACCAGTCTGCCCACTGTTATCTGGTTTTATTTCAGCAATAACTGCAGGTTTATTTTCTGAACTGTTAAACACATCATCCAAATGTCTAACAGAGCCATGAAGTGCTTCCTGACTTTGGTGCTTGTATTCTACTAGTTTCTGCATTTCATGCTTAACGTGGTACTCAACATGTTTTGCCTGGAATTCTTGCAAGCGTTTTCTAAGTCTGCTGGCCTTTTTAGCTAGCTCTTGCTGTCTGCCAAGACACTGAAGCAGCTGAGTATTCATCTCAGCTTCCCTTGCACTTGTGGAATGACTGAGTAGCCTTTCTTCTTTTCTCTGCAGTACTGACTGTCTGGCACCATTCAATAAATTACCTTTCTGACGAATATGCACTGCTGGAGCACTAGAAGTACTATTAATTTTACTTGGCCTAAACTCTGCTTGTTCAGTTGCGGATGTACCACCAGAAGCATAAAGGTTCACCGAAGCTGAATCACAAGCCAAATGCATTTTACTAGTAGCACTTAACATGCCTTTACTCTTCAAAGGACTGTTTTTTTGGCCCCTTAAATCTTTTGTACCGTTTTTATTACGACTTAGATTTGCTTCAGGTAAAATATATTTTTTGTTAACATTAGAAGCAGATGTTGACTTTATTCTATCATAACATATGTTATTTTTAGTAAGAATAGCTGGTGTGTCCTTATTAAATAATTTCTTTCTACTAGTAAGATTATAGTTTAAAGAAAGTATGTCTAATAATGAACTAGTACTGGTTAACAAGGCTGTATTATTAGGGATTGATGAGTGTATAATTGCAGATCCATAAGGTAAATGTTTCAAATCTTTTGCATCAGTGTTGAGCCCGTGAGCTGTATGTGGATAAGTAAGTTGAGACCAAGCAGACTGTGTTTCACAATCCCCATTTAGCTTCTGTTGTTCTGTAGCAGTGTCACTTTTGTGCACAAATGTGTCAAGTTCAATAGAACTCGAAGGTAAAGAAGATGAAGACAGCTGGAATCCATGTCCCTCGGTGGCTGTTTCTGTCAGAGCTGGAGCCATTGTAGCCATGCAGCGCTTCCACGGCAGATCCAAGGAAACAAAAATATAGCTTCGCTCCTAAGGAACAAAATGAAATAAAAATTCAATTAACTACTCTGTTCACAAAAGCCTAAGCTGCATTTAGAATAAATTCCCTTCTGGATCTAACAAAGTGCATTCTAATGAATAATTATATAATTTCAAACATTACTTATTGAATGCGACTCTCAACCCTTGCAAATGTTTTTTAATGCATTTGAGTAGCAACCAGAGGTCAAATGTTTTATGGCATCCCTCTTCCTCCAATGTGACATAGAAGTCTGCTGCAGTGACCTCATGAATGGGAGTTGCAAGCAGTAATCTCAATAAGGTCACCACAGCACATCTTCATATCACATGGGAGGTGCAAACAATACCTGCTCTCAGACTACTGCCAATAGCAGTTTCAAAGGTAAAAGTACAGTACTAATAAACTAGATATTATCTCCTTTTATGTCCATATAATGTAACAATCAACATATTTTGGCATTAGATGGAGGCTCTTTCAATTGTGCAATTGGGAGCCATAATTCATTCTTGCCGACAGCATTTCTGGTATCTGCACTGTTTGCAAATCAGAACACACAATGATATCCTATATATAGTAACTTCTGTAACAGTATTAGGCACTGAGAAAAAAAGTAGGAAAAGCAGGTGTTACATACACACAACAGTTATTGACTACATTAATACATTGTCTTACAAAGCTTGTTTTAATTCACAAGTCAATGGAAAACCAAAGCTTTTCCAACCTAACATTACTATCTATTTCACAGGTTTATGTATGTTATGTATTATGGTAAACAAACCAAAATAGAATCTATAGAAAAAAAAACTATGTTATTCCTACATCAGGTTCTAAAATTACTTATTTCAATTAAAAAAAATTTAGATTTATAATTTGAAAACCCATTCATGTCTATGATGTTATGGTTAAAAAAACTTTCTGAATCTCAGAAACAATTAAAGTGTCTTCATTATTGTGCAGGAGAATTAGAAATAACTCAAATTACTTTAACTCAAGTACTTGTTCATTTTAAGAGAATACTTGTGCATTTTAGAAATACACCTGAAAAAGAGGAAATGTCTTGTAAAGTAAAAATGAATTATATGATAGAAATCTGCTTCAAACTATACTATCACCATCTGCCTTACAATTGTAAATGAGGGTAGACCATTTATATAATTAAATTTAAAAAAGTATACAAAATTACACACATTGGCCAACAAAAATCTCCCCTCAGAAAGTTAGCAGGGATAAAATTTATTGCACAATAAAATCTTAACCCACCCCGACCCTTCATTTTATAAGATGCTGCATTCATTAAATTGGTTATGTTGTTTATAGAATTGTTAATATTGAGATTCGACCACTGGATACCAATAAAAAAATGTTTTTAAAAATTAACTCGACTACCAACATTTCTGAAAACTTCTGCAATCTCTGGGTCAATTCACAGAAGGTTTATAAACATTCTATTTAAGTCACATTAATAAAAAAACAGAAATGTTTGTAATAAATTATCAGAGTAAAAGAATAAAAAAATACATAAAATTCCATCTCTTAAGTCTCCTATTTTTCTCCTTCCCATGATATTAATGAACCCTCCAGGAAGGCTTGGAAATAGCTGCACAATTCTAATAAAATTTGTGCCACTCAAAATCTTTCATTAAACCACTGTCAAAAATCACTTCTATTTCCAATTAATTGTATATTCAATATATTACATAGAAGCTCTGCACTATTGCTAAATGGCTAGGACAGTAGGATATATTAAACAAAGATATTTGCAAAAAGTTTCACAAATAATAATCAAATCATTAGCACACCTAGCTGTCCCCAAAACAGTAGTACCACATTTCAAGAGCCCTCCTGGAAGACCCATGGCTCAACTTTAATGCACCCACTAGTTCAATAGTCTCATCAGTGTCAAGATTCATACATGAACAATTGTCACTTTGGCAAGATTCCCAAATGTGTCTAACCTATGAAACCATACTCCAGTACACCGTTGGATTGGGGGGGGGGGGGGGGGGAGGATGAAAATTCATCTAAAATAATGAGTCAAGTCAAAATTTTAATTTTGTCCTTAATGCTCTACAGTACTGCAAGTATCCTGCTGATGTGACAAAGTAAAACTAATGTGCTATTACTACTGCATAAAATGTTGGTTCTCCAGCTATTTATTCCAATTTTAACTATATCAAAATTACACAGCTTTAAATTAATATCATATTTTCTGTTCTATATTTAGAGAAATTACCTACCTTTACCAATGTGTGTCTAGTTTCCTATCAGACATTATGGGACTGGGTCCTTTATCTTGAAACACTGGTGTCTGCCTGATAAAGGCAACTGAGTGGAGCACAGGACGTTATAACTTGACCCGATAATCTCATTCATTTTAGTCAAATTACTGATTATAATAATCTTTGTATTTGATATAGCACCTTATCAAGCGGCCGAGACATCTCAAAGCCCTTCATACTGTGAAGTGGGTTGACTATGTATTTGGGCGAAATGCAGTACAGTTTGCATTTTACCTTCTCCCAGGACTCAACAAATTCTTCCATTAAATTGCTAAGACATCTAAACCAGGAAAGTCTTAGGTTCAAATACACCTGAGTTTGCCGATCTCAGTTAGGGCATGGCAACTGATCTCAGTGCAAATTAAAGGGGAAAATCAATGATGGTTTAATTTCTGAAATCCAGTGACCCCCCCTATAGGACCTGATAAGCATGTCAGTAATCCTTCTCTCCCTCTTCTCCCCCCAATCAAATAACCTGCAATACCAACAGCCAGGCTTACAAACTTGAATAACAGCAAGTGCAGGGACAATCTGGAAGGGTGATTGGTCTGTTCCATACTAGGAAGAGAACTGAGTCATGCATCTTCAAGTAAGGAGAAACATTGTAGAGAAAATGGGCAAAAAAATGGGTTTCTTTCAGTAGAACGTTGAACATTCTGGCTATGACCTTTTATTCACTTCAAGCAAAGTTGTACTTCTACCGTCCACTAGGGTTGCCATTTTGACTTTGGTTGGACTGAGTATACCTGTCCAATGTACTTTGATGCTAATTAATGTGCATTACAGAGATGGACACAATTCCAGCAGACCAAGTGACACGGTAGAGGAACACGACTCCCTGGAAAGTTTAAAAAGATGGTTTTGCACTGGTTGAATGCTCTATTGCAAGCATTGCAAAACTCAAGCTGTTTTGACACTTGATGTGGTCTTGCACAGTCCTCAAGGCAGTTCTAGTGCAGTTTCTGCAAATAATGTGTATTACTAAAACATCTGATTGATGGATAAATTGCAGTACAACAATGTCAATCTTATATTTAAAAAGTGTTTTACCTAATCTTTCAAAGAGTTCACTTTGGTTCAAACAATGTTTACCAACAATCGAGTCAAATTGATTTTCTTTCTTTTAAAATCTCTTCCCTGTAATGTTTAAAGCTACAAATTCAGGCAGAGTAACACATACAAAACCAGCAAACCATGCAATTTTCAAATTTCCACGATTTTCCCTTTTGCATTTTTTTTGCCACGAGTTTAATGTTAAAAAAAAACTGCTTCAATGTGCACTTGAAACATTCCGTTCCTTTTCATTGGGGGGGGGGGGGGGGGGGGGCAGAGAAGATTAATGCACAGCAAATAAGAAAACATTTCAGCAGGTGAAAATGGAGAATAAGAAAGTTTAAAGAGATCAAGTTCTAGAAAAAATATGCAGACCATAAGGTAGTCACACAGAAATAAGTTGGCTTGTGCAAGATACGATGTTCAATCATTTTTAATAAAGCACTCGCCTCGCAAGCAAGAGGACCCGAGTTTGATTCCCGGCAGGTTTCCTTACTCCACATGCCTCTGTTCACCTAGCAGTAAGTAGGAACTCAGTTGTTAAGTCGATTGGCGGTATGCTTTACCGCAGGTAATAAACCCGCCACACAAAAAAAATTAAGAACAACTTGGTCACTTAAGCCACGACGTTTTGTGGGACACTTCCGCGCGCGAGTGGCTGCCGCATTTCACACACAAGAAAACATGCAGTCGGTTTCACCAGTTATTCTGTGAAGCGCTGCTAAGACATTTCAAAGACTTGATAAGGGGGGGGGGGACTATATCAAATGCAAGGAATCGTTAGTGCCAGCAATAACGCTGTATTTTTTCGCTTGAATATACACACAGAGAAAGGTTATAAATACAGTATATACACACACACACACTTGACAAGAGTGGCTGCTGCAAGGCTAAGGCTTTTGTCGGCTGATGGGGTTTGCAAGTGGAAATAAAGCTTACCACGTGACTGGGCTCGAGCTCTGTTTACTGCAGCGCGAGAACCAACGACAAAGCCGCGGAGAGGAAAAACAGAGGAAAAAAAACAAACGGCTCGGCTCGCTCTCTCATCGCCCCACACAACACACACCCCGAGGCTCTCAATGACTTCCTTCTTTCTGCTTCTCCTCCACCTCGGAACACATCCACGGGGGGAGGAGGAGGGGGTGTGATACACGATATATCCAAAAATACTAAGATTCATAAAATGGGGAGGGAAGGAGGGAGGGAGGGAATGAAGGACGGGAGAGAAAAGGGAGAGTTTTTTTTTCTTCGACGAAACAAAACGCTCTCTCCGGCTCGACCGGATTTTTTTTTAAAAAAATCCCACGATTCTTTTTTTTATAAAAAATATGATTACTTTTTTTTCCGGACGGGCGAGAGAGAGAGAGAGAGCGAGAGAGCGGGCGGGCGGGCGGTGAGGGAGGGAAGGAAGGAAGGGAGGGGTGGGTGGTTGGGTTGGTGGTGGTGGTGGGGGGAAAAGAAAAGGGAGTTTTAAAAAAAACAAGAAAAAAAAACCCCACTCCTTTCTCGCTTTTTTTTTCCTCCTCTTTTCCCCCCGTTGTTTGGAGAAAGGAAAATGGCGTGCTGCCTCCTCGACTGTTTGTTGTTGTCGAGATCGCTCGCTCTTTCGAGAACCTTCCCCCTTGCGTGGCTCGTTGCTCTCTGGCTGCTGCTGTTGCTGTCTTTTCTCTCAGTCCCACTTACTTCACTCAACGGGGGTGGGTGAGGGGGGGGGGGAGGGGAAGGGAGAGGCGGGACGTTGCTCGTCCTGGTGACGCGCACTTGATTGACGTCCTCCCACCCAATCGCAAGGCGGGGCGGTGTCCCGCGTGTCAGGCCTCGGGCCAATAGGAGTGGGAGGTGGAGGCGGGGTTGGGTGAGGAGCGAGGCGGAGTCTCAGCTGTCAATTGACCTGAATAATTGCGGGAGGGGGGGGGGGGGTGAGGGGGTTGTCCTCCGCTGAGAGCAATTGTACGGTCCCCCCCTCTAGGCGGCAATGACTAGTGATTGACAGGGCTGCTGAATGACCTTTTGCGATGCGGCTTCAAATTGTCAGATGTGTCTGTCTGTCTGTGTGTGTCTCTGTATGTATCTCTGTGTGTGTGTGTGTGTGTCTGTCTGTCTGTGTGTCTGTCTATGTGTGTGTGTGTGTCTGTCTGTGTCTGTCTATGTGTGTCTGTGTGTGTGTCTGTCTGTGTCTGTCTATGTGTGTCTGTGTGTGTGTCTGTCTGTGTCTGTCTATGTGTGTCTGTCTGTCTGTCTGTGTCTGTCTATGTGTGTCTGTGTGTGTGTCTGTCTGTGTCTGTCTATGTCTGTCTGTCTGTCTGTGTGTCTGTCTATGTGTGTCTGTGTGTGTGTCTGTCTGTGTCTGTCTATGTCTGTCTGTCTGTGTGTCTGTCTATGTCTGTCTGTCTGTCTGTGTGTCTGTCTATGTGTGTCTGTGTGTGTGTGTGTGTGTGTGTCTGTCTGTCTGGTCTCGTGTTTCCAGCCTCGAATTGCTATGACAGCCTCCGAACTCAGCCCACGCCGTCCACCGACACTCTGACTCGCCCTCAGGAGACGTGTTTATTTACCTCTCTCTTGGACAGCTTTGGGGGGTTCTGCTTCTCTCGACGGACGGGGGTCAAATAAAGAGGAAAGAGGTTAAAATATATATATATATCTCTGCTGGTTTCAGACACGACGCACACACGATCGTGGGACATTGGGAATACAGTAATTTGCTTCATCTTTTCTCTGTGTCTGTCTGTCTCTGTCTGTCTCTCTGTGTGTCTCTCTCTGTCTGTCTCTGTCTGTCTCTCTGTGTGTCTCTGTCTCTCTGTGTGTCTCTGTTTGTCTCTCTGTGTGTCTCTGTGTCTGACTGTGTCTCTGTCTGTCTCTCTGTGTGTCTCTGTCTCTCTGTGTGTCTCTGTCTGTCTCTCTGTGTGTCTCTGTCTGTCTCTCTGTGTGTCTCTGTGTCTGACTGTGTCTCTGTCTGTCTCTCTGTGTGTCTCTGTCTATCTCTCTGTGTGTCTCTGTCTCTCTGTGTGTCTCTGTCTATCTCTCTGTGTGTCTCTGTCTCTCTGTCTATCTCTCTGTGTGTCTCTGTCTGTCTCTCTGTGTGTCTCTCTGTGTGTCTCTGTCTGTCTGTGTCTCTGTCTGTCTCTCTGTGTGTCTCTGTCTCTCTGTGTCTCTGTCTCTCTGTGTGTCTCTGTCTATCTCTCTGTGTGTCTCTGTCTCTCTGTGTGTCTCTCTCTGTCTCTCTGTGTGTCTCTGTCTATCTCTCTGTGTGTCTCTGTCTCTCTGTGTGTCTCTCTCTGTCTCTCTGTGTGTCTCTCTCTGTCTCTCTGTGTGTCTCTGTCTGTCTCTCTGTGTGTCTCTCTCTGTCTGTCTCTGTGTGTCTCTGTCTGTCTGTCTCTGTGTGTCTCTCTCTCTGTCTCTCTGTGTGTCTGTTTGTCTCTCTGTGTGTCTCTGTCTCTCTGTGTGTCTCTGTCTATCTCTCTGTGTGTCTCTGTCTGTCTTTCTGTGTGTGTCTCTCTCTGTCTCTCTGTGTGTCTGTTTGTCTCTCTGTCTGTGTCTGTCTGTCTCTCTCTGTCTGTCTCTCTCTGTCTGTCTGTGTCTGTCAGACACACACACGCGCTGGCAGACCACCTGCTTAATAATAACACTGACAGGAACGCCCGACAGCAATGAATGAATGAAATGAAATGAAATGAAATAAATGAATGAATTGACTGACTGACTGACTGACTGACTGCCGCTCGCGGTTTATAACGTGCGGCATTTATAATAGCCATCGCCCGCAAACAAAAAAACACTACGAAACGTTAGGATTCCGGTACAAATTCTGCCCCCACCCCCGGAAATCCTACTTTTATTTGAAGAGCCGTAATATTTTTTTAATGAAACTGTGGTGTGTGTGTGTGTGGTTTTTTTTTATATATAAATAAATATATAACTAAATATTTATATATAACATTTATATAAATAAATATAAATAATTTTATAAAATTTATATTTATATATATATAAATTATATATTATATATAAATATATATATAAAAAACACCAAACCCTCCTCCCCGACTCCCCCCCCCCCCCCCAAAAAAAAAATATATACCCAAATAAACGGAAAAAAACCGCCTGCAATCCCTTTATCACTTTGCAAACAGGTCGACTGCTCCCCAAATAAATGTACGTATTGACAAAAATGACCAGAGGTGCGATTCGCTGTCACCATTGCAAACCCAATAATGTATTTATTTTACTGTGAGACAGTCACATAAACACCTGTGTTGGTTGCATTCCAACTTCAAAACCCCAACCCACACCTGTGGCAGTCAATGCCTCATATGAGTCCTTGTAAGTTTTCTTTTCTTTTTATTTTGGACAATATTGGTCGCGTACAACATTTGCCTCTTTTAGGTCCGAAGTTGAAAATAACACATTTCTGATAATGTATTGGATTCTCAGGGATTTCCCCCCCCCCCCCACCTCCTCACTCCCCCAAATTACAAACTCCCTAGTATAATCAATAAATAAATAATCAATAAATATATTTTAAAAACCACACGTCGGGAGGCAAATATATAAACTAGGTATGCATTTATAAATACGGTATATATTTATAGCTATTTAAAACCAGTCCATCTTTGCAGAGCCATGTTTTATTGATTCCGTTTGGCCACTCGGGTCTCAGTGTATTTGTGACTCCGAAGCCTCTCCTTCTGTGGAGTTGAGTGAGACGTGGGATCGCGGTGAGTGACTTAACGGATTTCAGTGGATTCCGTTCGAAGGAACAGGAAAGAAAATCCAGTCGTTTCGTTCTTTGGAACAGATTCAAATCAGTCACTTCTACACACCCCACGTTCCGAGGCTTCCTCCAAAGTCATCTCCAACCCCTGCAACTAACTCACTGCCGTACACCAACACACACTGCCCAACACTGCACCAACACCCAACCCAGTGTGACTGTCCCAAGGCGACCTCCCACCCCCTCCACAAACACACACACACACACACACTCTATAATAATAATAATAATCCTTGCATTTGATATAGCGCTTTTCACGTTGGGAGGACGTCTCTAACCACTGAGCTACGACTCTCCCTCTCCCCCCAAAAGATCCATGTCTTTTGAAAAGCCCAAACTAGTTTGATTATTGATTATTGCCAATAAGAATATATAAAAATATATACAGTTCTTGCAATTTCCAGCTAACATTTTGACTTTGTTGGGCTGCAGCATCGTGAACAATTTTGTATTTCTCAGGACCTTTCTATGATTCTTCAGGATCAATTGCATTGTGCGGCAGAATCCAGACACAGGATGCACAGTAGTTACATAGTGGGATGACACCTGTGGATATTTTTTCGTGGGCTGTGATCAAGTTAAGCATATGGCGGGTTTCACACATTTTGATTTACACTGCTTTTACAGTTTTAGGAAATCGACATAATTTACTCACTGATGGTTTTAAGTAAAAACTCTGCCTGCCTAAGGCTTCACCTAGTCTAATCTGGTCAGACGAACAAAAAGTACACTATTGGATTTGCTTTTGAGTTTTGAAAGAAATTTCATTACTCCTGGAGTAGTTCAGTTAATCAGAAATAATGCACTAAGGTTTGATAAACATTTGACCCAAATATATACCGTTCTTGCAATTCCCAGGTAACATTTTGACTTGTTGGCAATAATCAAAAGTGCCAGTGCTTGTGACTTTATTTTCAAAATGTGCAACCATCATTTGCAAGTCCGTTCACTTCACCAGAGATTATTTTTCTGCAGCAGATGAACTCAACAGGGTTTCCTTCATCTTCATATTCCATGATACACACATTGGCCTTTGCCAAATGAGGCCACAGTAGGCCTCTACAACCATTACCCCCAAAAAATAACGACATAAAACCAGCCAGGGCCAACATCTTTCTGACTGTTTCATTACTGTAGAAAAACCAAGACCACTAAGTCTTTATACATGTGATATACTGACCTTCAAAACCTGCCTTACAACCCAAACTGTGCTTTCATCTACCTGCCCTCTCTCCTCAGCTCCCCATCCACTTTGGGCTCTCAGTCAGTTGTGTTAAGTACTTTGAGAAATTCTCCCAATGTTAAATGAGCTATAATATAAAATGGTTTTGTTGTAAAATCACAATAGGTGGGATAAAAAAAATTTCAAAACTAGCTTTAAACCTACTGGTGCCTGCTGTACTTGTTAATCAGCCTTAATAAACCAATGTATCATTCATCCCATACTTAATGGCTAATATAATCTACTTGTTGAAAGTATTTTTGAAAGTAACCTTAAAATTGGATCAGTTTATAATGCAGAATGGCTCATTTGTGACAAAGAAGTAGGGCCTTTTGACATTATAACCAAGGTTTTATTTTCCTTTTTAATTTTTCATTAAGTGTACTGATTAACATCTGGATACAATTTATTGTGAATTAAAAATAAGTTACTTATTCTCCTTAAAATAATCTTACTTTTATTTAATACTAATCCACAAAATCAGTATTTGGTCACTCGAATTGTATGCAGTTTTGCCTGCTAATCTTTTCCATCTGCATTCTTTTCTTTATTAATCTGGGCAAACATAAAGATTCTAAATTTACAGTAAGCATAGCAAAGCATTACGAGAGAGAATAATAAATGTTTATTGAAATCTTAAAAGTACATGCATTCCTTTGAATTAAAAATATTAAGTTGATCAAATAAATGAAGTAAAAGATTAGCGTCTTTCTTTTGCATCCACTGGAAATGGCAAGACAACATCACTGACATTCAAGAGGCTGTTTACAATGCAATGTGTCTGCTTACAAAAAATATTGGTGCAAAGAAGAAAATGCACCCTGTAGGACTTGAATATTTTAGTAGAGTGGTGTTTGAAATGGCTCATAGACATTGAGGGAATCTACTTTATTGTACAATTCAGTTATCATAATGAAGAAAGCATTTTCCCCCAAATGCATTTTGAGACATTTTGAAGACGTGATAAGGTGCTATATCAAATGCAAGGATTATTAATATATTTTAATTCTAGGCTTGCTTCCTGACATGCCACTATGGATTCACAGTTTGTTAGAAATGTGAATGGTTTTGCTTATTTGATGGTGAAATTGGAGTATTATTGCATCAGCAAAGAATTGTTTCAACTGCTAACATCATCCAAATTACCACCCATCCTTCATTCATTTTGAAGAAAACAAACCATGTGATAATCTGAGAAATGGTGGATAAATGTCTTACTGCTTTGGCAGAACAGTGTACATTAGCACCTTGAAGTGGAATTCTACCACAAAATACACAAAGCAATATAAAATGCCAATGAATTATTAACAAGTTCCAGCTGTTGCAAAATTGATACACCCATTTACTTTGGCAGCTTCAACAGTCAGCCAAAACTAAACATAAACTCCATCTTGATTCACTTCCATTGCAATAACAAACATCTTTCAGGGAATCAGTTCAGTAATTACTATTAAAATGGCACTAACAGGAAATTGCAATTAAACATTATACAAGAAACCAAATAGTAATCTCATGTTAACATTGTTCAGGCACATCACAGTGATCCTACATTTAAAACTCGCCAAGTCATTTTTTGTAGTTGTGGCAAGGAAAAAAAACACCAATTTGATTCTTTTGTCGACATTAAGTTTGGTTATTTCATTTGACTTTGAAGATGATATACATTACCTTTCATTGGGAAAGTTTAACAAGAATAAGTAACATTAACTTTCAGCCATAATTTTTCACCCACAAAATATACAGTCAAATTCACTTTACAGCACATTCTGTGAAGCAGTTTGGGATGTCTCGAAGACGTGATAAGGCGCTATATCAAATGCAATGGTTATTGTTATTATTAGAATAATGAGAGCTTTCAGAAAAAGACAACTACAAAAATTACCATAAGATAAGCACTGCTTCAAAGGATCCCATCTGTACTGGCAATTTTATTGATCTCTCACAATTCTTTTGCCAATGGACTCCTTCATTATTTCATTTGCACCACCATAAATTGGCTGCACACGAGAATCCACAAAAGCTCTGAAAGTAAACATATTTAATTAATTCATGGTTTACTGTGCACTTTTTAAAAATTAAGTCAGAAACGCAATTGCTCCTGTTAAGAACCCTGCATTTTTATAGGTGGAAAATTAATGCAATTTTAAATGACTCAATCCCATCCTTCCCTTACATTCTTCTGCCTCATTGCCAGAACAACAATTCAAAGACACTGGCATGTGTCTGATGCCCATTTTCAGCAGGGATTCTCAAAGAAGATTCAATGATAGTCAGCATTTAACACAGGGCTTACATCTGGTGTACCTTTATATTTAGATAATGATTTCAGTTAGCAAAATCAAACACTGGGTAAATGTAGATTTGAAGTTGACAATCAAATGCCAATTATGCATTATAATGAAAGTTCAGCAAAGCTTGTAACTGCTGTATTTCATTCCAATCATTTATACATTTTATCATAATAATCCAATTAATGGCAACCGGGCACCTCAAAGCCACCTCATGCTTATTAAGTGGTTGACTGGGTCTGAATTTACAAAATTTGATCTCAAATGGACAAGGAGACTCAGTTTCAGACAAGATTCACTTTCTGTGTGAGGCTTTGCTAGATAAAACCAGTGCTAATACAGCAGACAGGCCTTTTTGTTTGTACTATCTCAGGTGCTTTCTCCTATCTCTCGCTTCAGACAGGTTTATATAACACTATTTAATCAGGAGTGAATTAACAGCAGCTTTTATCTCCACATTTACCAAACTCTCCTATCTGACCTCTTTTCTCTCCTCTCCGAACTCTTTTCCAATGTCAAAAAAATTACATTAATTATTACATTCAACACATTTTTATAATGTAACATACGATCAGAATACAGAACGTTATTGCATTGTAACTCTACCTACTAACTTTAAATTGGAATATCACTCTTTGCATGACTAGCCTTGCCAAAAACTTGACAATGATAATAAAAATAATAATAATAATTAACAACAGCATTTGTTATAGTGCCTTTCACATCAGAAGGATGTCTCGAAGCACTTTCAAAGCATTTGCAACAACTTGCATTTATATAGTACCTTCACAGAGGGTGGCTTCTCAGAGCACTTTATTGTGAAGTGGGGTATGTAAATGTAATTTTTTAAAAACATTTTATTACTCTCGAGGGAGATGGCACAGAAACTCATCTTAATCAAAATATCTTCTCAAGTCCTTTTTTTTTGCAGAGAGGAATAATTTACACCGAATGGGATTTCCCTTTAATAGTTTATCTGACACATTTTGTCTCATTATGGATGACAATTATTTCTACCGGGAAAAGACTTTACACTAACGGGAATCAAAACTTAATTTGTTTAAAAACACTCGCACCAACCGCGACCAGTTTAAATTGTTAGGTAAACACATCAATATGTCTTTCACAGTGACCCAAGGACCAGTAGGCCTCTTTTACAATTTAATGAGGACAATGTACATTCAATCTCCAGAGGGAGCTGCCTTTGAATGTTTTCACAGTTGTGCCAGCACACCCTCTAATCAGCTTGTTTGGTCTAGATCCAACCTGTTTTTTGGTGCATTCAATCTGTGATACTTGTCAAGGCACCATCTGCTATTTGGGAATTGAGGGGTTGCACAGGTAGATAGGAATTTCAAGCTCCACCTAGTCTGATCAACCCAAATGTCCGCAATTGGCTTCTAAGTTTCGCCCACAAGACACAGTCAATTCACTTTACAGTATATTCTGTGAAGCGCTTTTGAGACCCCTTGAAGATGTGATAAGGCGCTATATCAAATGCAACGATTATTATTAACCACAACAATAACTACAATCCCATTCCCTTGGTTCCAGGAGTGATAATCTACTGTGGTGAACCAAAAAGAAACAAAGTAATTCATTGATTGAGATTAATTCAAATGAATGTTTATGTAGGCAAAATGTAGTAATTGATTGCCAGTAACATACTTCAATAGGAATAAGATGAGCAGCAGATTGATTGAATTGAAGTTTTGAGCAGAATTTTGGTCGAGAAAGGACTATAAATCTGAATAAAAATTCAACTTCTCTCTGAAATTGCTAGATTGATGATTCAATCAAAAAAGGGATGTTGATCTGAAATTAAACAAATACTAAACTTGCATTTAATATAGAATGATATTAAGACAAATGCAACAATTGTTATATTAAAAATGATGCATTTTATTCAACACACATTGTTGAACCAGAATATTACAATTCTTCCAACAGCAATGCAATTAAGTAGATTCTGCAAAAGCACTTATTCTCTTAGCAGTTTAATGTATTTTTACACAGGGTCTCTTAAGAGTTCCCTCCACTGGAATGCAGTAATAACAGTGACACCCTGACAATATGGTACTCTGACAATTGTACACTGTTATGCAAAGCCCTCAGTAGCCTATGCACACCAGAACACTAATGCGCGTATGTTCAGTTGAACGCCAGTGTTTGTTTTGGTAATAACAGACAGATGGTTTACATGATTGAAACCAGTGTGAAGAAACTCCATGTAACTAATTTCTCCACCATTTGATAGCAAAACATCAATTCAATACAGGTCAAAAAGAATCTACTTGGATTTGTTTCCTGCTAATCTGCTGATGTATTTACTAACAACTGGAAAACTGCACTCCAGCCTTAACCAGACAGCATGATCATGTTCTATGTCTGGATGGTACAGTTCTTTATGAGTAAGGAGACAGAAACTGCTGATCTTATTAAGATTAGACTACTGCATTTTCTAACAATCCGGTGTTACAATCCACATTTGTCACTGTGTTGTTTACAGGTCTTTGGCCAGATCTTGTCTGCATTGTTTTGCTCCTGAGCATTGATGAGTCATTCAAAAGGTAGATTATTGTCTAAAATCTATAACGCATCAGAAACTCATTAAAAGTTACTAATACATTTACAGAAATTGAAATACCTAAGAAAATAATTGAGTATAATGACATGGTTTTCATAAATGGTTTCTCGGTTTGTAATACTCTAATTTCCCTAACAGCACGTATTGCTGATAACAAGGAAAGTAATCATAAGTCTCTTTTTATTGTGTTCTATTAATACAAAAAAAAGTTGTTTGCCCTGCAGAATTGACAACTAGCATTTGTCAAACTACAAAATTCATAGAAACCAAAACTTACTTTGCAATTGGGTATTCCACATATATCCCCATCCTCCATGAAGTTGTACACTCTGGGTAGCTATATTATTCTGGAGTTCAGATGCCCTTGGGGGGGGGGGGAAAGGAGGGGTAGTATTATACATTATAATACAATAGAAAACTATATAGTAATATTATACAATACTCTTAGAAATTGAGACACCATTAAATATTTAACTCGTCCATCACTAAAATTGATCTTATCACTGAGGCTTGCACTCTGGAAAGCCAAGGATTTCTCACGAGTCATGACAAACACATCAGTTTGCTCTTAAACAACATTAATTTATGAATATCATTATCGCGTATGAAGGTGGTAAAATTCGAGAAACTAGGTGGTAAGAGGTGCCCTTTTAAAAGCATTTTTGTCTGTGTGGCACATCCTCCTTTCAGAGCTGGAAAATTCTATGCCTGGGCTGAGTCACTTTCCAGCTTTGGTGAGGAGAAAAACAAATTAACTCAACAGCTTGCAGTTTACGTCAGTTAATGCGTTCACTCGTTCTTTCTCCAATGCTTCCTTCCTTTCTTGTACTTGAAATGGCATTGAGCTAACTCCTACCATACTGACTGGCTGCGTTAGAGGCTTCAGTTCCTCCATTTATAAGTTTGGTTTGTTGCTAGGGAAATTCTGGGAGCAAAGTAGAGAATCCTGGTTACCTACCCATCCCCTGAATCATGCAATAATGGGCAGCAAAATGACAGGGACGAAAGGGATTGATTAGACAGGAAAATCATAAACCTTTTATATAAATATATATATATAGTTTTTCACAAAAAAGTTCTACAGGGCTACCAAAACATTCCGATACCATTACAATGTCTGATAAGTCTTAAAGAAATGATGATTATGTTTTTCCATAATAGGGTCATCCTTTCCAAATGTCAAGCATCATTTAATAGTGTCCAAAAATAGATGGTTAGCTCTAAATTGTTGTCCGCAGTCTTCTCAAACAATCATCTTAAAGAGTTAAAAGTATCACCAAAAAACACAAATAATTATAGTTAAACAGTTCAATGCAGAACAAGGATTACATTATTTGTATATAAAAGATGCTTTTTTAAGAAATAAAAATTTTGCATTTTAAATTATAAAATATATTTGCAAGCTTTTATGGTAGAACTTTGTAAACAATCACATATATGTAAACTCACACTATTTGGTGTAATATAAATAGTGTATTACCAATAATTTGACCATATTGCAAAATAGCTACATTTCTCAAGTGTATAATTTAACATTCTCAATCTTAGTTGTAGAAAAAGGATCATCCGTATTGAACAAAAAGTGGAAGTTACGAACACAATTTAATACTAATATACATGAGAACCTGCAAAGAAGAATGACATAGAACCACAGAAATTTATATCACAGAAGGCAGCTGTTTGGCCCATCACGTCTGTGCTGATCTTTGAAAGAGCTCCTGCAAGCATTTGTACCTTTGATGAACTCCAAAACAATATTCCTTTGTATTTTCAAGGCATACAGTAAATGCACAATATCTAATAACACGTACCACTACTTGGCCATAGAGGTAGATGCGGAATCCAGCTGACCCTCCAAATGCAACTGCAGGCAACTGTCAACAAATGCTCTTCCCACACAACTTTGTGTCTTTATTTCTGCAAGCTTGTGCTGCACAGTCTAAAAGTGAAAAGAAATGATTCATTAGCACAATCGTTACCACAATTCCCGCCAATTCTCAGAGTACAGTGTTTTACGACTATAGTCAAGTGCAGTAATATTTTTCAAAAAGGCTGTATTTTAAATCTTTCCGGTAGATAAAATGCGATCTACAATTTACTGGCCCATGCTCACCTAAGGGAAACAGTTGCAATAATGATTTTTTCCTGAATGTTCCTAGTGTTCCTAATAAACCTTCTGTTTTAGTTCTTTTCCATAAGCATTTCTAGAATTATTTTATCAAAGTTGAACCAGCTATAATTTCTAATATTATCCTTAAAAATCAATTGGAGAAAGCCCATGTTTGAGGAGGGGGACAGGAAGGCAAAGCCAATTAAATTTACTTTAACATTTTAAAAGTGAAAAGACTGAAGAAGAGTATTGTATTCAGTTTCTTTTACATTTAATTTATAGAGATTAAGTACATTTGATCGGTTTGCTAAATTATGCTTACTGATTAAATTATTCATTTGATGTATTCATTTAGTTTCTCCGAGAAGCAAGTACAATTGAAATATATTGTTGTTATAAACTTCTCATTCAGTTTGGAATGAACTCTCACCTGCAAATCAGCGATTGTTTTCCCAAAAGCCTTTCTCTGTTTCACATAACTTCTGGTCTCTTCAAACATGAATTCACAGCTGGCAAGTGCCATGGCTGCTATTATTAACCACTCCTATAGGGTTACGTGAGATTTTAGAGATGAGATCAACAAATTGCCACAGAATGTAATGTTTAAATTAGTCAGGTTTAGCTGTGTCTTTACAGGTTATTTGATATATTTGTGCAGGGGAGAGCGGGAGCAGTAAATTAAGGTACCAAGATTGCTTCAGATTTGACTGAGTTACATAAACAGTAGGTTGTGTCATAATGCGATAATTAGGACAGTGAATCAAACCATCTGTAGCATTCATTTTTTACTTAACAGGTTTCAAAGGTTTTCCACTACATTATTGCTCTTTCAAGCTTCAGCTAAAACATGATCGGCCGAATGGTCTTCTGTGCTGTAAATGTCTATGGTTCTATTATGAATATTATTGTTTCTAAAGGTTCATTTCTTGTTCCCTCTCCCCATTTTGTTACTATTTTCTACTATTAGAGATGGTGGCAGGAGTACCTACTACAAGTATTTGTGCCAAGCAGTCATTAACTTTATTTTAAAAAAAGCACAAGTGAAACATTAAAGATATCAAAATGTTGGTGGGCAGGCGGAAGACAAAGTATTTTTCACATGAAGTACTTTTCTTTCTCCACCCCCATAAAATCCAGGACAATGACCCGTCTCCGATACTGAAAAAAATATCAGTTCCCATCAGTTCGTAGTTTACTGGAGAAGTGGCAATGTTAGGACACAAAGATGTAAATCAGCACTTAACAGCAGTTCTGTTAGTGAGCAGCTCTCACCACAGTAGCCCACACTGGCACCCTTCACAATGCATGTTACTGAATCTGATGCCATCCAGTAAAACAAACATTTTGTGTATGCAAGGTACTGAATTGCTATCATACTGTTCCTTCTGGAAAGCGGTCTGAGATTAAGTTGCCAAATTCAGTGCGTTTTGGCATTAATATTTCATTCTGTGCTAATCAATCATTGCCGTCTATTTTAACACAGAGGTGATTTGGGAAATATGGAAGGTTAAGTAAGTTTACTCATTCAATAGAGACTATAGTTTAAGAAATACTTATAACAGTTAATTTAAACAATATGCAGCTGGTACCTGAGGAAGTTCATTCATTAGATAGTAGAATACTTTATTAACTTGCCCCAGTAGAGCAGTAGCCGGCAGACGAACATCTTCAAAGAAAAGCTCAGCTGTATCCTTTACGTTCAAAAAGCACAAGAGAGGTTTGTGTTAGTCTGCACTGTCTACAGTAATTTATAGCTCCTTTATTGATATTCACTGAAGTAATGGAAAAGATAAAGGTCACTGCTTACGCACAGTGCTCAAACAGACACACGGAATGAAAAGGATCCCTTTCACTCACATAAAAATCACAATAACAAAAGGCACAAACTGAAAGATTTCATAATCAGTAGTTTGTAAAACATTCAATAATATTTTTATATATGGATATTAAAAGTTAAACTTTAACTGACTGGAAAATTAAGTACAAATTTCTACAACACTGTAGACAGAATGAAGGTCCATATGAACTTTAATTTGTGATCCCAAAAATTATGTAGAACAATATAGTTTTAAAAATAGCAGTATGGCTTATGCACCAAAATAATTTGCTACAGAAATAATATCAAAACAATGATACCTGATAATAAATAATTGTACATGAACTGAGGCCTGTCCACTGCACATTCAAATAAAATTACAGCAAAAAACAGAGGCATATTTAAAGGCTTTGCAGATCAATATTAAACACGCAGTGTTTTTGCAACTAAAGCAAAATCAATGCCATCAAAAGTTTGTCAACCTATTATATTTTATAACTTACATTAACTACCCACAAGTGCCCCAATAGTGGGGCAAGTCAGGCGGGGGACGTGAAGCAGGCAGGAGCCCGCTAAGTGGAGAGAGCGAACAGGGTCTTAGGGGTTTAGGAGGTCGGAGAGGTAGGGGGGGAGCAAGACCATGGAGGGCCTTGAAAGTGAGGACCAGGATCTTGAACTGTATCCTCTGTGTGACGGGAAGCCAGTGGAGTTGGGCAAAGATGGGGGTGATAGGGTTGGGGAGCCTAGTGCAGGAGAGGACACTTAACAAGGGTGCTCAGAAAGGCTTCTACAAAATATTGTATAGGGAAAGTAAACCATTCCAAGTTCAGACTTGTAAAAGGGACATTCACTCCAGGAGTTTCTCATTTGAATTGGTAACTTCTTTGAGAGATGGAGAAGGTGAATTTTAACCAAAGACTCAGCAGTGAAACAGCAGTGTTTAACCAACTGCAGCAATCAATCCCTCCTGACCTAGTTTTCTTTAGCAGGTAATACTTCACAGCTGTGAATAATGGAAATAAATGTACTGCATCTGAAGCAGATACAATAGGATTTTTAGCAAAATTATCAAATTATAAATGCTGTAACTAACAGAAGGAGGCATCGGAATATGTACTGTGTATCAGCAGCAAGGTCACGATTAGTAGAAGAGTCACTGTGTTTCAACCACGATGCATTAAGTATTTTTAAAAAAATGCAAACATTTTCTCAGGTTCCTTACAAAATCCAAAGGCAAGTGCTCAGAATTACATGCCAGCGCATCTTGAAACATTCATTCCATCTTGCCATTTTTCCCTTCTTGTAGTTGTTCCAGTGTTGCCTTCTTTGCTTTATTTAATTACGGTACTCCATTCAAAATGAAAACCATCCCAAGAGACAAACATTAGCCAGCATGCAGGATTAAAAAACAATGGCCACATTAAATAGGTCATAAATTAGTTTATCTCAATCGAGCACAGTACTTTGCAAGTCGCACCTGAGACCTTTTTTATATATACACTGGAAACCAGGCAATAACAAAGGAAGCAGGCAAGCAGAAAGAAGGCAAAGAAATGTTTTCCATGCGTGAAAATCTTATGCACGAGAATCTTATAGACCCAACACAGCAGTAAACAGTTATCAGGATTCATCAAATGATTCTGTTCAAGTAAATCACTCGAAATCGTCATTAAGAAAAAAAGTTTATTGACGTTCAAAGAAAATCAGACCAACCTGTGCTTTCAAACCAATCTTCTCCAGTTTTCGTCCTTTTATGAATCCCTTTGTTGCCATTATTCACAAGAAAGAGGCTAATCCCATGGGCTCACGATTTTGCCTCATGATCCGTAACAGCAACAACAATTACCACATCGCTCAGCCAACCATTACTTATAAAAACCTACAACAAAAGAAATAACAATAAACTGGTAGAGCCTTTAAACGATTCATTTCTTTGGGACTTTTGCCTCCTGGTTAGCTTAATTACATTATAAGTGCAAGTCATGAGGTTAGGGTAAAATTGTCAAAATTTAGGTAGAATTAACTCAGACATCACCTACTGGTCATTTGGGACAATCTGTGTTGTGTAATATGCTAACAATTTCAATTCTCTGTAAAATTAAGAATAGAGATGTGATATTTTTAGTTTGAATTTCTAGTTAAGAACATACACGGTTATCCCAGGCTCTCTTGGCAAATACTGCAGGAGTCAAAGTTAAAATAAACTGCATTTAAAAAAGTTGCATTTGATATTTAATAAAACAGGAGCATTTGTGTTTTATGCAAATTATATTCCATAACAATGTCATACAACATATCCATAAAACAAACGTTCATTTTTTCATCACTATGTTTGGCATGACTTTCAAATCTCTTCATGATCTTGTCCCATCCTATCTCTACAATCTGCCCATACTCCTGTCTACACCCTCTGCTCCATCTAAAGTTCATTCTATGCCCTTTCTGTCCACCATTCGGCCACTATTGTCTTCACTCTCTAAAACTCTCCCTCAAATCCTTTCGACTTGCACATTTGCCTTCAAAACCCTGTTAAAATCAAATCTTTTTAACTGTGCCTTTGATCAACATTCTCATCTGTCTTCTTCCCGATCTGCTCTGTGATCCATATCCTCTTTGTTAAGTGCTTCAGGACTTGTAATAATAGAATTATTATCTGACGTAAAAGGTCCTAAGAACAAAATTGCTGTTGTGTTCCAAGTGGCACATTGTCAAGAGAACATAAAACCAACAAAGTGCATTTTGCTGCTTCCTTAAACGGTAAAACGTTATAGCCTTATTTATGAAATACTTAATTTGAAACATTACTTACAAACAGAATCATGTGCTCAGTGGTTAGGATTTGATACAACTTAGCTGTGGTACAATTCAATGGTAAAATTGTGACCAGTGACATTTTGCCTTGATCCTTTTTGCCAAATGTATGGTGGAGAGGTTTCTGCATGAAACTCCTCCAGGGCAATACACATTATACAGTCAATAGGGCTACAAACAGCTTCAATCTGCTTAACATAATTGGTCCCAAGTAGGTTTTCATTAACAGGCAAGCAGAATCAAAGCAAAATTTCACCTGTGTAGCAATGTTACAAACTGGATTCTTTCACAAAATACCATCGCTGATTACAGTTCAGGACACTGAGCAAAGCATGCAGTTTTTGAGGAAACTACTGAAAATGTTCTTTAGCTGTAACTGAGCTTATGTGGGAGGCACTGAGGTGTTTCTGCATCACGGGAGTGGCAAGGTATGCAGCACTCCAGATTGCGTTCACAATCTCACTCAGGTTGTCAGGGGAGGTGCTGAGCAAATGTCTGGAATTTCTGTCATTGGAAAGAAGAGAAAACTGGAAGGGTAATTCACCTCTGGTCACTCTCTTACATCTCCTAGCAACTGATTACATACCAGAATGAATAGAGGGAGTGGGCTGCCTGTCTGGCTAGGAAATGATATATGTCACAGTGGCCTAAAAAGAGATGTAGAAAAACTTTTAACACTGGGTGAGGAATGAGAAAAACAGTCTATGGTTAGGATTCCTTGTACAAGTATTCTGTAGGGTAATACAAATTTGATTAAAATATAGATTTCAAAACAATACCAATTTAGTTTCAGCCACTACACCCCATATCTCTAGAACTCTCTCCCTCAATCCCTCCGCCTAGCCCCCTTCTTCCCAATTTTCAGATCACGCCTTAACACCTTCCTCTTCGAACGTTCCCCCGGCTCGGCGTCAGGCTCCAGTGCTCCAAAACCCTGCGTGAAGGGTGCTACATAAATGCAAGTTGTTGTTCTTGTTTAAGCTTGTAGGGTACACGATGCATAAAACAATTTCACTTAATGGACCACAGGTCCGAGACATTGTATGGAAAAGTTTCATGTATATTTTATATTCTGTATATTTTCCTGTATCCTGTATATTTTGTGGGCGAATCGCGGCAGCCAGTTGCACATGGTAATGTCCCACAAATAGTTGTGGATTGAGTGACCACATTTTTTTCCCCCAGTTGTAACGTGAATTTATGGTATAAACAGTTGCAGAATGATACGGCTCCAGACGATACTCAAATGTTTCTCCGGATTAAGTGGAAGTAGTGACCTGTCTCTTTGCCAAAGACTCTTGTACAAGGACCTGTGGGTATGTGACATTTGATTTGGTATCTGGAACATCACGATGGGAGATACACCATAAGCTGACCTGGCATGGTGGCTGCTGGAAAGTATTAAGCTGAAATGGGAGGGTGGGGGGGTCTTGCAATCAAAGACTCTCATATCCGGGACTGCGTGGCTCCCCTGGTTGGTATGCATAGTGCTTAGCAACTACTGCTGAAATTTCATACCTCCAGCTGGTCGAGTTACCATTCAATCAGGCAAGGAGATTGCACACTCCAGAACTGGAAGATAGAAACTTTTGAGTTTGGGAGTTCTCACCTGCAGCAACTGGAGACTCTTTAGCACAACATGTCATAAAACAATCATTGAACAAGTGCCCAGATAATGTTGTGAAATACAATGCCTCTGAAATCATTCCAGAGTATCTATTATTTCCTCTTACAAATACTGTGACATTCATGATGACTCATTTTTATTTAGGATCTTTTGCTCCATCACTAGCAGCAGGTGCTATAATAGGCACTCATTGATGTGCATTAACTTCCAGGCAGAAAGATTAAACATGTATTAGTTTAATCACTGTGAGTTTACCAAAGGGTAATCAACAACTGACTTCCAGAAATTGTCAGTAAACAGGTCATATGAAAATTGCATAATGACATACTGATAATTTAAATGAAATATTATTTAAATACTTTAAATGGAGTCGACTATTAATAGTATAGGATAGTAATGTCCTGGGTTTGTTAATCGTAATGAACAAAATCTTTGTTCTTTTCTGATCACTGTATCCCTGCTAGTCTATAGAAGGAGTTGCTTCACAACAACAACAAATTGCATTTGTATAGCGCCTTTCAGGTCAGGAGGACACCCCAAGGCTCTGGACAGTCAGGGATCCGCATCTGAGCTGGTGGCTGGGATCAGGAGGGGTGGAGGGCAGGGAGGGTAGGGGTAGGAGGCATGGTCGAAGAGAAGGGTCTCAAGACCCTCCTCTAATAATTCACAGGCAACATATTGAATCAAGTATATGAGAAAGTCCACATAGAGAATGAATCTATCTTCTTCTGACTTAAAAGTATTTCCTGCATTAAAACATTTCAAAAAGATGAGATGTGTAGAGGATGCCAAAGCAACAGTGGAATCTGCACTGCATATCACGTTGCTCTACACTGAGTTTTTCCATCATGTTAAGTCAGGATGAACATTAGCGCAAAGTGCACACACTGATATGACAAGCGATATAAAAGAAAAGAAATGCTGGATTTACTTTGCTGCCATTGAGAATCCAATCGCTCCCATCTTTTTTGGCATATGTTTTCACTTCTTGCAAATCACTGAAAAAAAATCAATATTTATTGGTGAGCATTCAATACAGTTCACTTGTCAAACTGAGTGAAACCTGAAAGATCCTCATTAATTGCCAGCATGGATAATACATAGTAATAATGATCCTTATATTTGGTATATCACCTTTAATGTCAGGAGGATGTCCCAAAGCATCATAGGACATATTGTAAAGAATAATGACTGTGATTTGTGGGCGAGATTTCCCTGCTTTTAGACCAATTTGTTTTATTCACCTTTGTTCAGATTACTGAGCAAGGAGGAAAGAAGCAGTAGTTTCAGGGCATTAACCAAAGGCACAATTAAACTAATAAATGTTTAGGCAGGGAGACAAGGCAGGGAAACAAAGCGTAAAGTGAAGGAATTTGGGGAGAGCCTTTCAGAATGAGCGATAAGTGGTCACCAGTGGTGTGAAGGAAAGTGTGAGAAATGAACAGTAGACCAGCCAGAAGCACGGAGCAGGGGCAAGAGAATAGGGCTGGAGGAGATTTCAAAAATAGGATGGGGCAAGATCATTAAGGGATTTGAAGGTAAGAAGCCTGGAAAGGATGAGAGTAATTTCTTATTCCAGGTCAGAAGATTATGATATAATCTCTATTACCATCATTGCTATGACTGGCAGAATCTCTAGCTAATACTGTGAAGCTTACATACTGCTGAAGATGTAAACATGAAGATGTAAGTTCACCCAAAAAATATACAGTCAATTTACTTTACAATATTTTCTGTGAAGCACTTTGAGCTGTCTCGAAGATGTGATGAGGCGCTATATCAAATGCAAGGATTATTATTATTATTATTTATAACAGCTGTACCCGTTGCAGCTACGCTTGCAACCAAAGGATCTAATATAGAATGCAGATTGACACATAGACAGACACTTACTTATCCTTGAAAGGTTTGATTTTCGCTTACCCATTTATCATCATATGATGATAAATATAAATGTATAATTTATAAGCACTGGAGGTCCTCCCGACATGAAAGGCGCTTTAAAAATGTAATTTTATTGTTGTTGCCATGGCTCAGCTTTGTCTGTGTTCTTTATTTTGTTCCCACCGCCGCTTGGCTATGTGCGTGCTCTGTGACACAGGATGCCATAGCGCCACGGTCAGCCGGCGCTGCCACCAGATGTAACTGCAGCGAAAAACGCAAAACTGAAATATATTTTAGGTCACAGTTCATGAACGATAGGAGATAACTGAAAACAAATATGCCCATGTATCTCCCATATGCAAAACCTTTCCGATGAGGTATAAATCATGTCTCTACGTCAATCGGATATTGAGATCCTTCTTGAAGCGCATCGGTTTCAAAGAACAGAGTCTGTTTTCTCTCTTGTGATTGTATTGCACTTCACAAGAGAAAATGGCGATTATTTTAACTGTTCTCACCTGCCAGCACCAGGTTCTGTCATTGCAATAGCACCAATACATTTTCCAGCAACCATCTGAGGAATATAATGCTCAATCTGCTCTTTGGAACCGTAGTGTGTGATGTAAGGCATAACAATGTCCGAATGTAAACCAAAACCTGGCCCACTGCAGTTCACATACATCCTGGAAAGAAGGCAAAATTAAAAACATTGGCCAAACAACGAACACTACATTATACTTATATTATTATACATTATTATTATATTATGCATTATACTCTCTCCATGGCCTTACAATGTTCTATTTCCTGTTTGGGTTCTCACTCACAGTAGCTTTTTTTTAAACGGAGTCTAACTTTCTCCTTTTATATTGTATACATTGTCTATATATTGTCTATATCATCCCCCAGCATGCTTTTTATGTTACAAAATCACTGACACTTGAGCCAAGAATGGTTCCAAAGGTTAATGGAAATTCAGGCAAAGCAACACCAATATTAATAGACAGATTCAAATATGCCTCCTCATTTACTTGCTGTTTAATTTTTTGGGGTTCAGTTGAGCGTCTGACATGTGCGGAAGCCAATCATGATGCTTAATAATAATCCTTGCATTCGAGGTATCCAACATGGACAGAGTTCCACATATGTACGCCACGTACGCAGGGAAATTTCCATGTATCTAGAATGGAATGCACACTCTCTCCCTGGGTGGTCACACCCTTCGGTGAAAGTCAAAAAAAGGATACTGACAATTTAATAGCTGTTCTAAGGCACCGAACCCCATCTGAATATGCGACCAACCATAAGCAGCATTAACACTGAAATAGCGCCACCATCAGTCTGAATGTAAAGCTGCACTTGAACGTTCTTACTCTTTTTAATGAGGAAGACTCATCATCATAATAATAATCCTTGCATTTGATGCAGCTCCTTATCAGGTCGCGGAGATGTCTCTCCCTGATATCTCGCAAAGTGAATTGACTGTATATTTGTGGGCGAAACACGGCAGCCATTGCACATAGGGGTGTCCCACAAACAGTCGTGGATTGAAGTGAACAATTTATTGTCATTAGTATTATTTTTCGGAGGAATTATTAACCCCAGAAATGCGATCCGCCAATCGACTAACAACTGAGTTCCTACGTACTGTTAGGTAAACTGAGGCGTGTGGAGTAAGGAAACTTGCCCAACATTTCGCCTGGCTGAGAATTGAACCCATGTCTCTTGCTTACGAGGTGAGTGCTCTAACCACTGAGCTACAAGATCCTTCAAACCTTTACAGAAATAAAAACTCCAAAGAAATGTTCCCTGCCTAGCCCAATGTAATTTTTTTAGAAAAGATTATATCAAAGCACAAAAATAAAAATCTTTGTTTATAGTCTTGTCCACTGTCAGCAATAAAAAGATAAAATTGGCATCCATAACCTCCTAACTAGAAGAATATGGATATTTCCAAAGATTTCTTCATTATGAAGCAGAATTACACATTAAATGTTTCAGTCAGGTACTCACAATTCCTCCCATACAATAGCAGAAGAAAGGATATCGCCACCAATGCCACCGTGTTCCTTGGTTGTATTGACTCCCAGCCTTTTCCCAGACCTCTCTGCTTACTTGACCATCCTTCTCCCACCTGTAAAAATAAAACTCATTATGTTGGAAAAGAATCAAACGCTCAATCAGTACATCAATTTCTTTAATGTGCAAGTCAGGTACCTACGGTGCACATTTTGGTTTGACGTTGAATTCTGTGCATGTACTATATTACACTTAAAATTTTGACAACATGTTGAAAGTTTATTCTCTCCAATGGATTCATGTCTTTACTGCATTTGATTACATTTTGCAATAACGTTTTGAAATTTTGTTGGTGAAAAGTTTGACCTTTTATTCATTTTTCTATTCTCATTTTCAGTGTCATCGCAATCACCAGGCGTTGCACTTCATAGCACTCCCATAGAGTTCTGTTGCAACAAACGTAACAGAATTGGAAACTAGTCAATAAATCAACAGAGTATCCAGTTTGAACTCCCTTACAGATAAGCTCCTGTACTCCAATGAATGCTTTGATCGAGGGATCAAAGAATGTACATTCTCACAATCAGCTACGTTTTCAACAACTGCATTTTAAAAAATATACTTTTTTCTTTCCTTTTATATTTATGTTGTAATTTGTAAAACAACAAAGTATATCTCTTGAGCCTTCATAATGATTTGAAACTCCAAATGTTAGCTGATGTGAGGGTCAATCCTGTTTGCATTGCTTAGTATTCCCCAGAACATGGAACTGAATTAAACTAAAATTGGCTATTCCGATGAATAATAATTACATTTGATAAAGGCCTTTCACATCACAAGGACGTCCCAAAGCCCTTCAGAAATTATACTGCAAAGTACAGTGAGTGTATGCTTTGTGGGAAACAAACAATACGTTTCAGAAATATGTGAGAATTACTGGGAGTTTGCTCAATCCTTCCTTTTGCTTTCTAACAAATTTACATAAGTTATTTCACTTATGAAAATGTAATCTGATCTACAGTGCACTGCTGCAAAGTGTAAGGAAAAGATTTTCTGGAGTGGGTGTGAAATACATTGCCATAGATAATAGTACTACTACTAGTAAAAATCCTTGGATTTGATAAAACGCCTTATCACATCGTCAAGATATCTCAAAGCGCTTCACAGGATATACTCTAAAGTAGATTGACCGTGTATTTTTGTGGGCGAAAAGATGACAGGAAACGATTCTTACCTGGAAGGATTTGCCTCAAATGTCTTAACAGGTGTGAAACATTTTCTATAGATCTTATTCAACAGAACAAGTATTTTTGCTCAGACTGTGGATTAACACTTAGAGCACTATAAAAAGGTCATTAGTGTCCATGTGTGTCACCCACTACCCTTGCGCGCGCGCACACACACACACACACACTTCCTTTTCTTGACACCCACCTCCATCACCATCAGTTCTGTTCATCTCATAAAAAGATTGTGAAATACTACTTATTGTCTATTGCTTATAAGTGTTCTACGGGATGTGGACAAATCTACATACTTTGTGTTATCTGGAACAACTTCCGCTTCAAAGAATTTTCTGACGCTTTGTCTGAATAGGTCATGCTCTTAGCAAGGGAGGTTTCCGGACGAAGTGTTTTCTTGGCTTCATCATATTCTGCTTGCGTACTATGGAGCCTAAAATAAATATATATATATTTATGTATTATATATAGTGAAAAGACAAACTACAAATTCTGGACGTTTTAAATAAAACAGAAATAGATGCAGAATGTAGTGGATTTCCAGCGCATTTTTAAAATATTTTATATGGAGAGAAATCTTGCATTTCAAAAACATTTGAAAGAGTTTCACAAGATATATCCATTGTTAAATTGGATCATGAATCATGATGACATAGACCATTAATGAGCAAAAGCAGACAGTTTCTTTGTAAATTCTTTTATCTGTTGCTTCTAAGCTGATATTGACTAATGCTAAATTTGTGTGCAGTTGTAAATAGCTTCTTTGTAATGTCAAATCAGAAATAGGACTGAATTTTTGTGAAAACAAACACTTGGGGGTCTGCAAGCCTTGGCTCTTGCCAATCTTGCCTAATACTTTCTGGAATTTGATTAGGAGTCATCCTTCCAGGGAGAAAGAGTGCATTCCATTCCGACAATCTATCTCTGCGATTTTCCATGTGTAGGTGGGGTGTATGGAAATCTCAGTTTGGCGTGGATACTCTTAAACATGGTGAGGGGTTTCCGCAAATCTCAGCTGACCGAATAAAAATGTCACCTTAAGTGGGCGGGATCCTACAGGCCGCCACCGGATGATTTAGTCCGGCTCGCAAACCATTTCCGTCTTTACCTCCCAGCTGCAACTCTCTTTTGGTCGATCCCCACGAGGCAATGTGGAGAGTGACAGGAAGAGTCACGTTTTTTTATGCTGCCTTGAGCGAGTTTGATGAAATCATCATGAAAACCAAGGCAAATGTACCACTTATCTGATTGTTCTCATTGCTCTGTTGTCGACTGGATCTTGCGAACTGGGATTTTCAGAAGTCAGACATAAAATTATGACACTCGCCTCGTACAGATATGGGTGAGTGTATTCGAAAGAAATGACAGTTCAAGCTGATACCAAACAATCGTCTTTTCCCCTAATAAACTGCAACACAACCAAGTTCAAGACACCAATTTCAGTTGATGGAAAAAGGAGATTGATAGAAGACTCAGTTAGTGAACTGTTTCAGTTGCCAAACGAGTTTGGCTGGCTACTAACATGTTTGCCAAATTGTCTGAGATTGCCTCAATAAGAGGGGAAAAAAGTTACAATTAAATCTTCTACTTTGCAACATTTTCATGTTAGCACAGTACAGAAGGAGGCCATTCAGTCTATCAAGTGCACTGGCTCTCTGTTAGGGACAAAAACAGAAGTCGCTGGAAAAACTCAGCAGGTCAGGCAGCTTATAATAATAATAATAATAATAATAATCCTTGCATTTGATATAGCGCTTTTCACGTCGTTACGGCTTTGGCTTGCAGGGTTAACAGGAGCTGAGTGGGAAGACTCCCTATCTCCTGTGACTTGGTCTATTCTTCCAGGTCTTGCTGATGAGCCTGGGTGGCTGTGTTGTCATTAGCAGTGCCCTGGAATACTGCGGACTAGTAGCCTGCCTCAGGCTACTAAATTTGTATAGGGCCTTTCACGTCGGGAGGACATCCCAAGCGTCTGGACAAACAGAGTTTCGGACCTGAGCTGGGATTCGGGATTGGGGAGGGTGGAGGGCAGAGGAGAAGCAGGGAGATCAAAAGCGTGGTCGAAGAGGAGGGTCTTCAGATGGCTCTTGAAGGAGGCAAGGGAGGGGGCGAGGTGGAGGGACTATGGGATTGGGTTCCAGAGGGTGGAGGCAGGGTGGCAGAAAGCCTGCCCGCCAATGGTGGGGCGGGCGAGGCAGGGGACGTGAAACAGGCCGGAGCCCACCGAGCGGAGGGAGCGGGCAGGTTGGTAGGGGCTTATAGGAGGTTGCAGAGGTGGGGGAAGAGCAAGACCATGGAGGGCTTTGAAGGTGAGGACCAGGATCTTGTACCGTATCCTCTGTGTGATGTATGTTTATTCAGCGCAGGGTGCCCAAGACATTGCAGGTCATTTTAATTATGTCATTAGCAAACAAAGGTTTGGGGAATCTGTAACCCCTTCTGTGCGCACAGTTTACACAATCCAAAAGTTGGTATTGCATTTCAAAGTTCAAAACTTGTCATGGTGGTTATGTCTCATTTTGAAACAATAAACAACAATCTGTCCAGCTTCAAAGTTCAATCTCAGTTATTTACTTTCATGCTACAATAACAACAACAGTTGCGGCAGATATAACTCGTTTGCACGTGATCTCCGTGAAAAAACAAATTTCCGCAGACAGCCACTGTTGTCATGAATCGTGTCACACTCAGGTGAATGTCAACCGCGACATTAGGGTAAATTCACTGGAAATCTGAACACCCCCCACCGCACTGAACACAAACCTGCCCCCCTCACACTCACAAACTCACACTCACTAACTCACACTCACTAACTCACACTCAAACCCACTAACTCACACCCACTAACACACACTTACTAACTCACACCCACACCCACTAACTCACACTCGCACCCACTAACTCACACCCACTAACTCACTAACTTACACTCACACCCACTAACACACACTCACTAGCTCACACTCACACCCAGTAACTCACACTCACACCCATTAACTCACACCCACTAACTCAATAACTTACACTCACACCCACTAACTCATACCCACTAGCTCACACTCACTAGCTCAAACTCACTAGCTCACACTCACACCCACTAGCTCACACTCACACGCTCACACTCACCTGGACCCCACAGGAAGGGTCAGGTCCAGGACCTGCTGCCGGCGCCAGTGTCCGCCCCTCAGGCTGTTCCTCCTCAGGTAACTCCCGCACAGAGAGCCGGAGATCAGCGGCCACCGAGGGCTCATCATCCCGTCCCGGAGTCTGCACTCCACCCCGGGGGGAGGGACAGGGGGAGGGGGGAGAGGGAGGGACAGAGAGGGGGGGGGGCTGACAGGTACAGGTGGGGGGCTGACAGGTACGGGGGGGGGCTGACAGGTACGGGGGGGGTGGGGGGCTGACAGGTACAGGGGGGGGACTGACACTTCCAGGGCGGGTGGGGGGCTGACAGGTACGGGGGGGGGTGGGGGGCTGACAGGTACGGGGGGGGACTGACACTTCCAGGGGGCTTGGGGGGCTGACAGGTACAGGGAGGGGGTGGGGGGGCTGACAGGTACAGGGGGTGGGGGGCTGACAGGTACAGGGGGGGTGGGGGCTGACAGGTACAGAGGGTGGGGGGGCTGACAGGTACAGGGGGGTGGGGGGCTGACAGGTACGGGGGGTGGGGGGGCTGACAGGTACAGGGGGGTGGGGGGGGCTGACAGGTACAGGGGGGTGGGGGGTTGACAGGTACGGGGGGTGGGGGGGCTGACAGGTACGGGGGGTGGGGGGCTGACAGGTACAGGGGGGGTGGGGGGGCTGACAGGTACAGGTTTTTTTTTGCTGTATCAAAATGCGACAACAACATGTTACGTTTGTAAAGCGCCTTTCCCTTCAACAACAACAACAAGATTCCATTTATAGAGCGCCTTTCCCTTCGGGAGGACGTCCCGAGGTCCTGGACAGTCAGGGACTTGGACCCCAGTTAGAGGGTGTGTAGAGCTCTGGGGTGGCGGAGGGATCAGGGAAGGGGGAAGGAGGTTGACTGAATGTGCGGTCAAAGAGGAGGGTCTTGAGACGTGCTTTGAAGGAGGCAAAGGGAAGAAGCAATACGAAGGGACTGTGGGACGGAGTTCCACGTCAGGATTAATATTACTATTAACTGCGCGTAGGCGACCAGACGGGAAGAGTCTACGGACAAAGCAGGAGGGTTGCGATTTTGCACGAGCACGAGCACAGACGTGTAGAGTAAGGAAACTTGCCTCAAATCTCGTCCCCCGCCTGGGAATTTCTAACAGGTTTCACGCAGTATTAATACACGTAAGTGCGGGTATCGTTGAATGAACCAACTGACAGGCACAGCAACAGGTGAAGGTCTGAAGTTTGTACGTATCAGGTACTTTGCAACACGTGCACATAGAAGCTGGAGCTGAGATACGTTTGGGTGAGGGTTGTTTGCGATTTAGAGTTCACCCACAAAACACAGTCACTCCATTTTACAGTATATCTTGTGAAGTTACCCTAGAGTGTAAAAGGCGCTATACCAATTTTAATGGCGTAGTGGTTAGCACTTGCTTCATAAGTGATAGGACCTGGGTTTGAGTCCTGAGTGGGGTGGGGGTTGCAAGTTACACCATACTCTGTTTACCGAGCAGTAAGGAGGAAACCAGCTGTTAGTCGACTGGCCTTTCACGATTGTTTGTGGGACACTGTTGTGGACAATTAGCTGCTGCGGTTCGACCACAAAATACACAGGCAATTCACGTTACAGTATGTTCTGTGAAGCGCTTTTTTTGAGACGTCTCAATGACGTGATAAGGCGCTATATCAAATGCAACGATTATTATAATTAGAAGTTCTGATAATCAGTAAGTTAACTTCTACCATTTTAACTGGGCAGCTTTTTGTTGCATCAAAACGTGAAAAGTGCTGCACAAATGTAATTTTGTTTTGTATTGTATATCCAATCTGTGAACGTAAGATAAATGAAGAGCAGAAATTTTGTTTATGCCAACATTAATTTAATCTTGATTTAACAAAATCTTAATGGTTTAATCTTGAAGACAATATTTTCTCTAACGTGCAGAAAGAAAAAGTAAAGTGCCAATAAGATAGATTTAGAGAATATCCAGCTGTTCACTTCCTCCCTTGCAGGTACAGTCTTCACGATTGCTGAATTTGCCAGGGTCATTCTGTAGGCTCACCTGAACCATGGGCTATCTATCTCATCACTTTTGTCGAACGTCTGAGAGAAAATGTGCACTTTATAAAAAAAGTGTTCGTTTTCAGGAAAACGTGTTCAACAAAAGTTTTCAATAGTTTAGAAATGTGATGCAATCGCACTGAAGCACACCATAATGCTCCTTGCACCAGGTCGATCTAACAAAATCAATTGATGGCTCGTCTCCCTCCCCAATCCTCAACGCTTTCTATTTCATGGAGAAAGCGCTCCTGTCATCTTATGATCTATTCACGATGACTAATGAAATGAGTCCTTTCCAATTGTAATAATGCAGGGGAGTAAATTTTCTATTGGCTCCTCTAGTCAGAGCTAAACCATCCAGATAGTGAACAAGAAACAATCATTCCAAAAGCAGCATGATAGAAAAGATTTCAAAGCAACATGGAGGAGTTTAACTCTGCATGCCTCAGAAATTAAAGGGCCAGATGTATGTCATATGTTTTTCAGGTTTTATTTGTTGAAGTACACAGTACAGAGAAAATAAATTAGGATTGCAAGATGTTTATCACGAGATATAATTTGGCGAAATATCCACAGACTGACCACTGTTAGATTTTACTGGGTATTTACTCCCATGTGCACTTTCCCACCCGCTTACAATGCCAAAGATTATGGATATAATTAAACAATTATATCCATCAGGTTTGCCAGTGCAAACTTCAGGTTATTTTCTTCTTTCTTTGTTTTCTTTTTATTCAGTTCGATTTGGTATAAGTAGAAAAAAAACAAAGCGTTGTTGCACAGTCCTAAGGGAAGACTGTCGTTGTTGGTCGGAAAAGCACAAGTACCATGATGTTAACGTTTTGACGCCAGAAGATGTTCAGCCACTTAGAACCGTATGCACCAATTCTGGGGGAAAATATAAATAAAACAGTATAAATATACAAAGTTCAAGAATTTAAAAAAACACGTGTCTTAAAATGTAGACATTTGCACAACACATTTATTTGTATTTCATGTTCGGCAACTTATACGATACAATTTACACTTATATAGTGCTTTTCACATCAGAAGGACATCTCAAAGTGCTTCACAGATGAATGAGCACTCAAGCCGTGCATGGTGTGGTGGTGGAGGGGGGAGTGGGTCAATCCTACTGCATTAGTACCATACTCAAGTGGAGTATTGATACATTTCAACACTGAAGTTGAAAAAGCACTCAAATGGCAAAACTGCTGTGTTACTGGCACCTTCTGCTGCGAAAAGCGATTTTATGAAGTTTTTGGTAGAGAATTTCAATTCACAAAAACTTATAATAAAATAAAACAACTTATAACTTAGCTGCAACCCAAAGTCTTATCGAAGTTAATGCGTTAATCATGCAGGAGGTTCCTTGGAGAAACACAGCTTGTATCGTAAATGTTTTTTCCCATCTTTTGAGTCCTTCAACAACCCCATAATATCACTTTGCCATCATGTTTGTTAAGATTCAAAGCAGATATGCCACAAAATTTGCAGAGGCCTTTTAACTAAGGCATTTTCAGTTTTAATAAAATTGCTTGCCAGGAAGTATTAACACAAATTTTTTAATAAGCTTTTCCCAATTCTGATGGAGCTGACCAATATTGGTCCTATGTGGGATGGCCACCATCCAGTATCTCATACCAGTAGCCATTCTTCATGTGTGAATCTAGATTGTGAGTGTTAGCCGACTTGTGACAGTGGGGGCCAAACCTGTCCTCCAAATACATGCACTTATCTGAATTGATGGGAATCATAAATGAATTTCTCCTCCCTAATCCAGAGGTGTTAAGGCAATTGCAACACTCCCAACAGTTCTTTCTAGCTGAGATCAACTAACTCACTATATGCCAGGAACCAAACTTGCAACCTTCTGATCTGTATGAGTTAGTAGTACCTTGCATTTAATTGGGAGCCCAAATTTAGTTTTAAAATGTATTTTTCCATTCTGATCTCTGGTTATCCTTACATTAAAACAATAACAATTCGGTATTTCAGTACATTCTCCTTAATAAATTTCAGAACTGCCTAAGAATTTAATCTACAGAATAAACTAATTGAACAAATAACTCAGTGTACCAAATCAGGTAAAACAATGATGAATAAACAGGTTGGAACCAAACTTAAAGGGTATCTCACTGAAAACCACCAATTATGAAACTGTGCATCAAATCAAATGGGAATCAAACTTTATTCTGGAAAGCGAAAAATGAAAGAAACATGCAGAGTCATACCATAAGGGAATCCAATTTAAACAGACATGACGTGTTTGACAAAAGCTGTCAAAAGAAATATGTGAATTAGCAAAACAGAATGAAACTGAGAAATCAAATTTCAATAGAAAATTCAACGGAAATCAAAAGAGAAATCAAGAATCACTGGTCTGTTGGTGCAGACAGATTTAAACACATACCCTCATAGTTGATACAGCCATTGGCATCTTCTTGACCTGCCAAAAGAGATTCCACCTGTTCCTCTGTCATCTTCTCACCTGGTGTGTAAGGGAAGCAACTGCTGTAAACCTTCGAATAAAAAATCCCCTTGACTAAAATCTCATCAGTTCCCATATAATTGCACTGTAGTAACTACACCTAAAGCATATTAACCATTTACTGTGTTTGTGAATCTGTAGTTCACAGTCAGACTTGGACAACTGAGAAACATGGCTGGGCATGATTATAAGGTCAAGAACCCTCAGATATTTACCAACCTCTATCTTCTAAATAGCTGACATGGTTTACCCATATAAAGCCTGGGGAAATCGGAACTTGGAAGATTATAGCGAGAAACCGTACCTTATAGCTCTCACGTGCTGGACACTTTGAATGTAATGCACACCTGTGTACTGTAGTGGCTAAAGTCAATAAATGTAAAATCAAACCGTCTGTAGCAAGTTTATAATTATTGTGTGGACCCAACTAAGATATCATCAGAGTCTGTTACTTTAATTAGCTTTGCCTTATTGTGTAAAGTTTAAAGATACTTCAATGCAAATAGTGATACCCATATATGAACTATTGACAGCATTGGACTGAACTGATGTTTGTTACCATTTTCTAGTGATTCCAACATTGACACTATCAGCAATAACAACTGCTAGCTTTGTCTCTGTTCTCAATTTATATATTATAAAGTTCGATGTTTCTTTTGATGGCATCCTTTTACCCTATCCCATCCACGAGAACCTGCTACCATTTAAGTTAACAAATGCATCTATGGAATCTATTCTCAGGTGTTGCTCTTACCCAGCGTAGCCAGAACATGACGCAGCTCAGCACCCATTACAGTGCCGTTGCTTTCTTTGTCAAAGACCCTCAGACCTTCAACAAAGTCCTCAAATGTGCCCTGTTCTTTGTTGTTTGACATGGTCTGAAGCATGGGCAGAAACTGATCGAACTCAATGGCTTTGTCAGTCATTTCTAAAAAAGAAGTCAATTGACAAACATTAAATAACTGTGCTAAGCAATCTACTTTTTTTTTAATATAGATAAAAAGAACAATTCCAAAGCAATTGCATGTGATATCCTGTTCTGATGTGTACCTACCTTCTTTGCTAGGATTGCCCAGGATCTTTTTCACTTCAGCATTGGTTGGGTTCTGGCCGAGGGCGCGCATGACATCTGCCACCTGGTTGTACGTGATCTTGCAATTCCCGACCCTGTCAAACAGGAGGAAGGCCTCCTTGAAATCTAGTGGGGAAACAGGCACAAAGAATGCGTTTCAGGTGAGAGGTGGAGTGGGGGAGGAGACGGGCTGATGGAGAAGAAAGAAAGAAAGCACTTGAAGCTTACTTCAAAAAAGCAATCTTTTTCTCTATTTTTGCCCAACCCAGTCAAGAGTTGCGACTGTGACTCCAGGTGAATACCTCTCCTTAACAAGCATAAATCTGCAGCCAGGCAAACAGCTGGAAACTAACTGTAAGTAATGGTTGCCAATGTTTCAGGGCAGATGTTTATATATACTATCGAAAAATCATCAACTGTGTTATTAAATTAACAATGAAACAGCACACGCAAGCCAAGCCAAACCATAACTCAATTAATATTGAGTAGTTTCATGCCAGTTATACATATTATGTTATATATATATACACATTATATCAATATAGTTAATGCACAGGTAATCAGAATCAGTATTTATTAAATTACAGAAAATAATTCTACAGACTGAGGTTAAATTGTCTGATCTGCAGTTCATTATATTTAGGACAAGTACAGAGTGCTGCTATTTATGGGTATGCTCCGCTTTATTAAGTCACACTCTTAAACGCTGATCAACAAAACTATGTTCACTGTAACTGATACACTTGAAAGTGATCTGTGTAACCACTTGCAATTTCTCTCCTCCTCCCATCTATAGCAACATCTTTATTACATTAATAACCCATGGAAATAAGATGCTTATACAGTGCAGGGTGTAATAATCCCAAATTTGGTTAGAAGCAACCGTTCAATAACCATTCATCTCAGTATTTTCAAAGCTGGTTGTGTCGATTAATTTATAATATTAAACCAAAAGTTCTTTCTCTTCGATGAATTTTACATTTTAAATAAATTATACCAAAGAAAATATAAAATGTTTTTTTTCTGTAGATTTCTATACCTTGCCCCTCTGTGTTCTTTGGCTCTCACCTAAATCCCCCCCTCAAAACGGTTAATACATGCAAGATATGTGTTTAAAAAGACAACAAAATGTTTCACTCTGGAACCCTTTCGATAATAGAAAAATCCTGAACAAACTGTGGAAACAGAGCAACTAATCTGCCCACAGAGGCCCAAGGAATTATCTGTCAACACTGTTACTCCAATCCTACACAAGCTCTCCCGTATTTCTTAACACAGGGACACAAATGTAATATCGATGCAGTTCAACAGGAAATACACGGTGGAAGTAATATTGCCTTTTGAACCGTGACTGTGGGGAAGTGCCTCACAGCAAATCCGATACGTGGGAAATGATTTGATTTCCTTTGACAGTATCTGGCCTCCAAACCTACCCGACTGGAATACTGCAGTCATGTTTGGACGTTAATGGAAGCGATGCATAAAAATTCCACAGAGCAGTTCTATAACAAGATACATACATCCCATCGTGGTCCAGTACATGGCAGATCAGATTTTATGAAGGCGTCTAACACCAGTCTCCAGGTGGTAGATACCAGCCCGATTATCCCATTCACTTGAATATATATATACATATATTTCTAAATATATATCTAAATAAGTATATATAAAAATATATATAAAAACACAAATATATATATAAAAATATATATATACATAAATATATATCGAAGCAGAAATATATATAAATATAAGTATATATACATAAACATATAAAGATAAACATATCTAAACACAGAGGGAGAGGCAGATAAAAAGATCCGAATTAAAATGAAATTCAAGAAAAACTCTTGACGTGGGGAGTCTCCACGTCAAGATTGTCGTTCTTTTGCTTTTTGAAATCTCCCTCTCCCTCTACGAATAATAATAATAAACATATATACACAGACACACAAAAAAAATATTATTTTATCGTTTCACTTGCTGTTTGCCAAGCCAGGCCGCACGCACACACACACACACACACAGCAGACATGGAGCCCTTAGCAAACTAACAACCAACACATTTCACCCCCCACCTCCCCTCCCAACCCCTTTCCCCCCCCACCTCCCCTCCCACCCCCTTTCCCCCCCCACCTCCCCTCCCACCCCCTTTCCCCCCCCACCTCCCCTTCCCATTCCACCCTCCCCTCCCCATCCCCCCACCTCCCCATCCCCCCCACCTCCCCTCCCCTTTCACCCCCCCACCTCCCCCCCCCACCCCCATTCCCCCTTTCCCCCCCCACCTCCCATTTCACCCCCCACTTCCCCTTCCCATTTCCCCCCCTCCCATCCCATCCCCCCACCCCTTCCCCTCCCACCTCCCCTCCCATTCCCCCCCCACCCTCCCCTTTCACCCCACCCCCCACTTCCCTCCCCCCTCCCTCCCCCTCTCTACAAACCCCCCCCCACCCCCCCCCCCCCACAACCCCCTCCGAATCCCACACAACAACAGACAACGAAAGCGCCCCCGCGCCCCCCCCGGAGCTGCTCACCTTCCTGCTGATCCGCACTGAACTCGATCTGAAAGGATAAAAGAAAAAAAAACCCAAACCCCCGCCCCCACCCCAACAAAAAAAAACATCCGTGAAAAACAAAACACACACATACACACACCACCTCGAAAGCAGAACCGGTATTACATCAAAGGGGGAGAGAGGGGGAGAGGGAGAGGGGGAGTGGGGGAGTGGGGGGTTCGAGCACAGACAGAGTCGGGTTTAGTGAAGCAATACCTCAGTGCCACATTTTTTTTTTCCTTTTTACGTTTGGAATTGAAGGAGAGAAAGAGAATCAAAGTCCCCAACGGACGAAACCCATCAATTTTTTTTAACCCCCACCCCCACACCCCCACTCCCCCCCCCCACCCCCACACACGGCTGTTTAATTTTCTTTTGTGTATTGCTCCGCACCCACACACCGGCGCCTCTGTGTCTCTGTGTCTCTCTCTCTCTCTTTTTTTTCTTATCTGCGACCACTTACCCGCAACCTGGTCTTCTGAGAATGACTGCAATTGGAGGGGGGGGGGGGGGAAAAGTGGGGGAAAAAGTGGGGGAAAGGGGGGAAAGTGGGGGAAAGGGGGGAAAAAGTGTGGGGGGGGGGGAAAAGTGGGGGGGGGGAAAGGGGGGAAAAAGGGAAGGAAAAAAAAACACAGAAAGATTGGATATTGTAAATGCACCGTCAAGAATAGCGAATGGAAAGGCGTAAATACGCGCGAGAGACATAAAGGAATGGCCGCGGAGTGCGGAGTGCGCAGTGCGGGACATGAAACGCACCATCGCTGAGGGCTGAGCTGTGGGGGTCGGTGGTCGGTGGCTGAGCTGCTGAGCTGCTGCTGAGCTGCTGCTGACGACAAGCAACTGAGTGGCTGTCTCTCCTCACAGGTCCTCTCCAGGGGGAACCGTCTCTTATTTAACCCGAGAGTGTGACGGGATCCACAAGGGATCAGGTGTCAAGGAACTCCTCCTCCTCCTCTTCCTCCTCCTCCTCCTCCTCCCGCTGCTGCTTCCCCCCCTCTTGACTTTCTTAGGGCAGGAGATAGGAGGCTATAAGCCACTGCCAGACGTCCATTCCTATCTATTCTGGTCCCCGAGGGATTGCCATGGAAGGAGCTCTCAGGGCCACGTCAGCAGATTTTTAAGGAGTGGCTATAGATGGTAATGAATTCTCAAACCCAGTCATCCACCCTTATTGGAATCATTTTTTTTTTGGTTGAGAGTGTGTGAAAAAAAATACTGTTATTTGGTTGGTTTTGTTGTGTGTGTGTGTGTGTGTGTGTGTGTGTGTGTCTCTCTCTGAAGAAATCGCCACTCATTCCAGCAAAATAACCATTGAAAAAAAATAAAGGGCCATATCTTTTTAAGAGGACAAAAAAAAATATCACCAGAGCCCTCATCTGGATACTGTGGTGGTCAAGTGGGGGAAATAGAACCATATACATTGACAGCACATAAGCAAAGCCATTCAGCCCTGTGGAGAATTGGTCTGTACAGCCAGGGCTGTGTTGACAGATCTCAATTGATGCCTTTAGGGTGTCACAGTTTGGGTGTTTGATCCCTGTCTTGTAATTAATTTGCCCCACTAGAAAGTGTGTGTGTGTCTGGACATTCAGTGATAATTCCTTATTCGGTGCCTCTCACTGTCACAGCTCACATCAGAAGAATGGTCATTTGGGAGATGTATTAGAGATCAGTCAGTGACCAGTGGAACTACAGCCCAGCAACAACATTTAGGATAAATGTGGGGGGTAAAAGTCTAATCCTAGTAGAATAAATTCAGATTTCAGCTTCGGAGCAACACGAATTGGGCAGCGTAACTGCAATCCAAGCAGTTCACCTCCCACCTCCCCTCCAAGTTACGGTTTAAGCTTCATAAATAGATTCAGTTCCGCCAAACATGGTTCGGTTATGCCAAACTGATGGTTGCAATAAATCAAAGTGGCAACATGGGGTTATATTCCACTTTAGGCACTTTTTTAAGCAAGTCAGGTCATCGTGTGCATTTATGTACATTCACTGTACTCAGTGTCTGAATGCATTTTTTTGGCAATAAAGAGTTAGAGGGACTGCACTTCATTACTGTTGAAGCTAACTTTAAGGCTATACTATGTTATACTCGACTCCCTGAAAAAAATGCAATCAATACATATCCAGAGCGGTGTGAGACAGCCCCCGTTTGTTTTGTGAAACTGAACATTGCGATCCTTACACCTCAGAACTAGCACCAGTTCATGATGAAATTCACATTGAACTGATGGAAATTCTGCAGGATAATGGGCCTTATCATGCTTTTTCAGCATTACACCGGCTACAACATACCTGCAACCAATGCACAGGAAAGCGTAGAACTTTCCAGCACAGATGGAGGTCATTCAGCCCATCATGCCTGTGCTGGCGATCAATCCATTTGGTCCTATTCTGATTTTTCCCCATACCCATAACCTTTTTCTCCTTTTCAGGTATTTATCTAATTCTATCTTAAAAGCTGATATGGGTTTGCCTCAACCGATTTCATTTTAGATTTTGAGGCAATTACCAAGAGATCTATTTGGCCAAATTTATGTTTTTAGTCACAGTGAAAAAAGAGCAGCAGGCAGGACAATCCATTCCTTGTTGACATATGTGGAGTCCTGTAGCTCAGTGGTTAGAGCACTCACCTCGCAAGCGAGAGACCTGGGTTAAATTTCCAGCAGAGCAAAATGTTGGGCAAGTTTCCTTACTCCACACGTCTCTCTTTACCTAGCGGTAAGTAGAAACCCTGATTGGCGGATTGCTTTTTTGGGGGTAAAAATTCCTTTAAAAAAAATGAATTGGTCACTAAATCCACAACTCTGTGGGACACTGCTGTGTGCAATTGGCTGCCACGTTTTGCCCACAAAATATACAGTCAATTCACTTTAAGTATATTCTGTGAAGCCCTTTGAGACGTTTCAAATATGTGATAAGGCGCTATATCAAATGCAAGGATTATTATTAGTATAGTCATCCTCATTACTCTATATAGCCCAGTTTGATAGCACTACAGAGCCAGTAATTTGGGACTGATGGCTAACACTGCTCACAAAAAGGGCACCACTGTCAAGCTGTCCCTGCATTATAAATGAAACCTTTATTTAATAGTATTTTCATGGGGATCATCATACAAAAGGATTTAGCAGGGAAAATAATGAACTTCTAGAACTTTTCAATTATTGAAATGGTTAGTTCAGGGGGAACTGGAGAGGTTAGGACATTGTCTGAGCTCTTGAAAACCAGGCCAGACTCATGGGATGAAAGTTCCCTACCTCCGTCTGAATGAGTTTCAAACAAGTTTCTATGGACTTGAGCAAACAACTGGTTATATGTCTCAGTGAAAGGTCATAAGAGAGGCTGTTGTACAAAACAGAAAAAGAACAACACAGTTGTGTAGCAGCGGATGGTTTTTCTGAGGTTGAGAGTTAAGACATAGTAGAAGAACTTCACATCTGTTTGGTTGACTGTTTGGTATTGACTTAATTGCTCAAGATGAACGAGATTGTGTTTCATTTCTCAGAGTTGACACCCCTCACCTTACCTTGAAGATCACCAAATAATTCACCATAAAAATAGTGGCAAGGAATGTTCCCACTGTGCTCCTGTTAATCCCACAAACCCAAATTGTAATGGCTAGGGTGATCTTTGCTGGACAAGCAGTGGCAAACCTGCCAGACAGTTCTCCTCGTGGCAAGCTATGCATTTTTTTCTAAATCTCGTTGAACTCCAGCATTATCCTGACACAAGCTCCGGGGTCTCCAAGTCTTGGTTCTTGCCAACCTGCGCTTGTTTTCAGAGTTTGGTAAGCAGAGTATGTGTCTTGGGGGTGGGTGGGGGGGAGGGGGTGCAATGACAAATGGAGGATTTCCATGGGTACAATCCACTGCCTACAACAATTTTGGCAGGTTAATTTTGGGTGTGTATTTATTGCCTTTACTGATACCAAATTTTTGAGTACCTGGGCTTGTTTATACTGACATTTTAAAGTGCATTTACAATATTCAGTTTCCAACTTGCAAATCACAGAAGACCTGTTGCGAGGAGAGAGGGCACAGACATACATTAATATAGATCGGCAGCAGACGTTTCAAAGTTTCTAAGCATTTTTAAAGTAACACAGAATAATTTTACCATTATTGCAAGAATGCCAGTTCAGAACTGTTAACCGGGTCTTCAATATACGCGGGTAACGATTACAACATCGGGTAATAACTATTTAAAGAACCGAATTGCAAATATAACATGGGGGGGAGGGGGGGTCAATGAAACGTACCAATGTTATTTATTATAAAGAACAAAGATAACATTGGATCATTTTTAAAATACATTTGATTTAAAGATAATTGCTGTAAAGTATATTTCCGCGAAAGAATCTGCTGTTAAAAGCTCTTTTTTTAAAAAAAGGGTGGGTTGGCTGAAGGGTCTATGTGATGCACAAGGGAACAGGTGCCAAGGTCAACTAAAAGTGAAATGATGAAACAGACAAGAAATCTCAGTATGAAATAATCACCAACTATTTAAAAAAAAACGAAAGGCACATAGGTCAAAGAGATAGATCTCAGAGTCTCAGGCAAGTCAACAGGTGCAAACTTCTCACTGGCACCCCAGAGCAGACTTGTCCTTCTTCCCTTGAGAGATTGATGTCGATGTGGTGGGTAATTTCACTCCTGTCGTTGGCAACCCCTCCAGGTCTATATTTATAATTTACTGATTTGAAATCATAATTTTGTGTATTTTGTGGAAGATTGAGTCTCGAACTCCAAAAATAGCCTTCCACATTCTCATCAAATAAATCAGTGTTATATACAGTGAATAAAAAGTTCATTCTTTGTCAATTCTAATGGCTTTAGATGTGTCTGCCTCGCTTAGCACCACATCACACCCCAATGACAACATTTTGTTCCTTATTCGGCTCAATGAACGGAGGTATATTTTGGAGTGATTCTCCCGGGTGCAACTTGAAACTTGATTTCTTTACGAATTGCAATGAATTATTTCAGCTACCAGAAATCAAATGTAGAGAGTGCCCAATAACCCAAGGACCGTATAAAGTTTATGTGGGGGAATTCACATCAAATCACATTTAATATCACAAACAGGGTTAAGATTAAATAAGGTGTATTTCGTTTAAAAACCCCGGTTGTGAACATTTAAACTCAATGTTACGGTCTGATTACACAAGCGTCATGGTTTCTTCCATCCATTTAAAGTATTTTTTTTAAATTAGGAAGAACACATTTTTTTAAATTTGATTTTTGAACAATTTACGTACATATTACAATGGTATTTTGATCAGCATGGAGGGGGGTGGGGATAACAATATTTGCCCAACCCCCAAAACCACTAGTTTAGCTTCAAGCTGATGTCACCACAAAAGGAATATAACGATTGCCCAAATATGTATCTCTCGGCAGACGTGACAGCCTGATTTCTTAGGTGACTTGATACCCAGCATCTTTACTTTGCTATATAAGTAATATATTGCCTTTTAAGTGATCACTTGTTAATGATGACGCTGACTCCCACCCACCTTCGGATCCTTCCCATATTTAGTCATACTTTTTCACCCTCGTTCCTCTTAACTTTCGGTCGATCAGGCTGTAGTGGGCGGGGAGAGTTGGTCTGGGAGATAAACCAGGTAAGAACTCAAAGGGAGACAGTCAGTCCTCGGTGTTAAGAGGTGGTGGGGGGCAAAACTAAAACAAAAAGTTGTTTCCAAAGAAAAAAAAATCAATGACCAGATAGACCTGTTAGGCAGCCAAGTCTTTGAATTGTAACCACATCTCCCGAATAACACTCACATCTGAATCATTTGATACCGGCTAAGGAACTGAATAAAACACAACCAAAAACCACGAGAGAGAAAAAAAAACACTTAAGAAATAGGAGTGGAAATTTGTGCATAAACGTATTGGTTCGGTACAAAGCAAAAGCTTTCTTTCCCACCCACCACCACCCCCCAAAAAAAAAACTTTTTAGGATGAAAGAGCTGAACAGGAGGAAGGGAGGAAGGAAGGAAGGAAGGAAGGGGGTGAATTACGCACCTTGACTGAGGAGAGGTCGATCGTTGGCTCCTTAGGTTTGACTGGTTCAGGGGCAGCGGCTGGGGCCGGGGCCGGGGCGGCTGCAGGAGCCGGGGCGGCTTTCTTTGCGTCCTTCTTGGGTGCCATTTAGGATGTAGGTTGGGACAAGTCACGGACCCTTTAAGGAGGCTGCTGGTGTGGTCAGGGATAAAGCCCGGCGCCTTGGACTCTCTGGAAAGAACTTGGATATATATCCCTCTTACTGATAAGACAAACCTGTCACATGCAGCTCGATTGGACGGCTAACAGGAAGGGGGTATAATCTGGACGGGCTATAAATGGCAGGAGGACTTCACCAAACCAACGGGAATTTTGGATCGGGTGGGAGTTATTATAATTGCAAGGGCAAGAGAGAGAGAGAGAGAGAGAGAAAAAAAGAAAAGCCGACAAGTCAGATTTGGCGGCTGTCGACGCGCATTTCTACCCGAAATTCTTTTTAGCTGATGTTGTCAACCGCTTTGCATCACTTGTGTCCTGATTTGGTTCCACCTGGTATTTAGGAATGGGTGGCATTCCTCGGGATCGCTTTTTGGAGAAAGTGTTGATCAAGCAGAACTGGGTGGGGGTGGGGGGGTCTAAAAATAAAATAAGACATATATGGAAAGTCCCAGGATGCCAACCGCCCCTGCAGACCTACCCCCCTGACTCCAAGGATCTCTCTCTCTCTCCCTCCCAAGGGAGATTCAATTTCATTTTTTTTTATTGGCCCCTCTCTGCATTAATCAATCCTATCAAACAAAATCGACATGAAGGTATCCGAGATCACAGTGGCGTAGTTTTCATCACATAAGTCCCCAAAACAGGTTGCACCAGAGACTGGGCAGGTTGTCACCTAAATAAAAGAGGGATCTTTTCTCTGCATGTCTGTGTATCCCTCTCTCTCTCTCTCTCTCTCTCAGGGGTAGTCGTCTAAAGAGGACTAAAGAGCTACTGTTTTTTGATCAAACTTTTAACTGCGCAAATCGAGTCAGTTTTAACGGATATCTGCAATGCAATTCGAATTTTTACACAGTGGGCGAATTGCAAAAGAGAAGGGTTTGGGTAAAACTCGGGGGTTGGAGCTGTCAAGTCTCTGGGACGTCAAGTCTTCAGGTTCTGTTGGGGTCGTCCTGCAAAGCACCAGCAGCACCAGCAGCACTCCAGCTCACAGACTGGAGATTATTTATGCTTCTCGTCAATGCCATATTGGGGGTTTTAAAAATTAGAAAAGGATAAAGAGATCACCGGGGGGGGGGGGTTGGGGGGGGATTTCAGCATTTGTCGTGAGGTCGAAACTGGAAAGGTGCAAACTCCTGGGAATTGCTATGTACGATTAGGGAGTTGCAGGGGTCACATTTTCTGCAGTGCGTGTTAATTCCCTGAGGTTTGGAAGAAGAGAAGTTTTGCAATCATGTCACAACTCCAAAGCGTGCGTTATTCTGCCAGTGTTTGGCACTGCGATTAAGATGATTGCAAAAAAAAAACACACACCACCACCACCACCACACCCGTGGATTGTTGGGCGGAAAATAAATAAACGTTCAAACGAATTTATTGCCAACTTTTGCAAACGCGTTTAAAAAAAACAGTATTTTTTTTCATTACTTCACTTACTCTCTGATGCAAAGACACGTAGCTGTCGGTTAATGTTAAAACGTTAACTGTACACCTCTGTCGACCTTGCAATTACTTTGCCCAAAGTAATAATAATAATAATAATGTAGGGCGTCTTATTGTTAACTGTGGGCAGCTTTGCCTTCGCTGCGTACAAACCTTTTTTTTTAATGTATATGTATTTCTCTCTTCAGTCAGCGTGTGAGTATACTGAGATCCACCTGCAAAGATCTGGTTATTTTTATGAGCAGTGATCGCGCGTTTAACGTGGTTCCCCGACCTCAGAATCCTGCAAAATGAAGAAGGGTAAGCGATCCCTTAAATAAAACCAAACTATCGATACGCGCAGGTTTTTACGCGTGTGTGAGTGTGAGTGAGTGTGTGTGAGTGAGTGAGTGTGAGTGTCTGTGTGTGTGGAGTATATGCATTGGAGCACAATGCAAGTTGTGCCTTGAATGCATTGGATCAGACAAGGATCAGCAGTAGGAGGAGGAAGGGAGGGAGGAAGAGGCGCTCTCTCATAAGACGTACCTCCTGACAAACCATGGGATACTCAAATAGGAACACTCTTAGGGGCTCTCCTCTATTTCCAAGGGTTAGTTAGACAGAGCGCACACACAGAGTACGAGAACAGGACACCCGCCCAACTGTCTGAATTAGGGAATGGTGCAACAGGTAAGGGGAACAAGTGGGGACCTCCCAACTCCCAAAATAGGAGGAACAAGATGCAATCAAATGTTTGACAGTTCCCAAGGTTAGTTTTTACTGTGAGGTTAATGTTGCTCAAGAGTTTCCAATGGACTGGTCCACCGATTGATATCATCAGTTGAATCTTTTTTTATAAACACCTTCCTGAGAGTATGTGTTCAGCCCATGACATCATTCAGTGGCACAAGTCCTAGAAGGATTTAGGTAAGTTATTTTTCAAATTCCTTTTACGTTTAGCAACATTATACAATACATTTCAATAAGGCAACGATTAACTCTCAGAATTTAAAAACAAAATAAGGAATGACTGAGTGTCAAAGTGTTTTTCCCGTCCCTGAAATGGGTGTGAAAGTAGCACACTTGCCTCGGAGACCAGAGTAAAATTAATGGGTAATAATAATAATCCTTGCATTTGATATACCGCCTTATCATGGCTTTGAGACGTCTCAAAACACTTCACAGAATATACTGTAAAGCGAATTGACTGTACATTTGTGGGCAAAACGCAAAATTGCACACAGCAGTATCCCACAAACAGTCGTGGATTGAGTCACCGCTTTATGCACTATAATTTTTTTTGAATGGATTATTACCACCAGCAAAGCAATCCACCAATCTACTAACTTCCTACTTACTGCTAGGTAAACAGAGGCGTGTGGAGTAAGGAAACTTGCCCAATGTTTTGCCCCGCCAAGATATCAGTTCACCCTGAAACTATCCATTGTTCGGCTCTGAGTGGACCTTTTCAGTGAGAGGTGCTGTAGTAGGTAGATTCATAAATTACATTGCAGCTTTATCAATATACCTCTCCATCTTTATTTATTTTCCAATAACCAGACAGAATTCATATTTCATTTTAAACACTCTCCAGATTACTTTGCAAATTCATCGCTATTCTTTTCTCCTCATCTTTTCTGAAGATGTTTTTACCAATAATCCATTTAAGCATAGGCTTCACACCAAACCCAATCCTTTTCTCATCTAATGTTCACACATTAGACCAAATGGGCTCTGAGGGTCTCTGGTCAATAATCAGGAGAGAGAATCTCGGCTGATTTTGTCTTCTCTCATCCATGTTGTGTAGTGAAGATTAACTAAGATTTTACTTGATTATCTTTGGGGTTCAGGAACATTTATACAATATTTTCCCCAAGACACACAATAGTGTCAGGTTTGTTTAACTGTGGAAGGAGCTTTTTTTAAATGTTATGCTTTATGTTATTATGTGCAAATACTAACAATTCAACTAATGCTAAGACAAAGTCAAATTAACAGTGACTTGTGTATTGTATCTTACAATGCCTATGACAGTAAAAGTGACAACCATAACAGTAACATAACAGAGATGGTGACAGACACTAACATGACAATGATATAATCTGATTGTGATGCTAATAGTGACACGAATACTCACGTTCCCCTGAGGCTTCATTAGGGCTGTGTAGTGTCACAAAGCTGAAAGGTATTAGAAATTAAGGGAGAATTGTGACACTTGCTGGGATTCTATAACAGAAGTGCCCAAATAAAATATAAAATAGTACCTGATCTCAGTAAATCTAGAGTTTAAACCAAATCATATGCACTCATTATTTACAAAATTACACAAAAAAAATTTGGTCACTCAATTCATGTCTGTTTGTGGGACACTGCTGTGCATTATTGGCTGCTGTGTTTCGCCCACAAAATATACAGTCAATTCACTTTACAGTATGTTCTGTGAAGCACTTTGAGACGTCTCAAAGACATCATAAGGCACTATCAAATGCAAGAATTATTATTATTTATGAATCATTTATCTCCCTGGTTCATAGGCATTCAACATATTTTGTTAAAAAACATATACTTTTCCAATCCAGCTTTCATTAAAATGAAATTGACTGTATGGAAGGGGTGCTGATTTATTAATGAAGCAGTGGGCAAGTGATATGTATATTTAATCCAAGTGACCTCTATAACTGCTAGATGAGCGGGAAAATGAATACCAATGCTGGAGTCAATAGCCGGCAAATGATTGACTCCATGGCTGCTTTCATATTTTCTGTGAAATGTCTGCCCCAGAAATGATCTGTAGGCAACCCATAACCCCCATGCTCTACGTCTCCCTGGGTTTGGGAGAAGAATTAGTCAAAACTCCGGATGTTGTCCACTATCCAATGACTCCTCTTGTTGAGGTATTACATGCGTAGATATGAGATGAGGGCAGTATCAGGCTCACTTGTAATGCCCGTGTCTGAACAATCAGTCAACCCTCAAAGCACAGGCTCACACAGTAACAATGGTTAGTTTGATGATATGCTTCAGGCTGGCTAATGATAGCTTGAGTTGACAACTTTGAAGACAAATAGGTAGTCAGCAACAACAAAATTACATTTATAGAGCGCCTTTCACGTCGGGAGGACGTCCCAAGGTGCTGGACATCCCAAGGTGCAAGGGTCAGGACCCAGGCATGGGGGAGGGGTGGGCTAGGGGTGACGGAAGGCAGAGAGGTGGGAGGGCGACTGAAGGCATGATCGAAGAGAGGGTCTTGAGACCGGCCTTGAAGGAGGCGAGGCAAAGGCACTGTGGGATGGAGTTCCAGAGTATGGGGGCAGAGAGGCTGAAAGCCCGGCCACCGATGCCAGGGTGGGTCGGGCAGGAGACATGGAGCAGGCCAGAGCCCTCTGAACGGAGGGAGCGGGCAGGTTGGTAAGGAGTCAGCAGCTCAGAGAGGTAGGAGGGGGCAAGGCCATGGATGACCTTGAAAGTGAGGACGAGGATTTTGAATTCGATCTTCTGAGGGATGGGGATCCAGAGGAGTCGGGCGAGGGTGGGAGTGATGGGGTCACGGAGCCTGGTGCGCGAGAGTATATGAGCTGCAGAGTTTTGGACGATCTGCAACTTGTGAAGAGAAGAGTTGGTTCGACTGATGAGAGAGTTTCCATAATCAAGCCTTTATGTGACGAATGCAGAGGGTTTCGGCAGCCTGCGGTGGTGAGGCAGTGGCGGAGTGTGGTAACGTTGCGGAGGTGGTGGTAGGCAGTGCCGGTCATGACGCGGATGTGGGAAGAAAGAACAGTTCAGCGTCAAACAAGACACCCAGGTTCCTGACTGGCTTAGGGAGGTTGAGTGTGCAGCCGTGGAGGCTGATGCTGGCGCGAGCCAATCAGGAGGGCCTCAGTCTTGCTGACGTTCAGTTGGAGAAAGTTGTCCCTTGTCCAGGACTTGATGTCGGACAGGCAGTCGGTCAGGACACTAGTAGTCCTGGAGTTGAGGGTGGAGACAGAGAGATAGAGTTGGGTGTCATCCGCATACATGTGGAAATTTATCCCGTGTCTGCGGATGATGTCACGAAGGGGAAGCACATAGAGGGTGAAGAGGAGGGAACCGAGGACAGAGCCCTGAAGAACGTCGCACGAGACGGTGCGGGGGCTGGAGGAGAAGCTGTTTGCAGATACGGAGTGGAGGCGGTGTGAAAAGTAGGACCTGAACCAGTCAAAGACAGAACCTTGAAGGTTGAGGTGGGAGAAGAGGTGGTGGAGGAGGATTGAGTGGTCCTCAGTATCAAAGGCAGCGGAGAGGTCAAGGAGGACGAGGAGGCAGAAGGAGCCCTGGTCACATATGGTCAGGAGGTAATTTGTGACCTTGACCAAAGCAATTTCCGTGCTATGGGAAGCACGGAAACCCGATCGGAGGGGCTCATGGAGGGAGTGGGAGAAGAGGAAAGAGTGAAGCTGGGAGGCAATGGCTCTCTCAAGGACCTTAGACAGAAAAGGGAGGTGGGAGATGGGTCGGTAGCCGGATAGCTGTGTTGGGAAGGTTTCTTCAACAACAACAACAACAACAACAAGATTCCATTTATAAAGCGCCTTTCACGTCAGGAGGACGTCCCAAGGCGCTGCACAGTTGGGTCATGACCCGAGCAGGGGGGAAATGGTGAGGGGAGGGAAGGGAGGAGAGAGGAGGGGGAAATGGTCAGGGTGAGGGGAGGGAAGGGAGGGAGCGAGGAGGGGGAAGAGAGTCGAGAGGGGAGCTGAAGGCACGGTCAAAGAGAAAGGTTTTGAGACCGGCCTTGAAGGAGGAAAGGGAGGAAGCAAGGCGAAGGCACTGGGGGATGGAGTTCCAGAGCCTGGGGCTGAGAGGCTGAAGGCCCGACCACCGATGGTAGGGCGGTTGGGGCGGGGGACGTGGAGCAGACCGGAGCCAGAGGAACGGAGGGTACGGGCAGGTAGGTAGGGGGATAGTAGGTTGGAGAGGTAGGAGGGAGCAAGGCCGTGAATGGCCTTGTAGGTGAGGATGAGGATCTTGAAATCAATCCTCTGGGGGATGGGGAGCCAGTGGAGGCGAGCGAGGGTGGGAGTGATGTGGTCCCGAAGCCTGGTGCGGGACAGTACACGAGCTGCAGAGTTCTGAATGACCTGCAGCTTGTGGAGGGAGGTGGCGGGAAGGCCGGCGAGGAGAGAGTTCCCATAGTCCAGCCTTGAGGTGACAAAGGCGTGGACCAGGGTTTCAGCAGCGTGAGGGGTGAGGTAATGCCGTAGTCTGGCGATGTTCCGGAGGTGATGGAAGGCGGTGCCAGTTGTGGTGCGGATGTGAGGGAGAAAGGACAGCTCAGGGTCGAACAAAACGCCGAGGTTCCTGACTGGCTTTGAGAGGTGGAGAGTGCAGCCTTGGATGCTGATGGTGTCAGCGCCTGAGGTGCGGAGGCGCTGACGTGAGCCAATCAGGAGGGCCTCGGTTTTTCGCACGTTGAGCTGAAGAAAGTTGTCTCTCGTCCAGGACTCGATGTCGGACAGGCAGCTGTCAGGACATCGGTGGTCGTGGAGTTGAGAGTAGAGGAGGAAAGGTAGAGTTGGGTGTCATCCGCATACATGTGGAAGTTAACTCCATGTCTGCGGATGATGTCACCAAGGGGGAGCATATAGAGGGTGAAGAGGAGGGGACCGAGGACAGAGCCCTGAGGGACACCACATGAGACAGTGCGGGGGGTGGAGGAGAAGCCATTCGTCGAGACAAAGTGAAGACGGTGAGAAAGGTACGACCTAAACCATTCAAGGACAGTGCCTTGAAGGTTGAGGTGGGAGGACAAGCGGTGGAGTAGGATAGCGTGGTCGACCGTATCGAATGCTGCCGATAGGTCGAGGAGGACGAGGAGACAGAGGGAGCCCTGGTCAAGGTGAGGATGTTAGTGGCTGTTTTGAGGGGGTTAGGAACAATGCCAGATGACACGGAGAGGTTAATGATGTCGGCGAGTAGTGGGGCAAGGAGGTGGAGCTGGGATTTAGGAGAGGGGTGGGGATGGATTTCAGGGAGCAGGTGATAAGCTTCAAGGAGGATATGGTTGTGATGACAGAGGAGGGGGTGACAGGTTCAAGGGGATGGGTAGGGGTCGGAGTATGGGGGGGTTAGGGAGGGGGCAGAAGTTGGGAGGGCAGTGGCAGCTGAGCGGATTGAATCCCAATCCGCTCCTTAAATCCCAATTAGTCAATCGAAAATGGGGAGGAGGGAAGGAAAAACAAGCAAAAAACATCTCTCGGTGTTTTGCATTAATTTACAAAAGACTTAACTCCCAATGTGGGGCTTGAACATACAGCCTTCTGACTCAGAGCCGAGAGTGCTACCACTGAGCCAGGCTGACATCTTCAGGCAATATTAAAGGATATAGGGAATGGGTAGAAAAATGGAATTGGAATAGATAGTTCCAATAGGGGAAGAAAGCACTAATTCATGATAGGCAAACACCAGGCTAAACATGATAGTCAAAAAATCCTCAGGCTTTGCACCTGCATTTGATTTGTCCAATGTATTCTCTTTATATCACACTTCAAATTGTGTATTATCCTCAATATATTTCTAGTGTCAATGAGTTAGAAACTTAATAGCCGTGTTGTACTATATTAAGTTGCAGTGCACCACCACCATCTATCTTCATGAGATGGGGCACACATGTCAATTTGTATACTTGCGGTTTCAACCTCTAATTTTGAAAGAGATAATCTTCACGGTATTTTAGATTTTTACTAGCTGCAAAACCAATTTGTCTTTGAAAGCCACTGAAAATCAATTCAAAATATAGTTGCTCTATTCTCCAAAATAGGCGTTGAGGAATTGGAAATAAGAGGGAAAAGTAAGGAAAAGTTTTAAATGTAGAAACGAGTATGAAAGAAAATGTTAGAATAGGTGTAGAAGTGGAAAACTGTTAAAAATAAAAAAAGAGTGAAGCAAGAGAAACTAGAAGAAAAAAGTGAGTGTAATCATTTAATGCATGCAGGACAGGAACCCACCACAGACTTGCTGAACATTCAATATATTATGACTTAAAACAGAGAGGACAACTGTACACAGAGAGATCCACATTGGAGCCAACACTGAATCTTGCTCATCCTTTGAGGATTCATCAGGATACTTGAATACATTTACAACATGTTGGTATTTACTCAATTACCAGGAGACTTGTTACTGGCAGCTAACAAGTTGCTTACTGTTTCACCCTATGTTGCACAACTGGTTGTTGAGTGATATGATGCTCATGAGTCTGTACCAACCACCAAAAATTGTTCCCTTTTTCAAATAAACATTGCACTTACAAAATAGATAAATGAATAAAAATCACTGATTGTCATGTCTGCATTGCACACATTATTCTGAATGAGATATTTTCTGTGCCAACTTGATAATTAGCTTGATTTATTTTATTGGACAATTATTCAATGTAGGCAGCACTAAGAAGTCTCTCACACCATGTTTCCCTTCTTTTCGGTTGCTCTTCTTCTGTTGTGTGTATATTTTGTGCATATTACATAGCAGGAAGGAAACTCACTCCTCCACTGCTAAGTACTGAGCCACTTATGAGCTGAAAAAATGGAACTTCTCTTCCCCGCCGCTTCACGTCACGTTGACTCTCCTTGCAGTTGCCACTTTGATTCTTCGCTATAGTTCAGTGCATTAATGCATTCACATGCTATCTTGCTGTAAACAAATACAATATTATTCTTTTAGCAGTGTTTTCCCTTAAACTTTATTACCTCACAATTACATTTTGGTTTTTAACATCACTACTTTTAACTTTTATTCGTGTTCTTATAACAAAAAATTGCTACTTTCTTGTCCATTTCTTGGGTGACATTCTCCGAATAGATGCAGTGGGAGATTATCAATGGAAGAAGTGGGTATTGTTTTACAAAGATTTGTCAAATGAAAAATATTTTCTCACAAAATTAAATTGCTCTTGGTGATCTGTTCAGCTGCCACCAAAAAAGTGATTGTTGGATTAAGAGGAATTGAATCATAAGTTACTGCTCTATTTAAGCTGCAAAGATAGAATTTTGTTCACATTAGACAAATTGGAATATAACCATTGTTCCAGTTGGCAATTTGTGATCCGATCATTGAAATTTGATTCAAAAAACAGGAATCTGAATGTAAATGTTTTTGAAGATCTTAGCAGTGCTGAAAGCAAGGTCACTTGTTTCAGAACATTGAGCACAGAAGCAGCACATGATTTATCTTATGTTCTCACCTTGTCATACAAATCCCTTCACACCTTAGCACTTCCATACCTCTCCGACCTGCTCGTAGCCTAGTCCTCTCCTTGTCCCCTTCGCTCAGCTAAGACAAGCTCCAGAAGCTCCAGAACCTTTTTCTGCAACTATTAGTTGCCGTGCTTTCAGGCACTATGCTTCTAACCTCTGAAACTCAACTCCCTGCCTCAATTCCTATGCCTCATCTCCTCTTCATCTATCTTTAACTGCACCTATGGTTACCTCACCTCATGCAGCACTCCAAGACATTATCCTGCGTGAAGGGCACTATATAAAATGCAAGATGTTGTTGTATTTTTGCAGAAAATCGTTATCAAACTCTCCAACTCTGAAGGATTGTTTATTGACATTGATTTTTCTGCCTTACAATTCTACTTAGACATCAAGAAATTTTAAGATGCGGAAGACACTGTCAGCCATAATGAGACTTGTGTAACTGTGAAGCTGTGAATTGCTGTTTTTCCTGAAAAGATCAGAGGTATGAAATTCCACCTAATCTTAGCCCATCAGACCATTTTGCCATCAAATTCGAGACGGTAAAATTGTGAAAAATTGTTAAAATTCTGCTGTAATTTGGGAGATGGTTTTCCATAGTTCTCAGCAAGATGTTGAGACTGAATTTAAGAATTTTCCACAATTCGGTGCAATCTTTAATTTTAAGGTAAAATGGACTGACTGACCAGGTGGAATTTCAAGCATCAAGACTGAACTACGGGATTAAATATGGTTTACTGTAACCATTTACAGTTATAATACTGGAGAGATTTCCTAATTCTGGTATTATTTATAGCTTCTCGCTGGTCGTGCAGCTGTGGCAGTCTGACTGCTTTCTGACTACTGCTTCTAATTGTGGAATCGACTTAAGAAGAATTGCTAGCAAACCAAATGCTACTTCAGTGCCTAGGACATTCCAATACAGCTCCAGAATTAAACTCGTACAGCTCTCAGGCCACAGGGAATTTTAACCCTTGTCACAAATGCTGCTCCTCTCACTACGAGATCTGTAGAGATCCGAAGAATCATTGGTGCATGTCCAGATTGAGTTTACTCACAAATTCTATTGGTAATCTAGATTTTATTGCTGATCTACAGTAAAGCAAATGGTAACCTTTTAGAATAAGGTGCTTCATATATTTAGTGTTAATACCTGGGTCTCCCAATTCAGGTTTACAAGGTTGAACCCCACAGGTTCAGTTGAAATTTAGATTTGTTCCTGTTCATTTCTTGGTTACGTCACGGGTTGGTCAGAAATAATGTTTATGATGAAAATGCATGCTCTGAAAAATGGTCATTCACGTCTTCTTTTTTTTAAAAAATCACCCAAATTAAATTATTCCCTCTTAGAAAATGCAAAATAGCTGGACAGACCCAGTTTCATCCTCCAGTTGAATTCAATGGGAGGGGGAATAGAGGAGGGGCAGGTGCGACACAATTGGTCTATGAATTCTGAGTGGTGAGCGTGGAAAAATAGGCAAGGCCCCCAATTCCTTATTGCTATCTATTGAAACCTCTGGATAAGGCATGTGTGTGGATCTTTAATGAAGAGAAGGTTAGGCTACAGCTGAATTGCCCCCCAACATGCGTTACCCCCCCCCCCCAAAAAAAAAGCACCAAAGTAACAGAATGAAGATAAATCTGCTTATTGACATTTCTTTTCAACTTCTCTAACTTTAGTAATTTTTAAAGCAAATGGGGGGGGGAGGGGACACCGAATAACATCTAATAAATGTTTTAGACTCACTGCTTTTTTTTTAACATTTCAAATTTCGTGTCTCTCTAAACTGTGTGAATGAATCAAAGCATCAACATTTTTCATTTCTATTAACTTAACTTTAACATGAAGGAGCTGTTATATCTTAATTAGTAGCTTGTCTGAATTAATCCAAGAATTTGTGCAAAATCAGTACTCCCAGACAGTTATGAGGTGTAAAGTCTTTATAATTACAGACCAGACCATGCCTCACAGATTCTTCAAGCGAGCGAAGAAGGTCACGGTTGACATTTTATGTCTTAGAATATATCTTTGCATGAAAAATGGTTCCAGTTTTTTGTTCAGTGAGATGCTAATGAAAAGCTATCTTTTTCCCAGTTCTCTTTTGATTCCCTGTGTCACAACAGCTGAGACCAGGAGTGTGAACAAGATGACCTCCTCTTTAGACCTGAAACCCAATACCGAGGATGAGGGATAGTGGAATGATTTTAATTTGGTTTTCCACCCTTATAAGAGAAGCGCAGGGTGACTCTAGTATTTTCACCTTCCCACACTAGAGTGGGTTTCATTGACAACAGTGATGTAAACTGTTCATGTTCCAATATGTAGTGCCACCACATTGGTGTGTTTGAAAACTTTTATTTATCTAATCTGTTTCAGCAAGAACATAAAATATTCATAAAACTAAAGGCTGTAGATAAGGTTCACTTCACTGAGCCCTAAAGCACGAGCTTTGGCACATCTGTAGAGGAAGCTGCAAGCGACAGGAAAACGTGGATTCTGAAAGACAGAAAAAATGGGGGCTCTCACTACCTCTTTATAATCTCCAATTTTAGGCTTGAAAGGAGGGAAGCATACGTTTAACCAAGCTTACTCAGTTTAAAAAAAGTTTTCAAATGTGCAGTATATTGATTTTTGGAAGTAGGTAGGAAAATAGAATTGCTTCTCATAATACGATCATCAAACTTTTCCACTGCCACTTTTAGTTTTCCAGAGTGTTAACTGTATGGCTGGTAGCCAGCTTCAGAGAATTTTAGCTAGCCTCAGCAAAAGTCACATAATACTCTTCTGAATATTACACAACATTGCCAACCTATGATATCGCCTTACTTAAGTATTTCCGTGAGTCAATCTGGAACGTCAGAGGCATGCTTCAATTCTGTACTTTGTAAGTTTCTCAGACTAAATTTAAAGTTACAACGTACTATTGAATTCTTATGTTACCATAATTTGAGATGAAAGTAGCACATCACTGCACTTTTCTGGTCATTAACTGTAATGATTTAGATAGTGACCAGGCCTAATATCTACAATGTGACACAAGGAGAGAAGTAACTTAATAAGCCAAGGAATGCAGCATCTGGCTTCATTAAGTACAGCAATGTCAAAGATCACCAACAAGAAACCTACAACTGCTCTGTTCAAAGCATAACAAGTACTGGCTGATCCGAGCACAAGCAGTAAAGGAGTACATGGGTAGAACTGACCAATAGCTATATGAATGTCTGATTAAGTTACTATGAGGATCTTACTTATGATTGGTGCCAACACATTGCGTAAATGTTTAATGAAAAGCAGACACTTGATCGTAATTTAAACTCAGCCCACAGATGTACGCTATAAATATTGTCTCAAGTACTTTCCTCCTTAAGGTAATCCTGTATCCTTCAGTTAAAAATAAAGAGTCTCCACTCCTATTCTTTAGAATGTGCAAACAGATGAATATGTATTACACCCCACGCAAAAATGCAAATATACACATTTTCATTATATATCGAACATTTTAACTAAAAAAAATTGGGCTCCAAAAATAGTGAACAATGTAGCTGCAGTCTCCTAATGATCTACAGCTCAAATGTGATAATCATCTGATAATAACCTCATATAACCAGTCACTCACTCAATATCCTGGCTATTTGAGTATGTTGTATTTTCGAGATACTGTATTTTGGATAACTAGTGAACTCTGATAAGTAGTCATTTGAGGTATTTCTCTTGGGGTGATGAGTTACCAGTTTGACTGTATTTTGTGCTCATGTGGGACTCAGTGGTCCACTGAGAGGAAGGATGTAGGTTTGCAATTTTGATTCATAATGTATTGAGTGCCCAATTTTAACTTGCCTTTCATGCAAAGTGTTTCTCTACAGGAAAGGGACGGGGACGGGAGGAAATTGAAGAGTGAGTCACCTGCAACCACAAACTCCTCCAAGCAGTTGATTGCACAACCGAATAGGCAAATGTGGTCTAATCTTCAATGGTACAAAGCCCAGTGACGCAGGCTAAGAATATTAAATATTCTTTACACTGTGTTCTACAGCCTATAATTACTAAGCAAATTTTATAACGCAAAATGAAATGTAACGTTGAAAATAATTAAAAGATATTAAGCATCTGAAAACTGCAGGTTGAAGACTAGTACTGTAGCAGAAGACCCTGACATTTGATAATAAGTGGAAACTTTCCCAACCCTAGTGAGAGATGGCAAGGTCTTACAACAGATGAACCCTCTCAAAAGGACACCCACAGCTGACATTTAACCAAAGACATAGTTGAGGCAAGGGTAGTTATCTTATTACACATTTTAATTATTTGATGCATCTGGGGGAGCAACTTAGCAGTTTAATGAATAAAGGCTGCAAACTTCCCAAACTGTCCGATACTATCGAGAGTTATTTGAATGTTTTTAAATGCACCATTTCCTGAGGGATGTCTTATTTGGATCAGATAATTTACAGAAACTCTGAATGGAACCAGGCCAGTAAATCATGTCACGACTACCAGCATTCTATCTCACTTGAATAAGTGCAAAGTGACCGTCTGATGACATGCTTGCATTTGTATTCTTGCCAATAAAAACCAATTGCAAGGCTCTGGCAATGTTATTTAAATGTCATGTGAACGCAATAATTTAGATGAGACGGATTTAATGAAAGCCACCATAGATTTGAACTACAGGCACTGCAGCTTAGAAAATTGACTGCTGCGTTCAAATACTCACAGCCACAATACTTTACAATATTATTATTACTCAGGATGACCAAAAAATCATGATATTATAATGTTTAATAAGTCTTAAGGAAATATTGATTTTTTTTTAATAATAGGGTAGCTGAAAAATAAGACTTTTTGGTCACCTTGCATATCCAGTGAAACTCTTTTGACACTATATCAAATGCAAGGATTATTATTATTAAGTAACTTTTAGACAGAAAAACTAAACACAAGTGAGGCTGGCCGGTTTAGTTGCATCATGAGTAAGCCCTATTCATTCAATTCTGAACAGCTTGGAATCTGTAGTTCGAACACACACAATGCACGTTGAAGCAACAATATATTTTGTTTTAATATGAATCTAATCAACAGGCCAGTTTCTCAAATTAAACTTCTCCCAGTGTTAAAAAATAACATAGCAACAGAGAAATAATTTGTAATCCCACAAATGAAACCTACACAGTTATTGAAAGTAGTGCATTAGGCGCTGTTATTTAAAGGCATACAACTACATAGGAAGATGGAATGAACCAGAACTTCAATCCTTTACGACCATTCTCTCATACCACATTTCAGCTAATTGGAGAACAGCATTGGCAGAGTCCTGGGATTTAGCTGCTTTTAAAAAATAGAAAACAGTTTTTGGATTTAATAGGAGCTGTACATAATTGTATTTATTAATTATTAATAATAATTAATTGTTGTTAATAATTATTATAATAATTGTATGTATGTAAGTGATATCAGTCAAGAGACTTCAAATACCTTGAAGGAAATTCTCAAGTTTGTTCTTGAGACCCAAATATATTTTCTAGTGAGTTAGCGAGATCAAAGATAAAGGAATTAGGTAGTTTGCTGTTCAGACATTTCGAAGATCTGCTTTGTGTTGAAGCAGAGTATCCACTGCTGGTTTTTCAATACAGAAATTTACCTCCCCCACCACCACCAACCCACACCAGGAATGGATAATATATTGTGTTTTCACTTCCTTTCATTTCCAGGGCCTCGGTTTGAATTCAGCCCTGACTGCTTGCTTTAAGGATACTTGTGAAATAAAGCAGGATAATCTCAATTCAGTAAACTTAGTTAATAGAAGACACAGACCCAGGACTTGGAACTCATATATTCTAAGATGTGCTGGAAAATTGGAGATGCTGTCCATTGGATGAGACGTTAAATCAAAACCCCGTCTGCCTGTTTAGGTGGACGTTAATGATCCTATGGCACTGTTCGAAAAGAGAAGGGAGTTTCTCCTAGTATCCTGGATAACAATCCCTCAAATAAAATGCTGTGCGCATTAGCTGCCGGGTTCGCCCACAAGACGAACAGTCATTCAACTTTACAGTATATTCTGGGAAGCACTTTGGGATGTCCATCTGACGTGAAAGTGCTATATCAAATATAAGGATTATTTTTATTATTGCATAAAACTGTCCTAAATTTGGCAAATTTCACTTAGAGAAGCTATAGAATGGCTGCAGTGTGTACATGAGAGCCAATCTGACATCAGTCTTTTTTCACATGGCATTAATATCATCTTATTAATTAAAGATAAAGTACAAAACTATTGTACAAGCCAGGAAGTGCTTTATTCTTTTGTTTAACAAATGCAATTTTGTGAATAATCCATTTTTTTACGTTTCATGCACTTGAATTAAAACTCAAACAATATTTCTCTCAGTTGGAAAAGCAGAATATCTATACCATGGAGTTGGAGAAACTAATACCATTTCATTGATAAAAATCCCGAAATGTTTAAACTACTTTGTAATGCATGCTTAAGCATTGTAAATTGCAACATTTTTTGGAAACATCTGAAACAAACATTTATGGAGATGGTATGTTTTGTCCAGTGTGACATTAAAGAAGAAAGAAACAAACAGACTGAACTAAAGGGGTAACCACCAGAAGTACCAAAAATCATTTGGTCAGAAAATTACTTCAGTTTCAAAGTGAATGAATAGTACTACAACCTCTGTAACATCATCTCTTGGAAAGTTATTTTAGACAACTGGACATCAATATTTGGATGGACTCGAGTCACTAAAGTGTAACCTTTCTCTTATTTTGTTTTTTCAGGGAAAAGTAGGTTCAAAAAACATTATGGAAAGCAAAATATGAAATGTTTAGAAGGTTAAGTTCAACCAAAAGGAAGAACCATCACCACCACTGCCACACCTCCCATGGTAAACGTCTTTAAGGATGTCTTGCAAAGCATGAGAATACACATTCTTAAATCAAGATGCTTTTCATTTATGTTTTGCCCACAGAGTATGCAGTCAATACACTTTACAGGATATTCTGTGAAGCTTGTTGAGACATCTCAAAGATGTGATAAGGCGCTATATCAAATGCAAGGATTATTATTATTTACAAAGTTTCTATCAGAGTCACTATTTTATGCCAGTTCAAGCAAGCCAATTAAGAGCTAGCAAATGCAGCAAATGTTTCAGAGAAATTGGTTTAGTTGTACAATTACTCTGATTCAGATTGTTTAAACAACAGTTACTCTGTGTCTACATTGCTGTAGAGCAAGCTATTGCAATAGCAGTTGCACACATTTTCTGCTGATGTTGAAAATTATTGCACTGAGCTTACATTGCAACAAATATATTCCTGAACATGTCAGTGTTTCGAAAAGGAAAAGTTTGTAGTAGAGATGAACAAAATGGTTTTATTGACTGATCTCATTAAGTATTAAATTCACTTGAAGTATAAACGGAGCAAGCAAAATTCTGGCACATAATAGTTCTTGCAGCTGGAGTGTTATCTGTTCTAAGAGAAAACATTGACTGGAAAGAGATCTGTCAAAATGTAATCTTACTCATCCATGGCCAAAAACATTCATCCATAGTCAAAACCTTAGCTTTAGCTGCTTGTCATGGAGAAAGTGATGAATCACCTCTAGCAGTGTGCATGGATACCACACATTTACACTTCAAATGCAGGGAACTTTGTTTTCATGGGCTGCAGCAAGTCAGCAAGGAAGTAAATTGTTCCTGCCATTCCTTAAATGAAAAAAACAAATTATTTTACTTGAAAAATAAGAGCATACAGTATCACACTTGCACTCATCACTTGCAAATAGTGAAAACAAGCAGTTATTTTATACTACATGTTTTTAAAGATAACATTTAAGTATCTGAGCAAATTTTGAATCCTGATCCATAAAAACTGAAGCTGATATAAAACTTAAAATGTATATTTAGAATTCCTTGGTGTTTCCATTGGACTGCTCTTCAGGATTTGGTAGGAGAAGTTCTGTAGATGTGCATAGCTCTCCTGAACCCCAGGTGAGCAATGTTTAGAGCAGCGAATATAAATCTTGTTTCTCACTCCAAATTGCTCTATCATGGGAAACAATGTGACATTGAATCTACAAGATTAAAGAAGCTTTAATTTCCTTGGCCTGCAATCAAACCCAGTTTTCAGATGTTTTTGGCAGTGACCAGTTATTCAGTCATTCCCAGCATTGCATAATTCCTTTCAAGAACATCAATAATGATGATACTTGAACAGATTATTAAAATATATTGTTCAGATATAATAAACTGAAATGTTCATTTTGAAAACTGAGAAAATAAACCAAAAGTACTATGCCTAGAGTTTTATTTTAAACTTTTCAAACTTGGAAGTGATTTTAAATTACCTTCAAAGAGAGAAAAAGGTGTGTCTGGTGTTCGACATCCATGCTTCCCATAGTCAAAGCACCACTCTGCAAACTTAAAATCAAATTCAAATATCAGTAACATAATATCCTCTTAAATAACTCATTAGAGGATATTGCTTCTAAAACATATCGAGGTGGTCTGAGTTAAGTATATGACAAGACACGCTCAGATGAAGGACCTTTGGCCTATTTGATGCCATTGTTGCAGAATGCCAACCTTACCCTCTTTTGCATGCTTTGGGAATGCTGTTGGTTCCAGCAAATACAATAACTCATTGGATATCAGAATTGTTTAAATATGTATGCTTAAGACTCTCTATGCACCATGACTGTACCAGATGTGCATTTTGTTTATGCGTTCCCAAATGGAAAGTGATGTTTATTTAGGTTGTGTATAAATTGCTCCTTGGTATGTTGCAGCAAATCCAATAGGATTAGGGCTTAGCTCCTATTGAGCATGACCCAATATGTAACAGGATTACATGACGTATGTTTGCATTAATAAACTATGCATTACTATAGTTAGGTTCCCACCCCCAACACCGATAAAAATATACAATTGAATGTACCTTGCAAGCTCTATACAAGTATTTGTTATCTTGGGTAAGTTTGTACATGGCCAAAAATGCATAAGCATTCCCAGCAGCCCCATGGCACAGTCCGTATCCTTTCTTCAATAGGCCTCTCTGCCAAATTACTTCAGCACATTGAGTAGCATCTTGAAGATATTTTTCTTGTTTGAAAACCTATTGACAAATAATAAATCAGCAAGTTAAATGTTGGAACACTTCCTCAGAGCACTAACCATGTTTTTACTCTCAGCATTATTCACGATAGCTCCCGCAGCCCATGATTAAAGAGCTACTTCATGTAGACTATTCTAAAACTTTATCTTATTAAAATATAGTGATAATCCATTGGATTTCTTCCATCTGCTTTTTTTAAAAAAAATTAATTTATATTTTATTTATTTAATTGAACATATTCAAGACTGAAATCGATAGATTTTTAAAAACCAAAGGGATTAAGGGATATGGGGATAGGAAAATGGAATTAGGTTAGAAGATCAGCCATGATCTTATTAAATGGCGGGGCAGGCTCGAGGGGCCGAATGGCCTACTACTGTTCCTATTTCGTATGTTCTTATTTCTTTTAAGCAAAAGGTTTTAGTTTGCTGTTAGCTATACTTATGTCTTCCTCTCAATGTGAGAACTTTCAGTGAATCAGACCCAAGTAGATATTTTTACTGAGATAACGCCTTTCCACTAAATTCGTCCATTATTACTGTGGAATATCAAATTTTATTGTGGCAGAGTATTACTTTTATTTACAACAACAACAACAAGATTCCATTTATAAAGCGCCTTTCACGTCAGGAGGACGTCCCAAGGCACTGCACAGTTGGGTCATGACCCGAGCAGGGGGGAAATGGTCAGGGTGAGGGGAGGGAAGGGAGGGAGCGAGGAGGGGGGAAATGGTCAGGGGGAGGGAAGGGAGGGGGAAGAGAGTCGAGAGGGAGCTGAAGGCTCGGTCAAAGAGAAAGGTTTTGAGACCGGCCTTGAAGGAGGAGAGGGAGGAAGCAAGGCGAAGGCACTGGGGGATAGAGTTCCAGAGCCTAGGAGCATTTAGCATAAAACTAGTTTATAAATAATACAGATCTACAAAACAGAACTAATCTGCAAGAACATTTACATAGAAATGTACCTTGTAAGCCTGTATTAGCATGTAAATCAGTCCTGGTGACCCATGACACCAATGTACAAGGTTATCCCCGGTATCACCTAAACATGGAGGAAAATTTCCTGATGGAAACTTCAGATGACAAACATAATCCACGCTGGGTTTCACCAACTTCAAAATTACATCTTGGTCAATCCCAAAGCTTGGCTAAAGAAGAAAAAAAAATGAAAATTCAAAGGGTAACAAAAGAGACAAATCCCTTAAATACGATCAAATTCCTTCCCATAAAAATCTGTACAAATTTCAACACAATGCAAAAGTTAATTTGTCTGAGATTACCCGAATATCACCTTCAAAGAAATATCTTTTAAACGTTTAAAGAACGGACTGGCTCAGTTGGTAGCACGCTTGCCTGTGAGTCAGTGTCCCATGACATTTGACATTCTAATACAATGTTGGGGATGCCTATATCGTTGGGAGGTGCCATCCTTAAGCTGAGCCATTAAATCGAGCCATCATCCTCCCATGGCACTATTCAAAAAGAGTTTTCCTGGGGTCCTGCTCAACAATCCCCCAGATAAATTAGTCATTCACATCATGGCTGTTTGTGTACATCATTGTGCGCAGGTCGGCTGCTGCATTCTCCTACAAAACACAGTCTCTACGTTTTACAGTGAATCCTGTGAAACACTTTTGAGACGTCCTCCCAACATGAACGGCGTAATATCAAATTCAAGGATTATTATTTATGACCATATGCAACTGGCAAAATGGCACCTAGATTTAGCTGCTTCACAGTGCTTCTTTTCGCGGTACGTTTATGGTTTAAAAGCATAATGAGATTGTGCGCAATTTAAATTGTCTCTTAAAACAAAAGCCACTCTCACAGATGAAAGGGCCACAGTTCAATAATGTTTTTAACACTAGGAAACAAGAATTTTTTAATTTGTTTAAAAAAAATGAGGCTTAGTAGTCCAAGTACACTCTTCATACACTTACGTTTCTGCACAGACATACAAACTGCTTCTTACACTGCTTTTTGAGATGGAGAAAAAGTGACTTCTCAACAGAATCCAGACTTTAATCTAAATTTAGTTTTATGGATTCCTAACAATTCTGCTAATTAACAGAATTTAATATCACACTTGGATCAATAACTTTTTTTAATAAGACAAAATGAGAGTTATTGTAGATTACTATCATTCAAAAACATTTGAACCCAATAAACAGACCTTCATATTAAACCATTAGAATTAAATTATAATCTCAGAGCTGTAATCATACTAAACTCTATTGATTTTACTTCTTTGAAAAGATGAAGCTTGAATCAGAATATTTAAGAAACAGTTTCATGCTTTGTAAAAAGCACCAAATTAATCATTTTGTGTGATGGCGTATATGCTTCAGAAGTAATATTACATTGCTCATAAACAAAATGCAAAATAATAGGAACCAAACTCAAATCACTCGGTTTAGGATTTTATTGTCATTTCCTGTGTATTTCCACTTATTTCTCCAGCCCATTTGTTTTCAACCCTTCTGAATGCTTCAATTGAAGTATTTACAGCACTAGATGGCAGTCTATTCCACAAGTATAAAGACGCCATCCTAATGATTCTTTGGTTTACAAGCACAACTCTGTTCTCCTACTCAAATTCTGAATAAAAAGCTCATCCATAGTATCTTGATCAATTCCTTTCAATATTTTAAAAAACTTGGTCATGTTCTTTTTTGGATTTAATCTTCTTTTTTCCAAAAACAGACCATATAATTACCATATAATCACACCTCTTTCACCATAGACATTATCCTCCTCTGAATCTTTTCAACTGTCTGTGCATCTTTTTACAACTAATATTGTATTTTAATTGCAGAACAGTTATAATGGAAGCAGTTCGGTAATATTCAGAGTTCCTGATTCTGTGGAGCGTTTCCTATTTACAAAGCTATAAACTGTAATCAAAAAATGACTATAGGCAGTTGTTGAAATTCACATTTATAACTTGGTTTTAAGCCAACAGATCCGATCGATGATTGGGAAAAGTCCATATAACCTAATAAAACCACTTTACTGGTTGTTTGGCTAGACAGAGCACTTATACCTGACAGAAAAGAAATGGTGGACTTCGCCCCAAAGGAGCATTTCACTGCTGCAGCTGGTGCTTCTGGAGGTTGCAGAAATACTGTCCAAAATTGTAAAAAGGTAAATGGGCCATGAGAGGACTACATCAGTGCATAGTCTCACCAATGTATTTGTCCATCATTAATATCACTTCTATTGGATTTAAATCCCAACACATCAATTGCCTTTGTGTTGGGTTAATCAAAAAAATGTTTTTGTTAATGAAAACTTTAAACATTAAAGATGAATTTGTTCTTCTGTCTAGATGCTATAAACGTAAACTATATTAAACAAAACAAATTTATGTGGAACATTTTTCCGAGGATGAGGTCAAATATAATAATCTTTGAATTCGATTTGGTGCCTTTAACGTTGAAACATCTCAAAGCACTTCACAAATGCTTTGGGATGCTTTGGCTTCAAGTGTAGTGACTGTGTAATTGCAGGCAAACCGGCAGCCACAAACAAGGTTTCACAATAATCATGAAGTAAATAACCAATTTATCTGGGGAACATTGACCAGGACATTCAAGTCTTGATGTGGGCTTTGAACCCACAACCCTCTGAGTAAGAACGTGACTAATAGACAGTTGGTTAGTTGAAAGGAACAATGGAAAGACACTGTACTTAAACAACATATAACACTGGGTTACAGGTAATTGGTAACCGACGATTAAGATTTAATGACTTGCCTGCATTAAAAAATAGTAGATTCCAGCTAAGCCATGAGCTGCTCCAACATAATATTCGTTGTACCATTCATACATCAAGGGACTACGGGAAGATTTCTTACTGCTTAGTTTTTCTCCAGAAGCTAGAACAGCACTGCAAATCTTCAAATACAAACAAAAAGGAAGAAATTAAAAAATATTTCCAAATGAATTAGTTACTGGGAAAGGGAGGGCAAGTTTTCTATCTTTACAGACATCAGGGTAAAACTTTGATATGTTTCAAACTAGTTCCAGCACAGGCCAAATATTTATCAGAAAGAATACGAAGAAATACAACAACAAAATTCGATGATATGCTTCAGGCTGGCTAATGATAGCTTGAGTTGACAACTTTGAAGACAAATAGGTAGTCAACAACAACAACATTACATATATAGAGCGCCTTTCATGTCGGGAGGACGTCCCAAGTTGCTGGACAGTCAGGGGTCAGGACCCAGACATGGGGGAGGGGTGGGCTAGGGGTGAGGGAAGGCAGAGAGGTGGGAGGGCGACTGAAGGCACGATCTAAGAGGGAGGATGCAAGGCCAAGGGACCATGGGATGGAGTTCCAGAGTGTGGAGGTAGAGAGGCTGAAAGCCCGGCCACCGATGGTAGGGTGGGTCGGGCGGGAAACATGGAGCAGGCCGGAGCCCGATGAACGGAGGGAGTGGGTAGGCTCGTAGGGAGTCAGCAGGTCAGAGAGGTAGGAGAGGGCAAGGCCATGTATGGCCTTAAAGGTGAAGACAAGAATCTTGAACTCGATCCTCTGGAGGATGGGGAGCCAGTGGAGTCGGGCGAGGGTGGGAGTGATGGGGTCACGGAGCCTGGTGTGTGAGAGTACACAAGCTGCAGAGTTTTGGATGATCTGCAGCTAAATACAAATCTTTAACAGAAACTTGGCTTCAATTTTATTACAGACTGGTGTAGATTCTGTTAAATAATATTGGAAGAAGAGCTATTGCCTTTCTATAATCTGCCATTCAGCAATTTGCTGGAAAACTGCTCTGGTGAGATCTGCGAGCAGGTATTTCGCTCTGCAAGACATGTTGCCGAGCAAGATTTGGATAGGGAGAGAGCAACATTTTACCCTTTTAAAAGTAACTCAGTGCACCCTGATAGACATAATGCCCTTGTAACTGAGTATAAAGGCCCTGATAAATGTCCCGGGTCATGCAGTCCAGGAAAGTTCTCTCGTAGGACACTGTACCTGCCTCTACAAAGTACATTAAACAGGATCGGACAGGTTCAAAACATGACTGGAGTTTTCCTTTCTCATCTTTTATTTTGTAACATATATAATGTCACTATTTGTCTCAAAGTTTACAAATAATTGCAGGATTAGCAAGTTGACTGCGCAGGTGGGGCGGCAGTTAGAAAAGTAGAATAAATAAGAACAAGGTCAAAACAGGACGAGTTCAAAGGAACAACACACTTGAAAATGATTTGTACACATTGTAGCATAAGTTTGCTAAGGTATTATTTTCAGAAAGCAGGAGGATCAAATATCCTGAAATGGTTAAAATGCTTTGAAATTTACCCTATTTTCTAAAAAGAAACTAAACTGTATTACCTCCTTAATGTACTGTGCAGGAATCCTCTCTTGGCCAAACTGTTCGTTAACAAATACCAATGCGTACAGATATCCCATTCGGCCATAAAGCAATTCGTTTGGCAGTTTTGAACTCAATTTCACTACAGACTGGTGTAGATGAAGGAGCCTGCAATAATGAAGTTGAACATTTTCAGACGTATAAATCAATTGCTGGAAACACAGCTGCTGTTTAGTTAATATTATCGCTGATTTAACTGATACATAACAGAAAAAAAACTCACTCTCTTGTAATGGTACAAGATAATGAACAATGAACATACAGTAATTTTTAAATTATTGATGATTCTACTTAAAACTAACAGTAGTATCGTTCAACACATGTCATGCTATCCAACAATGATCAGCAAAGGGCAAGAACATTCTATTCGTAGACTGCAGGATACAATGCTAAAAAAAACCCACAAATTTAACGACATTTTGAACAGCTATTGCTGTTTTTTTTGGGGAAAAAAACAGGCTGGAAATGTTTGCTTTCTTATCCCAACAGTCTGCTTTTACAAAAGGTAACTTTAAAAAAAACTCCTTTAAATTCTAATCATCTGCTCAAATTCTAAGATTCAATGAGAATAAAGTGATCTCGCCTCCCTTTCGCTGTATGAGATTTAGTAGTGCAAAAAATTAAGTGCGCATTTTTATTTTAAAAATTATATTATGACTGTATTTAGAGAAGGCAGTTGTTCTTACAGTACAGCGTATTTCCATCCATACAGTGTCAAAGTACAGCGTATTTCCATCCATACAATGTCAAAGTTTTCATACACCTCTGTAAAGACCAATTTCTTTAGAGCTTTTGTTACAAGGAGACACCGTGCCTCTGTAATCACCAGTACTAACGTTTTCTATCTCATTCAAATCTGGATCAACACGCACACTGCTCGCAGATGCCAATAATACAGGATATTCTAAGAGGTTCTCCCCAATACACTATAACCTGCATCACTGGAGCAACTAGCTAGAGCAATGGGTGACCTGAAATGAGTCTTCATGAAGAGAAAAAACACTAAACACCTGTACAAGCAAATAATATAAATCAACTTTTCCTACAATATAGATAGATATTTTACTTAACATTATATTGACTGGAAGCATTTCTTATACCCAATCTTTCTACTTTAAACATGTTACATTATTGATTTGTTTGGTTTCATTGAACAGAGTATAATGACCGAACAGGTAATGCCAAGAAGTCAAAGTAATGACGCTTTCTGCAATGCTATTTCTGAGAAATTAAACCCAGCTTTGACCCTTCGTTAAATGGAATGCTTTCAACGGTTCATATTGCATCACTTCTGCAAAAGATTAACCAAAGAACCCACAACTATCCAAACGTTCCAAAGAAGTCAACATTTATTTGAATTAAATTCACATAATGAGCAAATCATACAGCTTTTTAAAAATGTGTTACAAATAATTAACAACCAGATCTACCTGGTGAATAGTAGATTTAATAAGAATGAGGATACGGAAGCAAGGTGGTAACATTATGATCACTCAAATTACTTTGTAGTAGGGAGAAAAAAGTTAAAACCTTTTGACAACATTTGGGTATATTTTTCTAATTTATTTATAAAAAATATACACTGGAACACGACTGAACAATGGTTACAAACTTCACCAACTGTAGTGGAACCCTGTTATAAGGCTTCCTTTATAATTCTGTTATCCTTATAATGCGGTTGCCATCTGGACCGACTTCTGGGTCATGGGGTCGCTGTCACTGTTCACTTCCTGCATGTCTAATGACGCAGAAAGCGGTCTTTTTAGTACAGGAAACATTTTTACATTATGTGCAAGTGCAGTGCACAGGAAGTGACATCCCAAACAACTCCATGATCCATGCACATCTTTGTGTGCACCTGTACAGTGTGCTGACCAGCAGCTGCTCTTAATTGCAACCTATTGTAATAATAATCCTTGCATTTAATATAGCTCTTTATTACATCTTCAAGATGTCTCAAAGCACTTCACAGAATATATATAAAGTGAATTAACTGTATATTTTGTGGACAAAACACGACAGCCACAGCCAATTGCGAGAGGATACAAGATAGGATGGAAATTTACGGACCTACAACTACTTTGCTGTGCGCAATTGGCTGCCACGTTCGCCCACAAATATACAGTCAATTCACTTTACAGTGTGTTCTGTGAAGCGCTTTGGGACGTCCTCCCGACGTGAAAAGCGCTATATCAAATGCAAGGATTATTATTATTATTATATTACTATATAACAGGGCTTTATTGTACTTTGCTTTATTTTGACCCCAGAATATGTGTTGAGGTACAGCTGGAGATTATGCAGCTAAATCCTCATAGATTGCCATTACAAGCAATGTCTGGCAAGCTTCTTAATGCTTGAAGGACCTCCCTACCCATTAGGGCTTTGCCTTACAAGGTTAACTGGTGCTGAGTGAGAAAAATCCCTGACCCCATAAACTGTAAGTCCTGCCAATGAGCCATCTAGTTCAGAAACTGAACTATCACAGAGGATGGTCATGATTCTGATATTCCACTACAAGGTTTGTTTACCTTGCAGTCAGCTTAGGCCCAAGGAGACTATGCTTACTTCCCCTCAAGTATGATAGTTGCCAGTTGGTTATTAGATATCAAACAGGTTTGAGTTATCACTGGAGGATGACAGGGGAACTCCCTGTGAGCTTCTTGGTGAGCAACATAATTCATCATGAAACATGAGAGCTTTACCACCATCCTTTTGCTCACAACCTAGATACAGAGTCTTCAGTAATCCTAGGATATCACTCTTCTTATAGCATTATTAAGTGGCCAACAGGAAGAGCAAAGTTCATATTCCATGGCAGCAGTAGATTTACATCTTCAGTACAACACAAATTAGAGTTGTATAGCGCCTTTCACATCAGGAGGACGTCCCAAGGCGCTGGTAGTGAGTATTCACCAAAATTTATTTTATAGTATTCACCAAAATAAACCAAGATTTATTGAAATGATAAACAAACAGCACCTAATGGTCAAGCAATTTGTGTAAACACCTGAGTAAAGTGAATCACTCCAATCGAATAAAGAGTGGCTCCAACCCAATCTGAAGGAGAAGAATGAGCACAATTCCGTCCGATTGTTACTCCTTATTTACAAATAGTATGAATCATTTATAAAGCATTTTATGATTCCTGCACAATTCAAATACAGTCCTATTACTTCACTTACTGATTGATGTAGTCCTCTGATTCTTGAACTCGTTGCAGCTTATGATACACCACTGCAGCTACAGCTAGGGGACCTGCATCTCCACACAGGAAAGTCTCACCAAGTTTAAAGCTACGATTGAAGCTCTTAGTTACATACTCCAGAGATTTCTGCAGAAAGGACTGCTCGTAATGAGTATTATGTAGATGCAGGTACAATAAGGCAATCCCTGAAGAATCAAATAAAAAACGAATTACTATTAGCAAACTAAAGAGTAATAAACACACCTCATAAATATCTCTTTGGTCAGTCTAGATAAAAAAAACTTGTCCACCTTAAAACTCATTTAAGTGTAGCTTTGAAATTTACATGACCACTTAAAAATAAATGTAAATAATTCTCATAGCACCCAACAGGGCTTCTGCATTTAATTCCCTGACAAGCAGTTGGATTTCCCAGTTCTAAGGATGGTTGAGCACTACTTCTTAATTTGCTGAATTATAATAATAACCCTTGTATTTGGTATAGGATCTTTCAGGTTGGGATGTCTCAAAGCACTTCACAGGATTCTCTGTTAAGTGCAGTTACTATATATTTGTAGGTGAACGCGGCAGCCCAATTGTGCCCAGCAATGTCGCAAAACAGCCATGAAATGAATGACCAATTTTATTTTGGGGGATTATTGGCTAGGAAACCAGAAGAAACTCCCCTCTCGATTCAAAAAGTGCCATGGAATCTTTAATGTCCACCTGAACTGGCAGATGGGACCTTGGTTTAACATCATCCGAAGAACAGCACCTTCAACAATGCAACACCCTCCAGCACTGCATTTGAGTGTCATCTTAGACCAGTGGTTCTCAAGCAATTTTTTTTGGTTGCCTCAGATTGCGTCCACCAACACTTACTCAAACATTGGCACAGATGTTGTGAGTTCATGTCCCGATGTGGGGCTTGAACTCACAACCTTCTGACTCCTAGGCAAGAATGCCACCACTGAGCCATACTAAAACACTGCGTTAACACAGCATTTCACACAAGTGCTTTCCCCAAAATAAGGAATAGTTCAGAATTTGGATGTTTAGATTTGTCCAATGATATAATTCCCCCACCAATAGAGTGATCCATTTGTAAATAAAAAATTTCTGCACAAACAAACAAACAGCCAATCTAAATAAAGAGGGGGAGAAGAAAGAGCTTGATTCTATTTGATAGTTACTCTTTATTTACAAACATTAGGAATGATTTAAAAGCATTTTATGGTTACTACATAATTTTTCCAGAGATCACACAACACTCAAAATACATTTATACAAAGGTACAGGGAAGAATTATTTCCCCAAAACAGTTATTAGTTGGTGAATTCTTATTTTCACCTGCTTCATAAAAATCATTGGAAACACCGACTACAATCTTGTAGACATTATCCAGAATCTTGTAGACAATTCTCACTACCTTATTGGCATTCTGTTAAGTACCAACCATTCTTTTTTTCAGTTGTTTAGTGACACTGTACCTGCTGATCCAGTGTAGATTGTGCAGTCAGTTCGACCAGCTTTTTTCACACCATTTTCCATCTGTTGCAGTAATTGGCTGATGTGACTCTGCAGCCGTTGAATGAACTCATTGGTTAGCTGTACAGAATTAAGAAATAAAGTCATTTTATGGTTGGAAATAAAAACAAGCCATTTAGGTGTTTTAACTTTCACCAAAGTTTTCATGTAAAAGATGTATAGCCTGACTCAGTATTAATGCTCTCATATCTGAGCCAGAAGATTGTGGGTTCAAGCCCCACATCAAACTTATGCTAGGGTGGCACTCCAATCCATTGCTATTTGCTGGTACATCCCCCTACCTCTGCAACCTCCTAACCCCTTACCATCTTGCCCGCTCCCTCTGTTCAGTGGGCTCCAGCCTGCTTCACGTCCTCCACCTCGCCCACCTCACCATTGGCAGGTGGGCCTTCAGCCACTCTGTCCCCATGCTCTGGAACTCCATCCCGCAGTCCCTTTGCCTCGCCTCCTCTCTTGCCTCCTTCAAGACTTGTCTCAAGACCCTCCTTTTCAACCATACATTCAATCACCCTCCTTCCCTGCCTGCCCTCCACCCTCTACAATCCCGAATCCCAGCTCGGGTCCAAAACACTGACTGTCCAGTGTCTTGGGATGTTCTCCCGACGTGAAAGCGCTATACAAATGCAATCTTGTTGTTGGTATTGCTCCAATATAATAGTGTTCTGAGACCCATCTGGCGCGAAGGGTGATCTATAAATGCAAATTGTTGTTGTTGGTAGTATGCTATGCTGTTGGGGGTGCCGTTCATTGGATGAGATGTTAAATTGAGGTCCCATCTACCTGTTCAGGAGAATGTTAAAAGTCCTATGGCACGATTCAATAAGAAAAGGGAACTGGCTAAGAATCCCTCAAAATAAAATTGATCATTCACTTCACAATTGTTTGTGGGAGATTTCTATGCACAAATTGATTGTCTCATTTCCCTACAAAAATACAGTCACTACACTGTACAATGAATCCTGTGAAATGCTTTAAGCCATTTCCTGACATAAAAGATAAAATTAGCTATTTTCATCTCCTATCTGCCTTGACCACAATATAAATAAACCTGCAAATATAAATAAATTTCATTTTATGAACCATTTTCACAATTCTCTAATCTTACATATTCAAGACTGAGGTTGATAGATTTCTAAAGGATAGAGGGATTAAGGGATATGCGGATAGGGCAGGTAAATGGAATTAGGTTAGAAGATCAGCCATGATCTTATTAAACAGCGAGGCAGGCTCGAGGGGGTGAATGGCCTACTCCTGCTCCTATGTCTTATGGTCTTATTTGCTGGCACAATACTTTACTGCTGACTAGACAATTACTGCATTGTTCCAGCACATACAAATTGTACAATAAATCAAATCCTTTTTGGGGAAGCAATGTCAGACTGGAGATTAAGCTCAGTTCCTGCACTTGAAACGCAGAATACGTGAGGATACATGAGAACTGCTCTCAATCCAGCCTTTTAAAAGCAGTTGAGTAAATTCTACTGAACCCATGGAGAATCAGTCAATTATTCTTTCCTACAGATTTCATCCAATCCAAATACAGGTATGTATTTGGCATAAGGAACTGAGACGTAAAAGACCGAGTATTTCAAAGGAAACACAAAAACTAGAGTTGACCATTTCCAGTTTACAAAAAGTTCACTTCCCTTTAAATAACAAACTGATACAGGAGGGAATATTGGAGGGAATATGTAATTGAAGTTCGGTGTTTGCACTGTCTGATGAGTTTGAACAGGAAAATGAATATTTGGGGGGATTATGGAAGAACAAATTGTAAAATCATGGAAGACATATCAACTGCAATGGCAGTCAACTTTATTACCACACATAATTTTGTTTTTGGTCAGAGTGAGGAAATTGGGTGCTAAAATCAGAATACTTCTTGTTACTTTGAGAGAGAGGTACCCTGGTTCCTCAGCCAGGTGGGTCTGCAATACTCCAGAGCACTGCTGATGATAGAGCAGGCAGCCTGGCTCATCAGCAGGACTGTGAGGGTATGGATTTTTCACACTCAGCTCCTGCAAGCCAAATCCCTAACAGCTGGACTGGTCCAAGCTGGAAGAACAGCAGGAAAATTACCAGACAATGCTTTGAATGACAAGCTCTGTGGTTTTAACTGGCTAACATCAACAGTGGTGTCACCCAATGCACTTTGGTGTCTCCACACCTTGGCTCCTGTTAACTTGCGTCTAATACTCTCCAGAATTAGATAACCAAGATGCATCCCTTTGGGGAGAATGGGCATTCCAGTCAAGACACGGACATTTTCACATGTTGGCGATATACGTGGAATGCTCAGTCTGGCTTCAATACTCTTAAGCTTGGTGCTGAATTTACACAAGTCAGACACCCAGTTGACGAACAAAAAAAATTGAGAGATTTGGGAGAAATCTTCACCAAGCCAGTCCAACCAACCCTTTCTCTTTAAATGTAGTGTTGAGTGACTGATAAAGGAATGAATTAAGGCTAATATGAAGCAGCCTTTTTTTGGTTTCAAGGGTTATTTAAACTACTGAGTTAGTATTGCCTCTTAATGTTACCCGAGTGTACCATTTTCACATAGACCAATGTTTAGTGGGAAGGAATTATCAGCACAATCTCACCAAGACAATTAACAAGTGCCTCTTCAAGTAAGTTGCAAGTTGGCAGAAATAGATTTACAGACGAATGTGCAGAGGGTGCAAGGTTTAGAAATAAGAGACTAAAAGCTCACTTCTCTCATCATTTCATTGAGAGTATTGAGTCTCTATTGAACAACTAAATTTGTTGAGTCTCTTTATTCACCCGTACTAAACTCCGTACCCCCATCACACCAGCTACAGCCAGGCTCTACTGGCTCCCTATTGCCGAATGGATCGATTTCAAGATCCTCACTCGTTTTCAAATCCTTCATGCCCTGGTACCTCCCTACCTCTCCGACCTGCTTAACCCCCGCCTAACCCACAACCTGCTGCCATCCGTTCGACTGGCTCCGTCCTTCTGCAGGTTCCCTTGCGGCCTCCGTTCCACCATTGGTGGCCCCGCTTTCGGACAGTAGTCCGCCCTGAATCTCTGGAACGCTCTTCCTCTATCCCTCCGCCCTGCCCCTTCCTTCCCCATCTTCAGGTCGCCCCTGAAGACCTTCCTATTTGACCGTGCCTACGGTCACGTCTCCCTCCCCTCGGCTCGGCATCGTGCCCCGCCACTGTCAAGCGCTCTGGGACGCTACCCCTGCCTGAGTGGCGCTGTGTAAACGCGAGTTGTTGTTGTTGTTCGCATTCACACGCGCCAAAAAAAAAAATTGACGCAGGCCAGGATTTCAGGAACGGGGAACGTTTGCGCATTCATTGGAAAATCCCAAATAGTTGTTTGCTCATTCTCGTGTGGGTCATCCGAGTCACGTGGTCCTCGCAAACCGCTCTCGTGGTTATCGGGCTCACGTTTCCCTGAGGAGAACCATCTCATCTCATCCCGTCCAGACCCACCCACCCACTCACCCAAGGGCCCACCCACCCACTCACCCAAGGGCCCACCCACTCACTCACCCAAGGGCCCACCCACTCACTCATCCAAGGGCCCACCCACCCACTCACCCAAGGGCCCACCCACTCACTCACCCAAGGGCCCACCCACACCCGCCCAGGGCGGCTCACTGTGCAGCCCTCCCTCTACCACAGGCCTCGACCCTTCGCTGTGTCACTAGGCCTCGGCCTCTCGTTCTCCTCGGGCCGGCCCTGGACTTACGTCGCCCGCCGAGTCAAACAGATCCCGGGCCGAGGCCAGGCCCTCGTAGTCGTTGTACGGGTTTATAAACGCTCTCGTCTCCATTGCTGCTGCCGGACCGGACAGGACCAGACCAGCGCCGCTTCCTGCGAATCGCACCCCCGGGGCGGAGCGGCTTTCCACTCGGAGGGGAGAAGTCGGTTAAAGAAACGGCAGCAAAACCAACACCGTAACCACAGCGACCCGAGGACGCATGCGCACTAATCGCTGCCACCGTCTTGTCCATCACATCCTCGCTGCCTAGCAACGCCCCCTGTCCATCACATCCTCACTGCCTAGCAACGCCCCCTGTCCATCACATCCTTGCTGCCTAGCAACGCCCCCTGTCCATCACATCCTTGCTGCCTAGCAACGCCCCCTGTCCATCACATCCTCGCTGCCTAGCAACGCTCCCCTGTCCATCACATCCTCGCTGCCTAGCAACCCCCCCTTTCATCCATCACATAATAATAATAATAATACTTGCATTTGATATAGCGCTTTTCAGGTCGGGCGGACGTCCCAAAGCGCTTCACAGAACACACTGTAAAGTGAATTGACTGTATATATTTGTGGGCGAACACGGCAGCCAATTGCGCACAGCAATGTCCCACAGACAGTCGTGGATTGAAAATGACCAATTTATTATTGTTTTTGGTTTTGGAGGGATCATTATTAGGCTCTGTGTGGAGTAAGGAAACTTGCCCAAGGTTTCGCCCTCTGCCTGGGATTGAACTCAGGTCTCTCGCTTGCAAAGCGAGTCCTCTTACCACTGAGCTACAGGACTCCTCGGTATATGTGAAATGTGAATGTCCACTGAGGAGGTTATTATTATCCGATAATAATCCCTCAAGAAAAAAGACAATAGTAAATTGGTCACTTCAATCCACGACTGTTTGTGGAACACTGCTGTGGCTGCCACATTTTGCCCACAAATATACAGTCAATTCACTTGACAGTATATTCTGTGAAGCGCTTTGAGACGTCGAGAAGACATGAAAAGTGCTATATCAAATGCAAGGATTATTATTATTATTATTGGAGCCCTGTAACTCAGTGGTTAGAGCACTTGCAAGCGAGACACCTGGGTTCAATTCCCGGCAGGGCGAAAATCTTGGGCAAGTTTCCACACGCCCAACAATAATCCCTCAAAAAAAAACAATAAAGAATTGGTCATTTCAATCCACGACTGTTTGTGGGACACTGCTGTGCGCAATTGGCTGCCGCATTTTGTCCACAAATATACAGTCAATTCACTTTACAGTCTATTTCTGTGAAATTCTTGGAGACATCTAGAAGACGTAAAAAGCGCTATATCAAATGCAAGGATTATTATTATTATTATTATAACCTTCCACGAGCCAGTTTGTTGCTTTTGAATGACTATGTGTACAATAACAATAACAGTTACTGTGGTGGGAGTTTCCACGTTATAATTCAATCGACTGAGGGTTCTAATGATTCTGTCACAATTTATCAATGTCAGCAGAGTTCGATGATTGACTTATACACTTAGCTCTTTCACAGCGGTGGTTATATTTTATTAATCCTGTAGCAGCTGTTTATGTGAATGTTCCTCTGGAACACATGGTTTGATCAAGCTAAAAGGATGATAAGTATAGCTTATGCCTGTAGGTAGCACTCTGATACAGTGAAATCATCATTAGTTATTGCTCCCAATTGTTTTATTCCAAGTTGGCTTCTGTTTCATTGGCATATGTCTCCTCATTTTAAAAAAAATCCAAATTTGCTTAACGATTTTCAACTTTTTTGCAAACTTTACAGTGATTCGTGGAAAAAACATTCCACAATTCTAACAATCCTCTGTGCAAATCACTAAGATTGCCGAAATCTATAAGATGGCTGGTGGCTGAGGTCTCTGAAAGTTTTTATTTAAATTGTGGACATGTGCTGTCTCTTTTCTATATCTACAACACTGGTAATAATCCCTGCATTTAATGCAGCATTTAATACAGCATTAGTATAGCGTTCAGATGTCTTAAAGTGGTTCACAAGATATCTGAAAAAGCTGGTGTGCATGTGTGTATTTTGTATTTTGTGTGTGAACGCGCAGCTAACTTGCGCACAGCAATATCCCACAAACGGCCATGATGTGAGTAACCAATTTTATTTGGAGGATTGTTGGCCAGGACACCAGGAGAACCTCCATTCCCTTTTCGAAGAATGCCATGAAATCTTTAATGTCCACCTGAATAGGCAGCTTTCGTTTAATGTCTCAATTCAAGGATGGCAACTCTCACAATGCAACACACCCGCAGTACAGCATTGGAGTGTCATCTTAAACTATATAGGTTCTGAGTCCCATCATAGGGCTTGAACTCACTACCTTCTGAGTCAGAGGGGAAGAGTGCTACCAACTGAGTCAGGGTAATACTAAAGTGAGAGTCAATATCACTTTTGTTTTGGAGCCATTGTGAAACCTCAACCTGAAGTTACAAAGTGGAGCACACCAGTATTTATCCTTCTATGGAGATGCTTGTCGGTTTGGTTTCTTTATGGAGTTTGTAGAAGTGAAATATTTATTGAACTCTTGTAGGATTGGTTCAGTCATAACATATTTATTCTTCCCTGTTACTGAGATGTAGTAATGTTAAATTGACCAACCCTACAATATTTTGTTGCCACCAGGTGAAATGTGAATGGGTTGTGAAGTGGGACAGTGTGTTCAGGTGCACAGTGATAGAGGCTTGAGGAAATAGCAACAAGAAAGCAACGCTCGTCAATGCTGCAGTGTTAGTTAAGAAGCCGGGAAAAGTTTCTATTTTGTGATCATAACCGATTCTAAATACAAAGAACATTAAGTTCAATGACATTGCTGTATGATACTAAATGCAGGGGGATGTTCTGAATAATAGTGTGAATAAGGCATTGATAGACTGTAATTCCATTTCCTTCTCACGCAGAGTTAATTCATCCTGTAGTGTTTAGAACACTCGCCTCGCAAGCGAGAGAACTGGGTTCAATTCCTGGGCAGGGTGAAACCTTAGGCAAGTTTCATTACTCCACACACTTCTGTTTACCTAGCAGTCAGTAGGAACCCATTGGTAGTAGATTGATGGATCAATTTTCCAGTGGTAATAATCCCTTCAAAAAAAAAAAATTTTTAATTATAATTTAGTCATTCAATCCATGACTGTTTGTGGGACTCTGCTCTGCGCAATTGGCTGCTGTTTTTCCCCCATAAAGTTTGAATCTCAATGAATCTGTACCTAAAGTGGTGATTTTCGTTTTGGAAAAGTTAATGTCTTCACACACATTGACTTGAGCGTGTATGATGTTATGACTAAACCAATCCTGCAAGAGTTCAATAAACATTTCACTTCTACAAACGACTATCTTAACATGTTAGACATATGTCTCATACATATGAGCATCTGTCCACAATACTTGTTAAACAAGTAGGTGAAAATGAACAATCAGGAACAGTACCAAAAATTATGAGTGTTTTGTTTCCTCACAAGTGGAGCTATTTATTACATTACATGGTTGACAGTGACATGATGTGTGAGGATACGTAGGGCTGTTTACAAGATGACAAGCGAGGTTCAGGTAGAGAAGGCACTTCAGTGCATTTGATCTGATCCTCCCAGAAAACCAAACCCCTTACTGATATTATATGGTGAATAACCCCTCTCCCCAGCTCGGGCACTTAATCAGTTGCGTGAAGTGCTTTGAGATGTCCTCCAGATGTAAAAAAACTATATAAATGTAAATTGTTGAATGGATATTGTATCTAATGGTAAAAGAGATATCAATTGAAAATATTTTAATTAAAAAAATCTGCACCATTGCTCTCACTCACTCTACACTTCGTAGTAAAACAAAGAACAAGTGTAAGTTAAATCAGAGAGCTTGGATTATTTGTTCAGATTTTAACTTCACATTAAATCAATTTATATAACAATTTGAAAAACAATAGCTTAAAATTCCTCACAGCTGTAAAGCTCTTCCTGCTGCACAATTGCTGGTGCTATTAAATTTTTGTTGTGGTTTGAATAGATTGTTGGTTTTCTAATCATTTATGCATGTAGAGATAACATTCTTAAAAGTTATCTAATACGGATAGCAGGGGTCAGTCCATTGCTATATCATCTTGTATCAGAGGGCTCATGTGAAAATACTGATGTTGAAACTTCGTGCAATGACCAGAATTGGCAAATTCTCCTGATGTCCACATCCTTATGTGTTTTTTTCAGGTGTTTATTCCTGACCGTTTATGACTCCACATACGCACCTCCTTACTCGTACCTCCAGATAGCAATCACAAGCGGGAACCTTGACTGAAAATGGTCTGCTCCCAAACCCAGGGCCACTGAGCCTAATTGTAGCTCCCCCGGTGAGATCAGCCAACTCAGCACAGAGCAAGATTCAAAGCTGCCTAATTCAACCCAGACCATAAGGTTGAATACGCCAGCCATGTGTAATTTTAGTGCTGGGACAGTTTAGTTTCATGGTTTCATTAATATTTTTCTTGCTTTATAATTGGAACTTGACTTCAGAAGAGAATCAGGTCTGTTGGACCTGAGCACAAGGTACGGCTCAGCCCGGTTGCATGCATTCCTCATAGATCCCAAGTCCTCAGCCATTGTATATAAAGATCATGAAACACAAATGGTCAGTAATAAGCACCTGAAATAGTGTTATAGAATCTTACAGCACAGAAGGAGGCCATTCGGCCCATTGTGCCTGTGCGGGCTCTTTGAAAGAGTTACCCAACTTGTAGCCTTTGTTCCTCCGCTCTTACCCCATAGCCTTGCAAATCTTTCCTTTTCAAATACCTATCCAATTCCCTATCGAATCTGCTCCTATCAAATCTGCTTCCATCACTCTTTCAGGCAATGTATTTCAGATTTTAACAACTCTCTGGGTAAAGAGATATCTCCTCGTCTCTCCTCTGGTACTTTTGCCAATTATCATAAATCTGTGTCCTCTGGTTACTGACACATTCGCCAAAGGAAATAGTTTATCCCTATTTACTCTATCAAAACCCCTCATAATTTTGAATACCTTTATTAAATCTCCCATTAACCATCTTTGCTCTAATTCCAGCCCCCTCATCTCTTCACATCATTGAAGTCCCTCATCTCTCATTCTGGTAAATCTTTGCATCCTCTTCAAGGCCCTGACATCCTTCCTAAAGTGTGGTGCCCAGAATTGGACACAAAACTCCAGCTCAGGCCTAACCATTTTATGCTCCCTAACCGAGGGCTTATCGAAACATTTTTTGGTGCCCGATTGAACGATTAGTTTATACAAGTACCAGTTTACCATACAAAAAAATTCAAAAATATCACCATTGGAAATCATGATCACACTCAACCTTCACTTGCTTTTAAACT